AGGCAATTTTTTCGGAATTTTTGTTCCGTTTTTAAAAAAAGGTTCCGCAAAATTGGAATCAAAGCTCGATGTAAAGAAAATGGCTTAGGCTTAGGCTTAAAATTTGCCTCGATTTATGTCACCCCAAAAAATCCCTTCGTAAATGATTCGTACTCGAATCACCTTTGAGATTTTTTGATTGATTGAAATTGATTTTAACGTCACCGCCTCAACCTACAGACATGGATGATATTTCAAAGCCTAAGCCTAAGCCTAAGCCTAAGCCTAAGCCTAAGCCTAAGCCTAAGCCTAAGCCTAAGCCTGAGCCTAAGCCTAAGCCTGAGCCTAAGCCTAAGCCTGAGCCTAAGCCTAAGCCTAAGCCTAAGCCTAAGCCTAAGCCTAAGCCTAAGCCTAAGCCTGAGCCTAAGCCTAAGCCTGAGCCTAAGCCTAAGCCTAAGCCTAAGCCTGAGCCTAAGCCTAAGCCTAAGCCTAAGCCTAAGCCTAAGGAAAAGCAGAGATCTCAAAAGCAAGGTCTAGACTTTTTGAGATAAAAACAATTAAAGAATATGAAATAGGCTTGAAAGCTGGGCTAGGCTAGAGTCTGAGACCGGGATTTAGTTTCTGAACCAGGATCCAGACCTGCAGCTAAACCAGTACCAAGCCAAGTTAGGTTAGAAATCGATTCGGGTATGGCTGACAAGGGAATGGTTTCAGCTCCTGTTGGGAATCGACTGGAAACACAGGGCATAACATAGAATCGGCAATGGCGAACAAAACACCACAAAAATTAGCCGCTAATAGCTACGGAAACACGAGGAATCTGGCCTGCAAAATCGAGATTCAAAATTGCTTTCTTTCTAACGCTTTTCTCGCGGACGCACAAAGATGTGGGCGTGGCCTAGTGGATAAAGGCTTTGGTCTGTCAAACGCTCGTCCTATCTTTCCCCTCGGGTTCGATTCCGCCTACCACCATTCCAAAAAATTTGATTTTTTTTGCGAATCTTGGAACTATTTCGTTTTTAAAGCAAACTTTTAATAAAATAAAATAATCCAGGTACGGCTGAGTTTTATGGGTCAGACTTGAAGTTAGCAATATTAAGCTGGGCCAGTGCCAAGCCTAGACCAAGCTAGGCCAGTGCCAGGCCTAGACCAAGCTAGGCCAGGATGCCGGCCTAGTTTCCACAAACCCAGGTACTTTTTGTGGGTCAGATCGGCAGACAAAGCTAGAAAAATCACTTTCGAAACAATTTTCTGAATATGAATGATTTTTAAAGCTCAGAAAACTATCTAAACACTCTAAAGCTTGTTTTGAAATGACAAAAGCCAGTTGGAGTGTGTGTTGGTGACAAAAAAAAATGTTTCCAATTTACCCAAAAGGGTCTAAAAATAATTGTTTTCAAACGCTCACACACACACACAAATTTCTCCCCTTTTTACTATATATTTCTGGAGTTGAGTAAAAGGAAATGGAGTGAGTGAGTGTGGTTGACGAGGGATGACCCATTCAACTCCCTTCCTCTTTTCCAGCTTTTTTTCTTCAGTCAATTTAGATATCAAAGCTGAAAATGGATTTGAAAAAAGTGTCATTTAGGGTAAGGAAATATTTTTGGAATCTTTCAGAGAATCGAATAAAGAAAAGTTACGAGTTAGTATGGGAAAACTCGTTTAAATAAGAGGGTTTGAGTTGGTTTGGTTTGGTTTGGTTTGGTTTTAGTTGGTTTGAGTTGGTTTGAGTTGGTTTTAGTTGGTTTGAGTTGGTTTGAGTTGGTTTGAGTTGGTTTGAGTTGGTTTGGTTTGGTTTTAGTTGGTTTGAGTTGGTTTGAGTTTTAAAACCAAAAACAAGCTCAGACTCGTCTTTATTTATAGCTCAATTGCTAACTCGTTTTGTTCGCATTTATTAGGTTGATGCATAAGTGTTTTTGTTCCTTTTCGTCTGCCGTTTCAAGCCAACAAATGCACCAATTAAACTACGGTTGATTTCATTAGAAAAAGCAATTATTTTTCTGCAAAATAACATTAAAACGGGTTTAAAAATATTTAATGCCTGGATTTTCTTGAGAGTATGAAGTCGGGTAGTCAAAAAGGGCTAACTCGATGATGCGGTTTAGACACCTTAGCTAAAGAAAACCTATCTTCGTGTCAATAGATAAAAGATAGAGAAAAAAAACGTTTGATATTCCGCCAAAATTTCAGAGAAATTCATTCAGCCAATTTTTCCGTAGAGTTTTTTATAGATTTTTACGAAAAAGGCGTTTTTCACTCTCGAATTTGCTTGAAAGTGAACCGAAATTCATTTAAAAAGATGCAAATTGAACAAAAAAACACTTTTTTTATAGAGCAAACTATAGATTAATTGGTGAATTTGTTACTTTTTAACAGAAGTACGAAAAAAACGAAAAGACTTATGCATCAACCTATTACATCAAAATCACCAATCACCAAAATCAACAAACAAGATATTCTAGAGAGCTCCAGACGACACTGTACAAGAGTTATGAGTTAGTATGTGTTCGCAAAACAATCGTCTTTACTTCTTTACCGATATCTCTTTTCTTAAAATTCTAAAATTTCTTCTTCAGGTTCTTCAGGATTTTAAAAATTAGAAAAAAAGGAGAAAAAAAGTTTCGAGAAATCATATGACTTGGAAACCGGAAATGAAAGTGGGAAATTTTTAGCCAAAACTTTTTGCATTCTTTTTTTAAATTGAGCAAAATTTAAGTAAAGATCATGTAAAATGTGTAACGAAAAAGGTAGATTAAACAAAAAAAAAAAAAAAAAAAGAAAGAGTTGTAATCTTGAGCCCAAAGTACAGCAGTGTGAAAGTTCAATTGTTGTTAAATTGTTAAATTGTTAAATTGTTAAATTAAAATTGTTAAAATGTGCAATCGTAACTCTCTGGCACAATCGATTGCTTATTTTTTAATGTAAAAATTAGACTAAAAGCCAGAAAGATCTCTTTTTTTTAGTGTGCCAGAGAGATACGATTGAAAGCTACGAGCTACGATCACAAAATACACGCAAGATTTTCACTAGGAAGTACTGTAGGAAAGTCTAGGAAGTACTGTAGGAAAGATTGAATATCTTTAACAGTAGGCAATAGCATTGATTTGAAGATATTCAGTTAACCATAAAGCACAAGAAAGGAAGAGACTTTCTTAACATTAGACTAGCTCAGATTCTAGAACAAAAACTGATTATTGAAGCCAGTTAGACGAAGAAAAGTTTCGATGGAAAAACCTATGCAAATTCGCATGCAAAACTGACATAACTAGTGGATGGAAGAAAGGTAAAGGAATGAGAAGAAAAAGGAAAGAAAAAAGATAAGTTTGGCAGAGTAGAAAGGGGGCCTCTCCCCGCCGAATTTCTTGGGCCTTTAGCTTTCCCCCTTGCCTTCTTCTTTCTTTTTTTTCCTCGTCGAAATTCGATTCGAAATTCCCGCCGATAGACCACAGCCTATCTCCTCTTTTTCCCCTTTCTTTTCTATCTTTTCTTACCCCGTCTCCTTGAACCACCCGAAAACCCCATCTGAGTACTTGAACTAGAACTAGTGAACTAGTGGTTGATAGAATAGGTTGGTAGGTTGGTATTAGGTGAAAACTGTTGGCTTCAAGATTATCATAAAGCTACTATGTATAGTTCTAATGGTCTACGCCAGGACTAGCCTTAAACTTGTGAATAGACAAAGCAAGATAAAGACCAGGATTGTTCAAACCAAGTAAGGCTAGATCCTAGTCTTGTCTAGCCTGACTTTATGACACAAAAACAAACAAAAAACCATGGGCCTACCAGAAATCAAGCCTAGCGTATGACCTGGCTAATATTGAGCCTGGCGTATGACCTGGGCTAATATTGAGCCTGGTTTGAACATTCGCCTAATCTCTGGCCTTGTGTATTTGATCTACCGTAACGCAAATGTCTTTCTTAAAACTAAGAACTTTATTTAATTCGAAGTCTAGCTTATCATCAGCTATATTCATTCATCAGCTTACCCTGTATTCATTTAAAAGTACTACAAGTTCTACATTTGAAAGTACTACAATGGAAAAAACTAAAAAGACAAACAATACCTATCAAATCGAGGACTATTCAACCAATCTCTACACGATAGAAAATAATCGTTAAAAAGCAGATTCCAAGCAAGAATTTGAATGCGGCTTTTCTTGTGGTTACCCACTATGATAAGAACATGTATCTCCGAATCATCGATTTTCTTACGCAATTCCCTGGAATGAAGCGATTGGACCGAGAAAATAATCAAGAGGTCATCGAAATCGCGGACGAACTCTTGAGAAAGCATCCCGAAGGAGATGCAAGCATCACTTCACAAGATTTCACGCCTGAATTTTTTCGACGAAACATTGACTCGAGCAGGGATTGAACAAAATTAAGCATGAAAATACCTAGAAATAAATAAAAAGCAAAGATTTCGCTGGAAAAGGGATTGAACTCGAGCAAAGCGGAGAACCGCTCGCTCTTGATACAAGCCTCTTATCCACTAGACCACCGATGGACTTTTCAAAGGAGTATGTGAATGCTTCAAGTAGGCATTCCTCTCTCTAGTTAGTTTTAAAAAGTTACTGAATTTGAGGCGATCTCTCGAAAAATGATATGGTTTTTCATTTCATCCGGAGCCTATCAAATATTCAAGTACTTTCACTGAAAACCAGCCTCAAGCATCATCAAAATGAACTCAAGCATCATCTACATTTGAAAGTACTACAATGGAAAAAACTGAAAAGCTAAACACTACATATCAAAGCGAGGGCTATTCAACCAATCTCTACATAATAGGGGGCTATTCAACCAATCTCTATCAAATATTCAAGTACTTTCACTGAAAACCAGCCTCAAGCATCATCAAAATGAACTCAAGTACACTTTAATCAAAAAAAAGCATAGTCTAAAAAAGAAATTTCATAAAAAAATTTCTTAGAAAAACTAAAATTGGACTTATTTTTAAGTCGAATTTTAGTTTTTCTTTTGCCAAGTTTATTCGTGACTTTCAAATAAAGATTTATTCAATAATCGACACTCCAAACATCAGCATTCCATTTGGATCGAACAATATTTCGTTCGTATTTCTTGATCATTTCCTCGGCCACACCCACGTACTCCTCTTTGCAAGAAACGGATGATCGACCTGAAAATGGAAATAGGCCGTACACTTAGCTTTTTGTTTTGTTAAAGTAAGTCAAGAAACTTATGCGTAGCGTTTAAATCTTAATATTTGATATTTGATATTTGATTGATATTTGATATTTAATATACCGTATTTCTTATCGATTCTTATCTTTTTTTGAACACTCGGCTTCTTGCTAATAAAAAATCTTCAAAATAAAGCTTTTCAAAAACTTTCAAACGTCATTTGTAAGAGAAATTAAGCTAGTTAATGGAAAAAAAAGCCGAATTTCATTTTGTAGCTTGAGACTTATTCAATTAGAAAATGAATTTGCGTGCAAGACTTAGTACTTGATCTAATATTTAGTCAAGAAGACTGTCAGTTGAATGACAGTTGAATGGCGGTTGAATACCGTATTTGTTCGAATAGAAGATCGGGTAAAAGTATGATCGCGTACTCCTGCGTAGCAGCCCTTTTTAAAATTTCTTTTCTGCATAAAAGCTTTCAATCAAGTGCTATAGGGCTGGAAAATGACTCAAAAATACCACATGAGCTAACAGATTTTTGAGCCATTTTCCAGCTCTATAGCACTTGATTGAAAGCTTTTATGCAGAAAAGAAATTTTAAAAAGGGCTGCTACGCAGGAGTACGCGATGATACTCTTTACCCGGTCTTCTATTCGAAGAAATACGGTACATTATTTTTTTTGATGATTTCAATATTCTCATTTTCTTTAATTTTCTTTTATCTTATACTATATTTCTTTGTATTTAGATGTAGAAAAAAGCAATCTATTCGCACTAATATTTCCCTATTTCTATCGTAGAATAGAAGCAAACACAAAGTCTCCTTCACTCTCACTCTCATGAACAAAACAAACTTCCGAATGAACAAAAAGTGCTATAGACCTGGAAAATGGCTCAAAACTCTGTTAGCTCATGTGATATTTTTGAGTCATTTTCCAGCACTTCATTGAAAGCTTTTATGCAGAAAAGAAATTTTAAAAAGGGCTGCTACGCAGGAGTACGCGATCATACTCTTTACCCGATCTTCTATTCGAACAAATACGGTATTTTATCTTGTTTGCTGGATATTTTGATCCGACAATATATAGGAGTCAGATTTCTTTGCTAAAATATATAAACTTCTCGAAAACCTACCGTAATCTTGTCTCTAATTCTCTAGTTTTTCTATTTTCTAATATCCTTTTTTGAACCTTTACAGAATTCGATCAAAATTAGATTGAATAAAGAGACAAGATTACGGTAGCTTATTTCAACTTTACAGCTAACGGCTTACTGTATTCAAGTCATCGTTTAGAATCGTGTTCTCAAGAAAATCGTTTGCTTAAAGATAGAGACAAGATTACGGTGGTCGAGAAAAGTTGGGCGCTTTTTAGAAAAGATGATCGATTGAATAACAAATCCTCGATTCACATCTACTAAATATAAAAGAGCAGTGTCTGTCTGTCTGTCTGCTGTACGGACATTTTCATGGTCTTTTTTTAAAACCAATAAAGCTAAAAACTTCTCTAGAAAACCTTAGAATATATTGTAGTTGTGCCATTTAAAATTTAAAAAGTAAAAATTGAATGCCACTACGGGGAGTCGAACCCGCTTTGTCTGGGTGGTACCCAAGCGCGCTACTGACTCCACCGCGAGGACCAGCTGTCGGTCCAAAAAAACCCGCTTTTAGCCGGACTTTTCGACTGGTAGCTTAGCCATTTTTTGCTGGAGAGTCTGACAGGTTTGACTCTGGTGCTTTTCTGCTAGCTCAGGTCAGCTAGATGCTGGTCAGGTAAAAAAATGCTGCAGATTCAAGCCTTGAGTGGTACTACGGAGGTAGAACCCCGGGCTGTGTGGGCCATAAACAAGAGCACTCTCGACTGCGCCATGTCAACATCAACTCCCCCAAAACATTTAGCCAAAAAAAACCGGCTTTCAAGCGGGTTTTTTCGGCTAGTTAAAACATTCAAACGTTAAATTTCAAATAAATAAAGAAAAAAAGTTAAATTGTGCTCAATTACTGACCTCTCATCCTCTCCCAAGCCTCGTATTTCTCGCGCTCAAAGCCTGAGCCAGGTTTGACTGAAAGAGCTACCGTAAATACTCTAATAGAACGCCATAATGACGGGTGTACAGTCGCGTAGTCTAACTTAGAAAATCCCATTCTGCAGGCTGTTATAAGCTACAGTGTGCACTGATAGCCCTTGAAGTCTAGTGTTTTTTGGTACCAAAAGTGTAGCTGTAAAAAGCTAGGAGGTGAGAGAAAATTGTCTTTCTAAAAAGTTAGACTACGCGACTGTACGAGTAGGTTGCTTTCTATTAGAGTATTTACGATATTTCTATTAGGAAATTGAGTCAAATTACCGTATTCTTCAACAGATGGGATATCCCCGTGAATCGCTTGTTTATAAAGGCCGTAAAGTCTAAAAAATCTTCTTCAAATCTTCTTTCAAATCTTTCTTTTCTAGTTTACCTCAATTTCTCGTCATTTGTCGGTGTTTTGTAAAGTCTTCTCATCTCTTCAGCTGCTATTTCGAAGCTCATTCCCCACCATTTCTATAGAAAGAAACGAATGAAACTTGAAACTTGAATTATTAGCGCTGGATCAGAGCATGCTTGTGCTTAAATCTCTTTTTTTTCAATCTCTGACTCTCTTACTCAATCATTTTACTCTTGTAATACTTGAAAATTGTAAACGCATCTTTTCTAGTGCACTAATGCACTAATGCACTAATTTCTAGTGCACTAATGCACTAGAAAGGATGCGTTTACAAACATTTCAGCTCAATCTCACCTTTCGAAGCTCCGAAAGTGGCATTTGATAAGTTCTGATAGCAAAAATTGGATTAAAATATCTAAATTCTATAAAGATTTCTATGAAAATATCAAAATTTATTCTAGAAATCGATTGTTTTCACAACACAACGAAATGGGCACTTTTCAGTGCCCATTTCGTTCGCTAAACGAAGCCAATCTTCTCCAGAAATCGAGCTATTTCTTGACCAAAGAATGGGCATCAAAATTTATTTATTCTTTTAAAAAAAATATTAGAAAACGATTTGACAATGATAATTTTCTTCTAAATATATTCTAAGGTTTTCTAGAAAAGTTTTAGCTTTATTGACTCAAAGACGGCTGAGAAAAAGCCGGTACAGCAGACAGAAAGACAATGCTCTTTTATATTTAGTAGATGTAATCCAGGATTTGTTATTCAATCGATCACGTTTTCTAAAAAGCGCCCAACTTTTCTCGACCACCGTAATCTTGTCTCTATCTTTAAGCAAAGCTCTATCTCTATCTCTATCTTGGGTACCACCCAGACAACCTTGGGTACCCAGGGTTCGACTCCCCGTAGGGGCATTCAATTTTTACTTTTTAAATTTTTGATTTTAAATTGCACAACTACAATATATTCTAAGGTTTTCTAGAGAAGTTTTAGCTTTATTGACTCAAAAACGGCTGAGAAAAAGCCCGTACAGCAGACAGAAAGACAATGCTCTTTTATAAAGTATAGAACTAAAGTTAAAAACGCTGGAGATCCTATGATCATCTCCAAAAAGAGAAAAATCCCTGAAAAAGGCCACCAGCTGGATGGATATCGAAATGATTGGATGAGCTGGGGGAAAAAGACTAATGAATTCGGGTTTTTTTGGGTCGATCCTTGGTCCTCGTGGTGGAGTCGAGAGCGCGCTTGGCTTCAAGTAGTTGGGCCGACCAGGAACCAGGTTTGTTCGAGGTTTGTTGGATGAGTTCGAGAAATGATGGAAATGATTGGATGAGCTCGATCCAGAAATCGAGCTATTTCTTGACCAAAGAATGGGCATCAAAATTTATTTATTCTTTTAAAAAAAAAATATTAGAAAACGATTTGACAATGATAATAAATAGTTATGCAATTAAATATATATATAATAGTTATATAATATTTATATAAAAAGTGATATAATATTTATATAAAAACTTAGATAAAATTCGTATTTTGTTCGGGATTTTATGCTCAAAATTGTAAGATCTTTTCTAGTGAATTCTTCGCTTTTCTCGTGGCGGCGGCAGTTCTTTTGAAGAATTGAATACACTAGAATAGTGCGTTTACAAATGCTGAGCACAAAGTACACCTTAGAGTAAATATGATTGGAAAAAAAACTAGATAACAAGAAGCGAAATGGGTACCCGATTGAAGTTTTATGGGAAAAAAAGGATAAAGTCGAATTTCTAAAATTCTAAAAGATGCGCTTAGAAAAAGTTATCTCTTTTTGGTTAAAATGAAGGCTTTCATCAGTTTTTTTTCATTAGAAACTCTTTAGAAAACACTTGAGTTTGAGTAAACGAAGATACAGGGTGGCTCACAATTATAGCACTTCAGAGATTGATTGGCCAAAATTGATTGGCCCCTAGATTGGCCAAAATTAGGTCAATTATTCTGCTTTTTTTCTTGAAAATAAATCTTAAGTATATCTTCTAGAATGGTGCCGATTATCTAATCGATTCAAGCTTTCAACTTTTTTATATAGCCTTTCAAAGTTGACTTTCCCATCAATGAGCCTCGGCACTTTAAACTTTAAAAGGTTGATATAAAAAAGTTGAAAGCTTGAATCGATTAGATAATTTCAGGGGATTCAGGAAATTTACTAAAGATTTTTCTCCAGAAAAATCAGAACGATTCACCCAATTTTGGCTAATCTAAACCCACTGAAGTGCGGTGCCTCTGCTGTGTGGCCCAGTGTGGCCCAGTGTGGCCCATTCTGTACAATAGAAGGACGCCTAAGTTTATGATTTAACTCTTTACTCAAAAGAAATGTAATCACATTTTTCTACCAACTTTATTCCACTTCAGGTATCAAATTCTGAAATTCAGAAAGACCGAAAAGTTTCGAGAGCAATTGGAAATCGAATTTTGGAAGAAATTGCGGAATTGTCGGGGTTTCTGAGGGATTTTCCGGGGAATTTCGTACATTCTCCAATGGATCTGGTATCGAGAAATCGTTTTGCAAATGCTTGTTCACTTTTGGAGATTGTGATCGATTGGTTGTAGCGGTGATTGTTGGTGGATCGGGTGAAGCTTCTCGAATCGAGATTCCCGCTGGTTGAGTGATCGGGAATAGCGGGAACATCAACGGCGACAGATTCTTGCAAGCCTGGAAAAGTTTTTAAAAAGTTAAAAAGTTCGAGAAGTTGAAAAGCTGATACTTTTCTTTTCAATTTAAGCCTAAATTTGATTGAAACGAATTGGAATTTGGAATTTGGAATGTATGTAAAAAAAAAGATCTTATATTGGGTTGGTGGAAAAGTCCTTCCCGATTTTTTGGGAGAGTACCTTAAATTTGTCGAATTTTGACGTTTTATAGCTCATCCTAAAGCTGAATTCAAGACGGATCGATTGGTAAAAACCGTTTTGAGATATCTCCTTTCTAAAAGTTTTTACAGCTATTTTAGTAAAGGGCGAGATATTTTGAGATAGGCTCTGCCGCCCTTTACTAAAATAGCTGTAAAAACTTTTAGAAAGGAGATATCTCAAAACGGTTTTTACCAATCGATCCGTCTTGAATTCAGCTTTAGGATGAGCTATAAAACGTCAAAATTCGACAAATTTAAGGTACTCTCCCAAAAAATCGGGAAGGACTTTTCCACCAACCCAATAAAAAAAGATTTACATTATTCATTTTAGCTATAGTTTAAGGGAAACGATTGTTTACAAGATGTAGAATTTGTAGCAAATATGGGAAATTAAAATTGAGCTAGATTTAAGGCAAAAATTGATCCAGTTGAGTCAGCAAAAGTGGCTCAGTCGCTTACCGCTCACTAGTGAAACTAGTGGGCCATTTTAGTGCACACTAGTGAGCCATTTTAACGGGACACACCACAAAAAACCTTTACTGACAATGAGATGATGATGATGATGATGATGATGACAATGAGAGAGACAATGAAGATTTCTCACAAACCTGTACACGCGGGTATTTGGCGTTCGGTCGACGACCGCGTGGAACTCGTGCAGTTGCGAGGAGGCTTTCGATGGAAAATGACGGATGAGTGACCCGTGAACCACTCAAACCACTCCCACCGCACGAGGATAATAACTAAATTGGTTACGTTTTTTTGAATGAATGCATCGATTACTTGATTCTCTTCACCAATCGTCGAATTGTTGTTTGATGAGCCGAGAAACGCGGCTTTCCTCTGATTCTCTCGTTTTCGCCACTTTGCACGACGATTTTGAAACCAAACCTGAGAATTCTAATGGTTTAAAGAGAGATAAAAGAAATCTTTTATTCAATTTTGACTTTAAAACTATATTATTATAATTTAATTATTGAATTTCAGCTCCAACGTGTTCTTAAAAGCTCAAAAATGTGTCAGAGTGTCAAAAAAGTTGAGTTCAAACAAAGTTTAAGCTCAACAAGTTAATATATAGATACTTTATTCAGGATCTGAGATAAAGTGCGTTAGATTTAAGATTAGTACACATGAATTCATAAAAATAACACGAAAAAGGGCCGATAAAAAGCAACACGATATAATAATAATATGTATTGGGTTGATGAATTGAAAACTGCCAGCTATTGTCATATGTGACAGTTTGAGCACTTTCTTTAAAAGAAACCCATTTTGGTGCCAATGAAAAAGTTGTAGAGAATCAAAAATCAAGCTTATATCCAAATTTTCAGAACGATTCAAAAACTGCTTTTCAAGAAATGCCCAAATTTACGAATTTTCACAAAACTTGCATTTTAAGCGAAACTACTAAGTGTATCTTTTTGGAAATTTGACTATGAGCCTAATTTTTGATTCTCTACAACTTTTCTATTGACACCAAAATGGGTTTCTTTTGAAGAAAGTGCTCAAACTGGGAGTCCTCCATTCTCCAGTCCTCCATTTTTGAGTCTCACCCTTGTCTCACACACAAACCAAAATCCTACTACGAAAGAGGAATCCGCAAAATTGCCTGTAAAATGGCCAGAAGTCGTCAATAATAATGGAAATTATTTGGAATGAATTGATGATTTTATGTTGAATAAATTTTAGTTCAAAGTCCCGCAGTTTTCAATTCAGCAACCCAATAATATATGGATGGCACAGATAACGTCAAGGATCCACTAGAGCTTCAAGATCATCTACAGATGATTTAAAGTTTTTGAGATTATTAGGCTCTGTCAAAACTCTGGGGAGTCGATTCCAAATTCTGGCAGTTCTTATTGAAAAAGAGTTATACACAAACCTTGGAGGTGACTGGAATTTCTAAAACGAAAGAACCTCTCCTTGAACTAACCGTGGGATTAACTTTGAATAAATCTCGAAAAAGAGGGATAGGCTTCTTTGCCCTTTACAATTTTGAAACATTCTATTAAATCGGTGACCAAGCGGCGGTGTCTAAGAGATTTAAGAACAAAAATTTTGAGTCTATCTGTGTAAATAAAGGATGCAAATTTGGAAAAATTTGAAAAATTGGAAAAATTTGAAAAATTGGAAAAATCAATTTCCCATAGAGCTATCTTCGTATATCTCTGCTGGATTTTTTTTCTAGGCGAGAGATATCAACGATATGTAGAGACTAAACTTTAGCTGCATACTCTAGAATGGGTCTAATATTTTTTTTTTTTTTTTTCTTCCCCCCCTCCTTCTCCTCCTTTTTTTTTTTTTTTTTTTTTTTTTTTTTTTTTTTTTTTTTTTTTTTTTTTTTTTTTTTTATTTTTAATTATAAAAAACCCCCCCCCCCCCCCCCCCCCCCCCCCCCCTTCCCCCCTTTATAAGGGAATGGTTTCCCCCCAACTTTTTCCCCCTTTTAAAAAAAAAAAAAAAACCCCAACCAAAAAAAAACTAAAAAATTCAATAAAAAAAAAAAAAAAAAAAAAAAAAAAAAATTTTTTTTTTTTTTTTTTTAAAATTTTTTTTTTTTTTTTTTTCCCTAAAATTTTTTTTTTTTTTTCTTTTTTAATTTTTTTCTTTTAAAAAAAAATTAAATTTTTTTTTTTTTTGTAAAATATATATAATAAAAAATATTATATTTTTATTTTTTTTTAAATTTTTTTTTTTTTTTTTTTTAAAAAAATAATTTTAAAAAAAAAATAATTATAAAAAAAATGATTAAGATTCAATATTAAATAGATTAGCGTCAGTGATGAAACACTTTCCATAGAGCTATCTTAGTTAAGCAAAAAAAAAAAAAATCGAGTGAACACGACCTTTGAAAGTCGAATTTTTTGATTGCATTTTGTCTTTAGATTAAGAAATTTCTTTCAAAAATTCAACAAAACCCTAGGTATTCTCATCTTTTCAAAAAAAAGCACCCATTTTTCTCTCTTTTCTTTTTTTCCCTTTTCTCCTTGATGTAATTTGTTCTCATATCTCTCGAAAATCTATCAGAAACAATCAATTTATGTCTAAAGTTTTCAAGGAAAGGAAAACAAAGAAAAAAACAAACTAATCTTTTTTCAAGACTCTGAAAGAGATTTTTTTTTAGGACTTGACTTCAGTGAGAAATTGCTTGGAATGCAACAAATTCTTTAGACTCAATCCTTTAGACTCAATTCTTTAGACTTAGAATTCAATTGAAATATTCTATTGGGTTGGGGACTATGACTCGGCGCCAAACTTTACAGACACTTTTTGCACGCATAAAGCCTTCTTTAAATATGCGTTTTCTTTCATCAAAAGGATCCACTATTTCTCTACAAAATGACTTTTGAGAAATTCCACAAAGCTTTTCTTTCCTGGAGTTTATGAAGTTTCAAAAGCAGCTGGTCAAAATGGCAAAGAGTCCGACTCATCGTTTGAACAGTTTCTTCCACATAAACCTTCTTTGGTGTCTATGTAAAAAAGATAGAGCACATTCAATTACATAAGTTGCCAAATTTGCAGGAAGATCCCTCCAACCGTTTTTTCTAGATGACACTTTGTAGTTTTTGTGAAAAAAATGGCCTTTTCATGAGCTGAGGCGCTGTTTGAGTTTCCTTTTAAATGCCATTTTGTAGAGAATTAATTAACTTTTCTACTGATATTAAACGCGTATTATTTGACCAAGTCTGCTAGAAGTTTTAGAAATTTTTTTGCTTTTCGCCGCCGAGTCATAGTCCCCAACCCAATAGCTTTGATTTTAAAAAATCTGACCTTTAAAAAACTAACCTAAGAATCTTTTCAGTATATTTGTAAACATCCAGAGAGGATGTAAACATATTCTCTCTGGAGCACTGAATTCCATGTGAAATAAATCGTTTCTGCAAGAAAAACTAGGAATTCAATGCTTTTTTCTACATTTTTGAGCACAAAGTAAGCACATTTTTAAGCGATTTTTAAACAAAATTTTCGAAATTTACTATTATTGTTAATTATTTAATATAATTAATCTTTAAAATGTAATTGCCTTTTTTTAAAATTCATAAATCTCTTTCACTCACTTGCACTCGACTCTCCAGCAGATCCAATTTCATCGCAAGCGCTTCTCGCATGAAAACGTCCGGATAATGAGACGACTAAATGCTTGGTTTATGCAGAAAAAAACAGATTATTATTATTGTCTACGCTAACAAAAGATCTTGTATATTTTTGTAAAATTTGTTTTTTGAAAAGCTTATGGCTTTGAAGCTTTGAAGCTTTCAAAGCTATTAGCTATAAAATACCATTGAGAAACCTACAAACTTATAAGCTAAGATCAGCCAGATCAGATGAAAAGAAAAACTTTAGATCTGCTTTAGATCTACCTACCGTATTTTCTCTAATAGCAGTGCACGCCAGCGAGTCGAGTTGGTGACTATTTTACGGTTTCCAAGTTTTCCCAGAAGCTCAACACTCAATTCCCCCACTAGATCTCATCGTCAGCTACATTTTCCGACCCCACATCGATAGGTTCTGATAAGCGGTTCCCGAGATTTCGAGGAATTTAGGCGAGGCTCTGGGTGCACTACTATTAAAGAAAATACGGTAAGTATTTCTATAAAAGAAATGAGATCTTTTGTCGATTTTCATCTTCAAAGTAGGCTCATTGAAATTCTAGACAAGGCAAAACGTTTCGGTGTTTACCGAATAAGTCGATGTCTCGAAATCAGTGATGTACAAATCCTCTAAAAACTTTGCAAAAAAAACATTTTCCGACCCCACATCGATAGGTTCTGATAAGCGCTTTTCGAGATTTCGAGGAATTTAGGCGAGGCTCTGGGCGCACTATTATGAAAGAAAATACGGTAATACTCTTTTTTCTCATATACTTATTTACTTGAAATCCCAAATACCAATTTTAAAATGAGTTATTCAACGAAGAAATCGAAATATTCTTACTTCAAAAGCATTCTCGAGTTCCTCGAGTTGCCAACTCGAGAAATTCGTGCGTGTTCGTCGCCGTTTTGCGTCCAACGAGTGGCAATCTGAAAAATCTATCATAGTTGACTTGATTCACAAAAGAATCGAATAGAAAATTCAGTCCCGAATCCACAAAAAGTATCTAAACCAACCAGAAATCTACAAGCTTATTTAAGCCAAGATCGGCCAGAACCCAGAATAGAAGTCATTCTTGACTTTGACTTGAGTCATTCTTGGCTTTGACTTTGACAGGCTTGACCTACATGACCCCAAAAAGCACCCGACAAGACTTCTGACCTGTCAAACTTTTAACACAGATTTCAAGCCTAATTTTATTCATTTCCTCACCAATCAGCGGTAATTCTTGATCGAAACCGGGATCCCCATCGTTGGGAAGACTTGGACTCGGTGCTTTTGATGAGGAAGGACTCGATGAGTTGTTCTCTTGATCAACTGATTCACCGCCACAGAGAAATGCTTAAAATAAAGTGTTTGCTTCATTGTTGAGATGTATTTTATCCTTAAAAACGATCAAATGGTTACCAGATTGTCCCAGTGACTGTTGCCAATATTGTGTCCAAACATGGCTTAAATCGACGTTTTCAAACATTGAACTGAAAGGAAAATTGTTGAAAATTGTGAAAAATTGTTGAAAACTGTTAAAAAGCATTGCTATAAAAGATTAAGGACAAAATTTTTCAAAGAAATTGACTCTGTTGCTAGATAGGAAAAAAAGGACAAGTTTTTAGAGATGATTGTGACAGGAAGCCATGGATGTGTCAGAGTTGACCTCAAAAGATTTATCTGCAAGTCGAATTAGTAGTATTAGTAGTACTAAAGAAAGACTTTCATGTAGAAAAGAAAATCAGTAAAAAAAATCTAAAATAAGGTAAAAGTCATTAGTAAAACGAGGTCAAGTTAGCCTAGAAGTCAAGGGAAGACAAGGAAGTCAAGGAAGTCGAGGAAGACAAGGAAGTCAAGGAAGTCGAGGAAGACAAGGAAGTCAAGGAAGTCGAGGAAGACAAGGAAGTCAAGGAAGTCGAGGAAGACAAGGAAGTCAAGGAAGTCAAGGAAGACAAGGATGTGTCAGAGCTGACCTCAAGAGATTTATCTACAAGTCGAATTAGTATTAGTAGAACTAAAGAACGACTTTCATGCCTCACTTCTATGCAATCTCTCTCTGCAAATCTTCGTTATCTATTTCTATACTCTATAAAATACATAGCAAGAGTCATAAAGCTCAAAAATGAGTAACGGATTACGGTAGAAATGCGGGGAAAATGTGAATGCCAAGAAGTATTTAGTTGAGTGGGTTTTGTGAAAGCTTTATGGAGAGGCCTTAGGGCTTTAGGGAGAGTCAAGCCTCGAGAGGCCAATGGGAGTGAAGGGGTGGGGCTTTAGCCTTTATCCATCGCATTCCCTTGTCTCTTCATTTTAAGATTTGCATACGAGACAAAAACGAGAGAATAAGAAAGAAAAGAGAAAGAAATCACCCCGATGGGACACATTTTCGTGTCTTTTTCACTCGTTTCTTTTCGATCACATCGCAACATTCGCTAGAGTTGTCGTTTATGAGTCGTTGATGAGTTTTTCCTACTCATTGGCAGCGTTGCAGAAATGAAACAAGCACATTTAGTATGCAAAAGGAAGTGTCTGTCCGTCTGTAGTTTGTCTGTCTTTCCGTCTGTCTTTCCGTCTGTCCGTCTGTCTGTATGTCCGCCTGTCTGTTCGTCTGTCTGTTCGTCTGTCTGTTCGTCTGTCTGTCCGTCTGTCTGTCCGTCTGTCTGTCCGTCTGTCTGTCCGTCTGTCTGTCCGTCTGTCTGTCCGTCTGTCTGTCCGTCTGTAGTTTGTCTGTAGTTCTCGGCTCCCGGTAAGCCGATTCACATGATTTTTAGTTTGTTAGGCTTAGAATTCTATGCAGTTGTGCATCTCATATTTCGTTTTTTAAAAAGCAAAAGTCACGACACAGACCCGAGGACGACGCGCCAGGGGAGCCGAACCCAGATCGTGTGAACCGTAGACAAGCCGACATCCCGACTGCGCCACAGCGACAATGACTAATGTAAGTGGTGAATCTGACTATAAGTCGTACTTTGTGCTCTCACAAACGCGTGCACTGCATTTCGTTTTCAGTGCGAGATGTGTTTGTTCGGAAAAATGTACTTTCCGGTGCACTAAATCCTCATCCGAGCCGTAGTTTTATGCGTACTTTGTACTTTGTACGTTTTCTGATGCGTCAAAAATTCTTTTTTCTAGCGCACTAGAAGGTATGCATTTATGTGAGCTTTAAAACGAGTCTGATTCTGATTTTGCAATGAAAAAGTGATCCCATTTCTTAACCAAAACGTTTCCTAAGCTTCTATTTCTCAAAATTTCTCTGAATTTCACTAAATTTTGTCCAGAAAAAGAATTGAGGCTAATTTTTAATCGAACGCGCATCGAGTAATTGAGACTCGGCCTATTTCTTCTTCTTCAAAAAAAAGACGATTGAAATTCGGGTTTTGTGTGGTGATGGAAAAGGGATGCAATTGCAATTCATCCCCATTTTTCTCCTTTTTCCTCCTTTTCTACCATCTCGATTACACCACTAGGCCACACAATTTTTGCATATAAATAAACCATTTAGCAAGAGGGAAATCGTCTGCTTTTTGTGTTTTCAAGAAAATAATTTCAGTAATCTGGGAAAGTGTTGCAAATGGATAGGGAAAGAAAACACTCAAATGTGTTGCAATAAACAATGCCGTCATGGCCGACTAGCTAAGAGCCTTGTATTTTAGTCTGGAGTTAATCGCGAGGTCAAAGATTCAATCCCGCCGGCTAGATTAGATCTTTTTCCCATATCTATGGGCTTTTTATACATTTAGACATTTAGGGCTTAAGGACCCTTAAGAGGAGTAACGAAGCATGTGTCGTCATGGTGAAGTGCCAGAGCGTTTGATTCGGAATCTGCCGGCTGCCAGGATGCTGGGTTCGACCCTTTTGCGAGATTTTGAGCAGTTTCTGATGTGGAAACTCATTTTTTTCAGTGCTTGTGCATTGGGCCATATTATTCGTGAAGAAATGTCTTTCTAAAAATAGTGGACAACTCCTAACTTATGGATGAGCTGACCGTTCGTATTCATGGCTAGTTTTGAATTTCTATCAATGGAAATGGTCTAAATAGTTCTGGAAGAGTAGCCGAGCTCGTGTCCTCATGGTGAAGTGCCAGAGCGTTTGGTTCGGGGTCTGCCGGTTGCCAGGCTGCTAGGTTCGATGGATCTGGCAGATTTTGAGCAGTTTCTGATGTGGAAACTCATCTTTTTTTCCAGTAGGACTTTAAAATATGAAATTTAATTATGTTGCACGTTTTTAGATATTCATTTTAGTTGCATTTACGGGAGTGGGACAAATGCTACCTTTTTTTGCGCACCTGGACATTTGCGCACCTTTTTTTCCGCACTTAGCCCATTAGCGCACCTTTTTTCGCGTTTTAAAAAAGCTCTAAAAAGCTAATATTAACCAATTTCTATTCCAAAAGTTGTTTTTCTAGGTAATTTTAGGGCGTAGAATCGAAATTTTGACATATCAGAGCTTGTGGAAGCGAACGGACGGAGTTATACAAAGAGAAAAATCAACAATTTTCTGTAATTTGACCTAGCCGTTTTGTCCTTTGTTGGCTGGTTCAAATTGGTTCCACACGCTCTGTTATGTCAAAATTTCGATTCTACACCCTCAAAATTACCTAGAAAAACAACATTTGGAATAGAAATTGGTTCATATTAGCTTTTTAGAGCTTTTTTAAAACGCGAAAAAAGGTGCGCTAATGGGGTAAGTGCGGCAAAAAAAGGTGCGCAAATGTCCGGGTGCGCAAAAAAAAAAGGTCGCATTTGTCCCACTCCCGCATTTACGCCAAGTGATTTCAATGAGTACAATAGTAAGTTGAATCTGCAAAATAGAAAGGCTTTTAGTGCAATCTTTGGCTTTTAATTTGAAAGCTTCAATTTTGTTTTCAATTTAAACACTGTCTCAAGAAAGATTTCGATGCAAAGGTAACTTTATGTTAGTTAAAGTCATCTTTTTTTTTTTTTCTTCCGCATATACAGCATATCTTTCTTTTCCAATTTAAGCTCCAATCTTTTCATATAGTTAGCTATTGAAAGAGTTTCTATTTCATGAAAACGAAAAAGACGACTTTAGAAAATGTTTTGATCGTTTTGAGAGATAAAGGCATTGAAAAGGAGACCAAAGAGAAGGCTAAATTGAGCTCATCATATAGAAGAATGGATATTCAGTCAATGGGGAATCTTTTCTTCTCGAAAAGCGACAAATCTTTTCCCCTCATCTTCCTTTTTCCTCAAAATGGCTTTTTCTTTTACTTTTATTGCTTGCTAAAAGTCTTTGGGGAGTTTTCTGGATCCACTTTTCCTTTTCCACCAATAAATCCCATCTGATAGTGCACAGAAGTTGCGAATTTTTGAGGGATTTCGGTTTTGATTTTCTAAATAACTAGAAACAATATTTAATGTAAAAATAGACATTAAAAGCCACAGATAGTTCAGCTCCACAAAAAGTATCTAAACCAATTAGAAATCTACAAGCTTATAAGCCAAGATTGGCCAGAACCCAGAATAGAAGTCATTCTTGACTTTGACTTGAGTCATTCTTGGCTTTGACTTGAGTCATTCTTGGCTTTGACTTTGACAGGCTTGACCCTAAAAAGCACCCTAAAAAGACAAGACTTCTGACCTGTCAAACTTTTAACACCGATTTCAAGCCTAATTTTATTCATTTCCTCACCAATCAGCGGTAATTCTTGATCGAAACCGGGATCCCCATCGTTGGGAAGACTTGGACTCGGTGCTTTTGATGAGGAAGGACTCGATGAGTTGTTCTCTTGATCAACTGATTCACCGCCACAGAGAAATGCTTAAAATAAGGTGTTTGCTTCATAACTAGAAACAAGATTTAATGTAAAAATAGACATTAAAAGCCACCGTACAGCTTTGTACTAAAAGTTACCGTAAAACCGGTTGGCATTAGTCTTTAGTGAAGTTTTTAAACCTCATCACGCAATTAAGAATTTCTAATTGTTCATTGAAATGCGTTGAGATGATTTAAAGTGAAAGAATTGCGATCGAATTACGATAGAGACATCATTTTGAGTGAAAATTTGGAAGATCGAAAATTGAAGTCCCTTCTCACCGATTATGCAAATGAGATCATCACTCTCATTCTTTTTCCCTCCCCATTCTCGCGCATTCACTTGCTGACAACTGCTTGTCAAAGTACTCCCATGAATCGTCTTGAAATGCTAATTTAGAAAAGAAAATGTTGTTTGTTTGTTTGTTTGTTTGTTTGTTTGTTTGTTTCAACAACTTAATCTGTAGAAGATTTCATTTGCAATAGAAATGGAGCACTTTGAAATACTTTAGTGCTCAAATTTGAAACTCTTTCGTGCTCACAATCAGAAAAATTCTTTATTTTTCTAGCTCTTAAGTTTCTTCTTGTAATTAAATGAATTGCTGAGTGAAAAGTGAAGAAGCAAAAGGCCAGAAAGGGTACGTTTCTGAGCTCAAAGTACACATAGGTGCTGAAGAAATTTAACTTTTTAAACTCATCAAAGCTTTCCGATTCTCAACGTAGCTTTAGAATGGTTTTAAATTTGATCTACTATTGACTATTGAACTGAAAATAGACAACAGTACTCAGCAGGAATCAATCGTAGCCGTAAAATAGACTACAGTAATCAATAATGGCTGTAAAATAGACTACAGTAACCAATAATGGCTGTAAAATAAACTACAGTAAGCAATAATGGCTGTAAAATAGACTGCAATAACCAATAATGACTGTAAAATAGACTATAGTAATCAATAATGGCTGTAAAATAGATTACAATAACCAGTAATGGCTGTAAAATAGACTACAATAACCAATAATGGCTGTAAAATAGACTACAGTAACCAATAATGGCTGTAAAATAAACGTAAACGATTACTGAGCTGAAAATAGATAACAGTACTCTACAGCAATCAATCATGCTCCTAAAATAGACTACAGTAATCTTAAACTAAGTTGCAGTAATACAGTCGAAGCTAGAATGGATATGCAAGTATATCCAAGCTTTTGGTTTCTTTAAGGATTACGGTAGTTTTTCTCAAAAAAAATCAAGAGAGTAACAAAATGCAAATAATCTCCGCGAAGTGTTTGAGTGAGTGGTTTTGAGAGAAAAGGAAAGAATTCCTTTGGGAAATGGGCAGAAGTGAGAAACGAATAAATGGAAGACAAAAGACAAAGAAAGGCTAAACATTCACTGATGGGTTAAGAAGAAGAAAAAAAAAGGGGGGGGGGAAGGGAAAACATTGGAAATCTTTTCCCCAGTCAAAACTCTCTCCAGCATCCAAATTCATCATTTCTTCGGCCACAAACCTAATATTCACTAGGGATTTCCCCTCGATGGGTACGGTATTCGTTTTTTTGCGTTAAATAAAAGAAATCATTCCTTTCAAGGTTTTTAATCTATAAAATCGAATTAAGAGCACAAATGATGAGCTCAAATTTGTGTGAGAATAACTACCGTACTTGCATATCCATTCTAGCTTCGACTGTATTACTGCAACCTACTTTAAGATTACTGTAGTCTATTTTAGGGGCATGATTGATTACTGTAGAGTCATGTTATCTATTTTCAGTTCAGTAGTCGTTTACGTCTATTTTACGGCCATTATTGATTACTGTAGTCTATTTTACGGCTACGATTGATGCCTGCTGAGTCCTGTTATCTATTTTCAGCTCAGTAGTCGTTTACGTCTCTTTTGGACTCTTTGCATCTTTAACTTTAATCTTTTTCATCATAATTTCAATTTTTAATTCAAAAAAAGAATTGTTTCCTATTTTTTTCATTTAAAATTCTCAACCGCCGATTACTCGCTTTTTCTTTGAAAATCGCATTCGATTTCAAAAAGGAGAGAGGATTTCATTGTTGAATTATGAGCTGGCTTCGGCAAATTCACACGCAAAATTAATGCCAAAATTGTTTGGGAAAGGAAAAAACAATCCAGCTTTTAACGATCAATCAATTTTTTTTAAATCAAAAAATTTGTACAGCTATGCTGATGGAAAAAAAATGTGCTGCCAAAGAGAAAAAAAAGAAGTGTTTCACTCGCATCTATTGGCCATAAACCAAGCTTTCTAGCTTAGCCTACAGCCAATAGGTGTTAGACTTAGGCTTAGTGCCAAGGCTAGCGGCTAGCGCCTCGCACTAAGTCTATTTGGGTTTGGGCTAAACCCCCATTTTCTGGATTGGGATTTTCCCAGTTTGAGCACTTGCTTCAAAAGAAACCCATTTTAGTGTCAATAGAAAAGTTGTAGAGAATCAAAAATTATGCTTATAGCCAAATTTTTGCCAAACACCGCCGCCAAGCCAACCGCCGATTACTCGGATTTTCTTTGAAAATCGCATTCGATTTCAAAAATGAGAGAGGATTTCATTGTTGAATTATGGCACATAAGCTGGCTGGCTCATAAGCTGGCTGGCTCATAAGCTGGCTGGCTCATAAGCTGGCTGGCTCATAAGCTGGCTGGCTCATAAGCTGGCTGGCTCATAAGCTGGCTGGCTCATAAGCTGGCTGGCTCATAAGCTGGCTGGCTCATAAGCTGGCTGGCTCATAAGCTGGCTGGCTCATAAGCTGGCTGGCTCATAAGCTGGCTGGCTCATAAGCTGGCTTTTAATTCGGCAAATTCACACGCAAAATTAATGCCAAAATTGTTTGGGAAAGGAAAAAACAATCCAGCTTTTAACGATCAATCAATTTTTTTAATCAAAAAAATCTGTACAGCTATGGAAAAAAAAATGTGCTGCCAAAGAGAAAAAAAAAACACTGGTGGTTTACTGATGTTTTAACTCTTTTACCGTAGTTTTTCTTTTCGATTTATTATTTTGAAGCATATCTTTTTCTTTAGCTATACATATCTGTAGCTTTTGGATGAATATTTTTCGTAACAATTGATTAATGTCAATGTGAGTTTCGGCTCAATTATGATTTTCGAGCTCCCGAGGGAGCTCGTCATTCTCCCCGTCATTCTCCATGTTTCTTGTGTTTCTAAATCGACTAAAATAGTGGGAAATGAAATAAATGTTAAATCTAGAATATTTTTGAAAGTAATTTTCAGTTTAGATTCAATTTTTGCCATTAATTGTTGTAGCAAGTTCAATTTAGGCTATCGGACATTTAATCCACAACCTCTCCCCTTTCCCATCGACAATCCAACTTTGAACCCAAATATCTTGGCTTTCGGCTATTCAATTTAAATAGTTTTTCTACCAATCGACAGAGAAAGACTTGGTGCATCCAATGATACTAAGAATATTTCAATTGCACATTCCAACACCAAGATATTTGAGTTCAAAGTTGGATTGCCAATGGCAAAAGGGGCGGAAGAATGAAAAGAGATGAGAGAAGAAGGGCATTTTTAAGAAAATAGTTTCGATAAAGTTTATACAGTTAAAAGCTTTTTAAGAGTTGATTCTCAAGTTGGCTTTAACGTTCTCTTTAACTGAATACCTTTAAGCCATTTTTTCCGGTTATCGGACATTTCATACGCGCCCCGACCCTTTCCCATCAGCAATCCAACTTTAAACTCAAATATCTTGGTGTTGGACTGTGCGATTTAAATATTCTTGGTATCATTGGATGCGCCAAGTCTTTCTCTGTCGATTGGTAGAAAAACTATTTAAAATGAATAGCCCAAAGCCAAGATATTTGAGTTCCAAGTTGGATTGCCGATGGGAAAGGGAGCGGGACGCAAATCAAATGTCCGATAACCTTTTTTCCACTTGACTAACCTGTGATTCCGTCGACGAGGTGCGTCAAGAGTATCGTCGGAATGAAAAGACAAACCGACCACCAAACGATCCAACGAGCCGCGCGGTTTTTCGGCAAACAGCTCAGCCACGCTTTCCAGAGCCAAGTTCTAAAAGGTGTTACTCTTTTTTTTTAGGGAACCAGCACAACTTTCTGTTTTTCTAATTCACACACAAAACTGCAAAACTGTTTGTACTGTGTACTGTTTGTACTGTTTGTACTGTGTTCAGTACTGTACTTTGTAAGCTTTTCAAAATCTGAATCAAACTTTTATTCTATAAATACGCAAAACCAGTACAATAAATAGGCACTCAAAAGAAATTTGCTGAGATTCGATGAGGTGAGATTTTTGGGACGGGGGAAGGGCGGAAACGAGACAAGTGAAAGGATGGTTTGAGAATAAAGGATGATCATTTGTAAGTTCGAAGAGAATCCAAGAGTCTTCACTTTCCATATCCCCACATGCCCCACGGTCTGTACATGCCCATTCCCCAGCCCCATGGGCGGTACATTCCCATTCCGTATCCGCCCCACATTGGTCTTCTCCATCCCCATCCGCCCCAACGACGAGCACGAGCATGACTGAAAAGTAAAGTTTAAAAGAAACTATTTATAACTTGAGTTTACTATTCTTGACTCTGAGAATTGTTTAATTCAATGTTTACAAGCAATCAACGATTACTGTAGTCTATTTAAAGCTCGTTCCAGTCTGTACTCAATTCGCGGTTTCTGTAGTCGACTTTAAGGTTGCTTTAGATACTGTAGATCATTTACTGCTGTAGATCATTTACTATTAATCTATTTCAAGGCTACTACACCTAATGCAAATTATTGTAGTTTATTTGAAGATATTTAGTTACTTTCATTTCAGCTTTCAGCTTCAAACCTTTCATTCGGATCGGCATCTTCTTCGGCGAGTGTTCCGTGATCATCACTTGTAACCGAGTGCTCATCCACAGTTGGATAAGCCATTGAAATGGCCATCAACGCGATCACACCGAACAAGAAAAGAAGCGTTGAGGTTCTCATTGTTGAACTGAAAATTTATGAGATTGGAAATTCTAAAATTTTCTCCTTAGCTACCGTAATCGCTTTTCTATAGAGCTTGTAGTCTATCTTTTTTGTAGTCTATCTTTACTGTAGTCTATCTTTTCTGTAGTTTATCTTTTCTGTAATCTAGTTACAGATTATTATACTTAAAGGTTACACTACTGAAGCTACAAAACTTTACTGTAGCTTTACTGTAACAAAACTACAAAGTTTACTGTAGTTGCTGTAGTCGTTTTTCATTTTGCACCAACTATAAGTCTAGGCATTAGATAGAACGGCAAAAGCTAAAGACAAAAAGCTAAAGACAAAAAGCTAAAGACAAAAAGCTAAAGACAAAACTTTATCAAGCGAATAAGGCTACTGTAAAGTGATCACAAATCTACCCACCAAATAGAAAGCACTGAATAGAATAGATGAATAGAAAAGCTGTGTTGTGGCTGAATGAGATCTGAAAGCTTTATATAAAGACTTTTCAAAGAAGATCGGGCGATCAAATTCGTCGAATACCCCAATGATCAGTCAAAAAAAGGAGCTCATGAGACTCCTTTTCACCGAATCTTTCCCCTTTCCTCTTTCTTTTTTTTTCTCTCAAATTGAGTAAAGGAAGTTTCGCTAAGAATCGCTCAAAAAAAGGGAAAAGAGCAGACAACTTTTTTTGTTTTTGTCCACTTTTTCGAGAAACCTCTTTGTACACGATTGGCTAAACATTACCCAAACCGAGCTTTGATCATTTGAAACTGCTGTCTGTGACTCAAGTTTTCTTGTATGACATCATTGGTTTGGGTTTTGAGATCAAACAAAAACAAGCATCATTTTGTGATTTCTGATTACCGTAACCACGATAAATGTGCGCCAAATAGAAAAGCAATTGTCTTATACTAAAACTGGAAATGCTAGTCCATTTTGTCTCACCACTGTCTCACTGTACCGAAACAAAAAAGTATCCAGTTGCTAATGCTTTTATCCCAGCATACTTTATACAAAGAAGTTTTACAGTATCTTTATCATTTACCCAAAGAACATATCTTAGTAGATCTGGTGTAGCTAGAGTGGGGGGTGGAACAAATGCGACCTTTTTTTTGCGCACCTGGACATTTGTGCACCTTTTTTTTGCTAGAAAAGGCCTTAGGAAAAGTCGTAGAGCTTCAAAAACGTTTTCGTAGAAGGGAATCGTATGCGTAGATTCAGAATTTTGACAAATCAGACCTCGCTGACACGTCAAATTTGGGCTAAAAGGCAAAAGCTACGCAACTTAACGCTTTTCCGCAGTTTTTGCCTTTTAGCCCAAATTTGACGTGTCAGCGAGGTCTGATTTGTCGAAATTCGGAATCTACGCATACGATTCCCTTCTATGAAAACGCTTTTGAAGCTCTACGACTTTTCCTAAGGCCTTTTCCAGCAAAAAAAAGGTGCGCAAATGTCCAGGTGCGCAAAAAAAGGTCACATTTGTCCCACCCCCCTAGAATGGGGTTACTGTAGTGGGTCTAGATAAAACTACGGTACCCATTTTAATGACACTATAAAACATTTTCAATGAAAAAACATGAAGAGTACGACATGAACATGAACTGTTTTAGATCGAGCCGGACAAGTACTTCAACATCAAGTGGAAGCCGACCTCAGTGACGACGGACGTGAAGATCGAGAACACGCTGAAGAGAAGATAAAAAAAAGCCAGAACGAAACTGCTTAAAAACCCTTGAAAATTTGCATGTTTGTCTGAAGAGGGAAAAATTTGCATTTAAAAATTCAAATATAAAGGCGCGCTCAACTCTGTTTCTTCATAACATTTTCTTCTCTCTTCGCGACGAGCGCTTTCTCCCGAACGTAAGTTTGTTTTTTTCTGATTACTTTATTTTATTGACTTTACTACGTTTATCTTGTAATTTATAGGGTTATTCTTTCCGTTAAATTTGTTTAGGAGTTTTACTCTTACACTGTGCTTTTCACAGTAAATTGTGTAGCTTTGGCTGTAAAACCCTTGAATTTTTATTTAAAAATTGACCTAATGTTTTGATTTTAGGAAAGAAACGAAAAATGACGCCAACTGCTCCTCAAGCGACCGCTGTCAACGCAAAGTCGACCCCCGTGCCCGGCTCGAGGCCCGGTGAGCCGCCATTCCAAATGAAGGTTTTTTGTGATTTGTTTTTTCACGATTTTTCTGTTTTAGATCGAGCCGGACAAGTACCTCAACATCAAGTGGAAGCCGACCCCAGTGAAAATGGACGTGAAGATCGAGAACACGCTGAAGAGCCGGCAAACCTTCAAGGTGAGTGATCTTGCAGGCTATAAGTTATAAGTATAAGTGTTAGATCAAGTATAGTGTCTTTCTTTAGATCAAGTGCACCGACAACGACATCTTCCGTGTGCGTCCTCCACTCGGCTTCATCAACCCCGGCGAGACGGCCAAGATTCGCGTGAGTTGCTTGAAATTAGTTTTTTTTTCTTTATGTTACACTTGATTCAGCTATCTCAATATTGTGCTTAATTTAGATCACGTGCACTTCAAAGACGCTGCCCGAGAACGATCGACATCTTTTCGCCATCTACCACATGAAGAGTGACGAGGACAAGAAGACGGCTCGCCAGGTATAGGATAATTTGGCTTTCTTAAAATTTTTCCTTTGTCTAGGTGTGGACAACCGAGTCAAAGCCGGAAGGTGTCACCCGCCTGGTCGTCGTTTTCGAAGAAGGCGATGAGAAGAAGGACGAGAAAAAGGAGGAGAAGGACGATAAGGTAACACTGGTCTTTAATATTACTCAAACTTTGTTTAGGAACCAAAGAAAGAAGCCGAAAAAGATGAGAAGAAACCGGATGGTGAGAAGAAGGAGAGCAAGGAGGAGGAAAAGAAGGAAGAAAAGAATGACGACAAGGGCAAGAAAGAAGAGAAGATGGAGGAAAAGAAGGACGAGAAGATGGAGGAAAAGAAGGAAGAAGAAACGAAGGACGAGAAGAAAGAGGAAAAGGTATTTAACTTATTGATTAGAAGGTGTGAGATGTTCGTTTTTTAGAAAGACGACGCCAAGAAGAAGGACGACGAGCAAGAGGCCAAGGAAGATGAGAAAAAGAAGGACGAGAAGAAGGACGACGAGCAAGAGGCCAAGGAAGATGAGGAAAAGAAGGACGAGAAGCAGTGAACGGGGGATCAGAAGGAACGAAAAATGGATTCGAATGATCTCTCTTTTTGCTCATCATTGTTCCGCTGTGATTCATTTCGTGCTTCATTCGAAATAAATTTTATGGGAAGTAAAAGGTGCTTGGATCCAAAAAGAGTTTCGAAATAAACAATGTGGCCTTGAATCTCGCGTACAAGAGCTGGGGAAAAGACCATTTCCTTGGTTACTACTCGCAAAATTTCTCTTGATCACCCGAGGGTTTCACTTTTTTTTTGAGATAATCTTTTGATTTGTGATACCTCACCCGATGGTGAGGTGTCACAAATCACAACATCTAGACATTGTCAAATCAATAGATTCGCTAAATGACGTCATTTTAAACGGTTAAGCTCAAAAATTGAACCAGCAACAAATGCGTGATCATGTCGTAAATCAGATGGTCTGGACCGAAATAACCGATTTTCTCGTTTTTTCCCCTCCATCAAGCGAATCTCTATTTCATGACAGAGCTTGTTTGTCGAATTTCCCCTGTCCAATCTGTTTTTGTGCTCTAGACTGAAAAAAGGAAAAATTCCCAGTTTTTCTTGTGCTGATGATTCTTGCCCAAATAAGTAAGTTGTTCATCTCAAATTTACCAAATCGATACATTTTGCAAATAAAATTTACTCCCATTTTCGCCAAACATCATCGAATCATAGTCATAGAAATCACTTTCATACGGTAAAACACAATAGCGAAAACTTATTTATTCGAAAGCACTTGTCAGTATAATGAGATTATTTTCCGAATCGAACCCGCAACTTCAAAGCCACCAATCCAAAGACACGTCCTAACACAAATATTGCGATGAGAATTCCTGGAAGAAAAAAAAATCCAATAGCAGAGCCAATTTCAAACTGACCGCTGTTCATCCAAAAAACCCACACATCGGGGTTCATATCGCGGCTAATCAACACTTCAGTACCATTTGGTGTTGCACATGGCGGAGTGCAATCTGGAATGGAAATCAGTACATTTTTCGTAAATTAATAAATTAATAATAAAGAAAATAAGTAAGACTCTTAGTAAATCCCTACTTTTAATATCTCCATGAGCCGTCCATTGATTATTCTCCAGTGCCTCGAATCCAAAGCGGAACCACGAAATCCAGGTGATCCACTAAAATAAAACAAATACACAATGATGATATTGAAAGCTTTTACCCGGAAATATATCGGCACGTCTTCGTATCTAATGTAGAAGCCACCAAAAACGAGCATCGGAAGCACCAAAAGAGGCATGAAAGTAATGGCGGCTCCCTCTTCGCCAAACACACAAGCACCAGAAGTTGCTAAAATTTGAATGCAGTAATACAATTAACAAGAACGCCGAACTCGTGATTGCAAAAATCTATTAAGAGTGGCAATAAATAAAAGGTAATAAAATAAAATAAAAATAAATCAAAGTAAATTTTAAAACGCACAAACCCATTGTATTGGCCACATAAGCCTGAATAATGCACATCATGATGTACTTGAAAAACTGGCCAGCTCCTTCGTGGAGACCTACAATAACTGTTATACGTGCACAACTCGATTCAATCACCTGTCATCCAATAAACAATTGAAGAATAAATGATTGGCAGAATTGTGTACTGGGGTAGCTCAGCGAAAGACTTTGCCCAGTAGTAACTAAAGTAATATTAAATTAGCTAAAAGTTCAAAAATACCTGTCGACTGAATAAACCCGAGCCTTGTGCTCTCTCAAGAAAACGGGTAATTCGGCTGTGATCACCTGAAAGTTACTCAAAACGGAACTACAACACTAAATTTACAATGATCGACGGGAAGATGAAGAGAAAGTTCATGTCACGAATTGTGTTGAAGAGTACTCCCTCAATATTTTGAATGGTTTCACCGCGAATATTCACTCGAAGGTTGACTAGTCCAATAACCAGGGCAGTCACCTAAATAAGAATTTTATTCAAGGAAAAAGCGCTCACAAATTTATAAAACATTGAATAAACTTACAACGACTTGAAAGAGTTTCACTTTGACAAGGAGTGGATCTCGAAGGCATGTAAGAAGCGATCGCTTAAGAAGTGTCCAGAATTGAACCAAGAAAGACGATGAATAACTAAAATGGCGACAATTGGATTAAGGTAAACTCTTTAAATAACAAAGCTGTCAGTGCAAAATTTAAAAAATTTACCGTGGAATCTTCTCCAATTCAAGGTTTCCGCTCTCTTGCAGGGTGCGCACACTGCCACTCAATTCTCCATGCACAATCCTTTGCAACAACTCTCCATGACTGCTCTTCTCAAAAGCTTCAGTAATTCGCTAAAGAAACAAATTTAATACAGTTCATGAAAACAAGTTCATACATCGATCCGTCGAATATCGTACTCCTTTGTTGCTGGCTCTACCGAGAGAAGTTTAATCATGTGGTCGGCTGGAGCAGAATCGAATGGAACACTAAAAGTCTCTTATTGTTACACGCATAAATAAGCAAACTCTATTTGATCATCGTGAATCGCCTCCAAAAAATCGCAAATGTCCGAGGCTCGGCCATGAAAAGCAGTTCGTCCATTAGCCATGAAGCACACTCTAAAAACAAAAGTTTGCGCAAGACTAATGAAGCGAAAGACTTGCCAAACACTTACTTGTGAAACATTTTAAAGACTTCGGCTGACGGTTGATGAATGACAGTGACGATGGTTTTCCCTTGAGCGGCTAACCGAACAAGGCAGCTGACAACTTGTTGTGCCATGAACGAGTCGAGACCACTTGTTGGCTCATCACAGAAAAAAATTGACGGATCAGTGAGCACATAAAAACACAATATTAAAGAAATTAAACACTTCAACAATGAAAGTTGCTTTAAAAAGTTAAACATTTAACAAATGACAAATTCGAACCTCGCATGCAAAAGCCAAGCGTTTCTTTTCTCCGACAGATATGCCTTTCGTTCGAGCTGGTATCCCAATCATCGTTTCCTGACAATCGACTAGATTCATCTAAAGATTGCGTTTATCAACCAGATGCGACTGAAAATACCTCATTAATGACTTTATCAACGCGTTGACGTCGTTGAGCACGTGTATAACCCCGTCCCATGCGAAGACTTGCCGAGAAAAGCAACTGTTCTTTTACCGTCAAAGTGCCGCAAAATAGGTCGACCTGAACGATAGAGTTACATGGAAAACTATTTAAGCACACTTGTTGCACAAATGCAGCCATTCGTCGCATCGTTGTTACATTCACTTCGTCGCCATTCACAAGTACGACGCCCGATTGCTAAAAAAGGAAATTGATCCCGAATGTGACAAGAGAACAACCTCGACGCCTCTCTGTTCGTTGTTGGTGAGAATGTTGAGAAGAGTTGTTTTTCCGGCACCAGAACCGCCCATGATTGCTAGAATCTCGCCAGGCAATGCCACTCCATAAACTAAACAAAAATGTTAGGATTAAAATAATAAAAACAAAGAACGATATCAACAAACCATTTTTGAGGACAGCTTTCTTTCCGGTCATTTGCTTTTCATCGTTTCGCCAAGGATTGATGCGTTTCGGTCTTTCATTGACGGGTACTGTTGCCCAAAGATCTTTCCAAACGATGATCTTCTTTGAAGCTTCCCCCTCACTGTCTAAACGAAAAAAATACACGAAAATAATTATCTAACAGAACAACTTAAAACCACCAAGACCAAAAGCTCACATGGCAAGAGATGTTCCGTGTCTCGTTCCTTGTCTACCGCCGTTGTCTCGGTTTTATTTGATCGCATTTTGAGGAAAACTAGAGGAAAAGTACGGAAACAAACAAAAAGAAACTTACATTTTTGACCAAACGAGCAAATTTGAACGAAGTTGATTAAAAAATAAAATTCTTTCGGGATCGATTCAAAAGAAACACCCGATTTGCTATACAAATTTCTCAAAATGCAGATTTTAAAATTATTAGCCGTCTGTATACAATCAGAGTACCTTTTTTGGAAAAGGAGTAGTTGGGGGGTACTTTTTTGGAGTACCCCCTTTTTAATTTTTTCACTGTTTTTGCAAAATTTTCTTCACTGAGACATTACTTTACTCCTGAAAACCATATTCACGAAACGCCCCATTTTTTTACCAAAAATTCAACTAATTTCAGCCAAAAATGTAATAAAAGTGTAAACTTTTAAAACTTTATTGAATAATAACAAATAAAATGGAACAAATTGTAAACAAAAATGACAAACTCTCCAAAGAAGCAGAAGTCAGTTATCGCAATTTTTTCTTCCGAATCCTTGTCACTTCAATCGAAGATTTCTGGCTTGTAAGACAATCCTGGTGGAACACTTAACTATGAGTTCACTCGATGAGGAACTCACGCACTGAAAAATTACGTAGTTGTCGAAATTCGGACCTTTCGGAAAATACATTAATTGCAGGGAACATACTCCAATTTCGATGCAATCTTCGCTTTTTCTGCAAATGCAATGAAGGATTTGAATGTCAAATACAATTAAGTTTGTTATGTTATGTTATGTTATGTACAATTAAGTTTGTTATGTTATATTTATTTCCGCATAAAACATGTGACAAATTTTTAAATGCACTCACAGGATACCGTAAATGCTTTAATAGAACACCCCCTATAGGAGCGTTGCGTAGTCTAAAACAATCATAGATGTGATATGGTCGTCCTTTTTGAGCGTATATTTAGACTACACAACGCTCCTTTAGGGGGCGTTTTATTAAAGCATTTACGGTAGTTACAATAAAATGTCATAAAACACATACAAGATATCAAGGTGTTAGCCTCTACGCAAATACTTGTCAAAGTTCTTTAATTCACAGGCAATCATTTCTAATTCTTCTTTACTGGGATGATCTTGATTGGCTTTAAACACACGAGCGATCTACAAACTCCAACTAACTATAATCGATAATTGAAATAACTTACCGTTGGAATGTATTTTGGACCTGGAGAAGACAAAATCCAATTTAAAAGGTTTGTGGCGATCGGCACGTATTGATTTTCTTCGTGCAGAAGGCTTGAGATGACTTGGAGAAACTTAAATTCACTTATCACTACTAGTTTAGAAAAGCAAACTTTATCCTCCGGAAGTTGGCGACGATTATAAAACAAGTGAAGAGATATCCGCATAATGGCAGCAGCAACGAGTGAAGGATTATTATTCATCAGAGGTGCTTGGGCCACTGCGATATATGCCAATCCCTTAACTGTCGCCCATCCATTTTTTTTCTCACTTTCACTCATGACATCATTCATCAATAACTAAAAACATACTTTAGAAAAGCTGTCCAAAGTATCGAAAAAGCTTACCCAAAAAATACGGAGAAAGTGCAACACGTGTTTGCGCGAAATGGCGAAGTCAAAAAAATTCAGAAGCTAAAACATTTTTCCAGTCACCATAAAAGATAAAAGGAAGGTCAACCTGAGATTCCCATTGATTAATTTTGTCTTCTTGGCACTGTAGTTTATCATTGCAAACCATAGACTTAAGACGACCGCACTAAAAAATTGTTTGAAACATTAATATGATAAGTTATACCATTTCATATTCATATTCGGGACCGAGTTCGAATCTTCCAGCAACCTTCACAGCTGCCACCATAACAACGCGGTTTTGCACATCCGACATTTCAGAAATGCTTTGGTCGATCTAAAAAGTTTTTATTAGGTAAAAAAATATCATAAACTAACCATTAGTGCTTTATCTAACAGATGAACTGCCAAAAAATATGATTCATTTGGTAGCCTGACCACGCAAGAGATCCAAAAAATCCAATCAACCATTTGAGCTCGTTTAATCTCAGGAAAGTGAGAAGCAACATTTTCACATGGCATCTAAAAGGGCAGTTTTGGGTTTTTTTTCAACAAAGACTCCTGTTAAATATCCATAAAATATCCTTCAAAGAGAACAACGCATATTTATTTGCAGCTTTTAGTTTAGAAATCAATCTAGCATTTTCTAATTCTTATTTATTTTACCCAATAAGTAATTTAAGAATAAAGTAAGTACCTGGTTGTGAAGAAAATAGTTTATAATGTCGAACGCGTAATCTTTTCCACCAACATCTGCAAGTTCTAGCGGCAAACCAGCCCGAGAGGAAAATTGAACAAGCTAAATTCATAGTAAATGTAAGTTACTATGTAGTAGGGCACTTACTCGATTCTCATCAATTTGTGCAACGAGATCTTCGAGCTTTTTGTTTATTTCATTGACACTTAGATGGCAGAGGTTGGCAGCCATTGAACGTGTGCGTATCCCATAGTTTGCTCGTAGTCCATTTCCTATTTCTTTCGCAGCGACAGAAATAGATAGAACCGCCGATTCGTCTAAAATGAAAATGTAGAAAAAAACTAGCACCCTTAGCACAACGAATAGCCGTACAATACCTGATGTGAGATGAGCTTGAAACAAAGCTTCTTCGATGCGCCTTCGATCATTCTTCTCAACGTGGCATGTGGGGAAAGAATCCAGCGACTGTCGAGCTGATCGGCGGGCAGATCGAACTTTTCTTGAAATGCTAAATAGTAAATGCTAACAGTTAGGGAGAGCAAGTGAAAAATATACCTACCTCTGAACGACGGCGCTTCTCTCAGATCCAAACTCAAGAAGCGATAATCGTCGAAACTTCGAACTCAAGCCTTCAATATCACGATCCGTTGCAACTAAAATGAAAGTACTCATGCTGTTTGGTCCTTCTCGTTGCAATTTTGAAGGAAGAGAATTGGTACTAGTAGGCTGTCTAGAAGGTCTTTTCGTTCTTCCGTTTAAAACAACAAATGCACCAATTGAGCTACGCTTTGTTTCATTAGAAAGGCCAATTATTTTTCTGCAAAATAACATTAAAACAGGTTTAAAATGCCTTATGTCTGAATTTTTTGGGAGCGTGAAGTCGGGTAGTCAAAAAGGACGACGACTTGATGATGCGGTTTAGACACTTTAGCTAAGAAAACCTATCTTGGTGTCAATAGATGTAAGATAGTGACCTCACTATAGCCATATAGCCAAATTTTCAGAGAAATTACATCAGCCAATTTCTTCGTAGAATTTCCTTACGAAAAACACGTCTTCACTCCCAAATTTGTTTGAAAGTGAACCCAAATTGACTTCAAAAGATGGGAAATTAAACAATAAATATTTTTTACTAAGAGAAAACCATAGGTTAATTGGTGAATTTGTTATTTTTCAACGAAAGTATGAAAAGGAACGAAAAGACATTCACTAACCTAATACAAACCTGGTGTTTTAAATTAAGCTTGAGTATAGTTTTCAAATATAGGCCATTAGCAGCTTTAGCGTTGTTTTATAGTCTAGTATGTTAATGACTGAAACGTTGATAGAAAAACTGAGTAGCGGTTTTTCGATTTATTTCTATACATTAAGCCTGCAGCTACTAGTGATCTATATTTGCAAACTATACTCTAGCTTAATTTAAAAAACGAGTTTGTACTACACTCAGCGGCATGTCATCTAGGCTGTCCTTCGCTAAAGTGTCTAAACCGCATCAAACCGTCGCCCTTTTTGCCGACCCGACTTCACGCTCCCAAAAATCTATAGATAAGACATTTTGGTACTATCCTAGTTGGGGGGGGGGGGGACTTTTTTTTTTCAAAACCAATTTTTATGCGTAGATTCCGAAAAACACAACGAGAGTTTGGGAAAAGGCGTTTTAAGCCGAGTTTTGGGGGCTTCAAAGGGCGCGCTCATACAGTGTGATGAGAGGGATACACATAGGGAAGAGGTCTAAAAAATGGTCTCTCAAAACATTTTTCGAAGCCAAAAACACTTCTTCTGACATAATTCCACCTACCGTTTACGTTTCTGATCAAAATGGAGCAAAATAAAATTTTTTTCCAAATTTCGACCATGTGGTCGAAATTTCAATTTAATTTAGAAAATGAATATTTAGTGGTTAAAAATGGTTTTGGCTCTAGTTTTGACCTTGAAAAGTGCCCCAATAGTCGATAGCTTGGGTTCCATATAGTGAAGTACACTATAGAAGCGCGCACTTTGGAGCCCCGAAACTCGGCTTAAAACGGCTTTTCCGAAGCTCTTATTGTGTTTTTGGAATCTACGCATCAAGCTACCCCAGAAAAGGTGGTTTTGAAGAAAAAAAGTGCCTTCGTCCCAACTAGTACCGAAATTTTAAACCCGTTTTAATGTTATTTTGCACAAAAATAATTGACATTTCTAATGAAACAAACCGTAGCTCAATTGGTGCATTTGTTGGTTTTAAACGGAAGTACGAAAAGGAAAAAAAAAAACTTCAGTAACCTAATACCTAACCCAGCTAAATGTCATCTAGGCAAACTACGTACATTTTAGAACTAGGCAACTGAAGATAAGTGCTTACCTAGCAAGTAGAAATGTTAGATGCAAAAAAAACAAACCACGCTTTCGAATCCCAACTCCAGCGTTCACCTTGACATGTTGTTGAGCAGCGATCCCATCCATCTTTTGCAATTGAGCAGCAAGAAACGAGTGAAAACACGACTAAAGATAAAAAATAGTTAAGTAGATAAAATTCTTGAGTAAAGAAGCACACTTCAAAAGAATGTTTAGAATAGAGCCTAAAGGTGGATTGCATTTGCGGTCAAAAGTAGCTATTGCTGCTAGTTAAAACTGGTGGTTGTTGTGGTGTCAAAGTGAATATTTTGGGCAGGCAAATTTTCGATATTCTCTCACTTTTTCTCGATTTCGTGACTTTCCTATACATGAAATTTCTGAGCCACCATGAGATTTTTGCCATAAAATTAAAACTTTCTACCGGCACCGTGGTTTCATATTAGAGTTAATATATTTAATATACAAACTAAGATTTTTAGCCAAACACTCTATTCATCTACATTAGATGATAATCTGCCGTACATAAGAGATTTTCAACTCTCCTTTTTTAAAGAAGTGTCCCGTTTTTTCAAGGGAACGCTGATCAATAAAGCGTATGGTTTAAATTTGTAGTTATCCTAATAGTGTTTATCATGCACCACGATGCCGACAGAAAGTTTTAATTTTACGGTAAAAATCTCATGGTGGTGGCCCATATGGTGGTGGTAGACATGGTGGCTCAGAAATGGCACCACAACATTGGCACCACAACAACCACCAAGAGCCACTAGAAATTCAGAAAAATCGCGCTGAACTGAGTTTTTTTGGAACACCCTGTATAAAAATTTAAAGTTGCACGTATTACACTTGCTAAAATTGAATAAAAAGTGAATGGCCACACAACATTAACTTTCCGAACCATAAAACATGAACCAAAAAGATGAACCATGAGTCACGAAATTTACTAAATGCCCAGAAATAATAAAAAAAACAGATGCTACTACACTTAGGTGGCATTTTGTACTAGTTACGATGACTGGGTACCTAAGTTTTCTTGAAGCTTTAATAGATTAGATCAAAATCAGATTTTAAACCATAACTTTCTCATGAGTGAACCTATCTTTATGATTTTATTATTTTTAATTTTTTGTTCCTGTTGAGGGCAGCAAAATGATACTAAAATCATGAGGATTGACCCACTCAGAAGAAAGTTATGGTGAGTTGGGCAAAAAAAAATTTTTAGTACAACCTGTTTTTTCTCCCAGCTTTATTCACGATTTTTGCGATATTGAGATACTCAGTTAATAGCTTGCCTAAATCTTTTAATGCCTAAATAATTAAGTAAATTAAAAGATTTAGGCAAGCTATTAACTGAATATCTCAATATCGCAAAAATCGTCGTATAATATCATGTGTTTACGGGTTTTGTAAAGTTCATGCGTTCATACTTCATGCGCTTAACCCCCGCCCCCGATACTGTAAATAAACCCTATTTTATCCAAGAAAAAGTTTAAAACCTACGAAGGCAAAGTGCGAAATGCCATTCAAGCCTCTCGCTCGGATCCAAATATTCACGAATAGATCTAGATATGCTGCAATATTAAAGGATTAAGTGTCTACTTATATTCATACAAATATAGGGCCTGCGCTATTCCAGTAGAATAGCGACGCAAACTTCCAAAATGAATTGATGATGAACTGGAAAGTGAAGCTTTCCGGGTACCGTTTTGGGCGTCTTTCCATGTCGTTTTGCATCATCATGTTTTTCTTCAGCAGACACCGCCATATTCTCCTGATTGCATTCCGATTGAATATTTGTGGGTCCATGTAAAACGATGATATCGATTTACCTCAAAAGACGAGCTTTGGAATAAAGTACAAGAAATTTGGAAGTCGGTCCCAGTGCCAACGCTCGAGAAATTCGTTGAAAGCATGCCGAAATGAATGGAGGCGATTATTAAAGCCCGAGATAGCCCAACAAGATATTTAATTCTTCTTTTTTCGACAGGGGCCCAATACTTTTTTCCACCGGTTTTTGCAAATATTGTGTACATATATTTCTTTCTCGTTAAATAAACTTTGCAATTCAAAACTTTTTATAACATTACGAAGCTTAGCTCTTCTAGTTTCTAGAAATTTAGGACGGATTCATTGGTTTTTCATTGACGGGTACTGTCGCCCAAAGATTCTTCCAAACGGTGATCTTCTTTGAAGCTTTCCCCTCACTGTCTAAAGGAAAAAATACATCAAAACAGTTATCTAACAGAACAACTTAAAACCACCAAGACCAAAAACTCACATGGCAAGAGATGTTCCGTGTCTCGTTCCTTGTCTACCGCCGTTGTCTCGGTTTTATTTGATCGCATTTTGACTTACTAGAGGAAAAATAAGACGTTACTTTACTCCTGAAAACCATATTCACGAAAAGCTCCATTTTCTACCAAAAATTCAACTAATTTCAGCCAAAAATGTAATAAAAGTGTAAACTTTTAAAACTTTATTGAATAATAACAAATAAAATGGAACAAATCAATGACAAACTCTCCAAAGAAGCAGAAATCAGTTGTCGCAATCATTTTCTTCCGAATCCTTGTCGCTCCAATCGAAGATTTCTGGCTTGTAAGACAATCCTGGTGGCCCGAATTGGTATTCTTAAACTAAACATAAAAGTTGCTCAAAACACTCACTTCCTCCCACAGCAGTCATCGTCGAGATTCTAGCGGGCATTCCACCACAGCGGTCAGCGTTGAGTTTCCGGCCCGCACTCCTCCCACGGCGGTCATCGTCGATTTCTGCGCTGGTGCCCCTCTAGGCAATGAACCTAAAGTTAGCCATTATCAAACAAAAAAGTAGATCGCAATAAAAGAAAGTAAAACTCACCGCCAACTTGCACATAGGCCCAACCCATGGGCATGCAAGTTGAGGTGGAGACTTGAGACCGGAGTCGGTTCAGGAAAACTACAATAGAAATTCTTCCGCAGCACTCGGATCTCTCGGACTGCTTTCGCTTTTTGAAATTTAACCTTTTCTTTGTCTTTTTTCCATTTGGCTGCAAACAATTTATTTAATAATCTTAAAACTGCAAAAATACAAACGAGAAATTTTGAGCGTAACAATCATAAAACTTAGGGAAATATTAAAAATACAAAAAACAGGGACAACATGTACATAAAACCTAGATTAGCAGCAAGCTTTCGACATCAATTATTTTCCGCAGCTTCGTTCAGCTCGAATGTTGAGTCGATCTCAAATATAATCATTAAATTTGGCGAATAAAAGAGTTTTCGTGTCATATTTATAGTATTGCTTAAAGTTTGAAAACTAACTCACATCACTCATCCTCTGACAGTCGCTATCTGCATCCATTGACTCTGACAATAAACGAGTTTGACTCGCTAAAGCCAAGTGATAAAAATAAAAGTAAAGCTCACCGTGTGGTAGAGTAAGATTTTTGGTAGAGTTCAACAACGCTGAAAAGCTTTGCGATGTTTCCTAGAAACAAAACGGTTTTATTAAGAGGTTTTGTTATTTTCGCACCTCTTTTTCAACGATGCGCTCAATCAGATGTTGTTGGAAAGCGTTTCTATTATCCTGCACTTGGGCACTAGCTCGCATAAGGTCGGTTTTTGCATCCAAAAGTTGCTTCAAAAGCTGCGAGTTTTCTTCCTAAAACAAACAAAATAAATTTTTGTACTACAAATCTTTACCTCAACAACAAGTCGAGCTCGGATTTCGCCTTGCATCAGTTTCTGTAAGTTCGTAGACTGCTCTTCAGCATTCTTGCGCGCAATTTCTTCAACCTAATAATTTTTATAAGTTAAGAGTAAAGTCTGGAAAAACGCCCTACTCGTAAGCGGGCTTCCCTGGCATCTCGATAAATTTCGTGCGCTTGTCGCTGATCCTCGAGCTGCTTTTTCATTGCCTCATACTCCAAATGATCAGGCTCTACCTAAATAATAGTAAGTCATCCAGCATAAAGTTTAAAAAACTACGACATTTTGAATTGTTGTCGAATTACTGGTCGATTGATGAACAGCTAGAGTGGCGGCCTCTTCGGGGTAAGTAGTCTTCTCCTTCACCGGTGCAAGCGTAGGAGTTGGTGCAGCAATTTCGGGTTGAGGTGCCTGAATGGAAGCAAAATTAGAAAGCCAAGGTCAAAATTTTGTAAAGATTAATCCACCTGTTCCTCTTCGTCGTCTTCTTCCTTGATTGGTCCACAAAGCCCCGGGATCTAAAGAATACGTAAAGAAATAATGCAAAAAAAAACCTCGTGAAGCCACTCTTCTGGAAAGAAGACAATTTCGTAAACTTCGGGGTTGAAAGTGACTTTCCGTTTTTCTTGCTGAGACGTGGAAGGACCAGGTAAAGAAGCCTAAAAAATTGTTTTTCCTTTAATTTTTAAATGATCACATCATTTTCCGTGGATTCAATTGCAGCAACGTTAGGATTCATATCTTCATCGCAGGGTAGATTTTTGAATCTACGCAATGAATTCGAATTCATCTCCCCGAGAAAAAGAATCTAAAACTTTCAAATGAATAGAGAACTAATGAAAAAATAGTACCGATCCATCACTGTTATCCGAAGAGATATTCATTTCAGAGTTTGAGTCACTGCTTGTCACTCGGATCTCTTCGCCAGAAAAACTCTCAAATAGAGACTGTGCGTCGGCAGAACTCTAAAATGAACACTGAGCGGTTTTCATATTAAAATGAAAACTACATTTGATGACATCGATGAATAGTCGGAGATTTCTTTTTCCTGGACATGCTCATAAAACTTAACACGAAGATTTTTTCGTTCAAGTGGTGGCGACTCCTAAAATTTTTAAATGTATCTAAATGCGTCAAACTACCTCAGCTGTAGAATAGTGTGTAGCGGTGGTGTCAGACAAAAGCTGAAATAGCAAATTGAGTTTATAGCAATAATGAATGAAATATGTTTATAAAGAGAAAACGGCTAACCGCAGTAGAATTTAATGATGGACTATGGCTGAACTCCATTTCCTGGGTTTCATCGGCTTCTTTGTCCTTTTCAATCACTTTGTTACCATCCAACTGCAAGCTCTGAGTCATTGCTATTAAAATTCTACAAAAACGCGCTTACTTTGACAAAGTCAATTGTCCCAACGCCGGCAATACTAACCTCGGGTTTTTTGCAAGCGACCTAAAAAGGCATAGTTAAAATTGTGTTCAGACGATAAAATTTATCGCGTATGGTTAAGTCATAAAAATTTAAAAATACCTTTAGAGGACTGCCACCAGTCAAGATTTCATCATTCTTCCCCGGTTTATCCAAACTTGTCGTCTTTCGCTTTTGCATCTAAAAAGACAAAAAAAAAACATTAAATGACACTTGAAAATTTTTAACCAATACACCTATCACTTGATGTAAACGTACCGGTGGCTTTTCTTCGTCGCTCTGTCGTCGACTCGATGTCCCGTTTATTTCCTCCATCGATATCTAAAATAAAACGTTTGGAAATAATATTAAAGTACGAAAGAGGAGCTGAGTATAAAAAAAAAGCAATTGACGTAAAATTTGTCTATTTTGTCTAGAAGTCGGTGAGATTCAGGCTAAGTTGAACTTTACGGTTCAAAGTCAAAATACATTCAAAACCAGTTTTAATGCTTTACTATGCCGGTACTTTTCCAATATCGGGGGAGCGAAAGGAAAATCGGGGGAGCAAATTTTGCCCCCTCGAAAAATGCATTTCCGGGACTGTATTTTAACTGCAACGTTTTTTTAAACTTTAACGACGTTGAGGTTCTCCGACATTTGTGCGTTCAAGGAATCAACGGCAATCGATTATTTCGTCACCAAAGGAGTCATCCAGTCGTGGATTTGCAACTGTGGCGAATCAATGAAAGTCCGCTCAAAGGGAAAAGATCCATTTCGCTGGGTGTTAGATATTTAAGTCACTTTCGTGATCTAATATAAAGGTTGTGAGAATAACGGGTAATTCGCGGATTTTATGGCGGTAGTTTGTATAATATAGGACATATGTAGCGCTGCCAAAGTTTGCTCCCCCAATTTTCCTTTCGCTCCCCCGATATTGGAAAAGTACCACTATGCCTAGTTAGGCACAAAAAACAAAAATGATAGGGGAAAAATATTTAAACCAAAAAATTCGACTTTTAAGTTTGACCTTCTGGACCGTAAATTTCAATTTAGCCAGTAATTGTCTTGGATCAATTGCTTATCAAGTTCGAAAGCATTAATGATGCAAAAGTGACGCACGCAGTGAGGCAAAATCCCCAAAGGCAAGCTGGTACGATCCAAGAGCCAACTGTGGTCAAAAGCTTGACGAGGAAGCAGAAATTGTTTCAAGTGAAGAAATAATTTAACCGCACAACTGAATATTTCTTCAAGTATAAAATTTCCAATTTTGCAAACAGTAAATTACCATTTAAGCGCTAAATAAAAAGCACGAGCTCTTGATCGAGGTATCATTAATTTACTTTTGCTGCCCGTCTGCCCAATGCTTCGTTTGAAAGGATTCGATCGCCTTTTGCAGATTTTGCCGCTTGTTTGTTTTATTACTTTTCATTAATTTCGTTAAATTTATGTTTTTTTTGTACAAATTTCTCTATTTAGACTCGAAAGTCAGCTAGCGTTCGGCCATTAGATGTTACTCGATCAATTGCTACGACAACTCGCTTCCAGACAGTGAAGAATGGAAACGACACAAAGGCAACGGACAAGGTTGGGATTAATATTTATGGGTTTTGCTTTTTGATTGGCTCTTATTTTTACCTTAGAAGAAACCCGACGGTGTCACTGGATCGACGAAAAATGCTTTGAAAGTTCCTCTACACGCTCCATGTAAGCTATTTTCTTAGAATCTTGTAGAGACTACAGCTATATGATTGATTTACCGGTATTATCAACCTTTTTAGCCATTTCAACCGCTGACGTTGTAACACCCAAAGATCAACAAGAATGGAATCGACACAAAGGCAACGGACAAGGTTGGGATTAAAAAATAATTAATAAAACAAGTGCCACCAAAAGAAAAGAAACAAGCTGCCGAAAGTTGCACCGCTCCTAAATCGAAGATGTCAAAGGTCACTTTTGGGAACCCTTTTTCATTTAGAATATTCATATATTTTCATATATTCATATTTTCGTTCATATATTTATTTTAGAGTGAGCTCCACAAAGCGAGTTCCTCAAAGTCAGTGCCGCCTTCCGAACAACCAGCACAGAAGTCATCAAAAGCTACCGCACCTTCGATTACACCACATGAAGAGTAGCGTTTGCATTTTATGAAAAAGTTTTACGTTTATTTTAGTGCCAAAGCATCCTCGAAGAAAGTCAAAAAGACAAAGGACAAAGTGGATGAAGCGATCAAGTCGTACAAGGATAAGAAAATTTCTGAAGGATCGGAGAAGCCCAGCAAAAAAGGATCACAAAAATCGACCAAGGACAAGGGAAAGAAAAATGCTGAATCGCAGCCATCCAAAGAATCGAAAAAGAGCGGCAAGGTGGGGTTTGATTTACCCTAGATTTACGGATAAAAGATTTAAAGGAGCAGAATCTAAAGTTATGATCCTACACATTCATTCCTTGACCAAAAATTGTTTTTCTTTTCAGCCAAAGAAGTCCAAAATGCGCAACGAGCATGCACCAAAGGAAGAGAAGTGACGTGTTTAAACACCTGAATCATTTCCGCATTACAACGACTAAAAATTATTTCTTCTAAATTTTTTGTCACTTTCTTTGTCAATAAACTTGTCTGGGTGGGGGTAAAATGAGCGAAATAAATATTTGCTTCAAAAATAACACAGAAGTTAAGTGTATTGGGGAAACTTAAAGTGCCCGGATCTATATACCACTGATTATGCTCTCCTTAAATTGAGCAAATGCATATCTTACTTTAAGTTTTTTTTGTCGATACGTGTCGTCACTCTCGTCTCTGTACCGATAAAGAGACTGAGATCTTTTTTTTTTCTTGAAAAGAAATCGAAAACACAAGAAACACACCCACAGAAATGATCGGGCGCTCGTTCTCCCCACCGTTTTTCGATTGAAACCCCCATTTTCAACGTTTCTCTCAAAGTTCTCGCCAAACAACTTTTCGCGGATTTTCCGTAACCCGATAAAGTTACACTTTAAAAAAATACCATCGCATATTTTTGCTAAAATGATTTTACTGTTACTTTCATTTGCTTTATCGATCACCATGGCACAATGGTAAGTCGGTTTTTAAAGATTTATGCATTTTCCTTTTAAAATTACCCCAGGATGCCGCCACCACAGCGATGGGGCATGTGGCAAAGCTTTTCATCCAATAAATTGAAATTCTTCAGTTACTTGCTTATCTTTTCAGTTGCCATAGTTGGGCTGGTGGAATAATTACTTATTGGACTTTTTGAAAACAAACTTTCCAGGGGTCCACCACCGCCGTGGTGGCGAGGTGGCTTTGGAAGACCTTGGCATCATCGACATCATCACGGACCATGGGGGTAAGAATTGATTACAGAACACAAAAATGTATACCTAGATACGATACCTAGTTTTGAATAGAGTTTATTCCTTTTAGCGTACGTTTTCTAAGGCATGTAAACTTTCGAAAACTATAGTAACCTAGAAAACAACAGTAATCTTGGCAAAGCTTGTCGGTAGATTTAGCTTTGTTTTAGATCCTCTATATTCTTTCCTACTATCAGAAGAACTGTATTTCAGACCATGGGGCCCTCCGCCACCGGGCTGGCGCGGTGGGATGGGTGGAAAGATGGGCATGCGAGGAATGGATGGGATGAATGGGATGAATGGGATGAACGGGATGAATGGAAGAGATGGTAAAGACTTCTAATAACTTTCAACACCACAACGTCTCAGTTCCGTAAGATCCCAAAAGCCTAATTCTAATAGTAAGGCTGAAATTTGACCCATTGTCTAATTGAAAGAGAGTTCTGCACAAGTTTTATCGTACCAACCCAGTTTTTTCACTTATTTTTTCTAAATTTTCTAGGTAATCGAGGCATGGGTGGATTCGATGAGAGTCAGATGAACAACCAGGGAAACAATGCCGGACAACAGACGAGTTTTCAAAAAGATCGGCAATTTGGTGGAGGAGAAAACCAAGGCGGACAGCAACAAATGAACTGGGGCAATCAATGGAATAACGGCGGTGGACAAGAACAGGCAAGTGTCGAAGAAAACCCATATGAGAGCTGATTGTCAAGTAAAATTTCAGCCAAACGTTCAACAATGGAATAATAATCAACAGTCACAGCCGTCTCCTCCAATGGAAAGACCGATGTCGACGGTTGGTTTAGGGAAAAATTTCTCACTGACTATATTCTTGGGTGCTGTGTGCTGGATCTAATTATGAGGATAATTTCAAAGGACAAAGTACTAGATTGCTATGCCACATAGTTGAGCCCGCTGGTATTGGTTTATCTTTTGGTTTAGCTTGACTAAATTCAAGATTATAGGGTCGATTTGACTCAAGAGGACCGCCGGGACTCGATCAAGGTTTCGATCTATCAAATCCTATCACAATTAGAGTTTTAAATGAAAAATCAAATTTGAATAAGATAAGTTTTATAAATTAAAATCCAGATAGCTATTTGGAACCAAAATACTCGATCATTTTCAGCCCCACCCCCACCTCCACCCACTCCACCGCCACCACCAACAATCCCTGCTGTAAGCTTTAGAAACTTTATCAAGAAAAGCAAATATCGTATTTTTCATCATCATATAACACTCTCTAATAGTAATTGAAAAAGTAGACTGAATTATTGTTAAAGTAGCAAAAAAAGTGCTCTAATAACACAGAAACAGGTTGAAAGTATTAGGTTGGAAAAGAAAATTCTCGGAAAAGTTTGCAGTGATTCAAAATCTAAAGTGATTTCTCAAAAATCAAACCATAGATTCTTCCCAGATTTTTTTAATAAACTTGACTATATTTCAAAAAGTTTTTCACAAAAAAATAAGTGATTTCTTCAGCTGAAGTGACTTGATCACTTTTTGAGTGACCAGCCTTTAGACAGGTTTTTAATGGGTTAATGAATAGGCAAAAGGGGCCCCTTCAAAGCCTAAAATGAAGCACTTAAAATAGGGAAAATTTGTGATTAAGGCACATTTAATCTAATGCTTTAAATTTTCAGAATCACCTATTTTAGCAAACACTCAGTGCCAAGAAGATGACACAAAAAAAAAATGATTTTTTGAAATACAGCCTCTGTAAAATCTTTTTTTTTTAGATTCTCTATAATCTCTATTTATCATAAATGCTCTATAATCTGCTCTATAAAAAAAAGAGATTATAGATGCTCATTTATGCTAGCTTTACCATATAAGAAATGGTTTTTCTCGTGCAAAAAATTGAGCTGAAAGCTTAAGCCGAAAGGAAAATAATAAGCTTTCAAAAATCTCTAAAATTTTAACGAAAAGTTACGCTCAAGTATTTTTTACGAGTAATTTCTTGGAGTCGACTTGTAAATCATAGAACAAAATCTTCTTGAATTGGTGGATTCATTCTTCAAGAAATTCCAGTCAAACTTTTTCCGAGAACTTTTCCTTCCAACCTAATAGTATGACGCCATATTATTATATTAAACAGAATCTTAAGTATTTATCTATAAGTATCTATCTTAAGCCTATAAAATCTCAAAAAAAAGATCAATCTTTTCAGTCATTCACGGTGAGATCCGGCTTCACTCCACCCCCGCAAGCGTCCGTTCCCGAGATTCCCCCACCACCCGGAAAATAAACTCTAAAGAAAATTCACTGTGCAATATGAATAAACGATTTCAAATTTCTTGTGTTTTTGTGTTTTTGCGTTTTTGCGTTTTTTGTGCTTTTGCGTTTTTTGTGTGTGAGATTCACAAACGCATAGTTACGATTGCGTAGCTCATAAACCGTAAATACCAAAAGTTTAATTGAAATCAGGGATAGAAACACTTGAAAAGATGTTACGCTTAAAAAAGTGCTACTGGGTTTTCCAGCGTTATTCTTTTTTAAGTTATGACTTTTTGTTTTGTGCATTTAACCCACCCAACAAGTACTACCGTAAATACTGTAATAGTACCCCACCCCCCTCGTACAGTCGTGTAATCGCAAAAGTTTTTTAGTATTTTTTTTTAAAGCGCCCGTACTTTCAAAAAATGCGTCTTTGGTATCAAAAAATAGCTGAAATTCAGGGCTATTTTTTGATACCTAAGCGCACATTGTAGCATAAACCAGTGTCGAGTTAATTGTTAAACCAGTTAATTGAAATCAGGGATAGAAACACTTGAAAAGATGTTACGTTTAAAAACGTGCTACTGGGTTTTCCAGCGTTATTCTTTTTTAAGTTATGACTTTTTGTTTTGTGCATTTAACCCACCCAAGAAGTACTACCGTAAATACTGTAATAGTACCCCAGCCCCATAATGACGGTGCGGAGTGTTGCGTAGTCTAGCTTTGAACGAGCTTTTCTCGACACTGGTTTAGGCTACAATGCGCGCTTAGGTAGCAAAAAATAGCCCTGAATTTCAGCTATTTTTTGATACCAAAGACGCATTTTTTGAAAGTACGGGCGCTTCGAAAAAAAGAAATACTAAAAACTTTTGTGACTACGCGACTGTACGAGGGGGATAAGGTACTATTACAGTATTCACGGTAAATATTGTCTACAGGGTGAAGCACAATGATGGAAACTCGGTTTTTCGACTATAATTCGACGCTCAATTATTTTCAATTCCCCTAATTTCATATTTATATGAAATTTCAAGTTATTTTCTACGGTCAATTTCAATTTTTAGTTGAGAAATGCAGTGTTACGCTTTTTATCGTACTTCAAAGTTCAGTGGTGCCAACCTCTCGGCAGAATCATCATTTTCGATAGTTTTCAACTCTCAAGAATTCCCCACAAATCAACCAATTCTTTTTTTCTAACTGTTAACTTTTTTTGTCACAAAATATTGAGATATTTCTAGTAAACTAGAAATTTTTAATTCAAATCTCAATTTCCGTTGGGTTTTTCTTTTTCCGGGATTTCCTTTTCGAATGCAAATAACGCTCACAAATTTCTGAGTCGTATTTGGAAACAAGGAATGGGAAAAAAATGGACCGAAAAGAGAAAGACGAATATCATCATCACAAAGTCGAAAAGTATACACATCTTGGGGAAGAAGCTTCAAGGAAATCCTTGTTCTGCAAAAAGATATTTTGCAAAATTTCTTGAATCAGTTTCTCGACTAAAGCATTTTCTAAAATATGCCAACTCCTCGAAACTACTGTAATCTTGTTCCTTTTTATCTAATCTATCAATTTTTGCTCTGATTCTGTGAGGGTTCACAAAGGATATCGAAAGATTTAAAAAGTAGATACCGTATTTTCTCTAATAATAGTGCACCCCGGCGAGCCGAGTTGGTGACGATTTTACGGCTTCCAAAGTTCTCGCAGAAGCTCAACACTCTAATCCCCCACTAGATCTCATCGTCAGCTACATTTTCCGACCCCACATCGATAGGTTCTGATAAGCGGTTCTCGAGATTTCGAGGAATTTAGGCGACGCTCATGGTGCGCTACTATTAGAGAAAATACGGTAGATTGAAAAAGAAATAGAGACAAGATTTCGATAGTTGAGACACGTTTTAGAAAAGCTGCAAAGTTAGTGAAAGTTTTATTTTGTTTCCTCCGATCTACTTATTTATTTACAAAGTTCAAACGGGTTTTCTTTTTCCTTTCCCATCCATTTCCCCAAAGACAAAAAAAGCATTACTTATGCAGACGTGGAGGTCCCCTTTTGGTGGCTGTGAAAGTCCTCTGTCCTCATCAACGCTCTCCTCATTCACTTCTACTTTTTTTACTCTTCTATAAAACCCAAGAAAAGATTTTGTTTTTGGTTGAAAGCCATTATCTATAAAAGTTATTTTGATAAAAGATCTATCTACAGCTTTACCCAATAGCAAATTGTACGACAGATTACTGTAGCTTTGGTTTCCAGTTTTGTAATTTTTGGAAGAAAAAGCTTCAGAGCTTCAGCGTCTTATTGTTGAGTTCTGGTCTGTAAAATTTTAACATCCATTTGTAGAGTTAAATGAACCCCCAAAACATGGCTCTTTTCACTTGGATGTCAAAGGCTAAATTCTATTTTGCACTTGATTCTGTCGCATTTTTGTCGCCTTCTTGTCGCATTTTTTTTCGATTCCGTCACATTTTTCTTCAACTTTGTGCCAAAATTGGGGGTGGGACAAATGCTACCTTTTTTTTGCGCACCTGGACATTTGCGCACCTAGACATTTGCGCACCTTTTTTTTTTGCTGGAAAAGGCCGTAGAGCTTCGAAAATATTTCATATAAGGGAATCGTATGCGTAGATTCAGAATTTTGACAAATCAGACCTCGCTGACACGTCAAATTTGGGCTAAAAAGCAAAAACTGCGGAAAGCGTTAAGTTGCGTAGTTTTTGCCTTTTAGCCCAAATTTGACGTGTCAGCGAGGTCTGATTTGTCAAAATTCTGAATCTACGCATACGATTTCCTTCTATGAAAATTTTTTGACATTTTTGAAGCTCTACGACCTTTCCTAAGGCCTTTTCCAGCAAAAAAGGTGCGCAAATGTCCAGGTGCGCAAAAAAAAGGTCGCATTTGTCCCACCCCCCATTCTAGCTACACCAAATCTACTAAGATATGTTCTTTGGGTAAATGATAAAGATACTGTAAAACTTCTTTGCATATAGTATGCTGGGATAAAAGCATTAGCAACTGGATACTTTTTTGTTTCGGTACAGTGAGACAGTAGTGAGACAAAATGGACTAGCATTTCCAGTTTTAGTATAAGACAATTGCTTTTCTATTTGGCGCACATTTATCGTGGTTACGGTAGAGCGTCTTTCGCAACATTAACGATAAATCTTATAAATTTATCGGTCTCTGTCAGCAAACGACACCTTCGCAAACGATTTTGCTTTGTAAATGGTCGAAAAAAGCTATTCAGCTGTAAATTTGTAGCCAGGCGTTTTCGGGATCGGGCAATCGATTGGAGCTAATCATTCTATTACTATTTGCGACTATTTGCGGCGATTTGAGCTATTTGAGCAAAGGAGTCATAGAATATTCCATAAACACCATAAAAACGATCGCGTAAAAAACTCAGATCTTTTTGAGTGATGCTTTGATGTATTTTTTTGCACGTGATAGTCTATGTAAAATGAGATGAGGGAAAAAGAACTGAAACATTGAAAGGAGAAGAGACACTAATTGGCAAGTCAAAGCGGCCTCTCTTGTGGCCTCTCTTGATCTCCCCTCCTCTCATCATTTTAGAATATTCCCCTCTCTCCATTTTACGTCATTTTCATCTCTTTTATAATTTAAAAGCGAAAAGTTTTTCCATTTATTCCTTTCAATTTTGTTTTATTCTTTTTTAGAATCTTTATACGACTGACGATGATTATCATGAGCTAGATAAAGTTGGCTTTTCAACAATTAAACCTACGTCAATCTATTGTAAAAACTAAATTGAGTTTAAAAGTTATGTAAATCTGATAGCGTATCCTAGAAATTCAATTTTTTTGTGTTAACTTTTTTGTGTTTTTGTGTTTTTGTGTTTTTGCGTTTTTGCGTTTTTTGTGCTTTTGCGTTTTTTGTGTGTGAGATTCACAAACGCATAGTTACGATTGCGTAGCTCATAAACCGTAAATACCAAAAGTTTAATTGAAATCAGGGATAGAAACACTTGAAAAGATGTTACGCTTAAAAAAGTGCTACTGGGTTTTCCAGCGTTATTCTTTTTTAAGTTATGACTTTTTGTTTTGTGCATTTAACCCACCCAACAAGTACTACCGTAAATACTGTAATAGTACCCCAGCCCCCCTCGTACAGTCGTGTAATCGCAAAAGTTTTTTAGTATTTTTTTTTAAAGCGCCCGTACTTTCAAAAAATGCGTCTTTGGTATCAAAAAATAGCTGAAATTCAGGGCTATTTTTTGATACCTAAGCGCACATTGTAGCATAAAACAGTGTCGAGAAAAACGCGTCCAAAGCTAGACTACGCAACGCTCCGCACCGTCATTATGGGGGTGGGGTACTATTACAGTATTTACGGTAGGTATTCCCAGGGTCATTTGAAATCATCTATCTTGTCAGAATAGTACTTTTAGTCTTTCCGTTTTGGTAAAACTCTAAAAAACTAATGATCTTTTTTACTTGCTCACTGTTTTGCCATATCAATTTACAGTAATTTCATTCTCGTTTTCATTTGCTTTAACAACATTTTATAACATTACAACAACTGGAATCGATCTCAAATAGAAAATTAAAGTTTAGATTTCGTCAAAAATATTCAAAGATTTCCATGAGAGGGTGTTTGATTCGCCAATTTTGCCTTATCGTCGCGTGTTTTCTCTTCGAAACCCTCGCTCTTGAATGTATTTTATCGAAAACGCTGAACGGTCGCTCGATTACCAATAAAACATATGTGAGTTGAAATCGAACTAGGAAATGGCTGCTTATCATGCAAACACTATAAAAGGTATCTTGAAAAGAAGATATTATCAATCTTCAGGATCAACTGATGATTTGCCCTGATTGGTGCGCGGTGGCTTTCTCGAAGACCGCAGAGGGACTCGAGGTTTCACAAGGATGCGGGAATCGCTGTGATGTTAGTTATTGTTTAGTTTTAGACCTTAAAAGGCTTAAAAGGCTTAAAAATTGCTAACAATAAATCAAAATAAGGTTTTGAATTAAGAGTTCGCTCATTTGTAGAGACAAAAATCTCTTTTTAACAAAAAAAATCGTTTTTGTTTGAATTGTTAATTCGAGGCTTTAATGGGAAGAATCAATAGATGCAATCAACTGAAATTTGCCCAAAAATTCACATAAAATCGTGTCGATTTCGATTTAAAATCAGCTGAGAATTGAGCAAAGTGATTCAATCAATCAATAGCTTGAAGTTGAATTAAGTTTTACTAGAGTTTTTAAGGCATACAGGCTATAAGGCGTCACAGAGCCAGTTTTTTGTTGGATGACCATTTTTTGTCTCTTACTATTTGCAAAAAACCCGATTATGCGATAGTTTCCTTTTTTATTCGAAAAAAATCGTTTGCTTAGAGCTTTTGACTTGTTGGTCAATGCTTGTTGATGTTAACAAGCTTCCTAAATCAAGTAGATCAAACTCACAAAAAACCCAAAGCTTTTGGCTTTCAATCGCCTTGGTTTGATGGCTTTCAATCGCCTTGGTTTGATGGCTTTCAATAGCTTTGGTTTGATGGCTTTCAATAGCCTTGGTTTGATGGCTTTCAATAGCTTTGGTATGATGGCTTTCAATAGCCTTGGTTTGATGGCTTTCAATTCTTTGGTTTGAAATTCCAACTAATTTAGCTTAAAACCTTGGCTTTTTCTTGGCTTAGCCTGGAACTTACGAAAAATTGCAAATATGATATGATTTGAGCAAATATGATTCTGATCCAAATAGCAAATATGATCCAAATATGATTTGGCTTTTTTTTGCTAACCTTAATCAAAAGGAGAAGATTTTCCAGACGTATGGCACAATGCAAATCGTCGAGTCTCGGAGTCAGATCTCTCAGCGTTGCTGTAACACGAATCGATGCAATGTTTTCACCTATACCGCTTCTTCAAATCTCTCCACATTTTCTCTAACCTTAATTTTTATCATGACCAAATTTTTCTGAATCTCCGACATTTTCCTTTTACTTTACAAGTGCCTTGTTGATTGTGTAAAGATTTTTCTTTAGCCAAAACGCTTTTTAAAAGAGAGTCCTTACTATACATTTCGGTGTCCGCCCCTTGTCCCCCTAGTTTTCCCCCTTGCCAGAGGCATTTTGGATCTTTCTCGGCACAGGTTTTATCAATTTGGCTCTTTTTGGTCTCATGCGATGCGTTTATCTGTCCTCTATCCAATGAAATCAAAAACAGCCAAATTGATAAATCCTGCGTCGAGAAAAATCCAAAATGCCTCTGGCAAGGGGGAAACCTAGGGGGACAAGGGGCGGACACCGAAATGTATAATCGTTACTCGTAATGCGTTTTTAAAACGTAAACAAGAAAAATTACCGTAGCGAAAATCATTGCAAAAAAATTGGCACGGAAAAACACGAGCGCCAGTCAGCTACATGTACTTCTTTTAAAGATATTCAGCGGTTTAACTGATTTGGTGGGAAAATGTCGTCAAATGTAAAGATATTCAATTGACTCGACGTGCAAAGAGGATTGCCTCGTAGTTACCCAGCAATTTCCTGTCAAATGTAAAGATATTCAATTGACTCGACGTGTAAAGAGGATTGCCTCGTAGTTACTCGATCAAAAAACGTCAATTAACGTCGATTACTCATGTAAATTTTACTTGAGTAATTACTTACTCACAAGAAACACACTCTAATCACAAAAAAAAGCTTGTGTTTGCAAAAAAAGACATACCGTAAATACTGTAATAGTACCCCACCCCCATAATAACGGTGCGGAGTGTTGCGTAGTCTAGCTTTGAACGCGTTTTACTCAACACTGCTTTATGCTACAATGTGCGCTTAGGTATCAAAAGATAGCTGAAATTCAGAGCTATTTTTTGATATCAAAGTCGAATTTTTCAAAAGTATGGGCGCTTTGAGATACGAATTGAAATGAAATACGAAAAAACTTTTGCGGCTACGTGACTTTACGAGGCGGTGGGGTACAGTATTTATTTATTACAGTATTTACGGTAAATTCTTATCTAATCAAAAACAGGAAAATGAGTAGCCCGTAGAAGAATGAATATGGGAAGTTGACTGTTTTCCTCCCAACACATTCACGACAAAACCATTTTTGACTTGGCTGCCGTTTTGAACGATATTTTGGAGCTGTGCTTTTTTGTAAACCTAAAAACTTTGCAATCTGGGACTTTCGAGGATAACAAAATTCGAATACGTTGTTTCTTTTTGAGGAACTTTAATTTCCGAGCGATCATCACAAAACTCGCTAAAAATAAATAAAAATAATAATGATTTGATCTGTCTTCGCACTTAGCGCAGATCACAACCCGCTTCCACATTTACTGAGGCAGAAGTGTAGTTGTCGTAGCCGATGATACTCCGATGGCCGGGCTGGGGCGCTCGGAGGGGAGCCCATGGGAGTCGAACCCACGACTAACCCGCGCCGACGTTGCTCAACTTGGCAGATCGGACGGGGTCGACCACAGACCCTTCCCTTTCTGGGCCCCCACTCGCTAAAAATTTGGGTAATTAAACCAAAATGGAGGAAAAAGAGCGAAATTCTCCGCATTTTTCTCCGATATCTTTAAAGATCGTACGCCAGAAGGCGCACGATTATGCAAATATGAAAATTGTCATGTTTTTATAATCGCGCGCTTTCTGGCACACTGTCCTGGATTGTAAATGTAAAAATGTTGCACTTGGGTAGTTAAACCGGATGAAATATCGAAAAATCGCAGCTTTCTTTAAAAACTGATGACAGATTCGAATTCCTCACCCTTGAAAATCCCTGATTTCAAATTTTCAGCTCAATCGGCCTTAAAAAAAGTACTAAATTTGTATAGAACCCACCGGTGGGCCATATTGTCATGAATGTGCTAGTAAAATGTTTTCTAAAAGATCCTAACGTAATTCTTCAATAGAGAAAAGCTACTGTAACCGATTTTCTTTGGGGAAAGCTACCGTAACCCTTTTTCTTTAGAAACATCCTTTTCTTTTCTGTAATCCTTTTCAGGGGAAGTTACCTAGAGGTAGAGTAGGAAATAGCTTTTACCAAAGCGGATCTTTTAGATCTTTCAGAAAACACTTTAGTTCAAGGAATTATTTGGAATTATCATCTAGAATCATCTAGAATCATCTAAAATCATCTAGAAAGATCTAGAAACATCTAGAAACATCTAGAATCACCTAGAAACATCTAGAAACATCTAGAAACATCTAGAATCATCTAGAAACATCTAGAAACATCTAGAATCATCTAGAAACATCTAGAATCATCTAGAAACATCTAGAATCATCTAGAATCATCTAGAATCATCTAGAATACTCCAAAAAGAAAAGAAAAAGGAAAACAGAGATTGATCACTATGAAAGCTTCTAGATAAGCACAAAAAATGATGAGAAATTTGATCAATGTATGTACAAAACTCCAAAAATCTCTACAAATTCTTGTCCCTCTCGAGGCATTCGAAGACGGCGTTTCTGAAAATGTCTTAAATAATTAAATTAACGATTACAGATTAACGATTAACGATTAACGATTAGTTGTATACAAAAATAGAGACTGTATCAAATTGTAAGTTGTTCAAAGTATTGCGTTACCAAATCCTTCAGATGTCTTACTTGTAACTTATTCGACTTGAATCAGTGCTTTAAAATGCACCCAGACTACCGTACTCTATCACCTAAAATAGTAAACAAGTGGATACAACTAAAGATAAAGCAAAAAAATCAAATAATTTAAAGCTAAAGCAACACTGATTTAAGATAGGGCACACTTTAGAGTATCGGAGTTAGGAAGTTAGGAAGTTAGGAAGTTAGGAAGTTGGGAAGTTGGGAAGTTGGTCTGCAACTTTGGAAGTCTGCAACTTTGCAACTTTGCAGGCTTGCCTTTCTATTCCTTTTATAAAGCAAGACTTATACTTTCAAAAATCTGATACACTCAATTCTTAATGTATTTTCACTGTTTGACACTCGAATCTCCTTTAAATAAAACCCTCAACCCCACCCAACTCACCTCAATAATCGATACGTCCTTGTCAGCTCACCCATTCCCGTTTTCAATCCATTGCTCACATAAGCGATCACAATCTGAAATCAAAAAAGCAAAATCGATTCTCAAACCTTAAAAGTGCAATTTTATCCTTAAACATTAGCAAAATTTTCAAATAGAATCTTCGCTTTCTAGATAGAATTTCAAATAGAATCTTCGCTTTTCTCACCTCCTCCTCGGGATCCATCATCACCGTGCTTCCACCGTAACCCGGATGCCCGACTAGCCAGCGTCGCTGAAAATTTTCATCTTAATATTTGGATCTTTTAACTGGATATTTCTAAAGGATCATAATTACCCGGGATCGCTTAGCTAAAAGCCAAAAGCAAAAGTACAGCTTAGCCAAAAGCAAAAGTACAGCTTAGCCAAAAGCAAAAGTACAGCTTAGCCAAAAGCAAATGGATCTCTCTGCTTTTTTTTCATAGGTAACTTTTGACTAGGTTTTCTGTAGCCCAATAATAAGTCGATTGGAGCAAGCACCATTTTTATATAGGCTTTAAAAGTTGAGAGTCGCACTTTCGTTGGCACGCAATGACTTTTGGGATTGCACGCGCTACACTTGCCGTGAAATATTTCAATTTTTCTTGAAAGAAACGTATTAACGAAAAACATGTCATGTAAAATTTGCTTTAAAGTTTTAAGAATCATGAGTCATGAAGATAAAATCTGAATGACATGATTCTGAAATTTACCCTTAAATGCCAAAGCTTAAAGCTGCTCAGGAATTGGATAAAGTGATTGCCATTCTTTAAAAAGAATGGCAATCACTTTATCCAATATCCAAGCACCTAGTTACTAGTTTTAAAATTTAACGCCATTTATTCAAAAATTAGTGAAAGTCTTATCTGATTTAGCCAAAAATGAACTTTTCTAAAAAAGCTTTTAAGATGTGTTGCTGCTGTCTGAGTCTGCTATCGTTGCTGTCAACGAAAGTGCGACTCTCAACTTTGAAAGCCTATAGAAAAATTGTGTGTGCTCCAATTGACTTAATATTGAGCACTGCTACAGAAAATCTAGTCAAAAAAAATTTACTTATGAAAAAAAATGAGAGATTCGTTTGGTTTTAGGAGATTTTAGCTGAGCTGGACTTTTAGAAGCGATCTGTGACGGTAATTATGACGCATCCTGACGCAGCCAACAGTCGCATCAACTTTTTAGCTTTTCTGATTGCTTTTCCATGATTTACCCCATCAACTGGATGTCTCTCGTAAAGGAATCCGTGTCCTTTCGGCAATGGCACCATCACCACTTCATCGATCCCCGAAGCGACTGTTGGCTCGGCGAATCTTTGCAACAAGTCCTGAAATTTTAAATAGAGTCTTGCTTTGCTAGGATTATAGTGTCTTGGAGTAATGCTCTTTAGTTTTTACTGCCTCATAAGAAACCCAGTGAGGCTAATGGCAGGGTTTGTGGGGGTGTTTTTGTTCTTGTTCTTGGTCTTGTTCTTGGTCTTGTTCTAGTTCTAGTTCTAGTTCTAGTTCTTGTTCTTGTTCTAGTTCTTGGTCTAGTTCTAGTTCTTGTTCTTGTTCTAGTTCTAGTTCTAGTTCTAGTTCTAGTTTTTGTTCTTGTTCTTGTTCTAGTTCTTGTTCTAGTTCTAGTTCTTGTTCTTGTTCTAGTTCTTGGTCTAGTATCTACCAATTTTTAGTGAAAAAGTCCCGTTGACAACCCAATACTTTGAATAGCTAGTTATAAAAGAAAACTGTTTTATCTATAATTGTTAAACAAACCTTTCCAACAATTTGCCCGCTCAAAAACAAGGAGAAAAGCTTCGCAAGATCGCGCGCTTTCGTGATCCCCAACGCGGCGGCTTGCTCGATTTGGTGCAACTCGGGAGCGTTGAAAGTGTTCACTTCCTGAAATTAGCCTTTACAGGTTACTGCATGAATACTTGATACAGTATTTTCCATTAGACTAACAGTAGATTTCTTATTAAAGAATCTTTAGTGACCCAGCTACAGTACACCAAAGTAATTCCACAGTTTTACCCAGTGCTACAAATCCTATAGTTAGTTTCTTTCGAACGTTTTATATGTATGCAAATATATGCCAATATTTTACATTTTTCTATGCCCAGCTACAGTATGTCAAGAAGACTTTCAAAGCATGACTAAGTCTATAAATAGCTCACTTGCTCCAGCTTAAACTATGCCCAGCTACAGAATTTCAAGAAGACTTTCAAAGCATGACTAAGGCTATAAAAGCCACTCCCAGCAAACTATGCCCAGCTACAGGATTTCAAGAAGACTTTCAAAGCATGACTAAGTCTATAAATAGCTCACTTGCTCCAGCTTAAACTATGCCCAGCTACAGGATTTCAAGAAGACTTTCAAAGCATGACTAAGTCTATAAATAGCTCACTTGCTCCAGCTTAAACCATTGCGGATTCTCGCGCACTTTTCTCGCAATCGAGCCTGGTGGTCGCAGGTGGAAAATCGCCAAAACGATCAGCACCTAGAATAAGAGTAAAATCAAATTTTCAACAATTTAAGTATATAGCTATATTCTAACAAACCCTCGGATCATGCAAAATCTCTTTCAACAAATGGGCGGTGCTGGGCAGGGAAAGACGAGAAACTGTGTGCTCTTCGCTTGCCGGCAAACCCAAATGAAAGTCGATTCCTTAAGATGGGTATTATTATAGTCAAGTAATCAAGTCAACGAACCGTATTTCGTGGAGATCTCCTCCCGGAAGAATTGCCCGATTCCCCGGTGTTTCGGATCGCCTCGTCGCACCAATTGATCCACCAACCAGCCGTAAGTGATCGCGTGATATCTGAAAGCGATTTGAAATTGATAAAGCTGATAAAGCTGATATTGATTGATAAAGATAAAGCTAAATTGACAAAGCTGAGTCTGCGTCTTCTAAAAGATCGATATTTTGAAAAGTTACCGTAATTTTCTTTTTCAGACAAACGTCTAAAGACTATCAGAAGTTTTATTTTCAAAACGATAACTTTCTGGCTTCTATAAAAGTCAATAAAACAAACTAATCAAGATCGTTTACCGTATTTTCTCTAATAGTAGTGCACCATGAGCGTCGCCTAAATTCCTCGAAATCTCGAGAACCGCTTGTCAGAACCTATCGATGTGGGGTCGGAAAATGTAGCTGATGATGAGATCTAGTGGGGGATTTGAGTGTTGAGCTTCTGCAAAAGCTTGGAAACCCGTAAAATCGTCACCAACTCGGCTCGCCGCGGTGCACTACTATTAGAGAAAATACGGTAGTTAAATCTATCCTTTACCGAATCAATCACCCAAGTCCAATCCATTTCCACTCACCCATGCTTTGTCCCCGGCTCCCAATTGGGCACTTGTCTAGCGATGATGCCAGCCATTTTCTCGTGATCTTGAGCAATCTCCAAGTCGATTGGCTCATCAAAAGCTGCTAGTCCAGCCTAGTTTTTGAACTTATCAAGGTCAAAATTCGCTTAGGCTATAAAAGCTTTATTGTAAAACGAATTCTAAAGCACAAAAAGCAAAGTTACAAACCTTGTGACTCATAATCCAATCGACCGTAATATTCTCTTTTCCATTTTGCCCAAACTCAGGCCAAAAATCGACGACACGATCCTCGTAACGGAGATGGCCACGATCGACGAGAAGCGCTACGCAAAGAGCGCCAACTGCCTGAATAGATTTTGATGTTAATCAAGTTAGTGCCAAATCGAAGTCAGATAAACTGTTCTAATGCTTGTAGTTATTGTCTACGGTGTCTCGAAAGTTTAGAGTATTGTCACCTTTTTTTTTTGCGGTTAGCCAATTCAGCTTTAAGATAATAAAAAAACTATTCAAAGTTGGATATTCTTAAAATTTTTGGTATTATAGCAAGTTTCTGTGTTAAATTTAAAGCTTTTTAAATAAAGAACAAGTCAAGTTATGCTTTTTAAGTAAAGAACAATTCAACAATCAATAGTCAATTTATCAAAAGCAATACTATTTTCAAAAGCAATACTATTCTATTACTAAATTTCATGTTAACTAACTGGTCAGTAACTAAAAAGGGGAATTGGGGGTCAGAACGGGGACTAGAGCTTCAAAAAGATGAACTCTAGCAATTGAATTTAATTGTTTTATGAGGCTTTGATACCGAATGATACTAAAAAGAGATACTAAAAAAAGCTTAAACTTAAACTAAAGCTTACACGCAAAACTTCTAGCTCTAAAAAGTTAGCAAATCGTAAACGGATTTCAAGTTTTTTTTTGTGTTTTTTCACTCAAATTAGCTTGTGTACTCGATACTAATCGTTTTGTTTTTCGGAAATATATTAGATATTAATTATTTGTATTACTAGATTACTATATATTCGTTATTTGTATTACTTAATATTATCTAGATGAAAATCCCAGAAATCGTTGAGTTTAAAGTCTAAAAAACGGGCATTCTCGAGAAATTCCATCAAATTTGAATCAAATTGGAATGCTTTAAAAGTGTTAAAGGCATTCATCCCGACCCCCTTTTTTCTGGTCTCTTTGAATTCGGCTCTCTACGGGGCGCCAGAAGGGCGCCTCCAGAAGGGCGCCTTTTCTCATGCGCCAACCTTCCGTTTCCTCTAAAAGCTCCCACAATTTCTTTTTTAACCGAGTTATTTAAATTCTGGAACATTTTACCCCCTCATGTTCGTGATATTCCCTGGCTAGGGGAATATCACGAATTTAAAGGCTAGATTTAAAGCCGCAATTTCGGGGCACGAATTTATTAGGTTGTCCCATAAAAAATTGCCGTTTTTCAAAAATTTTTATTTTTAACACAAAATAAAAAGTAACAACCTAGATCAAAAAATATATTTTCCATGATTATCATAGACATTTAACGAACGTTTTGGTAACTTTGCAAGTCCACACTTGTAAAAATCGGGTCGGCGTAAAAGAAAGTAACCCTCCAATTCGTCCTTGAGGTCACCTTGGTTGTTGAATTGCTTGCCTCGAAAGAAATCCTTTAGCGACAAAAATAAATAGTAATCAGATGAAGCAATATCCGGGCTATAAGTGGCATATGAAAGTACATTCCAGTGCAAATTGTTTTCCATAAAATCCTTCGATTTCCTCGATTTGTGGGGATGAGCGTTGTCTTCACAAAAACGGGACCATTCCATTCATTCTGATAGACCAATCGGAGATTTTTCTGCTCAACTTGTTGCATATGACGTCTATAAACATCACTGTGAAAAGTTTGACCCTTCTGGAGTGGCTCCCAAAAAAGTATGCCAGAGGAACACCAATGGGCACACAGAAATCGCTTATTCCCATGAGTATTTCGTTTTTCCGCCACTTTTCCCAATCGACCTTTCTTTAACCATTGTCGTTTCAACACTCGACGATCATAGAATATCCACGATTGATCATGAGTCACTATATTGAAAAGAGGAAGCCGACCGCGTCGATATTCGTCCAGTAGTTGACGGCATGACCGCGCTCTTTGGCCCTTGATCGAATTTTTCAAATGATAGGGAATTTACCGCTGTTTCAACCACTTTCTTCCGGTTTTTTTGAGCCAACGCCATACTGTCATCCTTCAGCAATAGCTTTGTGCCAAAATCCGAGTCGATCCTTCGGGATTTTGCTGAAGTCGGCGCCTCAACGTCTGTCGATTCACTTTTCTGGGACGACCGCTTCCTCGCTTTCGTGTGAGCCGGTTGTCACCTTTTCGGAACTTCCGAAACCACCATCGTGTAGTCCTTTCCTTGACGATTGTTGGCCCATAAAAAGAATTGATTTCTCTCGCTGCTTTGGCCGCGGAAATCCTCTTCAAATACCGTTGATGGATTATTGATGGATTTCTTCACGAGACAGCGCCATGTGATCGATCTAAAAAAGAAAATTTAGCACATAAAACTAGAATTGTAAAATAGTATAATAAAAAAAAGAGAAAGAAAAAGTGTTAATTTGTCGCTAAATACGAATCAAATGAAAAAAACGGCAATTTTTTATGGGACAACCTAATAAAGGCACCTTGGCTAGATTTAAAGCCGCAATTTCGGCAATTGATTTGACTGCTCTGTGATTCTTTCTTGAGGTATCTATTTATCTTTTGGGTGTGTTTTCAGTGGTGTCCCGGGTAATTATTGTGCTTTTTTTGTCGCTATTCAACTGAATAAAGCATATATACAGTGGCGGACATAAACTTATCACACCCCAAAATAATTTCTTATTTCTCCTCTAACTTTTTTTCTAAACAACCCTTTGAGCTAAAAGTTGGTTTAGACACGTAAAAACAAACATATTTTAATATTTTAAGTCAAAAAACTAAATATCTCTGATGAAAAACTTTTTTTGAACTTTTTTATTATAAACTCGAACGACATTGACTTATCACACCTCATAAAAACAACACAAAAAGCTATTAAAAACTACCCAAAAACAACGGCTGATAAATCAAAACGGGAACAAAAACTTAATACTTCGTTGGGAATCCTTTTGAAGCAATCAGTGCAGCACACCGACGTTGCATGGATTCGATGAGTGTGTCTAGTGTGGCTTGAGGGATCTCGGTCCATTTCTTGACCAATAAGTCGAATTTCTCTTGAGCATTTTTAGTCTTATACCCTTTGCAACTCCTCTCAAGCACATCCCACAGGTGTTCGATTGGGTTGAGATCCGGACTTTGACTGGGCCAGTCCATCACTTGCCGCCCTTGTTGGGTGAACCATTGAGTGACGCGGCGTGCTTAGGATCGTTGTCTTGCTGGTATATGAAGTTTGGAGGCATGAACCGAGTAGCAGACGGTAACATATGGTTCTGTAAGATATCCAAGTAGACAAATTGATCCATGATCCCGTCGATTCGTTTCCGCGCCACCAATCCGCGAGCCGAAAAGCCACCCCAAATAGTCACACTTCCGCCCCCATATTTAACAGCCGGTAAAATATTTTCGGGTCGAATCTTTTATTGGGAGGACGTCTCACATATTGAATTCCATCACTTCCAAACAAGTTGAACTTGGACTCGTCGCTGAAAAGCACATTTTGCCCTGTTGTAGTCCATTTAACGTGGTCCTTGGCGAACTTCACTCGACGCTTCCGATTCTTTGCGGAAATGAGCGGTTTGTGAGCAGGACGACGACCAAATCGGTTGGCATGTTTTAGGCGCCGTTGGACTGTCCGTGGAGAGATCGAATCCTTAACGTTTCTTGGCAACTCCGCATGAATGTCGACCGCCGTCTTGAATGGGTCCGCCTTGGAGAGCTCGAGAATCCGATTGTCGTCTCGTTGAGTGGTTTTTCGTAAGGCTCCCTTATTCTTTTTGCTTCGAGCGATCCCGTCCGACAGTGTAGAGCCAAAATTTTGTTGACCGTGGTCCGTCGTTCCCAAAACACTCCCAATTTCTTTCTGACTCTTCTGTTGGCGGTGAAGACGAAGAACGTCCTCCTTTTCTCCAACGAATTTGCTTCTTTCCCATATACCTAGAAAGAGTTTTAATGAGATTAGATTCAAAAGTCGGAAAAAAACCCAAAATAAAAACGAAATTTTAATGTTTTGTGTTGTTTTTATGAGGTGTGATAAGTCAATGTCGTTCGAGTTTATAATAAAAAAGTTCAAAAAAAGTTTTTCATCAGAGATATTTAGTTTTTTGACTTAAATTTAAAATATGTTTGTTTTTCGTGTCTAAACCAACTTTTGCTCAAGGGTTGTTTAGAAAAAGTTAGAGGAGAAATAAGAATTTTTGGGGTGTGTAGTTTTGTCCGCCACTGTATATATAAATTTCTAGATCGAAATCTTATCTAGATTTCGAGAATTTCTTAAATCGTTTTTCAAAAAGTTTTCTCTGGGCCTGAAAAACGATAGCTTCTTTATTTCCTTTTATTCTTTATTTATTTATATTTATTATATTTATATTTTTATCATACCTTCGTTGTGCTGAAGACGACGGTCCTTGTGTCGGGATTCCATTTCCTCCCAGCCGATCGATCCATCCAACCACCAGATAAGTCAACCACCAATTCTCCCTGAAAACCCATTCATCTAGATATCTAGATATTCAGATGGATATCTAGATGGATGGATATCTAGATATTCATCTAGATATGTTCAATTACAGAATGACTTAGGTTAGGACATCAAATCTTTTATCAATATTTATTTGTTATCATTTTTCATCAAAGAATGGTGAGTTTTTTTTGAAAAGCAATTAAAAACAGGGTGGAATTGGAAAATGCCTTTGAAAAAAGGACGCTTTAGGGAAAAATGGGAAATTTTTGATGGCTAGAACTAGAATTGGCTAGAATTTGTAGAAAAAGCAATCAAATTTAACCAAATCAAACTAATGTATCTAGCGATGATCGCTGAATTATCTAGATTCTAAAACTATCTATGAGACATCTTTTGCCTTAAATTTGATTGTTTTTTTCAACTACCGTAAATACTGTAATAGTACCCCACTCCCATAATGACGGTGCGGAGCGTTGCGTAGTCTAGCTTTGAACGAGTTTTACTCGACACTAGTTTATGCTACAATGCGCGCTTAGATATCAAAAAATAGCCCTGAATTTCAGCTATTTTTTGATACCTAAGCGCGCATTTTTTGAAAGTACGGGCCCTTTAAAAAAAATGAAATACTAAAAAACTTTTGCGACTACGCGACTGTACGAGGGGGGTGGGGGACTATTACAGTATTTACGGTAACTTTAGATCATCCTTTTCTTTTTTAAGTCATCCATGAATTTGAAGGAATCTTGTAATTGAATAGAGCCATATTTTCTAATAAATACGAAATGTTTTTAATCAACTTATGTTGATTAAAATCAACCCCACCTTATGATAGACAGCAATCGACGCTCCCTCACGTTCCCAACCATCGTGAAAGTTTTTCCTGAAAGCGAGAGGGTTGAAAAGTTTTTGCGCATAATATTTTCTTATGTATAAATCGAATTTATAAAGGCTAAGAAGTTGTTAAGAAGCACTTTTCAATTCTTTTAAAAGTCACGATTATAATTATCTAATGTAACTTTTTGCTCTATCTTATGATGGCTTACATGCCTTCAGATAGTTAATGACATTTATGGTAACATAGTTCAGCCCAATCCAATCCAATGAGCTGACTAGAGTGGCATTGTCAGTCCATGAACTGGCCTAGTTACCTATTGAGTTATCTATTGAGTTACCTATTGAGTTACCTATTGAGTTACCTATTGAGTTACCTATTAAGTTATCTATTGATTACCTATTGAGTTATCTATTGAGTTACCTATTGAGTTACCTATTAAGTTACCTATTGAGTTACCTATTGAGCTTTTATGAACCCGATTCTCAAGTCTAATGTCTAATATAAATTTCCCAATAACCAATTTCATTGACAGAAGCAAGATCATAGATTTTCCATCAATCTTTTTTCTTCCTCTTTTCAATCATAAGGCGTAAAAAGTCATAAGAGCCTTTGCTACATTCATTTTCACTTGCCAGCAAAAAAAAGAGAAATCTTAGAGAACTCTTGAGAGAAAGAAAAGCCGAATGTCTTCTTTCCTTTCTCTTTTCCAGGTTCAAGGTTTTCCCCTCATTTTTCCAATTTTCCAAAGAAAATAATGCGTTATTCTTTTCCCTAACAATGACAGAAAATTACTTTTTTTGTGGAGGTTAACTAGAGGAATGGTTAAAGATTCTGGCATGAAAAATGCTCAAAAAAAACATTTAGATAAAAAGCCAACATCGCAAAAATGCAATAATTACCATAAATTTTGGGATAAACTTGTACAAAGCTGGTGCTAGTTCCTAGAAAGAGATTTTGTTGACTAGAAAGAGATTTTGTTGACTAGAAAGAGATTTTGTTGACTAGAAAAGAGATTTGTTGACTAGAAAAGAGATTTTGTTGAGGTCTAGTCTCGTATTCTCGTCTAGATTAAAAGAATTAATGTAGCTTTTCGTTTTTTGAAAACTTTAAACAACTGATTCCCAATTAATTCTTGAAAACTTTGCCAAATGTAAGGCAAAAAAAGAAAAAAATAACAGGTGCGCAGTAATTTTTGTGTAGTCTTTTCTCGGCACCACAACCAGTTTCCCTACCTCAATCAGTTCCCTCGTTTTTACCTCATTTTTCATGTAAAATTGACAATTTACCGTCAATGAAAAATACAATGACAGGAAAAGGACTTTTTTGTGGAGGTGAACTAGAGGAAGGGTCAAAGGAAAACTCTAGAACTTGTACGAATGGGAAAATGGGATTCTGGCATGAAAAATGCTCAAAAAAACATTTAGATAAAAAGCCAACATCGCAAAAATGCAATAATTACCAAAAATTTTGGGATAAACTTGTACAAAGCTGGTGCTAGTTCCTAGAAAGAGATTTTGTTGACTAGAAAAGAGATTTTGTTGACTAGAAAAGAGATTTGTTGACTAGAAAAGAGATTTTGTTGAGAGACTAGGTCTAGTCTCGTATTCCATCATTGTGCGCCACTCTTTACATCCACTACCGTAAATACTGTAATAGTACCGTTTCCATCATTGTGCTTCACCCTGTAGACAATATTTACCGTAAATACTGTAATAGTAACCCACCCCCCTCGTACAGTCGCGTAATCGCAAAAGTTTTTTAGTATTTCATTTTTTTTCAAAGCGCCCGTACTTTCAAACAATGCGTCTTTGGTATCAAAAAATAGCCCTGAATTTCAGCTATTTTTTGATACCTCAACGCGCATTGTAGCATAAACCAGTGTCGAGAAAAACTCGTTCAAAGCTAGACTACGCAACACTCCGCACCGTCATTATGGGGGTGGGGTACTATTACAGTATTTACGGTAGGTCTAGTCTCGTATTCTCGTCTAGATTAAAAGAATTAATGTAGCTTTTCGTTTTTTGAAAGCTTTAAACAACTAATCCCCAATCAATTCTTGAAAACTTTGCCAAATGTAAGTGCAAAAAAAGAAAAAAATAACAGGTGAGCAGCAATTTTTATGTAGTCTTTTCTCGGCACCACAACCAGTTTCCCCACCGCACTCAGCTCCCTCATCTTTGACCTCATTTTCCATGTAAAATTGACAATTTAGCGTCAAAATTTATCGCATAAACGGTAATTTTTGAGGGAAAACTCAATTATGTTTTCTTTAAAAGCCTTTCAAAAGTGTTTATTTCGAAATTTCGAAAATTTGACTTTTAATCTTTAAGTCAAAATCATTTCTCGATTTCTTTTTTTCCAAAATTCACCTGAAAATCTTCTCGACCTTGTCGAATTTCGGAATCACAAAGCCGTGCAAATTGTCGAGTGGCATACCGCCTAAAAGGAAATTCAATAATTTTGACGATTTGCTAAAGTGGAATTGCTTTCTATTTCGCACTAAAAATTTGATCGGGAAATGAGTTGAGAAGAAATATTTTCAATTTATCTAGCTAAATCTCAAATCAATCTCAAATCAATTTCAAATCAATTTCAAATCAATTCCAAATCAATTCCAAATCAATCTCAAACCAATTCCAAACCAATCTCAAACCAATCTCAAACCAATCTCAAATTAATCTCAAATCAATCTCAAATCAATTCCAAATCAATTCCAAATCAACCTCAAATCAATTTCAAATCAATTTCAAATCAATTTCAAATCAATTTCAAATCAATCTCAAACCAATTCCAAACCAATCTCAAATCAAATCCATTTCAACATGTGAAAAGCTTTGCTTGAGGAGTCGACAAAAGTTTGACAATAGAGAATCGTTTGCTCAAATGATTCTCTATTGTCGGTGAAATTTTCAATGAGATTTGAGTGAGATCCTTTACAAATTTCTTCATAATTGAGTATCTCGACAAGAAAAATCTTCTACTTTAAGGATTGTTTTTAGTCTAAAAAGAAATATTTTGAAGTAAATTTCTCTAGTGGAGAGTTACTGATTTCGTTTTTTGTTTTTTTTTGTTAGTCTTCTATTTTTAAAATTTCTAAAGAGATCTAAAGGGAAAAATGACTCAAAAAGCTTAATGAAGATATTTTAAAGTAAAGCTTTTTAAAAAATGCTATTTCTAAAGATTGAAAGTAGACAGAAGAAAGGGAAAAAGGGAAAATCTCTGAATGTAGGTCCTGTAAATAATAAACCGGAAAAAAGGTATTGCTTATATTATATTGATTATTATATTGATTATTATATTGATTATTATATTGATTATTATATTGGTTATTATATTGATTATTATATTGATTATTATATTCTATTATTATATTTCTCTAAATTTGGTTCGCTATCTCTTTAAATTTGGTTCCCTATCTGACTAAATTTGGTTCCATTATTATTCTATTCTATTATTCTATTCTATTATTCTATTCTATTATTCTATTTTATTATTCTATTTTATTATTCTATTTTATTATTCTATTTTATTATTCTATTTTATTATTCTATTTTATTATTCTATTTTATTATTCTATTTTATTATTCTATTTTATTATTATATTCTATTATTATATTCTATTGTTATACTCTATTATTATATTCTATTATTATATTCTATTATTATATTCTATTATTATATATTATATTATACCAGCGGAAAACGCCCACTAATGTCCACGTTTTCCACGCAATCTAAGCCCCGCCCCTTTTTGCCAATGGCTGGGGACAGACAAATAGACGGACAGACGTCTCTTCCCTTAATAGTGCTTTAGATATTATATTATATTATATTATATATATTAATATATTATATTATATTATATTATATTTATATATATATTAAATATTAAATATTATTATTATAGTATATTATATTATATTATATTATATTATATTATATTATATTATATTATTCTATCATATTATTATCTCATATTATTATCTCATATATTATATTATTATATTCATTTTTAAAGTTACTAAACAACTAGACATTGGAATATTATCGAGTAAGAACAATGGAAAAGATTAAATCAAAAAAAGAGAGAAATGAGGAAAAGTCGACAATGAATGAAAATACGAGGGTTTCTCTCGATCGAATGGAGGCAAAGTGGGAGGAGTTCGAGAAAAGAAAAAAAAGAGAAAGAATGAAAAGAGATGAGAGAAGAATGGCATTTTTAGATAGATAGCTTCGATAAAGTTTATACAGTTAAAAGCTTTTTAAAAGTTGATTCTCAAGTTGGCTTTAACGTTCTCTTTAACTGAATACCTTTAAGCCATTTTTTTCCGGTATCGGACATTTCATACGCGCTCCGACCCTTTCCCATTAGCAATCCAACTTTAAACTCAAATATCTTGGTGTTGGACTGTGCGATTTAAATATTCTTGGTATCATTAGATGCGCCAAGTCTTTCTCTGTCGATTGGTAGAAAAACTATTTAAAATGAATAGCCCAAAGCCAAGATATTTGAGTTCCAAGTTGGATTGTCGATGGGAAAGGGAGCGGGACGCAAATCAAATGTCCGATAACCTTTTTTCCACTTGACTAACCTGTGATTCCGTCGACGAGGTGCGTCAAGAGTATCGTCGGAATGAAAAGACAAACCGACCACCAAACGATCCAACGAGCCGCGCGGTTTTTCGGCAAACAGCTCAGCCACGCTTTCCAGAGCCAAGTTCTAAAAGGTGTTACTCTTTTTTTTTTAGGGAACCAGCACAACTTTCTGTTTTTTCTAATTCACACACAAAACTCCAAAGCCTATTTGTTGTTTTGTGAGTTCATTTTCTGAACTTCATATCAACACTGTAGCTACATGAAGCTTCAAATTCAAATCCAATTCTCACCTAAGCCACGATGCCTCGTTCATCGCACTCGTAAAAGCTGAAAATAATAAGGGATTTAAATAGAAATTCAAAAATACTAACGAACACAAAAAAGGTTAACACTCAAATAATTGTCATGGTTACAAATGGGGAAATTTGGAAAAGAGGAAAAAGAGTTCAAAAGAAAAAAGGAAAAAGAACGAGCCAACACAAATAAAGAGAAAATGACAATTGAGTAAATATATGAGGAAAATGTGGGTGAGGGTGAACTGGGAAAAGAAAATGAACTTAAAAGAAGGCACAAGAAGGCTGATCGCTCATCGGGATCATTGGAAAACAAAGTTTAAATGAGTGAGTGAAGGGAAGGGTTCAATTGGATCTCATAGTTCAAGACAAACGCGAGAATAAACTCACTCAGAACTCTTGATCCCAAATAGCCATTTAATTTTACTTTTGCAAGATCTTGTTCTTTCTACATCGTGCTCTAACTACAGTATCCACTTTTAGATACAGTAATCCTTAAGTAACTTCTGAAGTTTGAAATGAAAAGAAAAGGTTAAGGGCTAATGAATCCATTCCGAAAGCTTTCGTAATCTTTTTCTATTTTGCACTTAATGTTATCAAAAATCAACATTCTACCGTAATATCACTAGCAACCCTAGAGAAGATTCTAGTGGTACGGTAGGGCTAACCAGGGTTTAAAGCTACCGTAATATCGTCGTCTTTTAAAAATTAAGCTTGGATGTCGTTTAATGGTAGAAAACTGGTTAATCAAAAGAGTTTTTGCAAAATAGAAAAGAAAACCTGTAGAAAAAGCTACTGTAATCTTAAAGCAGTCAAAAGTAGAATTCTAATTCATATTTAACTGTTTCATACAAATTTATTGTTTATCATTGAAGTTCTTTTCTCAATTTTTGTAAAAATGAAAAACTCCGCCTTTTTTAAAACTCACCTAGTAAACAGGGCAAAGTCTTTGAAAATGATAAGTTAGGTAGGTGATTTTTCAAAGAAAAAGACTCTTTTTGATAAACGATAAATAACTATAGCGAGAGAAATGGGCTTTTTGCATAAAAGTGAACAAAGGGTTCAAGTCGAAAGTCCAAACAATCAGCTGATGGCGATAGGCACTAACTATGCTTTCTTCACAAATATTATTTACCCTTTTTTTTGATTTTCTTATCTCCCAATCTCAAAGCAGCCTCAGTCTGTCTCTCTTTTGACACGTATTCTAGAAGTCCCACCTCACCCGGAATCAAAATTTAGCTATACTTGAAAAACTGATGATTCATCAAATTCCATTCCATTAAACTAATTTAAACATGGATCAATAAACAACAATTTACACAATGAAAAGCATCCAATTTCCAGTATCGCACCTATTCAATCGGTTGCGTGTTCAAATTGACTTCGCTCATTAGCCCATCCACTTGAAATGCCGGATCAGTGGTTATCCTAAATAAAAAGATTTAAACAAAAAACACGTCCGTCTCACCATGTACTTCCATCCAATTCGTTGAAACGTCGCACCAAATCCGAGACGAACACCCGCTTTGATTCATCACGTGTTTGCGCTTCGTAGCGAAGAAATCTAAAATCAATCATCATGCAGCCTTAAATCAATAAAGCTAACCGTGAAATTCGAGCGGTTGTTTCCCAGCGAGCACCAGTAAATATACTACTGTGATCGGCTCCATGCATGATCAACATCGGCACAGGATTCGTAAGTTTTGAGTACAATCTCTAAAAAGCCCAAGCAATCTTAATTGCCAAGAAAGTAAATTACTTTTCCATGTGCCAAAGGAACCGTAGTGTCCAGTGTACCATGACAAATCAGCGTTGGCACGTTGATCAGAGAAATCTTGTCAACACTAAAGTTTCCCTTTAAAGAGCATAGCTACGAAATTACCTTCTGAATCGATCAAAACTCATACAACATGGTGGTGGCATTCCCGCCTCGACATTTTCAACATCTTGGAAGAGACGAAATCCAGAAGCAAATGGAGCAATCAAAACTACTCCTAAACCAAAATCTCTTAAAAATAAACAAATCACCAAACCCGTGAGTTCTTCAGGCCGTTTGCTGGCCAAATCGATCACGCAACTTGTACCAATGCTGTACCCCATCAAAATAATCTAAAATAAAAAATTTTAAGCAAAACAAAAATTAAATTCATTTACCTCTGCATCGGGCATTGTCCTTCTAACATAATCGTAAACAGCCACAATGTCATTGTTGATATTTGATTCGGATGGAGATCCAGTGCTGCATCCAAAGCTAAACTAACATTTAGAAATGTGCTTGAGTTTTAAAACTAACCCCGAATAATCAAAAGCAAACATGTGACACTCGAGAAGATCCGCCAAATGAGGCACATTGACACAAAGTGGTTGTGCCCACCATCCTAAATCCGACGAGTTTGGTTGAGCAAAGATCACCGCCTAAAGAAGCACAACACAACTTTAGCAAACTTTTTTAAAGAACAACCTGTCTATAAGGTTGTCCTGGTGGCCGTGCTTTTTGAGGTGCCGAATGCATTCCGACGAGCACATTTTTATAGCTCGTCTCAACTGTGAAGAAATTTGTGGTCTCGAAGAGGGCACTAAACCATAGATAAACACCGAATAACAAAACTAATGTACTTTTGCGTCAGGTTGAGCGTCTCCTCTTGATTCATAAGTTCAATCTTGAATGGCCTTCCATGAACCTAAACATTGATTTATTTAATTGCAATTGCTAACGAGTCACCTTTGAGGCTTTCTTGACGAGTTCATTCGAGGATTCATCTAATAACCGAAGCTGATAACTTTTTCCTCGTGTAGGCGGGTGAAAAGCAAGCTAGAACAAGAGATGAGATTTATATTATAAAAACCGCAAACTTTCCGAGTGATCTGTTCAGGTAAAGGAGGGCAAGCGGTGTAGCAGATAAGACCACAAGCCTAAAGAATTAAAGAATTAAAACGCAAATAAACAAAATATACCTTGAGCAGCTGCTTAAAAACGCCCCATTTAGTCAGTCTCTGCTCTTCTCGTCTCTAAACAGAGAAAACTATTACGAGCTGTAAAAAAACGATAAATAAAATACTCTACTTTCGTTTCTTTTTAAGTTATAGAGCTTTAGTGGATGATTTTTAAAGGGTACAAGTTCAAAGCGCTTTATATTCCAACTTTTAAATAATCGGCAATTGTGCCAACTATGACACACGTTAAGATTAAAAAACAACAAATTTTTAGTACAAACACGAATAATATTTTATGTTTTTGTCACCCTGTTGACGTAAAAGCAACATAAATATTATCTGCTTTATTTCATGTCTTAATCAACATTGATACAATAGTTAAACAATAACAAAACCCTTACCAATTGAAGTGGTAGTTGGCCGTCGTCGTTCATTCGAATTCCTCCCAGCGCAAAGGCAAACTTAGAGAGAAAAAAGTGTGTGACCAAATCAGCCGAAGAAAAGAATACAAATGAAAAATTTCAAAATGGTTTCTTCTTGTCGTCGTTGCTTTACATGCTAATTAGTTGCTTCTGAATGCAAATTTTGTTTTGGCATATAAATCTACATTCGAAGTGACCCCCTCCCCCCACATCCGCGCGAAAATGCGTTTTCTATAGGATTTTTACGTTTGAATAGCCATTTGACGCAGAAAAATGTGCTGAATTCAATGGTGAAAAAAATCATCAAAATCGGTCATTTTACACAGAAACGGTCAAACTCACCTGCATTTGGGCCTCCACTACTCGATGATAACAAAAAATTAGGAAAGGCCAGGGAGTGGACTTTGTCAAAATGTTGTCTGCGGTCGTTTTGAGACCAAAATCATATTAATTTGTCAACTCAAAAAAAAAGTTATAACATTTTGAAGACAAAACTGACGTTTGACGACTTTCTGCGCGCTAAAACGTGGATAATACCGTAACCCTTCCCATGGGGAAAAATAAAACTACTTAAAGAGGGGTTGCAAAGAATTTTTTCATTTCGTTTTTCTTCTTTTTTTCGAGCTTACTTTATCATTTTCATGTCATAATAATTGTTTCTTTTTTCAGATACCTCATTGATGACCAGATCAATCAACACAAGCATAAATATGGATTTCACGAGGTTATGTTTTTTCTGTGGTTATGGTTTAAGCGTGAAAGTTTAGTTTTTCTTCGATATCAGCAACCGGATGGATGTCAAGAACCATGGTTTAGATCAAAAGTGTAAAGGTACGTTTATTTAAAAATTATGAAAACAAATGCATCAAAAAATACGAGTAGCAGTTTTAAAAATTTAATTAAGGGAGCAGTAAATCTTTGTCAAAAAGTAGAACGCGTTGTGAGTATGCTCTTGCCGCATGTAGATAAATTTCGAGATCACCCGCGCGTTTAATCATCTTACATAGCTGATTGAAGACAGAATGAAGACATTCGAGACCTTCTTCTGACAAAGACCCTAGCGCTTTATGTGCTGATAGAAAAAGGGGAACGTGTGCAATTGCTACGTGGGTTTGACAGTTTTTAGTCCAATACTGTTTAGTTCCATAGCGTCAAGTAAGTTTTCTGTAGCCGAAAGTATTACTTGGATTTCCTTCTCTGATAGAACGCTCTTTGTAGATACGATCGTTCGCGAGAACTCATTAAAAAGCCGAGTGTCATCTTCCGACCAAACATTGCTTCAAATGGCAAACGTCCGATCCCTCGATGAAATCGCCGATTCTTCATCGATTGCACAATTGGAAGAATTCGGGCCCACCTTGTAGATTTTTCTTCACGTAGTTGAGTGCAAAGGATTCTCTAAATGCAATATTGTTTTTAGCTAAAAAATGTTCATTCCGCACAACTAACTAACCTCAAGATCCTGATTTGCTCTTTCAACGGATCCTTGTGATTGCGAGTGTCGTGGTCGCCCGTGCACAATTTGACACGCTGACCAACGATTCACTAATTCTTTAACCTAAAAGACAAAAGTTATTGAAAAAGCTGCAATAGATAAATGTAATAAAATAATTTTTAAAAATCTTACCATTTTGTTGGCAAATTCGCGCACATTGCTGCAAAATCGTTGGAGAAATAGTTCTCAATGAAGGAGTAAGATTGGAAGCTGTGTTGAAGAGTTCAGATTCTTACGACTCGCTGAAGGAAAAGGGAATTTGGAAAGACTTTGAGACTTTGGTGCAAGCCGGATATATGGTTTTTCTCGGTGGAGATCTATCTTTCTTGAACACCAACTTTGGTCTTTCCTGTGCGATGACATTTTGATGTTTATGGTGCAATAAGAGGTTCGACAAAAAACCATCCGCTGATAAGGATTCAATTGATTTTCAACAATATGCTGATCGGAGTGACCCTTCGGTGGAAGCGATGATTTCAAAAGTAAAAGGTTTGCAGGCAAAAAAAGAAAATCTATTAAATGTTTCTGAAGTCTGGTAATTCCCCCAATACTTCATGCAAAAATCAAGATTGGAAACCAACTTTTTGAACAATTGGTGAAACTCAAAGGCTCCTCTCAGACTTTCCAAGATGTTTGTCGAAAATAGAAGTTGGATGTGAATCGGAAGAGTGATGGGATTATCTATGCTCGCTTCAACGGAAACGATATAAAGAATCTCTGTCGATCCTCAGTGAGTTCTGATTTAGCAGTCGTTTCTTCCTCCCGTTCCTATCAAGTGGTCATTTCTGCATTACGTGAGTTCAACAAATGGTCTCAAATGGTTTCAACCACTAAAAGTGTTCTTTCGGATAAAGAAATAAAAGATTTGGCTTGCAAAGGCAAACATTCAAAAGCCAGGAATTGCTGCCAAACAGCGATTCTTTGCGATGAACCAGAAAAAGTTGATGGTTTTGGACAAAGTGTGCTGGTCCATGCTTTACTCTTACATCTTGACCCATTTGTCCATGAGCATAAATTCATCGGAAATGCATCCGAAGAGGGCATTGAGGCAGTTCACAGCAAGCTAGAATCTGAATTTGCTCGAAACAAGACAGGACCACAAGAAGAGCGACTAATGAACTCGCTCAAGTGGCTCGGTTATGTTGTTCTCCTCAATGATGATGGAAAGATGGCATCTTAATTTCCTCGTTTTTGCTTAATGTTCAATTGTGATTCTTTTTTTTGTCTAATTCATGCTTATAAATAGAATAAATTTTTTCTAGACTATACCAGATCTGCAAGTACCGCAGAACCAGAAAAAAACTGCATTCCAGATCAAAAAATCAAAGTTTTTGGGAAATTCTTTCCGCCATGTTTAAACACATAAAAAAAATTTCGAATGATATATAACATTTGATGATTTGACACAAAAGAAAAATTTTACCAACATCAAAGGTGCGCGTGGGCGTGGCAGAATTCAGAAATTTGCTTTTTGAGCCTAGTTTGTCAGCTAGATTTTCGTGAAAAAAATTATTTTGACTTTTCGGCGCAGAATATGGAAAAATAGAATTCCACAAAAACTTAATTCAGTATTCTGAAAGAGCGTGAAAAGAGCTATTGAATGACATATAACACTTTATGGTTCGATGAAATATGAAATTTCACTAACATCAAAGTCGCCGCCTTTAATTCTGAAATTTTGGATGATGGTTTTCGGATTATTTTATTTTTTCCGTTCATTTTTGGGCCTAACTTAAAATTTGTAGTGTTCGGTTTTTTAATTTAAAGACGATTATTTGGGGGGTCACTCCGAATGTATACATTGTAAACGATATTTATTCAATGTAAATTTTACTGACAATGACTCAACAAGAGAATTTCAAACACTTTTCGTATCTGATTTTGAAAATTCCAAGAGTCAATAAATTAATTATTATTATCACAGCTAAGCATAACGTGGAAAAGCCGTAGAGGATAAGTATCGTTGGAAAAAGAGCAACAAAAACTGGCTAATAAATACCTATTAAATTAGAGCAATATTTGTGTAAAATTCTTATTACAAAGGCTAACAGCGAAAGCTACATGTAGAAAAGTGTAAACGCGAGTCGTCTGGTGCACTGGAAACTGGGAAATTCGAAAGGCTCAGCTGAATAGCTGGTAATCTATTGTAATTTGATAAGATTAACCTCTTATAAACACTCGTTTTATCTTTTGAATAGTTATTCAGCTATTCAGTACTCCTGGGATTACGGTATCATTGCTTTCTAACAGGTAAGGCTAACCAAAGAACTTTTCGTAAAGGCAAAGCTCGGAGAGAAATTGAAGGAAATGATTGTTGGAGAGAAATCACAGTTCAAATAACGTAGAGCAATAAGTTTTCTAAATCGTATCAGACTACCATAATATCGCCTCTTGTTTTATCCAATCTATTCATGTTTTGTATCTTTCAATATCCTTTGTGAACTCTCACAGAATCAGATCAAAAGTAGATAGATTGGATAAAGCTGGAGACAAAATTACGATAGTCGAGAAAATTGGCATGTTTCAGAAAGAGATTTGAGAGAAACATGCTCGACAATAAAAAATGCAAGAAAAATGTTTTTTGGGCAAAAGGAATACTGTTTGAATGGGCAATATCTTGACTGGGTTATCTTGGGGCTAAGGTAGATATAAAATATCGAAATTTAAATACCGTAAATATTCTAATAGAAGCCCCCTATAGGAACGTCGTGTAGTCTAAGTTTACACTCAAAAAAAACGCTCATATCTCGACACCAGTACGTTTGGCTTTTGCGCACTTTGGTGATGAAAAATCGGCGCTCTTTCTTGCCACTTTTCAATCATTTTTCCTAAACGCTGATTAATGCTAAAAATACGCGTTATATCTCAAAAAATCACCCATCCTCTCTACTTTAATGTGATACCAAAGTGCGCAAAAGTCAAACGTACTGGTGTCGAGATATGGGCGGTTCTTTGAGTGTAAACTTAGACTACACGATGCTCCTATAGGGGACTTCTATTAGAATATTTACGGTATTTTAGATATCAATGAGATTCGGGGAAAACTCAGGGTTTCTCTCCGAAAATTTTCTCGTAATCAACGATGAGTTTGTAGCAAAAGTTGTTGAGATTGTTGAGCTGAGTGATTGGGACCTGAAAATGACAATGAGATTAGATAGAAAAGTTGATGCTCTTGGTGAGTTTTATTTTGAAAGATAGCCAGAAGCCAGGTCCGAATTTTCAAATAGACATTTTAAAGTGCACCTATGTTACCGTAGTCGAGCAAATTCTACAAAATTTACATTCCATTTCAAAATAATTTATTTTTCATTTCATTTGAATAGATTAACGCAATTTTCAGCGTTTTTATGTGTAGTAATTTCTGCGAAATTTCACAAGATTTTCTTGATCCAACTTGCGACTTCGCAAATCATCTTGGTGAACGCGATTTGCACTCAAAATCTAACGACTTGCAAAATTTCGCAAGAACTTAACGGTCCTGGATGAACCCGGGCCCTGGTCTTGAATTTGGTCTACAAAAAGTCCCTAATCCACCAGAAAGTAGAACTAGCCTTGGACCTGGTTTGAACATTCCTGCGCACAATTCAAATACGATTTCAATGACTCACCTGCTGATCAGTTGGCCATGTGAGATTCGGCCCAAAAACGACACTCAAATTGTTGGCGGTCATTAGATTTTCTTGATGATGAGACGACACCTGAAATCAAGACTTTGTATAGAAAATCTTTATGTTTTGAGACGGTAGCTTTATTGCTTTTATAGCTATTTCACACAACTTTTATAGTTGTAATGATCTCGTCAATGATCGTTTAAACCAACTTTTGTGAGAAAACGACAAACGGTCTTCAAGAGAAGAAAATTTGGACGAGGGAGAAGTTTCACAAATTCGCTCACCGCCTCACTCTTCTTTTGCTTGGGCACATCTAAAATTTATCGACTTTTCTATCATTCGTTTCCAACTCACCTGCCAATTTCATCAGCTCCGGGTACAATTTATTCGTCGTAACCGGCTCTCCGAGACTTTTCCCTGACAAAAACGTTTTCAACAGCACCGATGCATGAATGGCAGCTGTATATTGATCCGTGACATAATCCGCGTCATTCAAGAAATCGACTTTTTCACCTAAAGCCTGGTTTTTAGTTTTGAAAATTGTTTTTTCCGAACCTTTATTGATTTTGTCTTGTAGACGTCGAATCGCTGCAACGTTTGCACTTTTACGGAAGATTCCTTCGACCTAAACAAAAAAAGATATTTTGAGTAAAAATTGTATTCTTTTACTTGTCTATTATCTAAATCTTTAATTTGATAATATTGACTATAAATCTAAATAACAAACCTTTAAACAATGTGCTTCTAGATAAGAGATTAGCTGGGAAACAATCGGCGGTACTTCGTCGTCGGGATGATGTGATAGGATACTTAAAAAGAAGACATGAAAGATCAGATACTTTAGCTATAGTGCATATAATCAAATGCTGGTAGCTGGTTTGATCTTTGAATCACATTTTCTATTTACAACTCACAAGTCAAGCGATACATTGAACTGTTGAGTGGGTCTTGGCGGGGTTGGTGGAGTGGGTGGACGATTGGATGCAGAGGCTGACGATGGAAAGACCGATTCGTCGTGTGTTCTCACCGGCTCCGGAAGATTCAGTCTAAATGAATCTCTAATTAAGAAACTATGAATCGATTACGGTTAGCTCTAGGGATCATCTTTTAAAATGCATCAAGAAGAACCGGCTTACGATAACTATTCCTAACTATAAGTAATTCCGCTATCGTAATTTTACAGTTATTAAGCAGAGCTATTTTTTTTTCAAAACGCACCTCGTCACAGCCAACGCTTTCTCAAGATCTCCGACACAATTCACATAATTCAACTTGTCCTCGAATTTGTTTGAAATGAATGGTTTGAAGAGTCCCCAAATGATTCGGATGAAACGAGTTGGATGTACCACGTACAAAGCTTTCAGATTTTTCTTGTATCTAAAAGTTAAGTAAAAACATCAGCCAAATTATTGTGCCTAACTGAATTTATATCACAAATTTCTTAAAAAAAACCCCACTTTCTATCCAGAACTTTGTACGCTTGAAATAACCATTTGATTGGCGGCTTGTTGTGTGACCGTAGACCATAGTGGAAATAGACAATCGTATAGTCCAGCTCAACCACCTGAAAATGATTGGATTTTGGCTATCTGGCTGTTTCTGCTTCTTCAATCTTACCTTATCCAATGTTGCTTGAAGAAATCGTAAAAACTTCGCATGATCAAAGGATTTATTTGAGGGTAAACGATAGGCATAGACGACGATGATTGGTCTAAAGTTATCATTGTATAAATGCTACTTGTATACTCGCGCTTTTTTCAAACATCAACTCTACAGCCGCTCTAAAGCACTTCCCAGCTACCTTAACCCGGTTCAGATCTCAACAATTCGATTTTTATAGATATTTGCGTTTCAATCTCTAAGTTAGTTCTTTGCGACGACGTTAGAACAGTTATCGTAACATCTACCAACTAGGGTTATCGTAATCGCATCATGCTTTAAAACGACCTTTCAACCTTCAAGTGTAGAAATGAAGAGGAACATTTTGTCATTTATTGCCAAGAGCACTAACCTTGCCACTCGATCTCCATCAGCCACCAATTCAACAATATCGTGTTTCGCGATTTCCGAGAAATCCTCCGCAAACGGATCCACCGATCCCAATTCACTCTCGAAATCTTCTCTCTCGAGAAACGATCGAGAATGCGGGATTCCGTCAAGGTTCACTGAAAGCAACAACCGTCAAAACTCTAATAAAACGGCCTCCTATAGAAGCATCGCGTAGTCTAAGTTTACTCTCAAAGAAACGCTTATATCTCGACACCAGTACGTTTAGTTTATGCGCGCTTGGGTATCAAATTAATTAATTAATTAATTTGGTATTAATTTGATACCCAAGCGCGAAGAAAGAAACGTACTGGCGTCGAGATATAAGCGAAGAAAGAAACGTAAATTTAGATTACGCGACGCTCTTTTCTATCAGAGTTTTTTTTACGGTATTTGTTGTCAAAAAAACAGTAGCAATAAAGTATCAAAAGCTGGTTTACTATAATAAACAAAGTTTTTTAACAGCTTACCACTGAGATCATCGGGTGACAATAGATCATCATCCGCAAAGCCATCCTCCGGTTCCACGAAACCACTCTCACCCATTTGATGACCGCCATGTGATGTCATTTCGTCCTCCTGGAAATGAGAATTCGATTTAACAATGAAATCTTCAGTTAATAAAGTCAAAATAGAGTTTTCGAGAAAAAAAAAGAACAAATTTCACTTAAAAGCTTTCAAAAATTAAATTCAATAATGTTCATTTGACCATTTAAAATCTATGCTTTATTTAGGGGCGAATAGAAGCGAATTAGATAATCATAATCGCATATAACATATTGCTATAATACTTTCACAAAAAAAAAAGAAAGAAAACTAAAAATAGTACAGCAAAACTACAGCTGGGAAACACAGATACAAAAAGATTAAATATAGGGCAGTTTTAACATGGAAATAAGATTTAATTCGTTTACAGATACTTTAAATTTCCCTACAGACGATGAGAAGATACCAGACGGGAGCTTATTCCAAATCCTACTAATACATTTCACAAAAAAGAATGATGAAGAATGATAAAAGGGGAAAGATGATGGGAATGGGAAACGACCGAAATTTGATAAGGATCACTACTCCTAGTCTACTCCTACTCCTAGAACTTTCCACAATTTTCAAAGAGGCTTTGAAATTCTGGATGCGATTTAGGGTGGAAAAGAATTTTATAGCAAAAATATGATATGATCAAAGTAAATACGGCGATATAAAAAGGGTTTTTTTAATTAAAAACTATAATCTCATGAGTTTGACTCGGTGAGTCAGTTAAACTTCAATTTTAAGTCTCAAATGGGGGTAGGCTAGTTTCCGCAACTTTTTCTTGCGCGACTGGGTCGTTTGCGCGTCTGGCGTTTCATTCGGTGATGTGCAGGAGGGACCATCTAGAAAAGAATTTAACATTTAAAGCCAACTTTTAAGCTTTAATCGACACAATCTTTTGGGTACAATATGGTCAAAGTTTTTTTTAAATCAATTACTTGACTCTTGCATGGCGGTGGCTACTTTGCGCTAAATTTTTTGCGCAACTTGCCATAACTTTCTTCTAAGTGGGCTAATCTTTATGATTTTGGTGTCATTTTGTAGATCTCAATAAGTGCAACAAAATGACACTAAAAGCATAAAGATTGGCCCACTTAGAAGAGAGTTATGGCAAGTTGCGCAAACGATCCAGTTGCGCAAATAAACCTGTTGCGCAAAAAAAAGTTGCGGAAACTAGCCTACCCCTCAAACGAAAATCAATTCCAAAAATGAAAGCTTAAAAGCAAAACTCAGTGACATTTGACTCAATGAGTCAGTTAAACTTCAATTTTAAACCTAAACGAAAATCAATTCCACAAATGAAAGCTTAAAATCAAAACTCAAAAAAGTGAAAGAATGTTTCCGCTTTTCATTTCTTCAATTTTATTTTCTTTTTTTCTTTTTTTTTTTTTTTTGTGTTTTCCTATAAAATAAACAAAACTCTAAGTGATGAGAGAGCTAAACAAATAACGATGATCACTTTCAAATTGATAAAGAAAAAAAAAGTTTCGAATTGATAGATAAAAAAATTGAATTCTCAATCGACAAATCAACATTTTTCATAAAAAAAAATTCAATTAAAAAAACAATTTATTTACATTTCACATCATATTTTTTTTTTTGTTTGTTTTCTAAACCAAATTTAAACGACACGTATCAAATCGAGAGACACAAAATCTACCCTGAAATCATCAAAATTTTGAGTTTTTATTTTTTTTGGCAAAAGTAGATATTTTTAAGAAAAAAAAATTCGGTACTATCCTAGTTGAGAGGAAGGCACTAGAATTTCCTAGAAGCACTTTATCCTAGAAGGCACTTTTTTTTTCTTCTTCAAAACCACTTTTTCTGGGGTATTTTTATGCGTAGATTCCGAAAAACACAGCGAGAGCTTGGGGAAATGCGTTTTAAAGTCAAGTTTCAGTGCTCTAAAGTGCGTGCTTCTATAGTGTGCTTCAATCTGTGCTTCACTTCAAGCTATCGACTATTAGGGGGTTTTTCAAGGTCAAAACTAGAGCCAAAACCATTTTTTAACCACTAAATATGCATTTTCTAACTTAAATTTTTCAGTAGAAGAAAAAGAAATTGAAAAAATATTTTTTTGAGATTTGAATCGATTTTGACTCATGTGGGGGAGCACATGGTCAAAATTTTAAAAAAAAAAAATTTTATTTTTGCTCTAATTTGATCAGAAACGTAATGAGTAGGTTAAATTCTTTCAAGAAGTGTAAAAACCTTGAAAAAATGTTTTGAGAGACCATTTTTAGACCTCTTTTCTATCCCTCTCATCACACTGTATGAGCGCGCACTTTGAAGCGCCGAAACTTGGCTTAAAACGCCTTTTTTTTCCTCCAAAACCACTTTTTCTGGGGTATTTTTATGCGTAGATTCCGAAAAACACAGCGAGAGCTTGGGGAAATGCGTTTTAAAGCCAAGTTTCGGGGCTCCAAAGTGCGCGCTCATAAAGCGTGATGAGAGGGATACACAAAGGGAAGAGGTCTAAAAAATGGTCTCTTAAAACATTTTTTGAAGCCAAAAACACTTTTTTTCTGGCATAATTTAACCTATTGATTACATTTCTGATCAAAATCGAGTAAAATCAAAAAAACATTTTTTTTCCAAAATTTCGATCATAAGTCAAATTTCTCAAAAAAATTTTCAATTTTTTTTTGCTTCTACCAGTGGATTTAAGTTAGAAAATGAATATTTAGTGATTAAAAATGGGTTTGGTTCTAGTTTTTTTGACCTTGAAAAGTGGCCGAATAGTCGAAATAGTACTTGGGCTCACTATATAATAGTATATAGTGAAGTACACTATAGAAGCCTGAAGCCATTTTAGAGCCCTGAAACTCAGCTTAAAACGGCTTTTCCGAAGCTCTCGTTGTGTTTTTCGGAATCTTCGCATAAAACTACCCTCAAAGTGGTTTTGAAGGAAAAGAAAAAGTGCCTTCCTCTCAACTAGGATAGTAACAAAAATTCGGTAAATGAACCGGGGAAAATGGTAAAGAGAAATTCATTTTTCAGAAACTTTTTGTAAAAATCTCAACATCTAAAGCTTGAATAGTACAAAAAGAAACAAAAAAAAAACTAAAAAAGAAACAAAAAAAACACGTTAAAACGTGTCGAATTTTTCGAAATTCGAAATTTTTTAAACAATCGAACAATTTTTTTTTCGGTATTTCTTAGGAAAATTTTTGATTATTGATAATTGCTTTTGAGCTTTTGAGAAAATTCGAAAAAAAATTTAAATTAGAAAAGCTGCATATAAGAAGATTGCTTTCGATTTTCTCTTTTGTTTTTTTATGGCTATCGAAAGGCGTCACCGGCACCGATGCAATACAAGGAGTTGAGAAAATTTTGTGACAAATTTGTGAGATCAAAAATGAAAAATTAGTAACTTTTGATTTGGTTTTGATTTGGTTATCAGTTAATAACAAAAAAAGAAAAAAAAGAAAAGAGAAATTCAACTATTTTTCGTGATTTTCTGGTTGAAACTAAGAAAATAGTAAGAATTTCATTTTTTTCCCGATTTTTCTCAATTTCATGGAGCACAAGGGGATTTTGGGAAACTTCTTTTTTTTTGTGCAAACAGAATCCATAATTTTGTTGTTTCTTTTCTTAGTTTAAACATATAGAACATCTAGAAGAATTGTTACTAATTTTTCTTTGATCTGTCGTCAAATTTGTCGTCTATTATCGTCTATTATCGTGTACTTAAACCACGATGGAAACGAGCGCCTCTTGGAGAGTTTGAAGGGAAGTTTCCTGAAGTTTTTCATCCGTTTTCTTGATTAGAAACATTTCTACAGTAACGCCAAAGGCTACCGTAGCCCGGGACTACAGTAATTCTTCCCTAGTGTGTGTTACAGTAATTCTTTTAACAGTAAAACCGTGAGAGCATAAGAAATGTAAAAATTGTGAACCGATTTACAAGATTTTTCGTTTGTTAGGCTTAGATTTCTATGTAGTTGTGCATCTAATATTTCGTTTTTTTTAAAAAAGCAAAAGTCACGACACAGCTGGGAGACACGAACCCGGCTCATGTGAGCTGTAGACAATCGCGCTCTCGATTGCGCCACGGGGACAAAAACTGCCTAACGGCCGGTTTTTGTGGCTGAATTTTGGGGGTATTAGGTCTTGTCGCGGTGGCGCAGTCGGGAGCGCGCTCGTTTACAGCTCACACGATCCGGGGTTCGAGCCCCGGTAGTGCCACTCGACCTTTTTTCATTTTTTATTTCAAAAAAGTTTTTTCGGTTGCTATCTAGATACTATTTCTTTTCCCTGAACTCACCTGTGAAACGGATTGAGTCGCCCTTGCCCTCATAATAGCTTCACCTTTCGTCAACACTCGTATTCCTCTTTCACTGATGGGCACGACAGCAGATGGCATTTCGAAGAGAGAAACCAAATGAATCGTGTCTCCGATATGCGAACGAAGAGCACGTTGCGGATGATTGGGAAGCCACGAGTGAACTACCTGGAAATCAAAGTATAACAGAAAACAGAAACAATTGATTGAAAGACATGAAAATATTCAATCTGTTGAGCAATTCTTGGTCTGTTTAATCTGTTTAATCTGTTTAATCTGTTTGATCTGTTTGATCTGTTTGATCTGTTTGATCTGTTTAATCTGTTTGATCTGTTCAATCAATCTGTTCTTGATTCACACTTAACACCTTCACAGCATTTTTTGCGTACAGTCGCGTAGTCGTTAAATGTTTCACTGATAATTTGGTGTAAATTCAAAAATAATCCAAACTATTATAGTGATTCGATAGCTCTGAATCTCCTCTTGAAAACTAGTAAAAAGTTATCGAGAACTTTCTACGAAACAAATAACAAAAGTCTTTTAAAAACTCTAGTTGAGCCGGGTATAGAATTTGTCACAAAAATACAGCCAAATTTAAGGTATTAAAAATTTGCTTTAAAGCTTTTTACGGATTCGAAAAGGGAAGCACTTTATACCGAAGGGAATGCCAGGTTGCGAGCGATTACACGACCGCACAAAGAACACCCGTCCAGTCATTCACATAGCGCTTCTTTTGCTTTATAGATGGTAAAAAAGATATTCAGCTATAAATTTGTTCCGGGTCAGCGAATCGATTGGAGCTATTCATTTGATTGAGTCTACAAAAATTAGAACCAAGATTTGCTTGGCAAGAATGCGATGATCTGCTTCCTTGGCAAGAATGCGATAATCTGCTTCACTTACCCTGCCAGCCATTCCCTCACTCGGCATCGCTACCCAACACGCTCTCCCGCCCACCAATCTCCACGCTTCTTTCGGCCAAAACACCAGCGGTTCTCCCGTTGCTTTCAGTGGCTCATTCAAGCATTTAAAAATCTAAATCAAAAATATTTAAATTAACTTTCAAAAAAAAATCCTCCTACTTCTTCGGAATTCACAATCTCCACATATAAAGCAGTGTCCTCTTCTGCATCGCTCGCATCCGACTCATTTCCTTCAGGACTTTCTCCACCATGACCCTAAAAAATTTTAGTACCATAGAATGGTTTATAAAATAAATACTCTAATAGACCACACCACCTCTTCGTAAAGTCACGTAGTTTAACTTTTAGTTATTATGGGAATTCTATTAGAGTATTTTACGGTATTTATTATTCGAAATAAAGTATATTTCAAGTATTTCTATTCATTTATTTACCCTTGTTCCTGCTAATTTAGCAGCCGCGTCATTTGAATTTTTTAACGAAGAAAGCGGCGGTGATGAAGCCGTTCGACTCCTCGCCAAACTTACTTTTGCACTCCCATCAGCACACATTGAAACAACGGATTGTTCAGGCTAAAATGCATCCAGTTACCCTTACTACTATTCATCGTACTTTATGACTAAATTACTTTATCCTAGTATAACTCATTTCCATATTAACTACAAATTTTCCTTTTTCTTACCTGACTACTCCCCGAGCTGAGTCGATCTTGATCCCCGCTATCCCTTTGTGAGAGATTCAATGGGCGAAGTGATGGAGCTGATGAGGGTGGAGGAGCTGCAATTGATCATGCGTTTACTATGAATATCACTGGTAATTAATAATTAATAACCAAATAATCATTTATCTTATTCTTTTACTATTACTTTTACAGTACTTTACAGTTACAATTATCATCTTCAATCTCCTTACCATGCGGACCAACGGGCGCCGGCCCACTCGTTCCACCACACGATTGAGCGGGAGCCAGCGATGAGGAGCCACTCGTGCCAAAGTGAGACCGTAAACCCTCCCAGAGGCGTCCAAGGAATGAGCTGATGCCCTGGAAATGAAAATGATAGATATTTGAGAAAAAATGATAGATATCAGTAACCATTCAACTAGTTTGGGAAGCCGTTTGGCGCATCTTTAGCCGTAATACAGTAGAGAACTATTTAAAAAGCAGCTGGTCCCCAATTGAAACTAGCTCATTGCTCACCTGAACAGTTAACGGTGGTCCTTGCACTTGTCGAATCTGTGGATGAGTCTCAACGAATGATGTGGTTAGTGGAGAGACGTAGATCGGATATCCAACCGGTTGATCGGCTGATGAGTTGATCATGTTCCTGAAAATTGAAATAATTATTGAAAAATCTAGAGATCTGCCGTGTCGTGTCGATTCTGTTGTAATTTATCAAAATTTTGATTCTCATTGTTTGGATTAAAACGTAGTTTTTGATATCCGATAAGTAAACTTGGGAAAATCTTTTTCCTTTTCCTTTACCTTAACACTTGTCTCGCATTTTGGATCGATCCTCGTTCAGGATTTCGATTCCTCAAAAAGATCAGCTCTTGCTGTTGGCCTGCCCAGAAAGCGCGAACGCATTCACGATTCAGCTTGATCACTCTGTAAATGGAATTTTGTAGAAATTTAGCTACTGTACACATCATAATCTATTTGCAGCAAGTTGATAAAGTTTTTTTCTTGTCAGAACAGAGCTTACAAGGTGTACTTTGTGTTCAACATACGGAAACGCACCCTTTCTGGTGCACTGAATCTTTCATTTTCAAACAAACAGGTAATAAATCAATTTTCTTGGAGAAATGATACACCAGAAAGAGTTTGTTCGAGTCAAAAGTACGCTGTGATGGACAAGTGAGATCAAATGGGATATGAGGTCGTCTATGACACTAACCTCATATTTAAATGCATCTTATTCAACATAATGATCTTGTAGTCATCCTGTCCATCATCATAAATATGTCTCAACGCGAGAAGTGACGGAGTATTTGCAAGGATCGCTTGTCTCCATCCTGGATCGTGTTCATGCGAAATGAAGAGATGTCTTTCGTGTTGGGACATCAATGTGAACATCCCATCGCCATCGTCGAAATCGTCGGCCGCCGCGAAATGGTCCTAGAATTTGATATATATGTTTCAGAAAAAAAAAACTGCTGCTTTTCTTTGCACTAATTCTTACTGTTTATTCACCTGATGCAATTTCAGTGCCATTCTCACAGCTGGCGCAATCACACATCTCAGCAATTCGACATCAGCAAAAACCCATTCGTCTCGTTGACAAGTGACTCTGTAAATGAAATAAAATTAACTATCAGAATATTCAGTTAATGCATTCAATTTCGAACAAACCTGAAATCTCCCTTGAAAAGCGCGTGTAGCCCATAAAGGAACGATTCAGCGGCATTCGAGTGTCGATTGTAAGCAGCCGCTCCAAGAGCTCTTCTCCCAAGAAGTGAAAGGGCAAAACAGAGAGGAAGCACCGAAATATCATTGCAAATACCATCACTAAACGAATTTCAATCAATTCATTGTTAAACTAGACGACTTTATATCTATTAGCAATTTTTGAAATACGTCTCTTGAGATTTTTAAAAGGAGTTTGCTCACCTTTCAGCTTCAACTCTTTTCTTCAAACAGAAATCGATCCACGGTGAGTAGAGATCGGAAAAGGATTGACGAGAGATTCCCTAGAAATTATAGTAATTAGTTGATTGAATATCTTTATTAGATAAAAATTTATCTATATTTCAGTATACTGTAAGAGACAAGATACTGTAACAGTACAGTACCATTATCCACTAAGCTGATCTCAAATTGAATCTCTCAAACGAACCATATTATTGACATCATAGTCCTCATCATTCGCCGAACAGAACATATGATCAACATCGACGTATCGAGGATTTGACTCAATCGGATGAAGAGCTGCTTGAATCGTCTCATTTGCCAGCCATGAACTCAAACGGGGAGATTTCAAAGAGAAGTAGACAATGCACTTCACGTAAAGGGTCACCAAGAGACGACGAAGCTCGTGGACCTGAAAATATTATCAATATAAATTTTGAACTACTACAAAGCACCCTACCTGCAACAAGTTCACAGCCGAGTTGTCGGTGATCGAGTAGCCGTCAATGATGTACTTTGATGAAGTGACCTCCCAGGCAAGCCATCTAAATTTATTTAGATTTAAAAGTATTAAAGCTTTTTAGCTGTACTATGTACTACCGTACCTCAGCGTCCACGCAGTGTTCAGCGAAAGGAAACCGGGAAGAGAACCCGGCGAACAGCAACAACAACCCGTTCCCTCGGATGAATCCTCGCTGATCGCTTCCACCTATGGTAAAATGTATTGGATAATACTATAATATTATTAGTTAATCATATATCAAACAATTCTCTCCTTTCACTCACCTCTCTCTGATGACAATACGTGCCCCGAAACTCGAGTCCTCTCAATTGGAAAGTCACAAAACCGTTGCCAACCTCGATGATGTGCACCAAGCAGTTCAAATAGAAGCTGAAAGTTATTTTTTTAAAACTCTGTTGAAATAAATCTCCCCAATAGAAGTCGAAAAACTCATGTCTAGTCTAATAAAAACCTTGGCTTGCCTTGCCTAAACCAACCTCGCCAAGATGAAACAATCTCCCGGGTGTACGGTACTCGCCCATCTCCCCAATCGGATATCCCCGGCGAGACTCGCTTGCAATGATCGAGTGAGATGCTCATAGAAGACAGCGTTCAAATTTGAGTCATCTGAAAATAGAAAGCTTTCGTTTTTCAAGAACTCACTAGATATTCAGCTAACGACAAACTTCCCACTTTCAACACTTTCAACTCCTTCAACTCCTTCAACTCCTTCAACTCACCCATCATCGGTCCGCGATCGATTTGCGCGGCTAGCCTCGTATTGCTTGCATCGGATCTCTTTGTGTTGTAATCTCTTTCCCAGAATTTCACCGGTCGCACATATGAAGTGAGAAAGAAAGAAGAACCGAGAAATGGATTTAGTGGAGCTGAGATGATCGACGAGAGAATCGTTTGCACACAAACGAGACCCGAATGCGGCACGGAGAACGGCTGAGCGAAAGCGTGGAAAGCGGAGCCCCAACTGGAAATACGGTAATAGTCACAGTAAAAAAAAAGCCGTCCATATTATCGTAACCTTTATTTTCACCTGATCTGCCATGGAGCCACATAGGCGAGCACAAAGGACAACTTCAGGTACAACTCCAACCATTTCGGATAGATCAACACGAGGAAATAAAGCATTATCGGGAAGAGATCGATTGATGAGGTCTAAATGATAATCATATCTGAATAAAATCTATATTTAATACCATATTTGTGAACAAGGGAATTGGCGCCGTGAAGACCCAATCGAAACGGGTTAGGAGAAAAGAGAGCGCCAATGGGACGAACAAGGATTGAGGGGCCGAGTAGCCAGTCCTGTAATTTGCACTTATAAGTTGATACGAGGAAAAATTTACATTTATATTTATATTTACCTTTCTATTTTCTTACAGTACCTGAGAATTTTGATGGCAAAAAGGGGCAGGAAGAGCACGGGATAGGGCAGGCGCCAACCGAATTCCGTCATCGTTCCCACCACCAAAAGTGGGTAAATCTAAAAACGAAACACTTTTAGGTATTCTTGTATACAATATAGTCTTGATGGTGTTCCTTTTTCCAATCCCACTCACCACATTTCTCTCTAGCGCGCCCGCCCACACGTGTATCACCTCAAACCACATCAATCGGGCCATCTCGGTGCTCTCGAATTGCCCGAATTCGGCCGAGCGGAGGATCGGTTTCGCAACCTTGAATGTGGATTTCTTTGCTATTCTATAAAGTGGATATTTTACTATACTTAAGACTTGTCTGTCAGCTCAAGACTCACTAGAGAACTCAAAGGTTATGAGCTCAGAGCTTATGTTTCAGGACCAAGTCAGGCAAGTCAAGTTTCAACCAGTACCAACCTATCAAATCCTCAGAAACGCAAGTACAGTTTTTTGCTAACAGCTATAAAATATCTATCTTTTATTTGATTTTCCAATTTTTTTTAGTGTTATCCAACAAAGAATGGTTGTAGGGTTGACAACACCCATACCAATGTTATCAACATTTTAATCCTCCTCTCCTTTTTCCCAAACAAACCAATTTCCACGGATTGTGAATGCGTAATTGCATGTAGAGATAGTGATTGAAAGAGCCAACGAAAATCGCCACACAAGTGATCGAGATCTAGAAAGATGGATAACTTACATACTAGACATAGGAAAATTTCAACCCAAACCTAATTCCACCTTCGTTTTCTCGGTCATTTCTAGGCCGATTGCTCTGAAATTTTGTCTACAGATAGAAATCGGCATTTTCAGCTTGTAGACAAAATTTCAGAACAAGAAATCGGCGAAGAAAACGAAGATGATATACATACAGATGATAAGACTCACCGTGAAATACGGTTTCGTAGCCGTAAACAGCGATGTGGAGTGGAGCGCGAAGACGAAAAGTGATGTGAGAAGAGCGAAAAGGAGATCATGACGTGTACGCAAGGAGAGAGTTTGTGAGAGAAGTTTCGGCAGTGGATCTTGTGGAGTTGATGGGGTACAAGTCGATGAGGCACCCGTCCATTCATCGCCTAAATATTTTAGAGTCAACGAGCAGCAAGCAGCTTACAGCAGAGTTTAAGCCCGGGCTAAGGCAAGGTCAGAGCTAGGCTCAAGCCTGGCTTTTGGGTGAGCCCAGGGTCAGGTCTGCAGCAAAGCCAGGCCGGGATCTTGAGCCTAGTCTGGCCTGGCCTAGTAAAATCAAGTCAGCCTCCACTTTTAAGCTCAGACCAGACCGGAGTTGAGCCACCCTCCAGACTCATGTCTGGCCCTTGAGCCAGTTTAGCTAAACCTATGTTTATCTTTAATGTATTGGGCCCAGGCCTAGCCTTGTCAATCCTCTTGAACCAGACTTTGGCAAATTTCTATTTCATAAAACTCACGTATCGCCTCTCTCGCTGGTTCCTCTCTTTTCGGCTTCGACGTACACAACAACCGTGTTCCCGAATCTAAGCTTTCCTCATCTCCATGATTTTCCCTAGCATTCCCATTTCCATTCGGCAATTTGCACCTCAACGGCGACAAGGCAAGCAAAAGAAATTGTGGGTTTGATGGGAGACTGAAATTGGATATTTACAAGGGCTAAGCATTGAAAAGCACTGTTTCTTAAGGAAACATTTCCTAAAAAATGCTCCCCAGAGAAAGCTACCGTAAGAGAAGTTCTCGATTGATTTAGATGTAACAATGCATATTACTGTAGCTTTTTCTTAAGCGCATCTTTAAGAAAATGGTTCAAGTAAGAAGAGCAGAGTTTAAAATTTAGGAAAGTATAAAAACAAATACGGAAATTTCTTACCGACTAAGCAAAAAACTGAGTGCAACAGTGGCCGAGGAGAGAGCCGAGAAAACGATTGTTTGGGTGGAGTTTGAATCGTGCTGGAAAAGGATTACAGTAATGTAACAATTTTCTGAAACTTCACTCACCTGTCTCGCAAAATAAGTTCCCACAGAAAGTAAAGCCCAAATGATCAACGATAGAGAGATCTGGATGAGCGCCGAGGTGACCGATGTGCAAGCCGTGCCGCCGAATACATGCATTTGCACTTGCTCGAGAATGTGCAAAGTGAGAGTGTTCACCTGGAAAGTTTCAGGGGTTATTCCTGTGTATGCATATTATATCACTATTTGCATATCAGATTATATTATTTACATATTATATCACTATTATTGTAGCTTTCTTGATAACTGATCGCATCAAAATCTTAAAAAAAATAGGCAAAGAGAGCTTCTCTTAAATGAGTTTCTAAAAAATGACAACGATTACCGTAATCTTTTCCCTAGTTTTATCTAATCTATCTAATTTTTTTCTAATTCTTTAAAAGTTTACAAAGGATATCGAAAGATATAAAAAGTAGATTGATTAGATAAAAACTAGAGACAAGATTACGGTTGAAAAAGAAAGAGGACACGTTTTAGAAAGCTGGTTAGAAGAAAAGAATTGTCTTAGCAGGTTGTCTAGCGGGCGATGTTGTCTTAGATTGAATAAAAAGGAACAAGATTACTGTAACCTTCCGAAAGTTGATACGCTTTAGAAAGCAATTTTGTCAAGAGAGCCATCCCAGGCTTATAGTTAGTACAAAACGCCTCCAATTTGCAATAAAAACTTATCGTAAGCCTTTCTATAGCAAGTCTAAAAGCATTCAGCTAATAAAATCAAAACAAACTTGTGGCAACCATCCAAAAGTGAAGGCGATTGGTAGAAGCAGGATTACTGTAGCGACAAGGTCTCGAATCGACACCAACAAACCGGCGCTCGTTGTTGGCCATCTAAAAAATGGAGAATTTTATTAAATATATCAACTCAAATACATTTTTACCTTAAAATCTATTAGTTAAAAAAAATATCTACCTATAAAGATTCCAATTCCACGGGATTTCCTCGTTTCTCGTCTCTCCAGCCGCCAAGTCCAACCACAGCAAAATAGCGCAAAGTATGCAAAAATAGATTGGACGACTGGAAAAATTTGTATTTAGATATAGATAATTATAATATATTAGATAATTATAATATTATATCAAATAATGGTTAATTCTAATAACATTTCTAAAATCATTCACCTGTAAGCGACCAGCCAATTGAACCCGTGAATCGGCGAAGCGGCGTCCGGTTGAACGCTTTTGAGCAAAGAAAACTGAAAACTAGATTTAGCATATTTTCTAATAAGTATTTTCTAGCTAGTAACTATCTAGCTAGAACTAACCTAAGTATCTAGCTAGAACTAACCCTTACCCAAAACCTTTAGATTTACCACCACAGATTTACCCATCTTTAAAATAATTTGACACGAAACCCAAGAACGAAGTAACAAGAAGATCGCATCGTGGCTATTTAGATTTGCGTTTTAGTTAAAAGGAATTGGTTAAGTTAAGTTTATATGGCCCGTACAAAAAGTTTCAAAGACAATGGAGTAGAAGGGAGTCGAGAGAAACGAAACAGAACCATTTTAGAAATTTAACTAGGAAACATGAGCGGAACAATATAAAAGGAAGAGAACGAACAAATGGGGAGAGGGAGTACTTCAAAAACGCGCCACAAGAACATAACAAATTTAACGAAGGGAGAAGAAAACTTAGCGGGACTCGGCATAAAAGCCAGACAACGATTCCACCACGGAATGCCGAAAAATGAAAACAATGGCAAAAGAGGAATTTTTGTACGAGGTACGGTAGCGTATCCACGCTTAAGAAAGTGCACCACGCCGCTTTCGCGTCAGTCCCTTTAAACCGCACGCAAATAGGATTCTAATACTTATAAGCTTTGCCTAATTGTTAAATTTTATCTAAATCTATAAGAAATTTGTATATTTATAATACTAGGACTCACATGAGCTCCGGCCACCACGAAGGCGAAGGCGACCAGCGAAATGTCATGGTAGATGGCCTGGAAATGGATGAAAACATTTTTTGTCTCTCTATATTGAATAAAGGTTGGATTTGCTACAGTAACCCGTATATAGTTGGATATTTGACAAAGTCAAGCATACTAGCATACTACAGTAATCCGTACACTAGAGCTGGCCCTTCATAAGCAATTGACGGCCAGAATAGATAGATATACTACAGTAACCCGTAGGTAATTGAACTGAATTGTATATGTGCTACAATAACCCGTTCATAATTGAATTGGGTTACTGTAGTTTTTAGAGTATAGCCTGGCCGTGGACTGGCTCATAAAATTTCCCGGACTAAGCCCAGGCCAGGCTAAACAGTAGATTGACAGCTGATACAGTAGACTGTACTGATCTAGTTGTTACAGCAAAAACTTCTTCTTAGGCATATTTTAAATATCAATTCTAAACCGCTTGATAAAGCAAAAAAAAAAAAAAAAAAACACCCTCATCAAGAATGAATCAGATTTATAAATCAGAATATAGATACTTCTAAAGAACCAGCTACTAACGTTTGAATCTATTCTAGTGATTTTCTCAATTGATATGGAATTGGCTTCAGACAAGGATTGCATAACTTTTTCAATCTCTTGCCCAAAGCTGCTCTAAAAAGACAAAAGCTATGGCTAGCCCTCCAAGCCAAAGCCAAAGCCAATGGCTTTTCAATTAGCACTGGACTGAAATTTCAACCTTACTGCTGGATTTAGTCTAAAAAAATTGATTTTGGCTTGAAAATTGAGCCTAGGAACAGCTCTAAATGAGCCACTCAGCATTTAAATTCAATTCCTACTTTTGAGATAACAACAGTGGCGAGCAGAGAGACAATGACGGCCAGCATGATGTCGAGAATCGCCGACGAAATCGAGCGTGGACGATCGAAGAGATTCGAGACAGAGATTCGATCAAGCTGTAAGAAATTTGACTCTACATTTGTAATCTACATTCTTAACTAGTCGATAATTTATAATTTTAAACTCACCTTTAAGCGGAATGATCTCTCCGATTTTGGTAGTAATTTCAACTGATAGTAGTAGGCTTTTTTCGCGGAAGAGGCTCGGCGAATGTGGCCTGGAAAAGGTGGATCAAGATATAGAAGATATATTAGAGATATATTTCTATATTAGAGATATAGAATACTATGTAATCATACGATTTTCTTTTTCTTACTTGTTAAAAAATGAGCCGAATCAAGGGGCAACGAGTGTGACGGAATGTTCATATGTGGACCGGCTAGGCCAAGATCGGCTAAGAAACGAAAACGAGAGGATGCTGAACCGGCTGAATGAGTGGAATCGAGTCGACTCAATTGGCGGAGACGTTGCTGGAATTGGGTTTTATTTATTTACTTATTAACATTCACAATTCTTACATTAATATCAAAAATGACACGATCAGCTCCCCGTCCGTACATGTCATCTCTTTGCAATCCGAAGGGTCGATCGACGAGTTGCTCTCTGAAAATTGCAGTCGTTAGCTAAATTTCAGTATCACAACAACTTTTTCACGACTACAAACCACTGTAACTTTCTTTAGCATTGACATCTTTCGGTGTGATTTAGTTCATTCGAAAGCTCTTGAGATTCTCTATTTTCTTGAGCGATAGATCATGTCAATCCGATAGATTTGAAGCAAGTTAGAAGCGTTTGTAGTGCCCAATGGACATGCCCCGCCCACTTTTGCCTTTTTGCCGTTAGCAAAATGCGTTTTTCTCAGCTTTCCCTAAAGCAATTCTAAAAATTTTAGTATCATTTGATAGGAAAAAAATTAGCTATCGAATGGTAACAAATATGTCCAAAGTCGCCTAACCTTTTTTTCTGTTTCTTTTTGCAATTTAGACATATTTTTAGTTCTTTTTCCCATTATTATGGGTTTTTTCTTAACAACATTTAGACAATATGGGTAATTAGAAGGAAAAATCTCCTCCGTTGTGTTATAATTCATTATTCGTGTCGAATAAATTTACATATTTGCTATCATTCGATAGCTAATTTTTTTTGCTATCAAATGATACTAAAAGTTTTAGAATTAGTTTAGGGAAAACTGAGAAAAACGCATTTTGCCAATGGCAAAAAACCGAAAGTGGGCGGAGCTAATCGGATCGCATTTCTAGTGTCCATGTCTATATTTCAGTATTAGATTCCTCTTCACACAAACCGATGTGCTTCAGATCTCTCCCTTTCGTGTCTTTCTTCTCGTCTCTCTCTATCTCGATCACCATGAAAAGCGGATCGGAGTCGCGAGGCGGCCATTGAGATCACATGGGATTGACTGCTTTGTGCGGATCTGTAAAGAGCTGGTTGCACTTCTGAAGTAGGTTTGAGCGTAAATTTGACTAGCTTGAGCTTCACTTGACAGCCAAAAGCCCAGCATTGTTTAACAACTCAGTCTAACAACTGAAAATGACGACAAAATGTTGTAAAGTTCATCTTGTATCATTCCGAGAACAAAAATCTTCAGTCCTCTTTTACGAGATTCAGTTAAACTACTTTTATTCGTGTACCTGGGTTGACTCGAGCTTCTGGTGGCCACTGATTGTGTCGGTGCATGAAAGACATTTGACGGGATCGGTCCAATGTAAACCTAATAGAAAATTTGGAAAATTTATCAAAATCAATATTAAAGTGATATCTAAAACTGTTAAATCAAAAAGTTTTCATTGTTAAAATCTATAGAATTTCTTATATTTCTTGTCACTAACTTGACTGTCATTTGATGATGAGGAGGCGGCCCGGGAGCGTGTGGTTGGTCTGGAGTAAAGTAAAGATTTAATAACTAGATAAAGCTTTAAAAGGAGGGTATGAAATTTAAGGGTCAATCTCCATTGAAACTTGTTAAAGTAAGTGTGAAAGGATTTAGCTGTGGTCATTCAGCTAGAATTTCTGCATCCATTTTCAAACAGAGACAGAAACAGACTTTTTTGCTAAATCGTGAATAATCGTGGACCATAAATGCTTTAAAAAAAAGTGTTTTTATTAGAAAGAATTTCTTTTCTTTTTGCTTTTTTGATCTAAACCAATATTTCTCTTTGTTGAATCATCAAAACGCGATAAAAAGAAAGCGCAGATAGAGTTAAAACAGCGCACTTTCAAAAGCAAGCTTTGAGTATATAGTAGATTATCGACGGTTTAGAATCCAGTGGAGATTTGGCTTTAAATTTCACCACTTCTTTAACTTTTGACCCTTAAATAGAACCTGAATCGATGTGTTGTCGATCTGGATGTCCCATCGGTACTCTTTCTAGCTGTTCCTGTTTCAGCCGACTCGACATCGTGATGCTCCTCCTCTTCCGATGAGTTCAACGGAGACTCGTGCAAAGCCTAAAAGTTCTCATTATTTATAAAAAGCTATATTTTTATATATTCAAATCATGATTCCAAATCTAGAAAAGTAATGAATGATCAAATTATTCATTTAGAATCGTATTCGATCTTTAATTAATAGGTTGATGCATAAGTCTTTCGTTTTTTTCGTACTTCTGTTAAAAAGTAACAAATTCACGAATTAATCTATAGTTTGCTCTATTAAAAAAAAGTGTTTTTTTGTTCAATTTGCATCTTTTTAAATGAATTTCGGTTCACTTTCAAGCAAATTCGAGAGTGAAAAACGCCTTTTTCGTAAAAATCTATAAAAAACTCTACGGAAAAATTGGCTGAATGAATTTCTCTGAAATTTTGGCAAAATATCAAACGTTTTTTTTCTCTATCTTTTATCTATTGACACGAAGATAGGTTTTCTTTAGCTAAGGTGTCTAAACCGCATCATCGAGTTAGCCCTTTTTGACTACCCGACTTCATACTCTCAAGAAAATCCAGGCATTAAATATTTTTAAACCCGTTTTAATGTTATTTTGCAGAAAAATAATTGGTTTTTCTAATGAAATCAACCGTAGTTTAATTGGTGCATTTGTTGGCTTGAAACGGCAGACGAAAAGGAACAAAAAGACTTATGCATCAACCTAATATAAGACAGATAAAATCCATCAAAATCTGAATTGATCCAGTCATATATTTAAAGATATTCAGTTATTAAAATAGTTTATTTTTATAAAAACTAGATTTTCTTTCTATACCTCGAGTCGTTTATTGGGCACGGGCGCCGTTGTGGCTGAGCCGATCAAGTCCATCAGAGCTGCACCCGAGCCGAGAGCCTGCGCTGTTCCAACACCTAGAATATGCAAAAGAAATTGTGCATCGTGAAATTTACTCTACAGAAAATTGGGCAATAGATAGTGCGCTAAAAATTCGAATTTTTCCCTACCATTCTCATCAAAAGCGTACGTCCACCAATTCCCGTCCTCATCTTGGAAAGAATGAATCTGAAATGGGTTTCGGTTTTGAAGACTCATACAAGTGATGCATTGTTTTCTAAAGCGTGTCAACTTTCTCCACTACCATAATCTTTTCTATTTTTATTCAATCTATTCATTTTTGATCTGATTCTGTGAGGGTTCACAAAGGATATCGAAAGAAATAAAAAGTGGATAGATTTGATAAGAGATAGAGACAAGATTACGATAGTCGAGAAAGTGAAAAAGTTTTAGGAAATGCTTTCCTTGAGAGGAACAACTCAGTGACTTACGGCTCCTTGTGTCGTATCCTCATGACCGCTCGCTATATGCGTTCCATCACGAAGCGCCAAGTCCGACAGAGCGCACATTGCCGCCGTTTGTTGTGCCCTCCGTGATCTAGAATTTTAAGAAATATTTGTTATATGTTACAAAGGCACTTTGAAAATCCAAATTCCTTCTACGTTTCCATAGAAATTTACTCACCCGCTCCACCGTGCCACATGTGGATGAGTGGTGTGACTCCGCGAGGGAACTTGACGATTCCGGCTTAGCCTAAATACTTTTGACTTAATAAAGTGGTATTTTTATTCCTTACTGTGTGACCTGTCCATTTTCAGTCCGATTGTCAATGGGTATACAACGGACAAAACGAGATTTGACTATTTCAACGGCTACTTTTTTTCGGGGACCAAAAGATAGAGCTTGAAAAAATCTACCTTCGTGTAGGAAATCATGAAAAAGTAGCCATTAAAATGGTTAAAACTTGTTTTTCCGTTGTACACCTATTGAAAATCAGAGCGACAAATGAGCAGCACAAATAGTGTGTCAAAATTCATCAAACCAACCTGCTTTGCCGAACACTTTCAATGGCATCAAGTGTTTCCGGGTGTTTATCAATGAGATCCTCAAGAAAACGAGTGATTTCATTCTTCAGATCAGCTGTCCCATCAGATGAAGTGCCTAAGGATCTCATAGTAATCATCTTCTTTTTTAGATCTTCACTTGGCTTTGTGTCATGCTTGAGACAGCAGACAAGTAACGTTCAAAGTTACAGTAAAATCCTAGACCCTTGTCTCGCTACAATATCCAATCAGTAAGACTGAATGTAATTTGAAATCCTAGATCTATAGTATCTATATAGCTTTTTTGACAGTTTTAACGAAAAAGTTTCACCACTTACCGGGTAAATCATCCTGTTGAGCGATTCGTTCTTTTGCACGATGCAATGACGCGGTCGGTCGATCCGAGTCCGACGACGGGGCAAACGAGACGACAACCGGTGTCCAAGCTGACGTCGGAGCTGTCCCAGGTGGCATCTAAAGCTGATTTTTGTACTAAATTTCCCATTAATCACCTCGACAACTTTAGATGTTGATGGTTGTGGTTCATCTTCCTCATGTTCTTCTTCTTCTTCTTCTTCATCTTCACTTTCATCATCGGGTTCATCGATGATCGGGACACTTTGTGAGGGCTCTGGCTGCAAATTCTATCCATTGAAAAGTAGACACAAAGATTCCACAGTATCCTTTTCTATTCAGCACTAATTCTTACAGTAAGCTTTGTCTATTAAATTGCACTACAGTATACTGGAAGTACACTGAATATCTAGCTTCATTTTAAAAAAACGTAGCAGCTATTGAGGCAGCAGTGATTTCCCTTCCAAACCTGTATCATTTGATTCGTTCTTTCCACCTCCAAATCCGCCTCGACTTCTCTCATCCTCTCCTCATCTTCAACTTTTCCCGTCTCCTGTTGTTCCTCTTCCAATTCTTTTGTCGGGAATTCAACTAAAAATCTTTTTTTTTTCTTCAATTTCCCAATCTTTTTACATTTAATCGATGTCGAGCTGCTGTCCGCGCGAGCCTCACTCTTCTTCAGCGTTCCCTTGTTAAGGAAATCATCGGTGCTGGACATTTTTGTCGGATACGATTTATGGGTGTTCTGTAAAGAGAATAAAATGAGAAATTATTCTTGTAATATACATGTTTGCATTGAGCGAGTGTGTGCTGTGAGAGCATACTGCCTCCAGTTGTGTTCGCACTGGCCGCCGTCGAGGCCACGCGTCTCACCGAGCTCATCGTCGTCGTGCCGTCCGAATTGCGACGATCGACTTCCATTCTAAAATTTGCATTTATGTTAACCTTGGAGAGCTTGAAATCCAACTTTTTGATAAGTTTCTCCAAGTTGAACGAAAACTCACAAATAAGCAGCAAAGACCGGTTCGCTCATTTTTCTCGTCAATCGATTCGCGCGTAAATCTTCTAGCGACGAGGAAGCTCTTTTCGAGAAACGTTTCTTCTTTGGTAGCAGCGCCGAGTCTTCCCGAGGTAGTTGCTCTGATTCGGGATCAGCCTAAGATTTCAATTAATCAGTTCCACCTTTTCTCTAACCTCGGTCACCACCGCTAGCTCACTATCGTCCACATTTGGCTCAACGCTTTCAAGTGGAGTATCCTGGATGCCAAGTTATTGCTTGATCATTTGAGTCTTATCTTACCACATGCACATTCACATCAACATGGTGCAGTCCGGGATCGGGTTCGGTGTGAATGATTCGGACTCGATGATTTCTCCGTCGAGCTCCGCCATCACCCGATCGAGAGCTAACTTCGGAGACGCGGCGTCGAGACTCTGGAATTGGCAGTGTTTCATTGTAACCTTGTAATCTTGTTCCTGAAATTTCTTGTAACCTACCGGGTCTAGGGGATGATGACGCAGTCCGAATTTCGGTCATCTCGACCATCTCAAAACTTTGCTGATCTCCATTTCGAGAACCCTGCACAGCGGCTGTTGACGACAACCGTTCACTTGAGGGTAGCTTCTAAATTCCGCTTTTTCAGATAAATTTACCTTCAAACCTCTTCCGCTTTCTTTGTGACAATGACCGGTTCGGTGGTGTCGAATACCCGATGCAAGTAGGCAACAATCAGCTTAATGACTATGAACAAAAAGCAAATAAAAGCAACATAGGTGAGCAAGAGTCCGGTTGAGAGAGTTCCTGGAAATTCTTTTATTAGGCACGATTTCATTCTTTTACCCGTTGAAATCAGTCCTAGTAGAAGCGGAAGTACAAGTAGAACTATCCATAGATAGAGATGGATCTAAATTTTATTAATTGCATTTTTTCGTCAAAGGTTTAGTCAGCTTTGAAAGCACTTTTTCTGTCAATAAGTGCAGAATCAATTTTATTGCTCAATTGCGCAATTTACTTCAAACTTTAGCCGTTTTTGCATCATTTGCCAAATAGAGATTACATTACAAACTTTATATTACAACATTACAACAAATCACTTTCTGGGATTTACTTACCGTATTGCAAAAAGCGGAGTGAGCCGGCTCATAGTACCATCCACCGGTGAGCGACGCCCAAACACCCTGGCGGAGAATCTCGGCGATATGCGTTCCAACTGTCATCTTCGGCTTTCACTCGTCCCGCAGCGTCGGCTCATCTATAATCTATTTATTTAAAACTCTACTGAAAATTAGAAGAAAGAGAAAAGGAAAAAAGAACAAAGGTACACCGGCCGATTGAGATTGATTTAGAAACAACAAAGTACCGGTATTCATCAAAACAACTTGTACAATGAAACAAACAAAATGAAAAAACAATACACAAGTAACAAGAATGGAAGCGGAAAAGCTTTAAATGGTGATCACTTTCTCCGAGTTGATATTTCCCAAGAAAAGCGTCTCGAAAACGGTGTCAGCAAAGTCCTCGTAATAGAGACAGGCTCGCTCACAATCGGGCATAAAGTTGCATTCAAGAATCGACACACCCAAATCGGTCTTCTCACGATTGTTCCACTGAAGCATCACATCAACGCCGTACATGGCTCGCGATTGTGGATTCTCGGCCACTCCACATGGCGGATCGTCTTTGCTGGCAGCCTCAAGTAGTCCCCGAATCGACTCATAGATCTTCTTCTCCACCTCAACCCATTTCAGCTGTTTATGCGTGTTCTCAATCTGCTTCACAAATTCCTCGCATTGCATCTGAAGAATCTTGTTCTTGTCGGCATAGTTGAACACTGTGAAATGTGTCTCCGGATCGTCGAGACGAGTCAACGTGAACTGATTGATAGCGAAACGAGTCCAAAACTTCTTGTAAACGTATGCTTTCACAGGTCGAAGTGATTCTACAAAAACGATGAAGCGAAGATCAAATTTCACCATATGTTGATTGTCGGGTCGCTTGAAAAGCACCGGATTTGCAATATATTTGCAAGCGACCTTTGGGCCAGCCTCAATGAGTCGAATGATCTGAGCCAAATCGTTTGAGACATGCATATCAAGACCTCGAGCCAGGTTCCACGGTTTAACAATCCACGTATTCTCAAGTCCTTTCATCTCGCGTTCCTTGAAATAATTACAGAAGAGTGGAAGCTCGGTTGTGAGGTTGAAGCAAGTTTGAAACCATGGGTGCTCGTGATCTCCATTTTCCGCTTGCAGATTGGCGGCCAAGAGATCTTTCACCGTCAAACACGACTCATATGGAAACTGGTTGATCAAAGCTTTTGGATTTTCGGTGCAGAGTTTGCGGTAATCGTGAAAATGCTTGCTCATCCAAATCACATCCGCTTCGTGCCAATCCTCGACCAACTCCACTTCAACCTTGTCAAGATTGTTGAGCATTTGAGCCGAATCCGAATAGACTTTGAGCTTGCCTCCCGTTTTCCGAGCCACTTTTCTGCATTGAGTTTTTTCTTCCTCATTTGGCAAGTCATCCATTTTTCGTCCAGAAAGAAAGAAATCCTTTGTCGGCTTCAATCTCTCCAAAGGTTCATCAAATTCTCCGCCAAACCATGGGTACATCAAAATGTGCCTCCAGCTTGGGTTCTTCTTGAGCACCGTTGTATCAACATAATCTCGACAAAGTTCAGCCTCTTTCTCAAGACTTTTTGTCAAAAACAGCAAAGAATAGGCACATTCGTGAGGAGTGAAGAAGAAAGGCACAACACGGCAATTTGGCGTCTCCGAGTGTCCGATGAGACTTCCAAACTCGTCCATCACATACCAAACAGGCATTCCTTCTTCATCAACAATTTCCTTCTTGCGCATTGTGTATGTATGCGCGTACCGCCAGATTTCTTTGAGCAAACGATCAATTTGCAAGTCATCATTCGCACCACGACAGAGATTTGCATCAACCGAGTCTTGTCTAGGGAAAGAGCCATCAATCTCCTTAACATCGGCACACTCCGAGATTCGCTCTTTCTTTTCATTCTCGAAAATCACCTCATCCTCATCACTTTCTTCACTCACTTCCGATCCACAAGGCGTGTTGTCTGATCCAAAAAGTGCCGCCATTCTCTCAACCAAACCGGGCACATTTTCCAAGAATTTGCGTGCCTGTGATGGGCTGAACGTCCAAGCATGATCAATCAAAAAGACGCTTTCCTCATTCAAATGATCGATGTCATCAATGGCAAATACCCCTTTTCCCTCTTCGTATTTCACGATTTGGAAATGATTTCCGGCATCAAACTTCAAATTGATCAATTTCTCGAAGAGCGCCGGCCAAAGTTGAATAGGGACCGAGGCTGCCTCCAATTGAGCTTTGTGTCCATGAAGGAAATCATCGAACGAATAGCTGAAGGAGGCTTCCGAATCGCTGGCACCATTCATCTCCATTTTTCTGAAAATAAAAAGACATTAAATTGAATTTAATGCATGAAAATTTAGAATGAGGATAAAAAGGTTAACACGGTTTACTCCTCCCTCTTAAAGAAACTGGGGCGATGAATGAAGAAAGAGCAGAAAGACGAAACGTCGATAGTATCGAAGGAACTTTTTTGAAAGCTTCTTGAAACATGTAGACTTTTCGAGTAGAATAACTATTGAAGATAAAACAGTTAAACTTATTTGTCTTACTGACATAGGTAAAGCTTAAAAAGTACTATTGAAGATACAAAAGATCATCATTCTTCGTATTGTACTAGAAATAAGTCTTTATTGGTGCAAAACGCTTCGACAAATAAAAAAGACAAATCGTTCAACATTTTATTGGCCAGACAGATCAAATTTGCACAAATGTTAGATTTTGTCGCTTTTTTTCTTTCTTCAAGTTTCCCGTTTCTTGATCGTTTAAGCTGCAGTCACTCCCGTTTGCGTTCTGAGCGTCGTCGATTTCTCAATGCTCTAAAAAAGAAATTAATTGTTTCCAAAAAATTAATGTTCAAAAAAACTTACAAAGTCTTTTGGTTTCGATTTAGAGCCTTTGGTAGTTTTGGTTTTCTACACAACGTACACACACATCCCAACTCAATGCTCATGCCCTGCGTGCCATTACAAATTCTCTCGGGATATTTGCGTCTCGTGACGGTGACGTTTTCAAGGTGGAATTTGAGAATCCATCTCTAAAGAAAAGGCTTTGGAATAGATATAATCAAAACAAGATCAACTAGCAGTTAATAAATAAATAAAGTCAATAAAAATAATAAATAAATGGGTAGCCGGGTAGCTACGAAAAAAATAAAAACGAACCTCATTTGTGCGCTCATCTATACGTCAGGATATAGTAATAGCATCTTCCATATTCACGCCGAGTACACAAAGCACGCTCGTCCATTGCAGGAACCGCTAAAGAAATATTGTCCTATTTGGTAAACAAAGACAACCAAATAAACAAGTGGATTAAATGTACGATAAGAATCACATGGGTGGCTTAATTGTAGCTAAACAGGTTGCCCATTATTCTTTGTCGTCTCATTAAACTAAAAGTGCCTAAACTAAACTAACCTAAAATAAACTAAAAGACTAAAAGTGCATTTTACCGTTGAAAGTAACGCAATTTGTCAAGAATTTGAATGTAAAAGACATGGCAATCAGCTTTTGAATTATAAATTAAGTTCTTTACACTAGAGAAAAGGTGTCAAAGATCTGACTGAACAAGCAGTAAACCAAATTACTAATTTTTTGCTGATAAACGCTGCACAACTCGTTATCGTACTTAAAAAAAAACAAAGAATGCAGCTTAAAGTGCAAAATTTATTTAAAACCCTTTAGAAATGTTGCCAAAGTGCTACTAAAATGAAAATGAGGGAGACTAAAGCAAAAGAATACCCAAAAATTCATGGCAAAGTCGCTGCAAGAGCAGAATAGACGAAATGGGGTAGGCTAATCCGCCATTTTATCTGTGCAACAGGGTCATTTGCGCAACTACGTTTGCACACCTCACCATAACTTTCTTCCAAGTGTTTCATAGCCATAATCTAGTACTAATGCACCTATGGCAGTCACTTTTTTTTTGCTGGAAAATCACTTTATTAGAGGCTTTTGACTGAGCCGACTTTTGACGCCGATAGCAGCGCCAAGACAGCGCCAAGTAGACATATTCGTTTATTCTAAAAACTAGGAGCTCAATTAAAAACCTATAAAAATTTTATCAAATTTGGAATCGGTGCAAGTGGTTTCTAATAAACTTTCTAATAAAGTGATTTTGGAGCAAAAAAAAAGTAGCCCCCCATAGGTACATTAGTACCCACAATCTTTATGATTTTAGTGTCATTTTGTTGCACTTATTGAGACCTACAAAATGACACCAAAATCATAAAGATTGGCCTACTTGTTGCGCAAAAGACCCTGCGTAATAAAATGGCGGAAATTAAGCCTACCCCGACGAAATGAATGATTTCTCGCCAACCCATCATTTTTTTATTTGACGATTAAAAGCTAATTTTTAATTTTTTTTTGTGTAAATTCATATTGAATAGAAATTGATTTATTTAGATTGTTGCATAATTAATTATTTACACAAAAAAACGATTGACTAATCCTTTTTCTTCGGTTTCTTTGGGTTTTTCGAGCGACTTTTGCTCTTGCACATCGGGCAAATCGGAGCATTTCGGTGGATTTGTTGGAAGCACGATTGGCAAGTCTGAAACTCGTTGGATTAGTGATCTTTTTAAGGGTTTAGTGTATACGAAATAGAAAGCTCTTTAGAATGATATAGTACTTTAGATTTACTCTTAAGGTTTTCAAACGTGTGTAATACCTTCATCGGTGGACTCTGATGTTCACTCTTTGCCAAATGTGGAGGCAATGGAAGTGGAGTGGGACGAGCCCCGAAAGCGCTACGACCGAGCAACATCTGAAAAATTGATTTCGTTAATCGAACAGATTATAATTTCATTATTCATTTGGTTAAGTTAATCTTATGTTTAACTTTAACAAGGTAAACTCATAAGTTAAAGAGTTGAATGAATTAAAGACTAAAGAAGCTCTAGACTAAAGAATCTCTAGACTAAAGAATCTCTAGACTAAAGAATCTCTAGACTAAAGAATCTCTAGACTAAAGAAGCTCTAGACTAAAGAAGCTCTAGACTAAAGAAGCTCTAGACTAAAGGCTCTAGATTAAAGAGCTCTAGACTAAAGAAGCTCTAGATTAAGAAGCTCTACTAAAGAAGCTCTAGATTAAAGAAGCTCTAGACTAAAGAAGCTCTAGACTAAAGAAGCTCTAGACTAAAGAAGCTCTAGACTAAAGAAGCTCTAGATTAAAGAAGCTCTAGACTAAAGAAGCTCTAGACTAAAGAAGCTAAAGAATCTCTAGACTAAAGAAGCTCTAGACTAAAGAAGCTCTAGATTAAAGAAGCTCTAGACTAAAGAAGCTCTAGACTAAAGAAGCTCTAGACTAAAGAAGCTCTAGACTAAAGAAGCTAAAAATCTCTAGACTAAAGAAGCTCTAGACTAAAGAAGCTCTAGACTAAAGAAGCTCTAGATTAAAGAAGCTCTAGACTAAAGAAGCTCTAGACTAAAGAAGCTCTAGACTAAAGAAGCTAAAGAAGCTCTAGACTAAAGAAAATTTAGCCTAGAGCTAAACAGAGCCAAAATAAAACTGCCAAATCGCTTAGATATTACTTGATTTCAGGACTAAGTCTTGGTAAAATCTGCTTTAAAAAAGTTTCCGTGACATTGATTGCATCAATTTGTATAAAGAATTCTGTTTTCTAACTACTTGATCAAAATTAATCATGTGTTGAGCGAGGATCGGATTGATGACTCGAAGTGGAGATGGAGGTGGACGGGAAGTGATCTCTCTGGAAAAGATTTATCATAGAATATCCAAATATTCAAATAAACTACTGTAGTGCTTGTTCTTACAAGTAGTTTTTTAAGTAAAAAAAACTTGATTAAACTTCCCCCACCTTGGAATATTTGCGGGCAAATCCCCGGGACTCAACTCAGTTCCCTCGCCCAGCCCACTGTCACGGATTCGCTCGTTCGATTGCTCCATGATTCTAATTTTGAATTATTTAGATAAGATATTTCATATCTGTATGCAGAATACTATATCGAGTGTAAATTCAACTCACTCACCTCATCAAATTATCATATTTTGTCGCCAGTCGATTCTCGATTTCTCTTTGCTCGGATCTCATCGAATCCATCTCTTTCTCGAGCTCGACTTTATCCTAAAATTCTATTTATTTAAAAGCCATTGATATAAAAACCATTGATATAAAAGTCATTGATATAAAAGCCATTGATATAAAAACCATTGATATAATAGCTAATAATTTCTCAAAAAGCAGCTACTTGATTGATCATTTGAATGATCTCCGAGTGCTCCTCTTTTTCTCGATTCAACTCCTCGATCGTGCTCTGGAGTTCGCGCACAAAGTTCTCAGTGGCTCTGAAAATTTCTTTTTATTAAAATTAAAGTAATTCTGATAACTTTACAAGAAAATTATCAGTATTAGACAAAATTTACTATAGACTTACCTAAAATCAGCGACTTCTGCCATGAGTTCCCTCTTCCGAGCCGCATAATCATCCAATTTCCATCTAAAAAACGAGTTTTGATATGAAAATGAATTTTTCTACCGTAATCCCCATCATTTTCAATATGAAATTTAGAGATTTTAAAGCTTGATAAAAGAACAATTCACTTCTTTGTTCAAAGTTGAAAAGTTTTAGAGTAAATTCCGAGTAATACAAATCCTTCCAAATGAAACGTTTTCCGGTTTCAAATACGGTTCTTTTCAGATCCAATACGGTTCCAATACGGTTCTTTTCAGATCCAATACGGTTTCAATACGGTTCTTTTCAGATCCAATACGGTTCCAATACGGTTCCGGATCTAATTTTGATCCCATTCAATTTAAAGTTTGATTTTTCAATGAATGAAGAATATACAGAGAAAACTGGTATAGAGATTACGGTAGTTTTCGAAATTATTCACTTTTTAGCAAAATGAATTTATCTTGAATTTTGCGACTCAAATTTTTAAAGCTTTAAAATATGGAGACTGATCTTTCGAGAAATGACAATTTTACAGTTTATTTCTAATTTCCCCAATTCCCAGCCAACAAATCTCTTCCCAACAACACAATGGTGTCATTTGGGCATTCAAAAATGATCTCAAGATCGTGTGGTGGATAAAAAGAATGCAAAGAGATCTATTGAGGTATTGCCCAATCCACTTCATCACCCTGTCCCTCCTTTTCCTTTTGTGTCATTGATCGGCCCCTAATCTCATTAGTCTTATCCCCCTTTTCCCTCCTTCAAACAATCGCTTTCTTTGTTCTCCCCCACCTGTCCAATCATCGTGAAAAAGTTGCGAGCAAATGGGCTACAGTTTTGTTTCTAGACCTGGTCAGTGGGCAATAGTGCAAACTTAATTAGGTTTAGTTTCAAAATGAATACTTACTCGGCTTAGCTGGCTTAGCAAGGCTTAGCAATCTTGGCTTAGCAAGTAAGGCAAGCAATTTAGCAAGGGAACAAGTAATCTTAATAATTTTGAAAATTGATTTAGAGATTAGAATGAGAATATTAAATTTAGATTCGAATGAAATGATTAATCTCGTTGAAACAGAGTGGATTACAAGAATTACTTATTAATTATTATTACTTATTAATTATTATTACTTATTATTATTATTACTTATTGATTATTATTATTAAAAATTACTTATTAAAGCTATTTCTAAAACGTGTTAACTTTCAAAAAACTACTATGATCCTGCATATAGGATTACGATAGTTTAAAGAGCAACCAGAAAATTGTTTAGAATACGTTTCTCTGAATAGATCCGTTCTGACCCGTTTTCTAAAATGTTTCAAATTTTCCCGACTACCGTAATCTTGTCTATATTTTTATCTAATCTATTCACTTTGTTTATATCAATATCCTTTGTGTCAAACCTCACAGAGTCAAACCAAAAGTAAATAGATTGAAAACTAAAGGCTGAATTATTGTAATTTACAAAAATCGACACCTTTCAGAAAAGCCATCACTCAGCTGAACACAAGAACAAAAGCTAATCAAAGTTTTGATTAAATAGTGCAAATTCTATTGACCTATATTCGAGTAAAAGAACATCTTCTTTTACGATCTTTAGTTCAACTTGATTTCAGCTACAAATTTGATGTTGTTGTCATTTCCCCATTTATCCCATAGTATCACCGGGGGATCCCCATAAAAGGCACAGCTGCTCATTGTTCTTTTTCTTTTCTTTTTCTTTTCTTTTTCTTCTCCACATTCTATTTATTCACATTCTCTTCTCGACCTTAAACGAAAAAGCAATAAAAGTTGAGGGGGATCACGTCTGATGTGTGATGAATACACAAATCGAGTTCAGAACTACTTAGCCTTTCAAAAAAATACAGTAAGAAAGCGGTTATCATTGATCAGATGAACAATGTACAAACTTTCCAAATCAAATAGCTGCTTATCGAAAAATCTTTAAGCCAGAATAGAATACTGTCATATACTATTGGGTTGGTGAATTGAAAACTGCCGGACTTTGAACCAAAATTTATTCAACATAAAACCATGAATTCATTCCAAATAATTTCCATTATTATTGACGACTTCTGCCCATTTTACAGGCAATTTGCGGATTCCTCTTTCGTAGTAGGTTTTTGGTTTTGAATCGAAAAACTTTTGGAGCCAATTTTTGACTGCTTCTTCCGAATCGATTTTACTCATTACTCATAGTTCGGCATAAATAGTAATCAGAAGGAGCGAGGTCCGGACGGTATGGGGGATGCGCCAAAGTCCCAAGCTCTTTCGTGGATTTTGGTTTGTGTGTGAGACAAGTGTGAGACTCAAAAATGGAGGACTGGAGAATGGAGGACTCCCAGTTTGAGCACTTTCTTCAAAAGAAACCCATTTTGGGGTCAATAGAAAAGTTGTAGAGAATCAAAAATTAGGCTTATAGCCAAATTTCCAAAAAGATTCACTTAGTAGTTTCGCTTAAAATGCAAGTTTTGTGAAAATTCGTAAATTTGGCATTTCTTGAAAACCAGTTTTTGAATCGTTCTGAAAATTTGTATATAAGCTTCATTTTTGATTCTCTACAACTTTTCCCATTGACACCAAAATGGGTTTCTTTTGAAGAAAGTCCTCAAACTGTCACATATGACAATAGCCCGCAGTTTTCAATTCACCAACCCAATACAATCTCCAAACTTTTCACTCACTTGGCTTGCGCGAGTCGATTCAGCTCGAGTGCCGTGGCGGCGGTGGTGTCCACCAATGGAGAAGCCATTTCTGAAATTTTTCAAACTAATCATAAGTATTGATAAAATTTAAATAAATAAATAAAAAAGATACCAATAAACTGAAAATTATTGAAAAATTGAAAAGTTACACAAAATAAAACCATTCTAAAGCTTTGAGATTAAGATTGAGGAAATTGATTACTGTAGGTTTAGATAATCCTTCGTAATCTTCAGATTTCCTTCAGGAAATCTCAAATCTCAAATTCGCTTTCAAACCAAAAACTCTAAAAGCCAGGCAGAATTTCAAACAAGTATAAATTTAAATAGAAAACGAGGAAAGGCGAAAAAATGATCAATCGATGTTTTTTTCGTGGCAAGGAGAATAAAAGAAAAGACGGAGATGGGGCGGACGAGGTGATGAGCAATTGAATGGCCTCCCCTTTGCACCCCTCCATTCATCGTCTTTCCATCCATCTTTTCCCCTTTCATTCAATCTCTTCCCAACATTTGCATTCCAACAAAACCACCACCAACTATTCCTTTTTCGCAAAAGGAAATAGATAGTTGAACGGGCGAAAGAGGAAGGGGGGCATTCATGTGGGAACGCCTGGCCGATATGTAATGGGAGTACGGTAAGTGAGAAGGGAAAGGCTATTGGATTTAGTATTAGAGAATTAAAGTATTTCGTATTCTAAAACGTGGCAACTTTCAAAACTACCGTAACCTTGCGATAGTTATTACTACCGTACTCTTCTCTTTCGAAAACCACTATAACCCTGCTACTACGGTAATCTTTCGAAGACTAGCGTAATCCATTTGCTTTGGGTTGATTCTGATGTTTTACGAAGAATACATATACAAAAAGACACGCTTACAGTATATTGGATTCGATTGGATAAAAGACTAAAAGCAGGATTACGGTAGTCGAGAAAGTTGACACCTTTTAAAAAATCCATTATTTGAGAGGGATGCAATTTAGTTATCACTGGAGAACGTTCTAAATTCAAATCCAAAGCCTCACTCGAAAACTAGCCGGATGTCAGAAAAGAAACAATTCAAGGATGGGGTAAAAAGGAGGAGAGGTGGGGGTGTCAAGGCGGGATCTTCTTGCCTTGGGAAGGATAACAAATGGGGCGCAAATGGCGGCTTGGGGCACCTCAAAGGGAAAGCAATCCACACAGACATACATACACACATCCGAGCACCATCTTCATCGCTCTTTTTGTCTTTTCTCTTTCCTTTGCCTTTCTCCATTCACTTTGGGGTGCGCATTTAATTTACGACGTTTTCCCATGCCTCCCCACAAGGCCTAGAAAGGCCACGATTCTGGCAGATTGCTACAATAAACTCAAAGCAGATAGCACAAATAGTTTATACAAATGATGGATTTAATAAAATTTTTAGAGTTTACAGAAATGTTCTCTCTTTTGTGGGGATCGCAACAAATTTGCATATAGACCAAAAATTGAATATTAACATATGCAATTTGGATTTAAGCGTCTAATAAAAGCCAACGAGATCTTAAAGGAGATCATTTGTATTTTTGACTTGCTGTCGAATTGGTCGAAACGATGCTTACAGTCTTCGCTCTGTTACAATTTGTGAGTTTTCTTTCCGATTTCTATATTTTTTGCGTATGTTAGTCCTTTTCCGTTTCGTTTCCCGACAAAAGCGGCTTGTTTAGATAGTAACCGTCACAACATTCGTTGTTCTCGGACTCGTTATTTGTAGCGATAAGGAGAATGGGCGAGCTTTATTTCTTTTTGGATTGTTAAAGCTAAAAAAAACTAGCCGTGTGATTTATCAGGAATAGCAGACAACTTCAATTTGCTTATTAAGTTTCTCAAATCTCTGCCGGGATGATGTATTTTTCATTTCAGAAAAGCACCATCAAGTAAACAGCAGCAACCGTTGAAGAGATTCCGTCCTCAGCAGCCTCCACCTGATATCCCGGTCACCGGCTGTGGGACTAATGAAGACCACACTTTGCGGTAGTTTTGATCTTTTCAGCTCTAATACGTCACGTTTAGATATGTGGCTAGTTTAAAAGAGGAACACAGCGACAAAATACAGCATAAAGCTAAAGCCATGGTAAGTGTCTTGGTTCAAATACGCCTAATAACATGGTTTTTAGCCGGGAACGTTAAAATCGATAGAGCACGCATAAAAAGACAACCTTTTGAAGAATAAAGTTTTTACCGTTTGGTCAACACATTAATAATGCTCGATCAGACTCCAACTACAACAATAGACCTGACGACTCTTTCTTGTAATAAACAAGCTTTATTAACAGTGATTGGGAAGAGTATATCCACAGTATACAAAGCATCACTCACAATGGGATTAAAAGAATGGAAAAAAGGAACCCAATAGATAAAAAAACCAGCTGAACAATGAGATTTATGTTGACTGAATGGAGTGCACGTTGAAAGATCCATACCAGTGAGCCAAATGAAGAAAATGCCCCCATCGCACATCTATTCCCTTGGGGCCTCCAGATTGGCCTCATCCTAAAAGTCATCAGTTAAAAATTAAATTTATGAACAACCTCTTCAGCGGCGGCGTTAGCATTAGGAACCCACAAACCAGAATCAATACAACGTTGCAAATGATAGGTAAAAACCTAAACAGATGAGAGTCAAGTCTGACCTAAAATAACAAATTTACTTCCTTATCCATTGACTCGGCGCATTTTTGAAGCGAGCCAATGTTCTGGTCATCAAAACATCTAAACTTATTATTTGAAAAATACCTATAAATTTAACAAACTTTTTCATCTCATCGGGCAAGGCATCATAAGCTTCTTGGGGATCTAAGCCACCAGGTGCGTTGGCGACACGCTTAGCCTTAAAACAAATTTGAAAAACTAATCGAATTAAAATTTAAAGTATGGCACCTTCTCCTCAGACTCATACTCAGCGATAGCTTGATCACGTTTGTCCTTAGCACGACGGCGAAGTCGTTCCTAAGACAACTGTTAATTATTAAATGAAATGCAAGATTTACTTGGAATTGAGCAACTTCGTCTTCATACATTTTCATGTAGCTAGGATCAGCAGCTTGGAATCTAAAGAGAATTAATTTTGGCGACTACACTTATTAATCACTTCTTGAAGAAATTCTTGATCACATTGGTGTTTGTGGCATCGGCATTCAGTGATTTAGAGAGCTCCAGGAGATATTGAAGAATGATGCATTGGCGAGCCATGTTGCACATGTCATCCGTCTGTATCAGCGATTTTATATGCATTAAATTACAAAAAAGACCTTTCCATCAATGGCAAGGTTGAGGCATTCAATGGTAAGCCAATTAGCAGCATAATCACTAGCCAGGCGAGGATTCTCCAAAATAAATTGCTCGGAGACCTAAAATGATAATCAAATCATTAAATTTTCAACTGAAACCTTGAGTCCAGTGAGGCGTCCATATTTCTGCAGAAGCTCTTCGTTATCTTCAAAGTATTTGGCCTAGAATAAAAAAAATAACAAGAAACTTCAAATGCAACTTTACCATGCGCTTTGAATCTTCCTCTTCGGTGATCTTTGGCTTATCGGATTTCTTTTCGGCAACTTTGTTGATTCTAGAAGATGAAAAGGCCTCGTGTCCAATAGTGTCAACATTCCAAGGCTCAAGCCGTTCTTGATCCTGTAAAGAAATTAGTTGCAAATTTCATGTACCAAACTGTACCTCAAGTTCTTTCTCCTTTTTCATGAATTCCTCTTCCTGTTTGTTTAACTCAGCCAATTCGATTTCAAGCTAAACATAAATAATACTATCAACTGTAGCTTAATTATTACCTGTCGTTTTTCCTTATCTTCCAGGTCCAATCCTTCAAGCTTCTTGATGATTTCCTAAATAAAAATATAAAGCCAAATTAAAACAAAACACCAACATCTTTGCGGTTATTTGCGCTGGACTTTCCTTTCTCGATCTCTTCTTTCTGCATCTTTTTCTCTGCCATACGCTCCAAGCGTGCTTGGTGGCGCCATCTAAACGTTATTTTATAAATTTATATCATTATTATAAATCATTATTTTAAAATATTAAAACCCAACAAACCGAAAGAGTGATGGAGTATCGATATTGGGATGGGTGTCGTCCTCGTCGTCCGAAACCTCAATTTTCTTCCAACGACTGTAGTCAATTGGCATGGCGTCTGTAATTAAGATTCTGCTTAACAAACAACATTGCAAAATATAACAACAGAACACGAGGAAAAACGTCCGAGAAAATGACAAAAGCGCAAATGCAAAATTGTAACAGAGTTTTTAGGATAGTAAGAATAATTCTAAAATAACAATATCACAATCTTCTATAAACATTTAAAAACAATAAATTGATTATCCTCCATGAAGCGTCGAAATGAAAGTCACAACGTCACCATCCTTTAGTATCGTCTCATTTCGTTCCAGCAGTTCCCAATCGCACTCGTTGACCAGTACAAGGACTCCCGGTCGAACCGAATCATCCATCACGAAAAGGTCGTCCCGGTTATGATCGGTTAGAATCTCTTTCTTGATCCATTGTATCAATTGGCTGACAGTGGGTTGATCGATTGGCAGCGAGACTTTGTGTTCCTTTTGATTCCCGACGAGAAATTCGGAGCCACCAGAAAACTCTAGCGTCAGCGAAGTCGGCATTTGCTACCTGCAATAAAAGAAAGTTCACAACTAGCTGTTTTAAAAAGCCAATAAAACGTAAAAATAACAAGAACATGATTGGTAAGGTGGTAGATTTAAGGTTTTCTAACAAAAAAAGGTTTAATCGAATGCTTAGGCAAGTTAAGACTAATGCAAGGGAAAACTTTTAAAATAAAAATAACGCGCGCAAATTCTTGCACAAGCATTTCGTTTTGGTGATGCAGCCAGAAAAATCTAGAATGAGGAATAAACACCGCCAACCCAACGCGGCAATACAGAGAACGCTAACTGACATCCAAAACAAGATGTCTTGTCTCTAAAATTTTTTGAGCAAGTGCGCCCACAAAGAGAGATAAGACAGACAATTCTATTTTTTCGCCTTCTTTTGTTTAGTGCAAAAAGAAAACGCTTCTACGTGGAGTTCTTGGAAAATTGATTGCTAAATTCTGGGGTTTTCTACTGTACTTCAGTTCTATTTTGTGAAAAGGAAAATTTTGCGAATACATAGTGACAGTTTACCACGTGGAACTACATGCTGGGGTGGCTACTTTGCGCCTAATTTTTTTTTTTGCGCAAATCACCATAACTTTCTTCTAAGTGGGCCAATCTTTATGATTTTGATGTTATTTTGTAGATCTCAACAAGTGCAACAAAATGACACCAAAATCATAAAGACTGACCCACTTAGAAGAAAGTTATGGCGAGTTGCAAAAAATTTGGCGCAAAGTAGCTACCCCCACTACTTGCTCCCTTTTATTGACTTTTTGTAAATTTTTCTAACTCTTGTATTTTCAGATGGGTTTCTTCTTCTCCAAGGTCATCCGGTATTTAGTGCTTCTCTATATCGTTTACAGTGGTGCGCAATATTGGCTACGATGGAAGTCATATGGGTTTTCACCGAAGGAATTCCGCACAATTGCAGCTAAAGCGCTAGGTTGGTATTAGTTTATTGGTTTTTAATGAGGTAAATTAAAATTTTGAGTTAAACGTCAATAAACAACTATTGATGGTAAAAGTAAAGCCTGAACAAATTGTCAGCTTCTTTTTCACTCAAAAGTCTATTTTTTAGGGCCGTCTGGAGATGAGGTCCTTGCCAGAGAGTTGGCACGGAAATATGGCAACGCAATTGTCCCGGATTCGAAGTGGGCATCCGTACGAGCTGGTGGTCTCAACTTGAGAATAAAACTTCTCCACGTCTCGTTAACCGAATATGTAGCTGTCATTTCTTCATCTTTCCCGACAACCGGACGTTCTGGTTTGATTTGGCTCTTAATGCGACAATTTTAAAGCTTTTAGGCTTCCATTGGAGCAACTCAACTTGCACGGTACTTTCGGGTGCTCTTGGACGACATGAGGATCTCGGTGGTAACATGAAGGAGCAGTTCAAGGCTGGCGATAACTTCCGACAGGGACAATTCGACTCGTTCGTCTACTCATTCGGTGAAGACACGGCTATTGCTTGCTATGGCCGAGGAGTAGTTCCGGTATGTGTGCAGATTTTTAAAGTTTGTCTGTAGATAACTCTTCTTAATATTTATGGAATTTTTCAATTTTACTTTTTAGGTTTCTGCTCTCTGGACCACCGTCGGCTCGATTACCACTGGAGACCCCGCCCTAGTTGGACGTCAACTTCTCAGCTTTGGAGAAGTCTACTTCCACAGTTTTGTGCAATCCGCCTCAAACTTGTTCGACTATTACCAGAAGAAAGCCAAATCCGAACTTTAGTTTGTTTTTGATAAGTAATATTTTCCCTCTTTCGCTCTGTGATCGTTTTAGGTTGTGATCTAAGTATTGCCCGAAATTGTTTTTCTTGTTGTGAGAATCTCTTGTATCATGTGCTTGTTTGAGGGTATGCTAGTATTATTTTTTTTTCTGCGCATAATTTATTTTTAATAAAGTTTTATCGATTGAAAAAAAGGAAACTTTTTCAGACTCCGGGGATTTATTTACCTAAAGGGAGAAGCAGAAAACTGAATACGACAAGGGGGATCAAGAGGAAAAGAGGGGCGTGTCCAAAAAGGAGATCTCGTGGGAAAGCATAAAGGCCTTGTCCTCCGGATTAGACTCACCGCTTTTCTTTATGAAGCTATAGATTCCTTTTTGTCTAATGAAGCCGCGCGACAAAAATGCTGAGCGGAAAGCTGAATTGAAGAGGTTTGATTGTAGGGGTTATTGGATTTTTGTAGACTTAGACAATGAAAAGTATCGCACCTCTTCTCTATTCGAGATCTAAAATATTAGATCTTCCGTGAATGATTAGAAAGACTTTTTGAGCATTTCTTGTACACGTAAGCTCCACCAAAAGATTGAATTTCGATTAAAACTGTAAATGACAGTGCCAGACGGCTCTTCCGGGTGACAAACTTCCTAAGTTCAGCAATCAAAATCTCAAAATCAACTTTGCTATTTCAAAACTCATACCAATATTGTATTTCAGTTGGGTATCTCTCGAAATATCTCCTTTTTCCGCTTTTCATTTGGGGATTCCCTCGGGGTGACAAACATTCCACAATTATCGCCTTCCGAGCATCGCCCCCCTCCGCTCTCTCCTTTCCCCCCTTTCAAGGGCCTTCCCATAATTGAGTGTATCCATTTCTTTTCCCTTTTTCTTTCTTTTATTATCTCTGCCACACCTCTTGATAAAATGAATTCAATTTCTGCGTGATCGCCTTAGATTGAAAACGAAATTAATAGGGAAATGAAAAACGTTTAGAGTTTTCGGCAATGCTCCCTGCTCATCGCCATTTTGGAGACGAATCTACTGGGCTTTACGCGGTTTTCAATATTGGCTGTGTTTCTATGATACTGGTGAGTGGAAATACCTAGGTTCCTCTTTTTCCTTTCTCTTCCCTAACAGGAAGATGCCGGATAGCTCAGTGGTTAGAGCATCTGCACGGAAGGTTCGTGGGTCGGATGGCGAAAACGTGGAGGGTTCGATCTTTGATCTCTTTTCGATCCTCTCTCTTTTCTTTGCCATTCATTACTTTATTTTATTAGTAATAAGGTTCAATATAACAATGAGTCCTCTAGAAGTACAATTTAAGGGTTCAATCTTGATCCTTTTATCCAAATATGCACGATAAAGTGAATCGTTTCATTACGCAGACTACGATAGAGCAGACTTCCGTTTGCTCTATCGTAGTCAGACTTCCGTTTGCTCTATCGTAGTCAGACTTCCGTTTGCTCTATCGTAAGCAGGTCTACCTCTTACAATAGTTCGGTTTTAAGACTTGCAATAGAACAATCATGGAAACGGTTTTACGGTAGCTCGACCTGCCTAGGCTGACTTTACACAGAAGGCTGAGTATCTTTTTTTGATGAACTAAGCAAGAGTTAGAATTTTAAAACCCCTAATCCTTTGATATTCCTTTAGAAGCCGAAATCGAGGTGGATGATTTGAATTTGAATCCCTTCAACACGATGCCCCCTTCACTTGATCGACTCCACCATGCGACCGCTTTCGACAAGAAATGGCTCATGTTTTTGTATCGAAATTTTAAGCAGGTGAACATTTCATCGACGATTACCCAGTTTTACTCAAGAATTAAATCCAAAAAAATTTGTTTGCGTGTCAAATTGTAGCATGATTAATCCAAAAAAAAAGGAGCCTATTTTGTAAAAAATTTTCTCATTTATTTTTTTCAAATTCTCTCACACTTTTATAGCTTTTTGCCTTCTTAAAAAAAAGTTTAAAAAGTCGATTTCTTGTCTTTGAATTGAAAAAAAAGGAAACTAATCTTTCCGTGGAATTTTTATGAAATTTTTTTTTATGCATCTCGATCCCGTTTTTTTTTTTTACTAGAAACGAAGCACGCAATCGACATTTTAGAATTGCCTGTCTTATCGACTTAATCTCTCTTTGTGGGCGCACTTGCTCAAAAATTTCGTTATTGTGTTATGCTAATTTTGAACGAAATTACGAAGGGTTTTCTGGTAGTTTCTTTCAAATTCGTCAATGAGTTTCGAACAAATTTGGTATTCCTTCCGCACACAGAGATGTCCATCGGGTCGAATGGGCGCCTCAGAATGCCGAGCGATTTTTCGCCAATTTTTCCCCCGCGCCGCTCACTATGCGTTCGCGGATCGACTTTTCCAGGTTCTTTTCCAGTTAAGCTCTTTTAGTTAAGGATTTAAAGTGAACTAGAAAGAAACAAAAAACGTGGCTAGAGCTTAAAGCTTTAGTCACGATCATTTGAGTCATTTGAGCTTAAATCCATGAGCTTCTTGTACTTCTTGTAATCGACTTGTCAAAAAACTTTCATTCCAGGCAATCACCAAACAAACCGGACGACCGTTTATCACTTTTGAGGTGAGTTGTCCAAAAAAATCAATTCATTTAAAAACAACTCTAGGATTTGGTGTTATGTTTGTTCGATTTGACAGATGGATCACATCATTTGAATGGAGATCTTTCGACGGCACACTCAACGGCGAATTTTATTGCCAACATCATCGGCACCGATGAAAAGGTGAACAGGATTGGGGTGAGGGGATTTGCCCTGAGTTTCGTCAAAAGGAGTTGCCGCATTTATTCTAATCGAAGCGCAGCCTCTAATAGAAGCAATAACTATGGAGATTCAGCTTAGTAGACCAAATACCCTGGCCTTTAAAGATAGATAAGGCCATATACGCATTTCCTTGAGAAAAATGGGAGTAGGCTAATTTTCGCAACAGGGTCATTAGCGCAACTTGCCATAACTCTCTTCTAAGTGGGCCAATCTTTATGATTTTGATCTTATTTTGTAGATATCAACAAGTGCAACAAAATGACACCAAAAATCATAAAGATTGGCCCACTTAGAAGAGAGTTATGGCAATCTTTTTGCGCAACTCACCATAACTTTCTTCTAAGTGGGCCAGTCTTTCGTCAAAAGGAGTTGCCGCATTTATTCTAATCGAAGCGCAGCCTCTAATAGAAGCAATAACTATGGAGATTCAGCTTAGTAGACCAAATACCCTGGCCTTTAAAGATAGATAAGGCTATATACGCATTTCCCTGAGAAAAATGGGGGTAGGCTAATTTCCGCAACAGGGTCATTTGCGCAACTCACCATAACTTTCTTCTAAGTGGGTCAATCTTTATGATTTTGTGTTATTTTGTTGCACTTGTTGAGATCTACAAAATAAGATCAAAATCATAAAGATTGGCCCACTTAGAAGAAAGTTATGGCGAGTTGCGCAAAAAAAATTTGGCGCAAAGTGCACAGCCGAAAAATGACATTCTTTATCGTTTTGTTTTGCATAAGCAGTGAAAATTTTGATAAGTTCTTCTTGCAATTAAGTAGTTAAGCTTATTTGGATCAAATTTAAAACCTAGATTAGGTATTTAAATTCCGTCGAGCTTAAGCTAATTTATGCTATGAAATTCTCACATCTTTAAACATTTTGACGTTTTATATTTTAGTATCCAATCCTTTAGCAAAGAATCTTTCTTGCTTAGTTCTTTCTTAGGTTATTACCGTATTCTCTCTAATAGTAGTACACCCCGTATTCTCTCTAATAGTAGTATACCACAAAATTAGTCGATCAGCCTGATCTTCTCTGTCCAATTCTCTTCCCGGTTGTTGGTTTCTTTTACATTCATCTAGTTGAAAATCGCCAAGCACAGCAAAGTTCACCTGAAATAGCTTTTGCTTTGTAAAGTCGCCTCAAATTTGTCTACTTTAGTGCTAACCAGATACCGTATTTTCTCTAATAGTAGTGCACCGCGGCGAGCCGAGTTGGTGACGATTTTACGGTTTCCAAGCTTTTGCAGAAGCTCAACACTCAAATCCCCCACAAGATCTCATCGTCAGCTACATTTTCCGACCCCACATCGATAGGTTCTGATAAGCGCTTTTCGAGATTTCGAGCAATTTAGGCGACGCTCATGGTGCACTACTATTAGAGAAAATACGGTATTTGCCTGATTGTACTTACTTGAACCATAGCCGGTTGTTGGGTGCTTAAATCAAGAATCACTCCGAGATCGGTTGGCGGTTGACCATCCATTTGAATGTCCGTTGGTGGCACAAATGGATTCACATCAATGGGCAGCATTCTGGGAATTGAAGCTTTTACTTTGTTACTATTAGAGAAAATACGGTATTATCATTATTGTTTAATCAGTAGCTTTTTTTGTATTGAATACGATAGTGACATCTCAATTGAAGTCGGCGACTCTAACGGTAATCAAATCGAGAATAATTTCTTTTTTTTGACGATTGAATTGTTTTTAATTGGTTGTTAAGGTTTTTTTCTACTTCATTAATTTTTTTAGTCATTCAAAAATACAAGCGGAGCCTCCAATAGAAGCAATTTTGTAGAATGATTGAAAAATAGTAGCGCATGCGCTTCTATTAGAATAAATACGGTACTTGAAAGCCAATAGACTTGAAAACACAAGACAATAGACTTTCTTAACGAAACTTGAAAAGCGACAGTCAAACGGGTGAGTCATTTCTCGCCCGAGTGCCATTTGGGAAATAGCAGTAATCTATGGCAATTTTCGACGAAATCCATGCAAAGACTTCAAGCAATCGTCTAAATAACAAAATTTCCAGGGCCGAGTCAGTCTTGACGCATGGGTCGGCTATGCGTCAGCGATTTGGGGTCTTCGAGCTTGTCGATCAGCCGCCGCCGCAAACGCGGCGAGTCTCGGTCTAGCACACGGGAATAGTGTGCATGCTAGTAAGGTGAGGAAAAAGAATTCTAAAATCACAGTGTTTCGATCCCACCTTTTCAGTGCCTGAACGAGCAAACTAAAAATGTAATCTTTTGAAGTTAATTCCAAGGTTTTTGACTTAAGCTTTGACTTTTGAAAGGAGGCTTTTTACTAGCATTTATACCTTTATTTGCACCCAGTTCAACTTAGAGTTTTAAAAAAATTGATCGATCTTCTAAAGGAAATTCAGTCAATGAGCCTTCACGGGGATTCAGAAGTGGCCGCATCGAAACGCTTGGCTCCACTCTTTGAACGCTACGCCAGAGAAAGATTTCTGGTAAAAAAAAAAGAAAAAAACAATGATTAGCAAATACAAGTGAAAAAATTTAATTTCGTTTAATTTAAAAAAACCGCTCAATTCAGGAATTCGACACAGATGGCGATGGTTTTGTCACTCTGGATGACATTGAGAGGGAAATTGATCTTTTATATGGAAATGACCTCATTTTGCACACAAAAGCAGAATACCTTTGTTGAATGGGAATTGTTTTGAGTTAGAGAAAATAAAGAATCTATTGAAAAACTGTAATATTGTATTTCAAAGGATTTTTCACTTTTCATCACCACCAACAGGCAAAGAGCCCACTCACCTTTAGATTATTTTTTTTTTTTGAGATTATTAATTTTCTTCAAAGGGAATAACCAGTGACTTGCATAAATTCATACCACACTCGAGGAGTATTTTGGGAATTCAACTGCAAATGTTGCGAAGCTTTTTTTCCGGTGTTTGGCGGTCTAAATAATAAATCCGTCTATATAGTGAGAGTCGTTGAGAAAATGGTCGAAAATAAATATTTATCACAAAAAAAAACCAAAACAAAATTTGTATTTACAAAATGAAAACAAAATTTACAAATTTAAACTTGCCAACGATTCGTAAAAACCATTTGGACCCTCAGTAGTCATCGATGAAATTAGAACCTAAATTAAATATTGGATTGAGTAATTCATGAGCCGATACCTTGTTTATCGTCATTTCTCCAAAATTGAAGTCGCCCATTTCTTTTAGCAGTTCTTTCGCGTCAAATGTTGGTCGCTTCTTGTGGTTTTCCTAAATCAAGCGTCTTACATGAAGAAACTTTAAAGAGTACAACTACTGTAATATCATCAGATACAGTAATTATCTACCAGGAATTGCTTTTTGCAAGGTGGCGCGGACCATCATCGAGGTCAATCTCGCCCACTTTATGAGCCAAGCGTTTCAGCTCGCGACGGCGGCGCTGAACCGTCGAAAATTTAAAATCAATCAAAGGAGTGTTTTATTTTCCCGAAAGACTTAAATTTTTTCCGCGCGCTGTTTTTGTCGAATCATTTCCTTTCAACAAAACCCTTCATAAACATTATTTATGAAACTTAAAGTTACCTCTGCAATATATCGGCTATTCATCAAAGTCATGTGGAGCTTCACATCTAGTTTATCGTTTTCACACAAATCGTTTTCAGCAAAAAGATCGCGCACTACGTTTGCCACCTTTTGAACACTAAAAGAGAGTTAACCTAGCTACTAAAAATCAATAACTCACAAATCGCCTTTAACTGTCCCGTAAAGTACATTAACATTCGCTGGGTCGTCGTTCATAATCTCCAAGCCAACCACTTGAACGGAAATCGGTTTCCCGCCAGTTATTGCACTGAAACTACTTAAATTAACACATTCTTCCAAAAGCTATTTACTTGATCTTTTCTTGTGCCATTTTCAGAACGGCCGAGGCCTTCGATTTCTCTTCTTTCGTGAAAAGCTTCATCACCGCGAGTGTGAAATGCAACTTCCGAGGTAGCATATATACAAGCTCATCTTTACACGAATCCTAAAATTTAGGAATAAAATTAAAAACACCATTAGTAATTACCGAAATCGTAGATGAAGCTTTAACAAGTTCTTTGAATCGCTGAAATGATTCAACAATGTTCTGGTGTTCGGCAACTGGGAAACAGGCAAAATGAGTCGGTCTAAAGTTATAAATTCCTGTTGATTTTCTATTAATAATATGGAAATCAAAGACCCGGAACAATTGAATAAACCAACCTTGCCTCTTTACGAGCTTTGATTACAGTCATTTCAATTCTATCAAGACAGCGAATCACATTTTCGTGAGAAACCGTCGATGAGATCTCTAAAAAGAAAGTTTTAATGAAAAGTACCAATGAGAAAAGAAAACAACGTACCAATGATCTCATTTTTGTCATTTTTGCCAGGAATTTTCAGACGACATTGAGTGCTCTTCTCCATTTCTTTTTGGTACACCCCTCGAAACCCAATTAAACGTCCGTAGAAAGATGCTGATACCTCTATGCTGAAATATGAAACAAAATATTTTCAAGTTCATTAACTATTACTTGGCCCTCCATTTTTGCCCATTGTGCTCAACTCGTTCATCTTCCACACATTTTGCCCATGCCAAAACGGCCACAACTTCTTTCTTTTCAACGACCTCCTGCTTCTGCACCGTTATCACCTCCTTCTTTTGTACAATTGAAACATCTTTTTTCTGAATTTTTTCTTTTCCTTTCTTATGTTGCGTTTCTTTTTTGAAAGGCTTTGGTGGTTTCTAAAAGATAGAACAGTTATATAAATTGTGCTTACTAATTCTTATTCAAACTTAGCGACACCCTAGCGCAAACTTGTTTAAAAATAAACCTTTTCAAAGCCAGGTGGTGGTGCAATATTGGCCAGGACAGGTAGACCGGGCGGTGGCGCCATCGTTTTAGCAGTGGTGACCGGTTTGGGAACGGCTGATTCTTGTTCTAAATGTTCCAATTAAGTATACTATCATACATATATTGTTACCTGACTGCCCCTCGGGTTCAGATTCTTCAGAATCGTGCCTTTGAAAGTCTATAAAAACATATATAAACTTGTATCTTTTGCAAAACCCACCAGGAATACAATCGAGAGCTTCATCTTCATAGTCATCTGCGTATAAATCCGCTGTGTCGCCACCATTAAACACTAATTCATTGCCTAGAAAAAAAAAATGACTAGCATAGAATCTTCATTCAGACTTTTTCCATTATACGGGTTTCTTCGATAATTTCTTCCAGAAACAGAATAGGTTTTTGTGTACAACGGAAAGTTCATGATTTGACCGAGTTGAAAAGCGTTTTTGTCGACAATACAGCCCCTAACTTTCGGATAAATTCGGTATCTTCGTAAAACGGTGCCAAATATCGATGTCGTCTAAACAAATTAATACGTCGACTGCTCAAATGTTTTCCAAATGTGCAATAGATAGGTAAGTCTCGATTTGTGTTCATACACGCGATTAAAAAGATAGTTTTCATTTCTAAAATTTATTAATGTCAGTCATAGACTCATAACATCACAAAATTAAAGGCGAACGTATGGCAAAATCTTGATAGTTAGACAGTTTCAAGAATAGTATCACAAACAGAATGAGCTATGCAATAACGTATTACTATGGAATTTTTAGATCTTTATGCAAATAAGACAAACAATAATAAAAACTACGTTAAGTAGTAGCAAAATAAAATGACTAGCGTAAAAATAACATGGCTGAGCAATATCTATTTCGTTAGAGAACAAAAAGTGAATGAGAATAAGCCTGGAATTATTGGTGTGAAATTCTTGAAAACCATATCAGTTCAGAGGTTTTGAACAATGTCCGAGACGGCGTTCACAAATCGATCCATTTCCTCGTCAGTTAGTTCCGATTGAACCATGACTTTGATGCTAAACAAACAAAATTTGTCTGCTGCTTTAGAAAATATGTCTACTAAAGCAAAGATGTAAAAAGTACCTTGACTCCACGGGGAAACATTCCTCCTTTACCAAATAGCGTGCTCGTGTGACAAGAATAGAATGATTGTCAAACAACTAAACTCATCAATGAGATGAAATAACCAAAGCGAAATGTAATTTACCTTGTCAACGAGTTGATCAAGAACCTCTTCCGCCTGCTCTTTTTTTCCTTTCCATTGAAGGTGTTTCAGAGGTGAAATTTCGGCGCCAACAAGAGCAAACAAAGTTCCCTAAAATGAAAACATGAATGCCAAACAAAGAGAAACGCACCGAAAATATTTTTTCCAAGGCCTTATGAACTTTAGTAGCGTTTTCTCGCACACGATTGACCCGTTCTGGTTGTTCATCGATGATCTTGATAGCTTCAGAAGCCGCCGTTGCAAGAAGTGGTGGCAGGGAGGCAGAGAAACAGTATCCAAGACCTGCATAATAAAACTTTAACCACCTTAAGAGCCGATTTCAATTGTAAACTAGTTTTACCTTTGTTATCTCATACCTACTAAAAAGTGCTGATGGCTTTCAAAAGATTGTTAACAAAACTTGTTGCAATCAAAATATCCACTAATCAACTCATACTTACCAGAGAGTCGCTGGTGCCCCACAACGTAGCTCCTTCCCACACAAAAGCCACCAGTTGATGCAATAGCATTCTCAAGTGAAGCCATAACCATATCCACATCGATCATCGGAATATTAAAATGCTCGGTAACACCTAAAAATTTTCAAAGGTACGCAAAAGTTTTCCGCTCTTTAAAGATTGTCAACACGTGCGCGTCAATTATATCGCTTTTATTTATCGCCCCGCGCAAACAGTCAATTCTTATTTTCATGTAACACGTGCGAGATATTGTTGAACTTGAGATAAAAAGGAGAGAAACGCAGACCTATAAAAGACACTTTCAACCCTGTCTGTTGCATATTTTGCATTTCAACCCTGACTATGAGATTTAGCGGATACATGCAATACTTTTAAAATTGATTCTATCACCTTTGAAATTTTTATCTTTGATAATTTTCTTTTCTTTGCCATGCAAAAATCAAAGGGTTCATGCCGAAAATTCTTTTCTTTTCATCCTCGACAAATGGGTGTTGTTCCCTTGTTCAAAAGGAGTCGCTCAAACATTGATATAATCTCGAGAAAATTGATAGACGGCAGTGGGGAAAAGAAAAATCCATGAGAAAATAGACATGAGTCTAAATGATTCTCATGAATTACCCTCAAAAAATCATTTCACTTTCCATTCCATCGTTCATTTCGGGTTTTTTGGTGTTTTCAATTGGCAGTTTCGCCGTTTCAAATTTCCGTCACATGTCAAGCTTGATGTGAATGGTGTAAAGTAAACGTCATTCTTTAGTCATAAGCTTCCTTGAACCTTGAAAATTGCCACAAACATTTCCTCTTGGCAAAAAGCTTTAAAATTTCATTGTTCATAGAGCTCTGTTACGTGTTGTTTTTAATCATCATGCCCGTCAACTCGGATTATAGCATTCACTCGCATGGAAAAAGACTAAAGCATAAATAGGCAGTATGGTCAAATTTATTGTATTTTTCTTTGAAATCCCTTTTCTAAAAGCTATTTTAAAATTGTATATTGTAAATTCCTTTCTTCAACTTCTACCAACATCTTTAGTGATGGTAAAATGGTCTACGAGCATTTTCCTTTCTCTCCTTTTTCTATGTGCAGTCTCCATAACGGCAAAATCGATTGAAACCCCACGAGATCAAAGAGAGATCACGGAAGAAAACTCACAAAATCGAGTTGTTTCATACGAGGTTAGAATAAGATAACATTTACTCTAGTTAATTTCAGAAAACGACAATCTCAAATCGAGTGGATCCACCCCAGCCACCAACATCATCTGATCCCATTAACTACACTCAGCCAGATGAAGGTATTAATAACCACAAAAGGAGTTACTGAAAAATATAGGTGCCCACTACGTTTGCAATGAAAAGTCAGCGCCAGGACGAGAAAATATTTACTGTAAGGGAAAACTACTCGAGGCTGTTATGGCAAAAAGTCTTTATTCGGATAGTAAGGTATGTAGAGAAATATAAATCGCTACTGAAATAGAGGTTTAGACTTTTGTGGATCGGCCAATCAAACAGAACAAAACTGGGCCTAGTGTATACACTGATTTTCTCGCCCGATTCCCAGAGGATATTCACGAGATCGACCCGATTCAGCTCAGAACATTTGTGGACGAAAATTTCGACAAAGAGGGACAGGAGTTGAATGAGTACTAGATCACTAAAAAGACCAAGCAAATAGAAAAATAGGTGTTTCCTTGATGATTGGTCTCCGGAACCCCAAGGACTTATTGGCATTGCCGATACAACTCTGCGCAAATTTGCTTTCGAATTGAACAAAATCTGGAAAGAACTTTGCCGAGTGGTTGATGAAAAGGTGAAACACAAGATATTAGGAACTTAAAATTATGGCTATTGAAGGTAAAAGATGAACCGGAACGATACTCGCTTCTTTATGTCCCCAATAGATTCATTGCTCCTGGAGGTAAATCAAAGAGTATTCCGTGTAATTTTCATAAAATTAAAGGTCGATTCCGTGAATTCTACTATTGGGATGCCTATTGGATCATTCGTGGCCTACTTGCATCAAACATGTATGAAACCTCCAAAGCGATGATTCTCAACTTCAAAGTGAGATTTTGAGATGTGAAGCCCCAACATCGGAAAATTAAGCATATCGTTGATGAGATTGGTTTTGTACCCAATGGCGGAAGAGTCTACTACTTGCAACGATCTCAACCACCACTATTTGCAGCTATGGTCTATGAACACTATGCAGCGACATTGGTAAGAATAACTTACAAACACTCGATTAGCTTTCCAGGATCTTGCGCTTGTAAAAGAAGTTCTTCCAAGCATCGAAAAAGAATTGGCTTTCTGGAAAAACAATCGGTCAGCTGAAGTGAATATTGAGGGAAAATCGTATGATATGTTGCAATATCGGACGCCTAGCAATGTGCCAAGGTAAAAAAAACAAAACATAAAGGTTAAAAAATCTTTATGAATAAGTTTTTAGACCTGAATCATTTCGAGAAGATGTTGCTATTGCTTCCCAATTTCACGAACTATCGCGAAAGAGACAATTTTGGCAAGACATTGGTAGAGGATAAAAACAAGCTATTTTACCAAGACTTTAGCGAGTGCCGCTGAATCGGGATGGGATTTCAGCAGTCGGTGGTTTGCTGATTCGCAAAATTTGTCCTCAATCGAGACTACAAACATTATCCCCGTTGATCTCAATGCATTCTATTGTTACAACCTTAACATTTTGGGATACCTGCATGGAGAGCTAGGTAACAAAAAGGAAAAAGACTTTTAATTGGGTTTTCAGGAAATATCACCAGCGAACTTCATTGGATGCAAGAATACATCGAGTTTCGTGACAAATTCCGCCGAGTTTTCTATGTTCCCGGAAGCAAAGGATGGTATGGTTAGAAACATTCACTATGGACAAAAATGCTAGGTATGACTATAACTTGAGGACCAGGGAACACAATCTCCATTTCTATCCTTCTATGGCGGTACCTTTGTTCACAGGTGACCTCCTGGAATTACTGATTCTTTAAGCTACTTGTGTAGGCTGTTATGATCGACTGGCCACACGTGATGCAAATCAACTATACGATCAAATGTCTGATATGGGAGCATTCAATTTCGTGGGTGGAATTCCTACAAGTCTGGAAAGAACAAGCAATCAACAATGGGATTTTCCAAATGGATGGAGCCCGTTGAATCATATGGTCATTGAAGGACTTCGAAAGTCGGGAAACCCGAGGTGAATAAAGGAAAAAATAAAGGAATAAGCTTTAAATTTAGAATGCAAAGGAAAGCCTTTGATCTGGCCGAGAAATGGGTTCTATCAAACTATCGGGTTTTCGTAGCTGATCGAGCGATGTGGGAAAAATATAATGTGGCTTCAGGAGCGCCAAGGGGTGGAGGAGGAGGTGAATATGAAGTTCAGGTAATTAGGAATAGGAAACAGCGATAGTGGTCCCAAATTTAGGCTGGGTTTGGGTGGACAAACGGAGTGATTTTGGATCTGCTCAGCACATATGGCGATCGAATGCACTTTGATGAACTATTGTTCAACAATCCGAGGAGCAAGGATAAATCACCGACAACTTTCACAGTGTTCAGCGATGACGCATATACTAGCTCCAAACCATCATATCAATTTCTCCTTTCTATTCTTTCCCTCATTTGTTACAAGTTGTTTTAATAATCCTTGCAGTAATATAACCTGTGATTTTCATCTAGTTCCAGAACGGGTAAAAATAAATTATGAATTCAAAGTTTACCTCTGCCTGTCTTTCCAAGAACACCAAAACTGTAACTCTCGTCGATGAAAATTCGCACCTAAACAAAGCTTCGAATTTTAAAAGTCAAGAAAACAGCACTTTGTGTTGCCACTTGAACTCCATGAGCTTTTGAAGAGGACAAATTTCACCCGAGTTAGCATAGATTCCCTCAACAACCATGAAACGCCGAGTCTTCCCTGCTTTTACAGAATCCTAAATGGGAATCACTTAAATAAAAAATGTTCCAGATAAATTACCCTTTTGTCCTTTTCAGCTTGAAGCTCCAACAATCTTTCGAGATCTTCCATGTCATTGTGCTCAAACCACTCAACACGAGCTCGAGAAGCTTGCAAGCCCTTTTGGATCGCAAAGTTGACACCTAAAAGATTAATAAATCAAAACACAGATTCTTACATTAACTTTAGGTACCTTTATCTACAAAAATGACATCTCCTCTCTTGGCATAGGCTGGAATTGCAGAAGCTGAAATTTCATTTTTAGCAAATTACCAATAACTTCTTCAAAAAATAAAACATCAACTAACCAATTGTTGCAAAACCGTAGCTGTACAAAACGGCTTCTTCGCATCCAAAGAATTGAGCCAATTCCTAAAATACAACAGGCAATGCTTGAGCTTAAATAAAATTATTTGATTAGGCATTTTGCGCTTACTTTTTCAAGATCCAAATGCACATCAACTGTTCCGTAGAAACCACGAGGCCCACAAGACCCAACTCCGTACTTGAAAATCGTCTTTTTGGCAACGTCCTAAAAATTATTTAGGTCAAAGTCAAAATCACGTTTCTCACCTCAATTCGTTGTTCGCCAACAAATCCAAGGAAATTGCTAGTTACCATGTTCAGGTATTCCTTTCCCTCGATTTTCACGTACTTTGTCATTTTTCTAAAAAACTTATATCAAAAAGCATACAATATGCCAATCACCCATCGATGAATCTTGGGTTTAAGACGGGGTGATCTTGAGGTGTGTCGGGCACAAGAGGTTCCGGCTTCCATTCTGCTATCAACTCATCTTTTTGCTAAAAATCATCTTATTTGGTTTTCAACATGAGCCGTAAATGTTGCTCAAAATAAGTGTTACTTAAAAACAAATCCAATTTTTTGTGTTGGTTCTAACTCATAAGTTATCATAAGAATTTGCATAATTCACCTTTTCCGTTAGTTTGACTCGAGAATCCTTCACTTCTCTGCGTCTGAAATAGAGAAATGTGACGGCAGCAATTAGAAACGTTTCCAACGCATAGTGAAGCGTCGACGCCTAAAAATAGAGACAAAATCAATAGCAGAAACTTTGCTTACCTCGCCGAATATTCCAAGGAGAGTTGCGAACATTTGTTGTTAGTAGCCTTGGTGGTGAAAATACCCTAAAATAAACTTTTAGGAGTCTAGAAAAACAAATAAAAAATTGTTGGAAAGAAGTCCAATAAACCAAGATTTTCGCAGTCTATTGCGGCTCATTATGTACTTTGCTCTTGTGGGCAACGGCTGACCCCTCTTCTTTTGCTTAGTCACAGCCAGCCGCGTTTATCAATGCACAAAAAGCATGGCGTGATATTTTTCTGCGAACAAAATCTCACCATCTGTTGGTGCGCAAAGAATTTTACATAAAAATGCTTAAATTTGAGCGACGCCACCATTTGACACAACCCTCACTGTGTGACTAATCGTTGAGTAAACATCGAACACAGCGTCTCTTTTAGGAGGTATGATTGGCGAAAGGCCAGTTCATTTCATACACGGACTTTTGATAAAGTTTATTATAAAATCAACAGCAAAATAATAAAATAAACAAAATTTAAACGCTAGTAACAACTTGATTTAATGATTTCTTTTTCTTCTTTCGACGGAGCGGAGTCATAGAATTTGAATTACTTGTCTAAAAATGAGTGAGTAGAAAAAAGGATGAATAACTCACCATTTGTTTCAACTTCTCCTTTTTAACTTTTGGTACATCAACTTCGTTCTTCTCCTAAACGTGGCATGTATCAACCACCATGACCAGAAACTAACCCTCAAACCATTTGCTACTTTTCTCCGTTTTATCTTTTTAGAAAGATTTGTTTGTTCAATCATCTAAAACAAAAACAAGAATGAAATATATAAATAAAGTTTACACTTTCTGACAATTCATGGGTGCTGCAATCGATTCCTTCTGTGTTAAGTTCGTTGCTAAGAGAAGTCTCATCCATCGTCATTCGTTTTTTCTTCTTTAGCTTCTTTTTCTTTTTTTGGGGTGTCTAAAAATTGAAAAATAAAAATAGACGTCGGGTAAATGTTTTACATTTTCTTCGCTGAGTAGACTAATCGATGATTTTCGTTTAACCTTTTTCTTCTTTAACAGAGTCTAAAATTTTGAAGTCTCTTAATAAAATAAAATAAAATAAAAGTAGGTACTCAAATAGTTGCAAAATTGTTACTTTATCATTGGCAGATTTTTTCACTGCTAAATCCTCTTCCTTTGTCATCTAAAATTAGAAGAGTTTGTTACTTTTCTATAAATGCAAATAAAACCTGAAACTCCTCGCGACTAATTGCTACACCAACATCAACAACATCCATTTGCCTAACCCTAAAATGAAGACTATGGGGAGAAGGACCATACCACGTACTTGATTTGTTTTACTTCCGCTTTTATTGTTGATTTGTTGACCTCCTCTCGAGAGATATGCATTAATCCCTTTAGAAGGGGAGAGGGTTTCGTCTGAAAATCTTCTCTCTGAAGTGAAAAATAAAACTAACCACGTTAACTTCTTCGAAGAGAAGCACAAAATGATCCTTTAACTCGTGCAATTTTGCTAGGCTAAAGTTAAAATAGCTTACATTTAATTTTAAATGCTTCGTTAACTTAAAAAGCTTACCTCTTATTTGATCGCGAGTGTGAACTGAGGAATGCGTATATGTCCAAAAGTTCGATAGAAACACCTCTAATACTCGTAACAATGTCGGCAATGATTCCAATAAAAACCATAGATTGACTCAGCTGAAAAGCAGATCTTTGAGTAGAAGTAGAATTGCAAACCCAATGTCCAACATCCAAATAGTCTAAACACCCGTTTGTTGCACTAATTCCTCGACGACGAGCCTAAGAGGACATTTTAGAAAAAAAAGATAGGATTGAAAAATTACCGTCTCAAGTCTTGATAACTGTTCATAAACTGCTGTCTGTAGATATTCAATAGCCTCTGATGTGAGCGGAAAATTGGTGGCGTGAGACAACTTTCGATGTACATTTGTCATCCAATCTTTTATCTCTTTTGGTAAAATCTAAACCATTTTGTTGAACAAATGCAAACTAAAATCCCACCTTCTTCAAAACAGCATAAAATGCTTTTATTTGTCGCCACATATGAAAATGTCGGAAGGAGTTAGCTCGGACATAGCTCAGTTGATTCAATCGGATCATCGAATCCTGGTGAAGACCCTTTTTACACAGCGCAAGCTAAATTTAGAGTTTTAGCTGATGACTCAAGTAAAACACTCACAAATCTTTCTACGGCCTTCAACAAAATTTGGGCGTCTCCGTTCGATTCACTTGTTGATGGAGTAGTCTCAAAAATGTGCACCGGCGGGTCGAGTCGAGAAAATTTTAATTGGATCGCTTCTTTTTCTCTCATTTTCTGTAATATCTTGCACTGAGTAAAAAGTAATAACAGTAACAAAAACCATAAAAAATAGGTATAAGAATTTTTACAAAAGCTCGTTCGCATTTTTGGTTAAAGAATGCAATTTGGCTTACAATCAGGCAGGTTTCGACCTAGGTGAGACAATGTGGATTTAATTTACTCAAATAATTAAAAATCAAAGTCTACTTGCTTTTAATATGCATCGAAAAGCAATGAAAGCAATTTTTATTTGAAATTACAAAAGCAATGATATTATTTCGTTATACTGAATATCCTAAAAATTTAAATAAGGTAAAATCGGCAGCAGACCAATGTGCAAAAATCATTACCGCGTGTTGTTCTGCCTTTCCGATGTCGAATCAATTTTTCACAACGTCTTTTTTTACTTTGAAATGGTCTGAATATCGTGATGTTGATTCTAAAAACCTTTCCTAATGTGTGTACACCAAGCACCACTGAACGACTTGATAAGAAGAACTAGATTCTTCCCTTTTTTTTATCCTGTGCAAATAGATAAGTTAAACCACCCTTCAAGGTCGATTTCTTCCAATTATGTTTGATCACAGCGACCACTTTTATTGCTTTTTTGCAATTTAGTAGATCAACCATAAAATGCGCTATTTAGATGAAGGAAAATGAAACAAATAATCAAGCAATGGACGAGGAGAAATTGGAAGCGGCGGTGATGACAAAGAAACTACCACAGAAAAAGTTCTACAGGTTGGGAAGTTTAAGCTTTATGTTACCTAAATCACGGATTTTTTAGGCAGAGAGCTCATTCAAATCCTCACTCTGATCACGACATCGAATATCCATTAACTCCGGATAGGTGGGTTTTTAAGAAATAATTTTATTTTACTTTTTTAGGATGGACTGGACTACGCTGTATGGGGATTATGCGAACGGGCGGACAGTGGAATTTGCTGATGTTGGGTATGTATGTATTGCTCTTAATATTTTTTATGAACAAACTATTAGTTGTGGATACGGCGGTCTTCTTATGCAATTGAGTCCGAGATTTCCCGAGACACTAATGATCGGGCTTGAGCTACGTGTAAAGGTTTGGCTTGAAGATTTTATGCAAAATGTTTTACTAATTTTAGGTTTCAGATTTTGTCACAGAGAAGATCGAAGCGCTAAGACAAAAAGCTACAACATCGGGTGACACTGGCGCTGGTTTCAAGAATGTCGCCTGTTTAAGAAGTAACGCTATGAAGTTTGTTAGGCATATTGTTTCTATTAAAAATTGATATTAGATACATGCCAAATTATTTTGGTAAAGGCCAGTTGACCAAAATTTTCTTTCTCTACCCGGATCCTCACTTTAAAAACCGAAAGGTGGGTTTTATGCAAAATCATTAAATAGTGGATGTTTTAGCATAAATGGCGCATTGTCACCCCTGGAATGCTGGCGGAATATGCTTATGTACTTCGACCTGGAGGTGGGCCTTGGCTTAAATTATAGCGAGAGGTAAAGGCTTGTTTTTAGGATTGATTTATACAATGACTGATGTGCAAGATTTACATGAATGGATGGTGGCTCATCTTTCATCTCATCCACTGTTTGAACGACTAACAAAGGAAGAAGAGGTAACATTAGAAGCATCACGTAGAAAACGTAAAATTTCTACCTCAAATAAGCAAAAGGATTGATTACCTTTAGGATGCTGATCCTGTTGTACCATTGTTGTTTGAGTCAACCGAAGAAGGGCAAAAAGTTACGCGGAACCATGGAAGCAAATTTCCTGCTGTCTTTCGACGCAAAGAAAACCCTGTTGAAAAAAATTGATTTTTTTTTGTTGGTTTTGTTACATTTATTTGTTGATTTTTGTGGTTAAATAAAACTCATCAAGAGTTGGCAATTAACAATATTGGTTGTAAACCGATCGCTTTTTTTCATTTGAATTAATTACACTTTGTTTTCATTACATTTGTGGAATTTAGTGATCGGTTAACGAATTTTCCCACTCAAATAATTTCAAGATAAAATTTCTTTTGTCGGTAATAGTTTTAATTCTGTTTAGACAGGCTGATGGGTGATGAGGACGAATATGAAAGTCTTCCGTCGACGTATAGCGTTCCGGTATCGCTCATTGCTTTGCTTTGCAATTTTGTTTTGCAGGTACATATGACGGCTGGCGCGTTGGCAGGGATTACAGAACATTGCATTATGTTCCCAATTGATTCAGTTAAAACTAGGATGCAAGTAAGTTCAAAATCGTGTTTCTAAGCTCAATCCTTTTGGTTTTTAAGCTTAAACTTTTAGTCCCTTTGCCCATGTCCAGACACGCAAAAATGCCCAACACCAGTTCACTCGTTGATGCGGATAGTGAAAAAGTGTGTTTAGCTTTAGTTTTTATCGGATTTTAATTTTAGGGAAGGCTGGTTACGACCGCTTCGAGGAATGAATGCAATGGCGGCTGGAGCTGGGCCAGCCCATGCAATGTATTTTACTGTTTATGAGAAAGCTAAGGTGGGGTGGTAGAATTGTATTTTGTTGTACAGTATTTGTTCAGGAATTCTTCACAGGTGGAACTTATTCTCATGCTCAAACACACTCCTATATTGCTGCCGGCGTTCTAGCAACATTAATTCATGATGCAGTAATGAACCCTGCTGAAGTAATTTTAACACTTGCATGAGTGATATTCTTTTAGTTTAGGTTGTTAAACAGCGTATGCAAATGGCATTCAGCCCTTATGGGAGGTAAATAAACCTTATATAGCACTGCCTTATAGAAAATCTTTTTTCAGTAGTCTTGAATGTATTCGATGCGTTTACAGGCGAGAGGGTATCAGTGCTTTTTATAGGTGGGTGTTAGTTGTATAGAGTGCTAGTTTTTAAATAATTTAGATCTTATGCTACACAGCTTGCAATGAATTTGCCCTTTCAAGCAATCCACTTCTCAACTTATGAATTTTGGCAGCAAGTACGAAAGCCCACTTTATATTTCAATATTCCAGTTTAGGTTTTGAATCCAGAGCACAAATACGACCCAAAGTCTCATTTTATTGCTGGTGCATTTGCGGGTGAGAGGAGTTTTTTCCTGATAAATTTTTAATTCACTCTAGGTGGGCTTGCTGCTGCTTTTACTACACCCCCTTGATTGTATTAAGACGGTTTTAAACACACAACAAACTCCAGAAATTGATAGTAACCGTGTTCTGTTGAAGGTATCAAAGGTAGTGTTATTGAAAGTAAAAAGAGTTTTCGTTCTAGGCTACACGTGTCTATCGGGGCATGGCCGACGCGACCCACTCAATATATAGACAAAGGGGATTGAGGGGATTTACTTGTGGAATTCAAGCTCGTGTAATGTATCAGGTATTTGAGTTTTCAAAACATTTGTAATTGTTGCAAAATAGATTCCGGCTGCTGCACTTTCCTGGTCGGTATACGAGCTTTTCAAATTTGTTCTTGGATATAACGAAGCAAAATCAAAGTGAATTAATTGGTAAGCTGTTACCCCTGAGGTTGGGAACAGTTAGTTCTTTTTCGATTATTGTTGTTTCTTCAGAGTTTATGATGTGCCTTTTTTTTGGAATGCTTGCTTTACTGGTCCATTTAGATTATAGTGATAATAGGTTAGCATAGATAACATGTGTTAAATTTTTATGTTATGTTTTATATATTCTTTCTTTCAGCCTTTTACCCCTCCCTGTATAGCAAGTCTGATTTGAGCGTGATCAATAAATTTTTTACTCGATTAATAAAGAAACACATTGAAATCAGCTTAAGTTCTGCGGTTTTTTATTGTCTCTTTTTTATCTTTTGTGTCCTTTTTGGGTGGGTGTGTTTTTGGCAAGGGGAGTCTTTCTTGTCGTTAAATTTCAGTTGTTATCGATCAATTTCTATATGGGTGCAACGTGTGGGCGCTATTTAGTCATTTGGAGAAATCCACTATTTAGACCTTCAACTTTCACTTCAACCTACCTATTTTTTTAGAATGACGGACACTGCTTCATGCCATCTGTCAAAATCCTGCGTCTTGACTTCTGCAGCCCTCGTGCTCGGAGGTGTAGCAATTGGATATGGTGTGAGTTCCATTCCTAACTATCGCCGCATGCAATTTTTTTCTAAACTTTTCTCAGATTTCCTAAACGATTTACCGCAAAGTCTTTTAAACAACTTAAAATTCACAGAGTGCTTCGTTGAATGGTATTTTCCTGGTGCTCTTGGGATTAGCCGTTGGAACAATAGTTTGTTTTTCTAAAATGTTTATCCCCAATGGCACTGTGTATCTCTTATGCTTCTGTCTTTTAAAAGCAAATTAACCCGGCCAAAGGAAATTTGTACTGGGGTTATATCGGTTCTGGGTGCTGATATTCTTCTTGTTTGTGTTCCAAAATTAACAAAAGACGCACAATGAAATAATTATTGTAATACGTAAATTTTTCTTAAAAATTAGGTTTAGATTAGCTACTTTACCTCTCGCCGCAACGTCCGCGTCAACTGCACGCACAAGCTCGAATGTGATAAGGTGAATGTGTAAGTATATTTTCTGTATTTTTCTTTTAAGGTGGTAGATACTGTCGACATGGAGGACATCGGCGACAAGAAAACGTTCTGTCGATGCTGGAAATCGAGCAAGGTACAGTGGTCGACACTTTGTGTTGCTGATATCAAAGTTTAGTTTCCATATTGCGATGGAACGCACAACAAACACAACAAAGAAACCGGAGATAATGTCGGACCTCTCATTGTTCAGAAGGTAGTTTTGAGGTTTTAAAAAACTTACCTAACTAACAACTTCAGAGCAAACAATAAAGCAGTCAGTTGGAATGAATTACGCCTACGGGAATTTTTAGCTCGTGTCATTTTTATAATTTTTATACGTGTATAGTTAATGTCATTTGTGCACTGGTTTTTAAATTTTAAATTTCGAAATGGCTGTTTTTAGATGGTTGAAAAATAAATTTTATAAACTTTTTAAGCACAGGTATTTCGATCGATAGCGATCTATAAAAGCGCGGGGTCAATGTCTTATCAAGCGTATCAACAATCATAAAGACAGATGGGACAGAGAAATTGATTAGAGAAAGGCAAGGAAAATCTCTACTGCATATTGGTATCCCAAACTTACTTTTTGTCCGGGCTAGTGTTTTTCTTTTGCTCTCTTTACTTTTTGTCTCTCTGCGGGGTTGTTTACGCAAAAGAGGGCAGCCTCCTCTTGTTGCTTTCGATTCAAACGTTCACTTGAGACTTTGAAATTTCACACGTATCATGCAGAAAAGTTTAGAAATGGAGCGATTGTATTTAAAATTGGCCGTTCGATATTTGAGATCTTGTCGCTTACTTTCTTCGGCTGCAGCTACGACCAGTATTGATTCTGTTAATCCAAAAGTTGTGCCTCCTGAAGCAGCGATCGATCCAAAACCATTTTCTTCTATTCCCGGCCCTGGGAGAATTTCTATGATTGGAGCATTGCGGAAATTACGATCGAGTACGAAGACTTTCGGTATTTTAAAAAAAGCATGAGGTGTTGATAGTTTTTTGTGTTGTGCTTTAGTTTTGTTCACTTTAGTAGCAGTAAATTAGAAAGGATTATTTGCATGTATCCTTCCAAACTAAAAATGCTAATTGTTCCTGATTTTACATAGTCTTAGAATGTGAAATTTGCACCCGTCAATTTTATAAGTGCTTTAAGCTTTAAGCTTTAAGATGAAGCGGAAATCCGAGGCTACTTCGACGCTTTGGCTGATTTACAAAAAATTTACGGAGACTTGGTGAAAGTGGAACAAGGATGGGGACGTGGATCGGTGGTACATGTTTTTGATCCAGGTTGGCCACAATTTTTACCGTAATCAATACGAAATACGTCATATTAGTGCCAAATAGAATAAATGAACTCTTTCCAGTAAATGTTATGGTTTACGGTAACTACCCCCTACCCTAATCCGTTTCCCATTTTTGCAATAATTGGTAAACAAGCCATCAACCAATTGCAGAAGATTCGAAAACGGTTTTCAACGCGGATGGCCGACAGCCACACATTGTTCCGCTACAAGAAACCACTCAAAAGTATCGAGAGATGAAAAAAATGAATCCGGGATTGGGAAATTTGTAAGTAAAACAGCGAAAAACATCACTGAAACCATCAATGAAACAATTGAGTCTACCGTAAATACTGTAATAGTCGCACCCCCATCGTACAGTCGCGTAGTCGCGAAAGTTTTTTAGTATCTCATTTTTTTCATTTTTTTTTCCAATACTTTTTCCAATAAAGAGGTGCTAGTAAAAGCGCCAAATTATTTGCGCCAAATTTGCGCTTTTCAACACACTTTCCTACCAACTCTGATTGACCATTTACATATTTTTTTTTCAGTTTTTCCTCGTCGACAATGCTCGCTATTTTTCCGCATTCACCGAATCTGAAAATGGCATAAGATCGATAGAGAGAATAAAAAGCCCAATCGGAGACATAAAAATGACTGTTTTTTGGGGCTGTATAGGTATTTAAACGTGTTTTTTTAATTGAAAACAGTGAGAACTAAAATTTTGAAGCAGAAAGCTGAAAAAAGTTGGTTAGAAGTTGAGAAAAAGTGATTTGTTACAGTGATTTTCATAAGGGTAAATTTTGGCGCAAATGAAACGTGGTGCAAAAAAAATGCGGCGCTTTTGCTAGCACCTCTCAAAAAAAAATGCGTTCTTGGTTTCAAAAAATAACCCTGAATTCTAGCTATTTTGCTTTTAGCTATATTATTTCAGCTATTAAGCGCGCATCTTAAATCAGTGTCAAGAAAAACGCGTTCAAAGCTAGACTACGCAACACTTTGCACTGTCATTATGAGGGTTGAATACTATTAAAGTATTTACAGTAGTTAAATATTTAAATTGTTTAATTCAGAAATGGTGAAGAGTGGTATCGTTTGAGAAGCGCCGTCCAGCAGGCGATGATGCGACCGCAAGCCGTCCTTCAGTATTTACCCTTTGTCAATCAAGTAAATACATTTCAAATTATCAGGATTTTTTTGCAACTTTACCGTCAGATTTTTTTTTTTCTAGGTTGCTGATGATTTGGTAAAACACATCAAAGAAAGCTTGGATCCGAAGGAAGAGGCTGATATGAGGAGAATTGCTGGAAGGTTTGTTGGAGATCGAATTATTCTTTTCTTTTTTTTAAGCACTTTTTTATTTTTTTTTAAGCACGTTCAAATTTTAGATGGGCCCTCGAAGCAGCCGGTTTAACCGTTTTCGAGAAAAGACTTGGCTCATTTGGGGAAAATGTGAAGTGGGCTGATAACTTGGTCGATATAAACAGGTTAAATTCTTCAACGAAATGGCTTCCTCTTTTTTTTTTTAGAGAAATCTTTCGTTTGTCGGCGAAACTGAAATTCGTGGCCCCATTCTACAAAGTGGTGAGCACGCCGAAATGGAGGAAAATGGTCGGATTGGAGGATGCGTTTTACAAGTAAATTTTGAATCCGATTTTGCGCTTTTTCTAAAATTGTCGTATCTATTGTAAATCTATCGTATTTCTAAATCTTACGCTACTTTTTTTGGCAATCTTATGAGATCTATTAGATAGAAAAGAGCTCTATCTCTTTGTGCGCACTACTTTTTCGCACCTAGTGGGCCGTGTCAAATCACTTGTACTCAGTTTGACCTAGAATTCCATGTAGTTGTGCAACATGTTTTGAAATTTTTAAAAAACCAAAAGTGCCGACGCAAGCCGGAGCCGAACCAGGATTGTGTGGGCTAGAGACAAGTGCGCTCGCACTGGATTCGGTGGTTTTCCTTTATCTAGCCAGGCTTTGCGTTTTCGGTTATCGTAGAGGATCCATTTTTCATCACAAGTTACAATTCGATCCAGAAATGGCTCCTTTTGATTACGAATCAGCAATGAATACGATGTGAGGTAACGGTACAATTTTTGATATTCGTTCAACTGACGAGGCACCTACTTTTCCAACTTTTTACTTTTCCGATTTCCTTGAGATGGTTCCCAATTATGTGTGGAGTGACCCCAAAGTGCGTTGCTAATTCTGCCTCCGTTGTTCTAGGATCCGTTTCTACCAGCTCCTTTAGTTCGTCATCCCATGTACTAGAGCATGGCCGAGTGGTTAACGCGCGCGTTTCTCAAATGAACGGAATGAACGGAGGTCGGGCTCGACCCCTTTTGCCGCCAATTCTGCTGCTTTTTACTCCACATTTTTTTGCTAGTAAATAAAACGGATAAAATTTAGGGAAGCTACTAAATTGATCAACGAGGCAATCGAAAAACTAGGAAACGAGACGGGAAACGAAGAAGAAATGTTCTTTGCGAGTCATCTTGTCAATAAGAAAGAACTCACGAAAAAAGATATTTCGGTGAGTGAGAGTTACAGAAAGTTTAAGCGCAACAAAGAAAATGAGAGTACGGTAAAAGTAATGAAGCTAATTGAAATGATATCGCTAAAGTAAAGTAATTTTTTTCACTTAAAATTTTCAGGTGATCATGTTGAGCTTGTTCTCCGATGGATTGAGCACGGTTTGAGAAGAGATTTCAGAAGTTACCCGCAAAACTTTGTTTTTTTTCAGACAGCTCCCATGCTTATCTATAATCTGTACAATTTGGCGGCGAACAAGGAAATACAGCAACAAGTTCGAGATGAGGTGAACAAAGTGGCGAAACCGTGGGAACGTGAGTGATGTGGATTTGAATTTTATTGAAAAAAAAAGATTAACTTTAGCATTTACACCGGAAAAGCTCACAAAGTTGCCGTTTTTGAAGGCTTGCATCAAGGAGACTTTCCGATTGTTTCCGATTGGAACAGAGGTTTGAAGAAGTCAAATTTCCTATCGATTAACCCGTTTTCTAAAAGGCATTGATTTTAGAAAGCTACCGTAAACTGTTAATATCTATTCAAACATCCCAACTTTGGTATCATTGATTGAGTCTTATGATCCCTCGTCGAATGATACCAAAATTGAACTAGCATTTGGATTATGGCGTCTCGAACTAGTGCTTGGATTACGGTAGTTTTCAAGTGCCTTTTAGAAAATGGATTAGTCGAAAGAAATGCACTCTAATAATTGGATAGTCTTGGGAATTCAACGGCAAGATTTATTGTAAGTTTTCAGATTTCGCGAATTTCCCAAGTCGACCTCGTGCTCAGTGGATATAAGGTACCAGCCGGGACTCCGATTGATATTAATACGAATGTATTGATGAGGTAAGGCTTTTTTTATTAGTGAAAAACCTAAGAACTTATGCAAAAATTTACATTTTTATAGATCAACTCGCTTCTTCACCGATCCAAACGAGTTCCGCCCGCAGCGTTGGCTAAGGTCCGAGGGAAAACCATCCCAAGCACATCCATTTGCATTTTTACCGTTTGGCTTTGGTCCGAGAATGTGTGCAGGTATTTTAAGCTTTAGGCTATGTAGATAAATGATACTGTAGTTATAAGTACCGTAGTATAAGTGCTATAAGTACGTTCAACACCTTATCAGGAAAAATGCGCGGAGAAAATCCGTAGCACTCGATAAAGTTACCACCTTATCTGGTTCACCTATTGCTTTTTTTACTTTCTATAGTGCCATCTTTGGCATTCCTTCTGATAAGTCTAATAGACACAAGTCTAAAAAAATCATTAACCCATCCAGGGCGCCGTTTTGCCGAACAAGATCTGCAAGTAGTGCTGGCACGACTTGTCTCCGCTTTTGCCATTCAACACCGATATTCACCACTCACGCAGGTGAGCACGAGAACAGAAATATCGGCTCTTTCTCTGAATCGTGGTATTTTGTCAAAAAAATGACAGTTCCGTATTTTTTCGCTTTGTCATATTTAGTGGCAATTTAGAAATATAGCAATTGATCTTCAATCCATACTCGTAAAGTACCATTTGTTTAGATTAATTTTAAAATGAAACGGACAGCTGACTAAGGTCAAAACGGCAATGCTTAAAAAGATATAAAAATCGAAAACTCATCATCGAAATCGAGTGATGAAATAGTAGAATAAAAAATGACCTTTTTGCGCTTATTTTCGAAATGCGAACTGTTTATTCTTAAGAAATTTGTTAAGGAAGAGGATAAGCTGCTTTAATGTGAACTAAAAATGTTGAAAGAGCTGTCCCTTCTCCGTAGCTCTTCTAAATATATATTCAAACAAATAAGTTGAAAGCCTATTGTTCCCCTAAGGTGACGAATTGAAGCCTTCATCGCACTCCATCGCACTCCACGGTTGCTTCCACTTGCAATTATATAATCTAAGCTTCAAATAATTAAGTAAACTTTGCTTATGAATAGTGAATTTTTGAGAAAAGACCACGATACAGGAAAAGAACTGAAATATCTAACCAAATCAGACTCTTAATACAACCGATTTCAGGTCTACGAGACTCTCCTCCTGCCCGATGGCAATTGCCACTTTACTTTCACTCCAATCTACTAAAAGACGAAAAAAAAAATTCACATTTTTCTCTAAAATTTGCATAAATTATTGGAAAATCTTGTTCGAAATTTGCATACGTTATCAAGAACAGAAGTTGATCTCAGGAAAATGTCATGGAAACAATAGGCTTTCAACTTATTTGTTTGAATATATGTTTAGAAGAGCTACGGAGAAGGGACAGCTCTTTCAACATTTTTTAGTTCACATTAAAGCAGCTTATCCTCTTCCTTAACAAATTTCTTACGAATAAACAGTTCGCATTTCGAAAATAAGCGCAAATAAGTCATTTTTTTTATTCTACTATTTCGTCACTCGGTTTTGATGATGAGTTTTCGATTTTTATTTCTAGTTGCTGTTTTTAAGCATTGCCATTTTTAGCCTTAGTCAGCTGTCCGTTTCATTTTAAGATTACGCTAAACAAATGGTACTTTACGGGTATGGATTGAAGATCAATTGCTATATTTTGAAATTCCCACTAAATTTTTCATCCATTCCATCGTTAAAATTTAGCTTTAAACCCTTTTTCGTAGCTTGGTTCTCTCTTGCTTGAAATGTGCTCATAAACTTCTTTTTAGATAACCAACTTGATAATATTGCTTATTTCTGCCACTACTCGCCACCGTTTATGGAGGGATTGTGTGCGCGAAACAAAAGAAATCCGGACCTACCACCAACAACGAGAAAAGGAGAAGTAAGCGAAGATTTTGGGTACTATCGGCTTTTGGTGGTCATTTTTTTGTTAACAAAACCATTTTTCCTGGGGTAATTGATCGCTGATCACGAAAAAGTTATTTGTAAGGCAAGTTAGTAATGGAAAAATGTCCGTTTTTAAAACTCAAGGTGTAGTTGGGAAGGAGCAAAAATTTTTTTCGCCAAATGAGCTGATTTTTTTGCACCCAGGGGTTTTTGACTATGCTGAATCGATTGTTGATGGTTTCACACAAAATTTCGTAACTTTTAACAACATTTAAAGCTTCTATATTTACCTAGGCTTTGGTTCTGCACCTTAGAGGCACGTGGCTCGTAGGTTATCGTCTGGTTCTCTTACGTCTGAGGTGAGTTTCGTACCGGAAGTAATGCTTCTAGTTGGAAAGAAACTCACCTTTTGACAAGAAAGAAAGAAAAGAAACTCACCTCAGCCGTTGGTAAGGCTCATTGCTTTCCGGCTTGAAGATGGGAAATGTGATCGCGATCTCGGTGAGGTTTTTTTTTGTTTTTAAGGTTGAAATTTATCGAGCGGATAAAGTGACTTTAAAAAAATGGTTTTGTTTTAAGAAAAAGCACTCACAAGCACACATTTCGAACATTCTGAGCAATTAAGGAAAAGGAATATCTCATTTAAAGGTTTTAGAAATAAACTAGAGCACCAATTAAAGAAGAAGAAGATGATGATGATGATGATGATGATGATGAAGAAGATGATGATGAAGAAGAAGAAGAAGAAGAAGAAGATGATGATGAAGATGATGATGATGATGAAGAAGAAGAAAAGAAATAAATAACTATTAGATTAACAACATTTACAGACATTGATGAAGGCACAAAATCGAGATATGATTCTTCTTGGGTATAATTTAATTCTAAATTTTCGTTTAATTTAGTAACATTTTAGAATGTCTAGTATTGATATTGTTGAGCCGAATTGTGTTGTTGCGGTGGGCTGATCGTTCGGTGGAAAGATTCGGTCGTTGTGGTCACCTGAAAATTTGTGAATTTGGATGCAAATTTACAAATGAAGTCCACTATTGATTTGCTTTATAGAAAAAGAAAAATGATTGTGATAAATAGTTAATTAATAGCAATCTTAGCCACCGTAATCGTAGCTACAATATCACTTCAGCTATTTCTATTTGGCACGCTAACTTCACGCAATAAACTACAATAGGCAATTGGAATTATAAGCAATTGGAATACGGTAATTAGTGTAAAAACACTCTTAAAATATTGTATAAAATTTTAAGCTCATCATCTAGAATACCTCGTAAGTTCGATCGGCGTTTCGTCGATGTCTCGGCTGAGTGCCGACTTGTGGAACGTCTTCCTCGTAAACCCTGAATTATTGACTTTGTAGACTTTGTAGAGTTTGTAGACTTTATAGACTTTGTAAAGAGGATCGTTTAGTCTTCAGCTCTTCAGCTTTATTGCTCTACTTACAATAACTTTCTCTACAACTTACACATAATCCTCTTTCACTGATGGAGCTTGCACTCGCGGCAAGCGGAACCATTGGAAGAATGGTGGAGCGCGTTCTTCGACCTGGAATTGAAAATTGAAAAGAAAATATTGAATTTTCGGATATTTAGAACAATTTTGATGGTATGAATACCTTTTTCTTTCAATTTTTTGTATTTAGAAGTCAAAGTTTCAATCAAAAAAGATCTAGTTTTCTAAATGTTCAAATTTTCATAAACATTTCGAGTTCTCAAGTACTTTACTGGACTATTTGTTCTATAGACTGTTTGTTCCTATTTTCTACTAATTTGAATGGTATTGTGATTTTTCAAAAAATTATCGGTGTTTAATGGACCTCTTGAATGAGTGGCGCCTTCTCGATGGCTATGTGATAAACCTCTTGGAAGCATAAAACACAGTGACACTGGAAAATGATTTTATTTCTGAAAATCGAAACGCTTTTACCAAGAAATACGCGGCCACAAAACCAATCAACCAGCCGACCCAAATGTCTCTCCAATGATTCTTGTATCCATTGATTCGCGAGAACGAATCAACCAAGCAAAGACCAAGGAAACCTGAAATTTGTGGATTTTTGGATAAGTTAACTTAAGTTAACTCCCTTATGGGTAAGGGAGGTCAAGTGTCGTGCGGTGTAAGGGTTAGCACAATCGGAAGGTCGAGGGTTCGAGTCCCGACAGCGCACAAGTTTTAGATCTGCCCTAGTTTCAACTGGCGACCACGGAAGGATGGGCTCTGCAATGCTGGGTAATGCTTGCTTGCAATACTTGCTTGCAATGCTTCATACCTAGTTACGAGCGCACCTTAGGCCTATAAATCGAGACGTGTGGAACCGTCTCGTCCAGAGAGCAGGGAAGTTAACTCCCTTTGGAGTCAAGGGGACCAGGGAGGTTATGGTGTAATGGTTAGCACATTTGTCCGGTAAGCGAAGGTTTATGGGTTCGGGTCCCGGCAGGGCTGATCTGCCCTAGTTCCACGTTTTTGATCTGTCCTAGTTTCAACTGATAAAGCTCGCGTTTCAACTGATAAAGCTTGTTACCGAAAATGAGGAATGGACGAAGGAGGGGAGCGCCGCGGAGATTGATCATGTAGTAGATGTAGCACTGGAATGGAAATTCTTTTACTAGGTTACTCGAATAAGAATTAGTCGTATTATTAATAGATAAATACTAGATAATGGTTTTGGTTTTTTAAAATACCCTAACGTATTACTCACCGACGCGAAACAAGCCGAATAGCTTGAGAAGGCGGCGTGAAGAGATGGGAAAGTCAACCAGGCGTATCTGAAAGGGTTTTCACTCTTGAGCTGACTAGGGAGCTGATTCAACTTGTTCGAATTGTCATTAAACACATTTTATAGCTAGATAATGGCTTTGGTTTTTTTTAAAATACCCTAACGTTGATGGAATTGATCTCGTAAATTGTCAGAGCTGAGTTGAAATGATTGTTGGCCGCCCTGCCCCTTTTCCCATTGGCAATCCAACTTTGAACTCAAATTTCTTGGTGTTCGGCTGTTCAATGTAAACACTTTTTGTAGGAATCGACAGAGAAAGACTTGGCGCATCTAGTGAAATCAAGAATATTTAAATTGGATAGCTCAACACCAAGATATTTGAGTTTAAAGTTGGATTGCCAATGAGAAAAGGGGCAGGGCGACCAATAATCATTTCAACTCAGCTCTGACAATTTACGAGATCAATTCCATGAACGTTATGGTATTTTAAAAAACCAAAGCCATTATCAAAAGGGGTGGGGCGCGTATCAAATTTCCGAAAACCAGTCGAAAGTCTCATATCCGATTTGCTACAGTTTTTTTTTGCGATTGGTAAGATCTTAAGGTAAGTTGTTAGCTTATAAAAGTACCATCCATAGGCATTGCCGTATCTACTAGACCTGGGAATTTTCGATGTGAACGTCAATAGGTGTCAAGGGAAAAATGTCAGATCTTGACCAATTTCACTCTAATATTTTTGTCTTTGATTTCAATCGATAGAAAATTCAATTCTGCGTCGGTTGATATCAAAATCAAAAAGATCGGAGTGAAATTGGCCGAGATATGCCATTTTTCCGTTGGACACCTATTGACGCTCATAATATGCCATTTTTCCGTTGCACGCCTATTGACGTTGACACCGAAAATATATTAGTATCTACATTCACTCAAAAGCAACCTCAAATCATCGGGATGTCGATAGTTGCAGGCTAGTTGCGGTGACGGAGATGGAGAGTGCTCGAGTGGAGCTGTGCAAGCGCTAAACTTTTCTTCAATCCGATCGAAAGTGTATTTGAATTTCTCAATCATAATAAAAAGTTTTGAGCAGTGTTTAGGCAAGTGATCCGGACTAGATTTTAACTTTTTTAATTTATTAATTCAAAATTACTATAAGGTATTGTTAAAGCTTTCACTTGAACCCTTACCTAATCGAGACGTTGCACAACGAGAGGAAATACGGTCGCTGATAGCCGGTCATCAATTTGATTGTGTCGACGAAGATTTGCACGATCAGCGCGCCGAACATGAAAACACCTAAATGATCGAGAGATTGAGGAATTGGTCTTGTACTTGTCGGTCAGAAGTCAAGCCTGGAGCTGGCTCTGGCTCTGGTTGGGCTCTGGCTTTGCTATGCTTGGTCTGATTCAAAGCGCTAGACAATAGACAAGTTAAAGTCTTAAAGTTAAAGAGACGAAACTGTTTAAGTAGTTTACGAGAAAATCTTCATCTTTCACTCACCAACGAAACGGAAAAGTCGTCGGGTGAACAAATGGACTTTGCACTCGCCGCACGTCGCGTACACCGTTTTCCGGGGTTTCGTCGAGAACATCCAAAACGCGATCTCGCCCAGCAAAAGCTAAATGGGATTTAAATGGGATTTAAATGGGATTTAAACGGGATTTAAATAGGAGTTAAATGGGAGTTAAATGGGAGTTAAATAGGAGTTAAAGGGGAGTTAAATGGGAGTTAAATGGGATTTAAACGGGAGTTAAATGGAGAGTTAAATGGGAGTTAAATTGGAGTTAAATGGAGAGTTTTCGTTAAATCATTTTCGGAAAGCTTTCATTTGTGATATTTTCTCGAAAAACTGACCACAAGTGGCGGTAGACAAAAGCCGAGCACATACAACAAATCGTACGAGACGTACACCTTAAAATTCAATTTTAATCCGATTTCAAACTCGAAATTTACATTAAAATCCTCGGGTCGAAAGTTCGGTTTATACAAATTGATATCCCGGCAATAGAAAACACGGTGATGATACGGGAACACGGTGGTTAACCTGAAAAATTGCATTTAACAAATGGTACTGATTAGTTGAGTTTTCCTCCAAATCATGTTTTCTAAAAGGTGCGCGCGCAAGACTACTGTAGTCGAAAAATTCTTCGAACTTCAGCTTCGAAAAATATAATTCATTTTTTTTGCCAAAATCAAAATAGAAGTTAAAACGTTGTTTTTTTTTCGTTTATTTTCTTTTCTATTTCAGTTATTTTAACGTTATTTCGGTTATTTCAACTATTTCAACTATTTCAGTTATTTCAGTTATTTCAGCTATTTCAGCTATTTCAGTTATTTCAGTTATTTCAGTTAATTCAGTTATTTCAGGATACTAATTGTACTTTTATATATGTCGTAGCCGTTTACGAAATTCAGCCGCTAACGAATCATTTGTTAACGGCTAGCCGATTACGAATCATTCGCTAACGGCTAGCCGATTACGAATCATTCGCTAACGGCTAACCGATTACGAATCATTCGTTAGCGGCTAGCCGATTACGAATCATTTGTTAACGGCTGAATTTCGTAAACGGCTACGACATATATAAGCCTTTAAAGAATAACGTTGTTAAAGGAAAGATTTAAACTCAAGAGCCACAGGATTTTTGCACGAAGAGAATAAGAGTTTTGGCTGCGAATGGACGTCGCAAAGTACAACTTATATATATCTAATCAACTTCTAGAACATGCCTAATAGTAAATTAGACATGTAAAACTGTTCAGTCCGGTCAGGTACGGTTTTAGCCCGTACTTGGCTAAAAAGTCGAATTTCAACTCAAAATGAGCTGACTGGATTGAGAAATTGGTGCACTGCACCCTAATATGTCCAATCTTGAATACTTAGAACACAAAATAACTAATATTTTTTCATTTAACATTAATCAACCCACCTCAAATAATACCACAATGCCCACAAACAGGCCAAGCCGACGATATGGGCGATGAATGAGGGAACGATGAAAAAGTTGAGAATCGGTCGAACGGGCTGTGGTCCGCCGTATTGAGAGGCCGAGAAAACCTGGAAAATGGTTTTGTAAAAGAAGTTGATTTTGAATACAGCGTACTTTTATTTATTTATTAGAACCGAACCTCGGAATGAGCCCGTGAAGGGGCGGCTGACATTGTGAGGCCCTCGACTCACTCCCCGATTTTGCTCTTCTCCTAAAAAGCTTTAGTTTTGTAGATTCGTATTTCTTCTTGAGAATGAAGAAAATTGTAAAATAGAATGAGAAGAAAACAAACTGGATTTGATAAGACTTTAGTTTTTGTTTAGGCTGCTTTTGCAAGGATAACGAAACTTTGAGGAATTGTTAGTGTTCTGTACCTGGTGATGGGTATTCTTTTAAAGAATAAGTAAACATGTAATGTATTCTGAATAAGTAAGCATTTCAATGAAACTACAAGTCTTATCCTAGTTCTGATTGCTTCAACAGCTTAGCTGAACTCTTTTCTTGTAGCTGACTCACAGCAGCTTTCTCTACAATGAATGAGTGATTCAGTAAATTGAGAAAAAGAGCCACCCCCGAAAAGTAAACATTTAAAGAATGGATTTGAACCAATGATCAAGAAAGGATCAAAGTGATCAAGTGGGAAAGTTGGAAAGGAACTTTAATGCGAGCAAGTATGTGAGGAATTGGCAGACTAGAAGACTAGAAACGACGGGCTTTTGAACGTTCTCTCGTCATTTGATTACAATACAGTATACAAAGCTCAGTGCAGCTTGATCAGCTTGTTGAACTATTAAAGAATGTGCTCATTATCAGATTCAATAAAGTACTCAATAGTACTTTTATTAGCTTAAGGCTAGCACTACTGTACTAGCCTAGTGCTGCCAGTTACTGAAGTCATTGTAATGATAAGGTACAGAAAAAGCAAAACAAAAGTTTTGCCAGAAAAAGAAACGAACTCGAGCAAAGAAATCGAACCGCTCCTTTTGTATGCAAGCACTTTATCCACTAGACCGTCAAGTCATGTTTGAAGCGTTTATCCACTAGACCATCAAGTCATGTTTGAAGCCCTTTATCCACTAGACCATCATGTCATGTTTGAAGCCCTTTATCCACTAGACCATCAAGTCATGTTTGAAGCCCTTTATCCACTAGACCATCAAGTCATGTTTGAAGCCCTTTATCCACTAGACCATCATGTCATGTTTGAAGCCCTTTATCCACTAGACCATCATGTCATGTTTGAAGCCCTTTATCCACTAGACCATCATGTCATGTTTGAAGCCCTTTATCCACTAGACCATCAAGTCATGTTTGAAGCCCTTTATCCACTAGACCATCAAGTCATGTTTGAAGTCCGTAAGAAAGCCATTATAAAAGCATCCCTATTCGGCTCCAAATTTTCCCATTTTCACTCTAAGCAAAACACGTATAACTTTTTATAGAAAACCATTTTGCAAAAACTGAAAGCAGATTCGGAATCAGCGTGAAATTCTGCGTCAAATGGTCTATTGCTTATCTCATTTGATCACATCCTACCCTTGTGAGATCACATCCTACCTTTCCCTTGTGAGTTCAGCGCATCAGTTTCGAAAGTCTGAAATTCAGAACAACTGAAGCTACTCGGTACAATAAAGTTCCGAAAACTTTCGAAAATTGTGGTGAAGCTTTTAAAATTTGACTCGGAATCTTCAAAAGACAAGCAGACAAGCAAAAGACAAGCAGCAGAAAAGCAGTTACCTAAAACAATCAATATCCACAAATTATTGGATAATCGATAAACTAAAAGGAAAATTGTTGCGCAAGCGGACCCGTAAAAGAGGAAAAAAAGGGAGAGGAGAGACGGGATTTCGATGACTTTTCTCTTTTCGAGGAATTCTCTCTTTTCTCTTTTTTTTTTAACCACTCTCGAGTTCTTCGTCGAGAAGAAGCAGCAAAGCGGACTCGCAAATACACACACTGTCACTGTCTGTGGGGTGAATGGGGGAAATGGGGGGAAAGAGAAAGGCACCCACCACACCCCACCAATTCTTCTAGTCTTTTGCCGATGTTTCAACTCTTCTTTTAATAATGAGCTGTGTTGAAAATTAGTGAAATGGATGCTTTTATAATATGATCGACGCAATTTTAAACTTATTTTTGAACTATTGGAAAAGATTGGAAGAAAATGATTGGAAAAGAAAGCAAGAATGTAAATCTAATGTTGAAATGAAGAAAAGAAGAAGAGCAACATGTATAAAAGTCTAGAGTAGATGAACAAGAAGAATAGAAAACTCGGAAGCAATTTCAAAAGAAAGATCCAGCTTCAAATGTACATAAGCGATTACAATTGGAGGGAACAGGGACTCTATCGATGAATGAATGGGACAGTGAAGAAAAAGAAGAGAGGAAGAGGAACCGGAACACGTGAAGGAAAGGAAAGGGGGAGACGCGCGCAGGGCGGAGGCTCATGGACCCCTTCATACCCTCATATATTTACCCATTTGCCCTTTCCTCCTTTCCTGTCCTCTTTTCTCTTCCCCAGCTCTATGTGCAACCAGAACGATTTCCCAAATGCTAATAATCATCGTTTGTACGATTAGATTCAATTACTTTTTTCAGTTAAAACAATGACTCTTGTCCATAAGACTCACTTACCGTAAATACTTTAGAACATTAGTTAGAACATTCTTGAGGTGTTACCTACCGTAAATACTGTAATAGTCCCCCACCGCCCTTGTACAGTCGCGTAGTCGCAAAAGTTTTTTAGTATTTCATTGTTTTTCAAAGCGCCCGTACTTTCAAAAGATGCGTCTTTGGTATCAAAAAATAGCTGAAATTCAGGGCTATTTTTTGATACCTAAGCGCGCATTGTAGCATAAACCAGTGTCGAGAAAAACTCGTTCAAAGCTAGACTACGCAACACTCCGCACCGTCATTTTGGGGGTGCGGTACTATTACAGTATTTACGGTAGGTTGATGCAAAAGAAATTTCGGTCATTACCGTAAATACAGTATTTACGGTAATGATAAATGTGACTATGAGGAGTATTTTCAGTTTACAAAAGTGGAAACAGAAAAGTGGAAACGTACTCTAGCGCACTGGATTCTTTAGTTTTCTTTTAATGTATGCTATTAGCTAGAGTGTATTCCTTTCGAGTAGATAATTATTCAAATAAAATTTGCATGAGTTTACTCGATTTACTCGATTAATTGACGTTTTTCGCCGAATAACTACGAGTAATCCTCTTTACACGTCGAGTAAATTGAATATCTTTACATTTGAAGAGGATTTCCCACCAAAACAGTTAAACAGTTGAATATCTTTAAAAGAAAACTTATATAACTCAGCGCTGGTGATTTTTTTTTGCAATAATTTTCCCCAAAAGTACGGTGATTTTTGCCAATTGTGTGTTTTAAAAAACGTATTACTAGGAACTGTAATAAATCTAGATACCTTTAATAACAAGTTAGCTTCTGAATTACTGAGCCCATTGTTACTAGTGAAAGAACCTGGTGATATATCTGTAAAAAACCAGTAACACTCTAGTATTAGCCATACCCTACTGGTTTTTTACAAATATATCACCAGGTTCTTTCACTAGTAACAATGGGCTCAGTAATTCAGAAGCTAACTTGTTATTAAAGGTATCTAGATTTATTACAGTTCTCAAATAGTACTGTAACGTAGTACTGTATTCAAAAGTGCAATAGCTTGTAGAAAAATCATGTGTGCTTGATTTAAAAGCTATTTTAAAGCAAAGAATTGAGCCAGAAAGGATGCGTTTACATTTTCGAGTACAAACCAAAGAAGGGGTTTTATCACAATCTATTGATCTATTGATAAATGATATTGATATTGATAAATGATATTGATATTGATAAATGATATTGATATTGATAAAGAGAATCCAAGAGATATCGTTGAGTTTGATTCACGATTTACAGGTAGAAAAAGGTTTTTTTGTGCTGTACAAAATGTTGTGAGACTTGAAGAAAGAAATCAAATTGAGATACCGTATTTTCTCTAATAGTAGTGCACCAAAAGCTTCGCCTAAATTCCTCAAAATCTCGAGAACCGCTTATCAAAACCTATCGATGTGGGGTCGGAAAATGTAGCTGACGATGAGATCTAGTGGGGGATTTGAGTGTTGAGCTTCTGCAAAAGCTTGGAAACTGTAAAATCGTCACCAACTCGGCTCGCCGGAGTGCACTACCATTAGAGAAAATACGGTAAATGACAATGATAAACACATTACAATAAAAGAAATTAAAGCAAGAACTTAAGAAGGAATGGGTATTTGCATTCAATCAAACGTCTCTCAAGTGAGACCAACAAGTGTTTGGAGGGGAAGAAGTAATCGCACGGGTTAGGCTTGAAGTGTCACCCAAATAGGGAGATTGGAATAAGATTCAAATCACGATTGGACTATTCTTTTGATGAAAGTGTCTTCTAAAAGGGCTAAAGACAAAAGCTACCGTAATTTGACTCAGATTCTGGCTAGATTACGGTAGCTTAATAGCCTGAGCTATTTCAAAACCAGTATGTCAAGGATTTATTGTAAATTAACCAAAGGATTACTTTTAGAAAAGGGAAACTTTTAAAAACGATAACGATATCACAAATAATAAAAAAAGAATGATTGCGAACATGAAGTGATTAGGGGAATTGTTAATTCGTGGCTTACCCTCGAGTGGGTCCATGGATGCGGAGAAAGGGAAGGAGGGGTGGCTGGTTGATGGCGGACCCGGACCGGTCCTTGTCCCAGTCTTTCCCCCCACCCCTCATTCCTCCATTCTACAGTCACCCAGTCATCCCTACCCAGCCTCCTAAAAGACCAATAGTCTCCTCTTCTTTCTATTCATACAGCCGTGGATTTGTGCGTGTGCTTGTTTGTCTGGATGTCTTCTCTTTCTTTTTCTCTTCTTTCTTTTTTTCTTCCACACCTCTCTAGTTATTGCCTTGGTTCTAGGACTCAAAAGATTAAGAATCGGCCTGAAAAGTTAACTTGAGACGATTGGAAACTTGATCCTTTATGGATTTGAGTAAGAGCCTAACTTGGTGTCACTAAATAACTTCTGTATAGCTCATTGGTAAAGCTTTCGTTCAGTAAACAAGTGATTGCTGATTCCAGACGTCAACTAATTTTTGTATTCTCAGCCAAGTCTGCATTTGCTTGCATTCAGTGGTTTTTTTTTCAATTTTGAGTTGAGATTCGAATTCAATCTCAAATACAAAGAAGCCTTGTAATACTAAATTAGCCTTACCTACTCTTTCTAAGTAACACCAAGAATCCCTCACCCAAGTGGTCCATCGTATTTCCGCGGTGTTCCCCTCGTCAGTCTCATCACACGCGTTCTCCAACTCTTCCACCATCAAACTCGCTCGATCGCAGAGTTGAGAGCAAAGTTTTTCGAGATTCTAAACAAAAGTCAAAAGTTTAGCTTAAAAAGGATCCACCTCCGTTAAAGCTCTTCCGGTCACTTTTTGTTTCTCTTTTAGACAAGCGATCATTTCATAGGCGGTAATTCGAGTTGAGAATGCTGTTTTTTGATGCGCATAATTCAAATGTTTTGATTTCAGAGAACTCATGAATTCATTCGGTGATGCAGCTTGTTTGACAAGTCTGACATAGGACAGGTTGTTGTCTGTGATTTCTATATAGATTGTAGGTGATGAGTAACGAGCTCGAATTTTCTATTGGAATGAATTCCTTTCCAAGGATCAGCGATGGATGAGCTTTTAACATGAAACAAGAGAATTCTGGCTTGGGATTGATTCTTGTGACTGAAAACTGAAAACTTTGACCGAAAACTGAAAACTTTAACTGAAAACCACAAAATTCAGTTCCACAAGGGTTCAGGCAAGGGATTGTGGTTGAAAGAGCGATTGAATCTTTTGGTACAAATTACAAAATTACAAAATTACAAAATTACAAAGTACAAAATTTCAAATTAGGATTTCAGATTCACTCTCTTAGGATCAACATCATTGTCAGCTTTTGACTGAAAACCACAAATTATCTCATCAGAGTGACCATTTTTGACGACTAAATAGACTTTTAAATATTCTAAAGCAGACTTTACACTCGTATTTTTAAGCTCAGTGTTTAGTTGAAAATTGCGCAAGACTCTGAGCATGCTCTTAGCCATTAACTCATTTTTCTACCTCTGGAAGTCGCCGAGTTAATTGAGTAAATAAATCTAACTGTTAAACCAACAAGTGGAGCCACTGTTTTCGAGGCCAGGCTTTCAAAAAATTTGATAAAGTTTTAGAAAAAAGCTCAAAAAATTGCTTGGGTGAGAAGGGAATCATTGGATTCACATTGGAAATCGTTGATGGAAACAGAGGGCAGTGGCTGGGTTTCTAAAAAAAGATTTGCTTTCTCTGAATTTCATATGGAATTTTCAGAGTTTTTGAGTAAAAGTGCTTCTCTGTTAACATAGTAAACAAAATAAGAAAACGGAAAATCGACTTAAAAAGTCTCATCCCATGTACCAGAGAGCTTGCGTTTGTCTTACGTATAGGTTTGAACCGTAGCTACAGTCAACCTTGAATACTTAACGTATACCAGATAAAGATCACGGTAACAACGGTATAACAAAACCTCAAAAAAAACAAAACTTAAAAAATCTCATCCCATGTACCAGAGAATAACAAAATGTATAACAAAATAAGAAACGGAAAATAACAACACAAAACAAAACGCTAGTAAGTCTCAGGCTGCTTACTATCGTTCAACTGCACTTATTTTGAGCATTTTTTCATAGTTGGTTTACTGATAAACTTCTTGCTTTCTTCAGCTTCCTCAACATTTGGCTCATCTGGGCTTTCCATAGCTCTTAATGGTTTGACAGAGTTATGCTTCGAAACCTGTAATAATTGGATCTGAAGTTCTATAAAAAATCGAAAAATGGGGGGCGATTTTGAGGTGGTGCGGCAATTGTGCACTGCAGAATCCCCTGCAACTTGTCTTGATAAAAAAATACACACAAAGCTTAAATAGGTACACAAAATAAATACACACTAAAATGAATATTCAGATTTATCGTAATTGTAATTTTTAAAAAAACCGAAAAATAAAAAATATTGACAAAGGCTAAATAGGTACACAAATAAATGCACACAAAAGAATATTCAGATAAACTCCTGGAAATTTTCTTTATAGTGAGCCCATTTAAGGAGTGAAAATTTGTCAAAATCATTTTCTTTTTGGTGTCGCAACTTTTTTTGCGCAACTCGCCATAACTTTCTTCTAAGTAGGGCAATCTTTTGGTGTTATTTTGTAGATCTCAACAAGTGCAACAAAATGACACCAAAAATCGTAAAGATTGGCCCACTTAGAAGAAAGTTATGGCGAGTTGCGCAAACGACTCAGTTGGGCAAATAAAATGGCGGAAATTAACCTATCCCCTCAAAAGTTTACCATTAGACTTGTTTATCGATATTATCGATACAAAAGGCAAGCGCATTTTTGACCGTTCAGGTTTTGTTTTCTAGAAGAGCTATCAATCTGTAAATTGTTTCATTGGAAAGGCAAGAATGTTAGCTTTTGATTGCTATCTAACACATAGCAAATCCTCATAGGTGAGTACCTTAAAAAGCTTATCAATACTTATCGATAAGGTTTATGAGGTGCTTACTCCTTAAAAATCGCTATGTATAAAATAGCAATCAAAAGCTGGCATTCTTGACTTTCCAATGAAACAATTTTCAGATTGATAGCTGTTCTAGAAACCGAGATCTGAACGGTCAAATAGGAGTATGCCGTTTGTATCGATAATATCGATAAGCAAGTCTACTTACCATCATTACCTTTAATACCATTATTTTGCTGTTTTGTACTAACAAACGTTTCTATGCTAACTTTTTGCCAATCTTGTTCGCTTATCACGTTAACAATCTGAGAATTATTGCTTTTTCAAGAAAATGCTTTCAATTTCTATGAACCGTTGCCCCGAGGCATGCCTCTTTGATGGCAGAACAAAATTTAATTTCCTAGATCGATCCACGACTGGACAAGCGAGGTTTTGTTGAACTGTTGACTTGTGAACTCTGCTAACAATCGAAGATGAGCGGAATTCAGCCTAAAATTCCCAACTACAACTTGGGTTGGTCTTTTTGGTAATCATCTAGCCTTGTAGTATTTGTTAGTTTGTTAAACAAAAAATAGATAGTTGTATTGTAGCTAAAGTATTAACTTGATTGTTTAGAAAATCTCTATAAAGTGTCGGGCGACTTGGCAACAATTTCGATCGAAGATGATGCTTTCAATGAGGACGAATACTCTTCGAATCGACTCTTTGTCTCAAACTTTCCGTTTAGCTGGTCCGAGAAAGAGCTGCGCGAGTTTATGAAAGAGTGAGTTTTTTCAATTGAAAATCTCAAAGAGTTCTTTTTAGTTTTGAACCAGTTGCTGAGGTGGAGATTGTGTACAACGAACGTGGAAGCAAAGGATTTGGCTTTGTTACAATCAACGATGTGGAACGTTGTCTTCGTGCTCGTTTGATTCTGAACCACAAGATTGTTCATGGTGAGAACATTTTGTATACATGTGACTTGATTCCTAAAGAACATTGACGACTAAGAAATGCGCTTTACTTTAGGACGCCGTGTTGAAGTTCGTCGTGCTCACAAGCACAAGCGTGCTCGTAACACAGGTCCCCAGGCAGCTGCAGCTCCTAATATTCTTCAATCGAATATTCTTCAAAGTAAGAAAACTTAAACTTAGTACCTAACTTTTTTATTACTTTATTTAGATCTTAACAACTTTGCTCTTCTCTCTTTGCTTCCACAGTTCCAGGCCCAGGCTCAGAACGCTCATGCTCCAGCTCTTCTCAGCGTGCTTCAGAACTCTCTTTTGGCACAAGGTTTTTGTACAATAATTTCTTTGAAATTGTTTTTGTCTAGGTGGACTTCATCCAAATATTGCTGCAATGGGCCTTACTGGAGGATATGCTGCTCTTCAATCGCCTTATCTTACACATGCTGCTGGAATTATGAATCCGACGGGGGCTACAGTTCATCCTCAGCTCGCGTCTATTTATGCCCTTGCTAGGGCTCAAGAACTTGCAAGAATGGTAAATTTATAGTGTGAAGGCTTAGGTTTTAAATTTTTAGAATGGAAACGGGTCAGGCACTGGAAATGTTGGAAGCCCGAACGCCAGTGGCAGCGATCAGCTTCAAAGTCCAACTCTTACAAGTACTACTACTTCTACGTACAGTCTTTTTGGTGAAACAAACATGGGAAGCACTGCTGATTTGGTCAAAGTTTGTTGTTATTTAAGTTGGAAAATTCCTACTTTTTAGAGCGCTCGAGGCGGAGTGCCATATCCTCTTGGTGACGAGACCATCATTGCTCAAAGGTTCAACTCATTCGCTGAGCGCGCGCATTCGGTATTTCTAATCAAAAGTGAACTATTTGAGCTTTGATTTAGACTCCCGATATGTCACACTGGCTGAATGATGGTCGTCCTATGTACTCGGACATTGCCGCCAATGCTAGAGGATCTACCAAGCTCACTCCATTGGATCACTAGAAGTGTTGACCTGCCTGTTGGCTAACCCGTTTTCTTTTCCCATTTGTTGTTGTTTTCTCTTTTTTATGGATTGCCGTGAATCATTCCGGCTAATTTATTATTTTTGACTTTAATTGCAATTTTTTTGTTGTTTGCAGGACTCCTGCTCCTGTTTTACCAGTCGTGTGACTTTCGTTTTGAATTTTCTTTTCCATTTCAACACTACCGGTTTTGACAATGTTTTAACGTTCTCATTTGGTTGAATAACAAATGTTAATAAATTTTAGTTTGAGTGTTTTGAGCTTCAGTCACTCCGTTTCCTAACGAATTTGATTTTTTCAGTGGTGCGCGTTGCATTTATGGAATTTTTGAATTTTTCAGCGACGAGACTTGTTCAATAAAAGGGCTAAGTGACGCAGTTGGCACTGATTTGTAAAAGTAGGTTTGGTAGTCGACATAAAAATCGACAGTTAGTAGCTATTTTATAGGCTCTGAAAATGTCGTCTTCAAGTTCCGATTCGGGAGCATCATCTATCGCCAATCAACGCCAGCGAAACGAACTTTTCAAAGAGAATACTCGTAAGTTTAGTGCCGTGATTCAACTGTCATCTCTTTGTCGAAAAGTCTAATAACCTGAAATGTAGAGTACACAAACCAGATGAATGACATGATCTCGCTGGTTTCAACGATTGATGTAAAGGCAGATGACGCTTTCGACAATGAATACTCCGCAAATCGGCTTTTTATTTCAAACTTTCCCTTCAGTTGGACCGAAAAAGATTTGAGGGATTTCTTGAAAGAGTGGGTCTCTTAAACCAATCTTAATGTAGTAGCTCTTTAGTTTTGAACCAGTAGCTGAGGTGGAAATTGTCTACAACGAGCGTGGGAGCAAGGGTTTTGGTTTCGTGACAATCAATGACGCGAAAAAATGCATGGATGCTCGCGCCTTTTTGAATCATAAAATTGTCAACGGTTTTTCTAATCTTTCCATGTTTATTGTGAATTGTTTTGTTTTAGGTCGACGGGTTGAAGTTCGCCGTGCACATAAGCATAAGCGAGCGATGAATTCTGGCTCAACAAAGCAAAACTATCAGCAGCAACTTCAGAGTAATTTTTTTCTAAAGTAAGAAAACGTTTTTTATTTAGATTTGAACAGCATGCTTCAACAAACGGCACTACTGCAAGCAACGCTTATGCAACCTGGTCTTCTCAATTTGCTACAACAGCAACTAATGGTTCCAAGTAGGCATCGAATACTTTTTCTTATTATGATAGTTTTTAGACCCTGTTGCGAAACACCCTGGAGTATCCGCTTCAGCTATAGATCTTGCGTCACTCATTCAAAAAGCGCCAACAACTTTAAGAAATCCGTATTCCCTACGGAATCAAAACTATCAATACACTATGCAGAACGCCGAAAGGGTTAGTTGAATTATTGTCAAGTATCATCATTATGCAATAGGTTGAGCAAATGTACCCCTCGATGAATGTTGGGGCAAGCTCGTCAGCATCGGTAGAAAGTTCGTCGGGAAGTTCGGCTTCTTCGCCGCTCTCCTTCGATCCTTCTGGAGATACTCAGCTGAATAGCTTCAGTGGCGGAATCGATGCATTCAAGGTGAGATAGGGTTTTTGTTTGTCAACAGACATCGTTTTCAGGCTCCAACATATGAAGCAAATCTCTATGTTAACCAGGGTCTATTTGATGCGGGTACTTACAATGCGCTGTCTCAATACAATCGCTCAGTTTCGGTGAGATTTTCACTTTCTAACGATGTCTAACTATCCTGTAAGGGTGATAGAAGTAGGTTTTAAAGCAGTAAGACAATCTGTGAGATTTTCGTTGGTATTCAAATAAAGCATTTAATTTTGGACAAACGCAATTTGGTCGACTGAAATAGGAGAGCCAAATTTTTGGGTTTACCGCAACCAACAGAACAACTGAATTCTGGATCGTTTCTTTTTAGCTACTCGGTCATTTTTATTTTTTGCTCTGCTCAGCCATATGAGTTTGACTCGATTGCATTATATTTCTTGTTTGTACTTTTTTGTTTCTCAAATTTTATTGGACAAAGTCCTTATTGCTTTGCTTGTATTGATACGTTTTTATCCTCGAACAAAGAATAAAAGTTCTTTCTAAATCACGGTAACAATAAAAATTAAACATGGCCTGATCCAGAAATTTGGGCCTAAGATCAGCCGCGGTGTTGACAGGGCATAGTTTTGGCAGGTTCGAGGATCAACGTGGCTAGTTAATCTTACTGGGGGAAGGTCAGGTTTCGTGAGCGTGAATCCGAACCAAAGCTACATAACTTACGCAAGTCGGACACAGGCAGCACGATGGCATTTTGAGTTTGTGCCCAAACGCTAGATTTCCGTAAAAGCGCACTTGAAATTTGACCCCTTAGTCCACCGAGCGATCTCAGGGTATGTACTCTCGCTGCGCTACTCCTTTGTCGGAGTAGCGCAGTGACTCGGCGCGGCAGTGGTAGTGTCACTGGTTTCCATTTTTGTCAGTCGGGTTCGACCCCCACGCGCGTCATTGTTTTTGCTTTTTTTGTTCTAGTTTTTCTAATCTCTTTCGTTTAACTAAAAATGGCTCTTATTATTGTCATTGTTATTTTGAGTCATCTGAATCGAAATTTTGAAGAGATTTCTAGCTAGCTTTTTAAAGTAGCTTTTTAGCTAACAAGAGTGAACATCAACGAAAAAATGGGGTTAACAATAATGGTTGCAACACCATGCCACATTTAATAAAAGAAGCTGCAGGACAACTTGAATTATCACAAACAAGCTCGATGTCGTTGAAAAACTCTCCAAGAGGTGTTGAGAAGGAACCGGGGTGAGTGTCCAAAATCCCTGTGGCAAACCAAGGGTACACACAAAAAGATTCGAAACAAGACGCAACAAATTGATGATACACCAACGATAAGATGGTCAACGAGTTTTTACGCTTTCACACACCGAAAAGTCAATTTGATGAGAATGGAGAAAGCTGTGAATTCTTTTCACGAACTGCTTAAAGCTACTACGGAAGAAGGGGAAGAAGGTTCACAATCTAATGGTTGAACAATGGCAGTCACACCACGACATTCAAGATTTTCATACTTTTATCCTGTGGAAGTGCGGAAATCGACTTTGTGGATCCTTGAAGCTGCTCCAGAAATCACAATCCAGAAATCATGACCGCATCAGAGGGTGCTTTTGAGTCGACAAAAGATCCGTGCCTTTCCAATTCAATAGAATTTTCTTCGTCATCGTGTGCGTCTTGTGAGCTTTCACCACACCAAATTTCACCAATCCCTGAAATCTACAGACAAACATCGATAACAAAAATCCCGATAGCAAAAAAGATTTTGAGGTCGTATGAAAAAATTCTTCACAAAATACCTTAGCAAAAATCTCGATAGCAAAAGAACCTCGGGTCGGGGGGGGGTCCAAAAATTTTATATCCTAATCTCGCTTTTTGTATGCTAAATTTTGCAATAGCTATGAAGATTTATGGAGCCAGCTTAAGCATTAGATTAAGTGGCGAAGCGGAACTTTTTCAACTTTTTCCCCAACCTAAGCGCGTTGTTAATTTTCACTCTCCTCGATTCCTCGCTATCAAAAACGGTAATTTTCAGCGTTTAAGTTGTATTGATTGCCTGAATAGCTTGTCTTTGTATGTTGGTCCTTTTGAGCTTCGAGCTTTTCTGGAGCTTCTAGTGTCTCCGTTGTTATTTTGTTTTGTTCCTTGCATTGTTATTAAATTTTTATGATAAACGTTTTACTAAGTTTTCAAAAACCTTCAAAGATAACAAAACTTTCCTCTAGGGTTGAAATTTGGGGTTCTACTGTGTAATAAATAGTATGTAAGTCCACCGAAGAAAGAATTACGCCGTAATTTGATTGGATTTAGATGCCTTTTGGAATAGTGAATGTTTATCCATCTGTATTTACACTAAATTGTGAATCTGTGCTGAAAGTGATTTAACTTACAACATTGTGTGCGTGTTTTTGTGTGTTAACATAACATTTAACATTATGTGCAAAACACGCACAGAAAAAGATTGACACAGAAGATAGGTGCCATAATCTTGGAACATACAAGGTGAAAACTTTCAAACTAAGAAAAAACGCCAAAAATATCAAATACAAAACTAGACAAAACAAAACGAAAATTCATATATAAAAAGAAACCCGAGACAAGAGCTGATCAATTAAAAATTTAGATTGAAAGTTTCATGGGAAGACTATTTGGAAAACGATGGCTGTCACTTGTTGCAGGGTGGCCAGTATCAGCTCTTCACAATTGGTCTAAAAGGATAATAATCGTTTTCCTCAAACAGATTTTGACTATGAAATTTAAGTGAAGATGATAAACTCACAGGCGTATCTAATCCAATTCTTTTTGATCGAAGCATGACTATATTGCGATCACTTTGAATCGCCGTGTTATTGATCTAAAACAAAACAGTTACCCCAATTAAATTAGAAAAAAACCTTGGCGGAAAGTTGAGAATCCATAGAAAGATTCGAAGAGACCAGTGACTTTATTACTGTCTGCAAGAAGGCAATACTTTTTTATAGTAGCTTGAAAATTTACCTGGCATAACTTCGTCGCTGTCTCGAACTGTGGCTGCAACGATCGATCCACTAGTTCCCAATGCTCACGTAAAGCCACAATAATCTGAAAAAGAAAATAATTAGATTTATTGTATCAGTTTTTCCTACTTTTGAAGAAACTTGGTCTCCATCCGTTGACCATTGACGAATTCGCTGTAATGTGGTACAAAATTGTAGGATGTCTGCTTGAATGTTAACGCCGTTTGGAGTTTCATGTGGATTGGTCAGATTCGCAGGCCACTCCGAGTAACGAGCAATTATTTCACAGAACCGGCATGATAGAACCTAAACTACGTTTTTAGTCTTTAATTGTCACATTGACTCACCAGGGCACAAATGTGCGTGAGGGCTTTGACTTGATGCACCGGGACGATTGCCTCCAAAATCGGTAGTAGTAGGTTTTGCTAAAATTTTAAACATGAATAAACGATATCAAAACAAACCTTGTCATTATTGTTCGGCACGGTTGTTTCAATGATCTCGTCGCAAAGACTCCATATCAATTGCACCCACTTATTGAACCTGATTTCCTTTGCATATTGTGCGAGTTTGCTAAATTGAGATATTTTAAAAACTGGCAAAAATTTACTCTGTCATCGGCGACTCGCCAAAATGTCGCAAAAATGGCTGCTCGATGGTGCTCATACATTCTTTGACCAACGCCCAAAAGAAAATCAGCAACAAATATTTGCACCACATTTCCTAAAGGTCGAACGTAAGTAAAGCACTATATTTTTCAAAATTGTACCCGGTAAATGAGGCAAATATCATTGGAATCGTGGTTGTTATAAAATTCGCCAATTTTCCTTGCTGCTAACTCGCTAAGCGCCCTGAAAAGAACTTAAATAATAGGTTTTTGTGTAACACTTACGGGAAACCCTTCGTCTTTTGAAGCATGTGAGTGACCGTTAACTGTAAGACTTTTGCTGGTAATATTGTTCCCAAATCTTTCCACCATTCTAAAAGTTCAGATTGTCAGAGACATAATGTTTGACGCACCAATTGGATTTCCGTGTACCGGTATTAGTCCTCGCTTATAAATTTCATTGCTTCGTGGGATCCATTCAGTGATGCACTAAAAGACTGCATATTTCCAAATCATTTATGACTCAAACTTTTTGAAAGACGACTTCTGCTCGGTCCAAATCGGGTATACGACTACTCACTTTGACCCTAAAGGCATGAAATTATTCAAATTCACAAATTTACACTCACTCGTTAACCACGTATTGCCCGATGTTATTGTAAAGCTTTTCATATTCCTTTTCAAGAAGTGCATCAATTTCCATGGACTGTGTGAATTGCTTGAGGCGATTGTTTAGCGATTTAAGACGATTACAGCAGGCATCTCGCTGATCTACGCTAAGTATCTCGTGCACGTCTTGCAATAAATCGCTTCTCATCGCGTTTGGATCAAGGACGTATTTTTCCGAACCATCATAGTCGGCTTCGCGTTTCTTAACCTCGTATCTAAACTAAAATATTCGCGGAAAAGATAAGTTTACAAACGCGTCAATCATTGCATCCAATTCGGTGTTGGCCGAGGCCACGTCTGCTTGTAAATCCTCTGGCATTTGAAGCTCGCCGCCTAAAATTTAAATAATATTTGTGCAATAGTTTACGCAATACCTTGACCGTTTAGAATCCAATCAGCATCCAAACGTACGTAAACATAACAATAGGCAGATGAGGACTTATTTGGACCACCAATAGCGTCATTGATAAGTGCTTCTTTAGAAGATCGTTCAACCTTTTTATCATTCAACTTGATCCATCCATCTAACAGAAAACAGTAAAGTAATTAGTTTTGCAAATTGCAAATTTTTTTTGTAAATTGTTACCTCCGTCGCGTACATACGCCCAGTAGTGTCCGACGTTTGCGTCACCCTCATGAATAATCACGTAGTATAGACGATAAGGTTCTATAATGAAAATTAATAACATGAAGCTACTTGAAACCAACCCCGCATCAATGGATCAACATTGTAAATGGAGTCAATTTGTAGTTGCAATTCGGTTGCCGTCTGATGGAGCTCTGAACTTCCGACTTTAGTGGTATATAAAGTTTTCATACCTTGTTCGTTATTCTGCACTTCAGTAACTAGCGCTTCAATGGCTTTAACCATGTGATATCGGACATCAGGTGTCAAAAGCTGAGTTACTGGAAGAATTGGGGCAAGCTCTGGGACAAACGAAGAGGGCTTGGCAACCTGAATTAGTTTAGGTGCTAAATAGCAAAGTAACAAAACCTCTTTTAAAAATGATGTCGAAGGAAAAGGTTCGTTTTTGTTTGGTGGGCCATAAGGAACAGGAACGGGGCCAGGCAGTGGAAAAGCGACTCTAAATTGGATATTTAGGTGCTTACTAAAAACGGTGAGTGCTTACTCTGCGAAATCATTTTCAGCCGGCGCGGCTTCAACTTGATTGTCCTCTGGTTGGGCACTAAAGTTCGATTGAGTGCAAGCGTGTTTCTGGTACTTACACTTGAGGAATTGTCGTCTGATTTCTTTCGATATATTTGCAAACGGTCTCCAATAAATGTTGCAAATGTTCCGTTTTTCCCGTATCATGAACTGCATACGATCCAATGCTGAAACAAGACTAAACTTTTCAGCAACACACAAAAACATACCCAGTCAATTTGGCCTTGATGAGTCCAAGTTCAGCTCTTTTCTTCATTCTCTCATCTCTTAAATTTTTGACCAAGTCTCGGTTGCGAAGCAAATATCTATAACATAAAGAGTTATTAAATCATCATAACAAAATGACCGACCTATCCATATAAATCAGCTCCTCACATGTGAACTCATTATGCAGCTTTTGGGTGCGCCCATTCTTGTATTGAGAGCGGCTCGGATTGAAAAAGAGAACCTCCGGTAAACGTTCACTCCACATCTGAAAGAAATTTTCAATTATAAGTTCTGCGGCCTGAGCCTTACCTCTTTGTGATCATCATTTAAAAATTGTGCCGCTTCCATCGCGGCATGCAGATCACTGTAGCTGACGTCAAGGTGATGAATTTGGAGCGAATTATTAAGGCGAGCCGTTGAGTCGGATAGTTCTTCTAAAAAATGATTTGTTGCAAAGCCATTCTTAAAAACTTACCATCGGGTCGAATAGAAACAAGCGTTCCGTGAAAGAGATTAGAAAGTGGCGACTCCGCAGCTTGAACATGTCCCGTTGAAACAGTGCGCATTCGAGGCCGAATTGTCGGTACACTTGGGCTCAGAATTTCCACATCACTTCTAAAATTATTCTATGAAAACGTCAAATTGAAAAAATATCATTACCCTTGACTTTGCGATACTGCGTCAACTTGAGGAGGAGCATCAATTTCGATTGAGTTTGGCGATTGCGAGATGTCCATAATGCTGACCGCATTCATTTCGGATAATCGTGTGCCCTAAATTTTATCACTAAAATGTAAACATAAAATACTAAATACCAGCTAATAGATTATTTTAAGTTTACCCTGGGCTCACTCGAGCTGACTCCACACTCAATGTCTTCCGATTGATTTGTGTCAATGGCAAGACTTGATGATGTTGGGATTTCGGTTGTGTGATCCCCATTTGTCAGGGCTCTCTCCACCCACTCAAGTACTTTCAGTAGCATTTCTACGGCATCCTGCAAATTTGAGTCATTAACCGTCATTCCAATTGTTGTTTACCTGCTGTTGTCCAACGATATTCTCGCCAGTGACTATTTGATTCAAATCACCGACAGCATTCACTGTTTCACTAGGGTCAATGTACCTAAAAAGCAATTAAAATAACTAATCGGGGGAAAAAACGTTCTCCTTGTCGCTTCCATTTGAGCAAAAAGACGGCGCATTGAAAGTAGAATTTTTGTTGCCGATGGGCGCTAAATTGAAAGTTTCTAAGATTTTTTCGAAGGACATACTCCATCATCTTGGAAATTGTAAGTAGGTGGTGGTGAATAAGTGTAGATGGCTCTAAAACCCAATTATTTCTCGAAAATTACTATACTCCTAACCTTCTCAAGTCTTTAAGTTTAAAAAGGAGATGGACCAGACTGTTGAACCAGCAACTATTTCCAATATTGAAGAGTCCCGTCTAAACTCAAAGTTATGAGACTATTTATAAACTTATTAACGTTCTTAAACTATAAATGCTACCAATTCTCCTGTTGGTTTCACCAAATCGTGTGGATTTTCGGGAAGACTCTTCTCATAAGTATGCCGCTGCACGTGACTCGTCTCCAAAGAAGCTTTGATCGCTCTAAATTATGAAATACACTCGATAGCACATTATTTGCTTGTACAAAATCTAGATCACTAGTTTACTTGTCAATTGCATCGCTGTCCATGTCATCGTTGTATGAGGCCTTCGAAGCCTCGATTGCCAAAAGCACATCATCGCCTCCAGTACCTGTTTGCGAAGTTGAATCACTTGCCTGCTAAACATTTTTTTTTACAAAAAGACTTATTAGTTAGCAAACTGGTTTTGGAGTGGAGCCACGCTTTGATTCAGCCTCTTCAAAATACTTGTTAATGACCTCATTTATGAAATCTTCCTGTATCAGGCTCTTCCCTCGAGAAGTTAAATTCTAAATCAAATCAGTGGAAAATGTTTTTAAAAAAACAAACTCGAATAATTTGAAGTGCATCCGCATCAGGTATTGCAATTCCTGTTTGTTTCAGTTGATCGAGCACATGAAGTTCTTCGACATTTGGAGCTCCTCTTTTCTAAACAAAAACACTTGACTAAATTGTATAAGATAAAAGAATTGGTGAATTAATATAGTTGCAAATGTTCAAAAAAGTTGAACCACTCACCTCATTGAAAGATACATTCTTCTTGGTCGATCCTTGTGACGTAGAGTTGCTCCATGCGGTAGGTTGAGAGCTCACTGGCTGGCTATCCATGCAATCGGCCTGCTTTTTTTCGTCTCCTGATGCTGCTTTGCTACCGACCAAATTCTAAAGAAAAGCAAATTTATCAAGTTTCTAAACAATAGCTTAGTTAGTCTAAACAAAATCGAAAACTTTGTTTCTACCATTTCTGGCGGCATTCTGTGCAACCAATGGGAGAAGTTGTGAAAAGTCTTAATGCTTGGTAATAATGTAAACTTTTTGGCAAGACAATAGACTGTTTATGTAATGAGAAACGCTACAAAAGGCTACAAAAGAGGTATTTTCTTGCGGCATCCCTATGGGGGGTTTGCGAAAGAAACAAGGAAATGATAGTGAAAGGCGGAGAGTCTACAGGATTTGTTTGTGCATAGGCGAGAGACGTTCAGTTCGTTTTTCATGGGTTGGGAAGGGTAAATGTTTTGACGTTAAAGAAGCAAAAAATGCTTAAGCTTGAATCTATGTGCTTAAGACTGAATTTTATTAAAGCTTTCTTCTAACCGTTGAGATTGCCAAATCACAAGATCTTTTATGTTATAAAAAAGCTCACTTTGATAAAATCCATCGGATTTGGCCACTCCATTTGACGTCGTTGTTGAAATTTTTTCTGCAACGCTTTCCTCTTTTTCTGTAAAGTACCTTAATTTTAATTGCGTGTTTAAAAATGAGCATTGAAAACAAAAGAAAGTTTATCAAAGAATTTTAGAATTTGAAAGCAAACACGAGAAATATAAAACCACTTTTAGAAAAATGCGGAACTTGCACGGTAGTGAATTAAATTTTAATGGCAGTGTGAGGGAAATTTCGAGAAAAATAAATTGTTAAAGCTTCGAAGTGGAAAATGATCGAATAAATTTTGTATTGAGCCTTTTCGGCATAAAGTAATTGTGGCCAACTTTTGATTACAGTACATACAATAAAGTACACTGTACAAATAAGGAGAATATGCTAATTTTCTTGTTATATGAAGTGCCTATCGAGGAGCCGGCGATTGTTGCGTGGCTCGACGTCGTTGTCGCTCGAATCTAAAATATGTAGTGTTTTGACAATTTTTAGTACACTCTTAAGAGGACAAAGTACCGCTCTTTATACCGAACTTGTTTGTGTCTAGCTTGAATGTAGGTAATTGGGTGTTTTTGTGTTTCATAGTCAAAAGTTCTTACCGTTTTTCCATCTCATCCAATAATCGAGGCGTATAGCGAACGACGAGGCGAACCTGAAAATATGTTTAACAATGATTAGAGTAGGTTTCTCTCGAGTCATGCGCTTTATATAGTGTCAACTTTCTCGACTACCGTAATCTCGACTTTATTCTCATCAACTCACCGTTCCCGTCGCAGATTTGAGGAGATCGACAGCTTTCTCGTGACACTCTGTCTCAACATTCTAAACCGTTGTGTTGATTTTTAGTTAAAACCTAAAACTTTATTAAGAACAAAACTCACAACTCCATTGACGGCGATTAGTTGATCGCCTCGCTTCAATCCGCCATGCCTTTCCGCGACACCACCCGGGATTATCCTAAAATGTGGTTCGCTTATCGTAAGTGAAATACCTTACACTAGCTGGAACACCATATTGTATATTTTGTGAAAACAATATACCGTATTTTCTCTAATAGTAGTGCACCCCGGCGAGCCTTTTGCAGAAGCTCAACACTCTAATCCCCCACTAGATCTCATCGTCAGCTACATTTTCCGACCCCACATCGATAGGTTCTGATAAGCGGTTCTCGAGATTTCGAGGAATTTAGGTGAAGCTTTGGGTACACTACTATTAGAGAAAATACGGTATCTCAATTTGATTTTTGATTTGAAAAAATTTGATTTTGAAGTTTGACTACAGTAGTTTTCTAAAAGTGTATAGCTTATAGTGCATAGTTTAAAACAGCCTTTGCGGGCCTTCCAATCTTACTTGCGTGCCTTGACGTTACTGATGTACGGAGCATAAGCTTTAGGTAAATGAATTATAGGTAAATGAAACGAAAAAGTGTCTAATCTTTTGGAAATATCGCTATTTTTTCCGTAATCACTATAACCAAAATAAAAGAGAAAAACGTTATCGTAAATACAAGTGAGGCCTGAATAGCACCAGAATTAATTCCAATTCTCATTCTCACCTCGAAATATAGATTGGACTATTTTGTTCCCTTCCACCCATCACATTGAAGCCAAGACCCGCCTCCGTTTTGGGGAGTTCCACGATTCGTGGGTGAGCATGACCTAAAGTTTGAAACATTTACAATAGATACAATACAATACGATACAATATGCATATTCAATAGATATTCTAAGAATTTGATGAAAAGTCCCGACCTTCAGCTGCGGCAAAGGCAGCAACGGTTGCTTTAGCTGTCGCAGAGGCTTTAACCTAGAAATTTGGGGTTTTGATCTAACAGATTTTTAGCAAAATATACAACTTCAGTTATTTAGATAAGATTATAGTATAGTAAATATTTATATAAACTTTGAAATACCTCCGGTGGACCTTCAATGTCCAAAGTGTCATAGATCGATTGGTACACTTCGCGAATGGCGGAGAAGAACTCCGATTGCAATACCTGGATTGATTTTAGTGATCTTGATATTGTTATCAATTAACTACCGTAAATACTGTAATAGTACCGCACCCCCATAATGACGGTGCGGAGTGTTGCGTAGTCTAGCTTTGAACGAGTTTTTCTCGACACTGGTTTATGCTACAATGCGCGCTTAGGTATCAAAAAATAGCTGAAATTCAGGGCTATTTTTTGGTACCAAAGACGCATTTTTTGAAAGTACGGGCGCTTTGAAAAAAATGAAATACTAAAAAACTTTTGCGACTACAGGACTGTACGAGGGGGTGGGGTCCTATTGCAGTATTTACGGTATATAGTTTTTCCTTTAGTCAGCTATAAAATCTGAAAAAAATCCAATTCCTTTCACTCACTCTTTTCAAATTCTCCAATTTCGGCGTATTCACCTCGCCGGTGCTCTGCAAGTGCTCAATCAGCTCGATGATTCGTTGAATATCTGAAAAAGTAGTATATAATAGTTATAATTCTATGATTAATGTAATTCTAGATCTAAATAGAAGAAAATTTCTATAAAATCATTTACGATTTTGACATCATTCGGAATTAAAAAGGAATTAAAAGGCTCAGTCAGTAATACCAAAATTGAGCTGATCGAATGTAAGCTAACGGTTTGACTACAGTAGTTTTCTAAAATAGGTACTTTTTAGAAAACAGATTAGCCAAGAGAAACACATTCTATTCCTAATCGTTCTAGAATTTCTTTGCTTAAACGAACCCCTCTCCAAATTCGCCCCATCGGTGGCCATCACATTGATTGGTTTGTAAAAGCTTTTAGAAAAATATTTGAAATACTATTAAACAATAGAATTTGTTAATAAAGAACCGATGAAAGTGTATCCTGTGAAATATCGACTCCATGCCACAACAAATCACGGTGGTTATATGCTCGCCTTTTCACCTCATTCAAATCGATGTAAAGTAAGGAGAGGATACAGAAAGAAGCAAGATTACGATAGTTCTCAACCAGGTCAGGCTTGGTTAGCCTGTTCCGTGAACTCCAAGCTATACCGAGTGCTTTACCATAAGAATGTACTGCACCTGGTCTGGCAAGTATTGGGTTGGTGAATTGAAAACTGCGGGACTTTGAACTAAAATTTATTCAACATAAAACCATGAATTTATTCCAAATAATTTCCATTATTATTGACGACTTCTGCCCATTTTACAGGCAATTTGCGGATTCCTCTTTCGTAGTAGGATTTTGGTTTTGAATCGAAAAACTTTCAAAGCCAATTTTTGACTGCTTCTTCCGAATCGAAGTGTTCTCCCGCAAGCTCATTACTCATGATCCGGAATGAATAGTAATCAAAAGGGGCGAGGTCCGGACGGTATGGGGGATGCGCCAAAAGTTCCCAACCAAGGCTGTTTATTTTAGGGCGAGTCAGTTTTGCAACATGAGGGCGCGCGTTGTCGTGGAGGAGAACGATCTTTGACTTGGAGGGCCTATTCTTCTTTGGATTCCTCTTTCGTAGTAGGATTTTGGTTTGTGTGTGAGACAAGTGTGAGACTCAAAAATGGAGGACTGGAGATGTCAGCTGTCAGCCCAGTTTGAGCACTTTCTTCAAAAGAAACCCATTTTGGTGTCAATAGAAAAGTTGTAGAGAATCAAAAATTAGGCTTCTAGCCAAATTTCCAAAAAGATACACTTAGTAGTTTCGCTTAAAATGCAAGTTTTGTGAAAATTCGTAAATTTGGCATTTCTTGAAAACCAGTTTTTGAATCGTTCTGAAAATTTGGATATAAGCTTGATTTTTGATTCTCTACAACTTTTCCATTCACACCAAAATGGGTTTCTTTTGAAGAAAGTGCTCAAACTGTCACATATGACAATAGCCCGCAGTTTTCAATTCATCAGCCCAATATTACCCTGGTCTGGCCTAGCTTTTGTTCGAAAAATCCCTGGGAAAACGCGCAGAAGAGTACCAATTCACATTAGTAAATTTGCATTCAAAAGAAAATCAATACTTGGAAAAATTTAACGCTCAAATAAAAGCAGCGAAACTTTGAGAAATAATCTCTCTTCTTTATTCGCCGTTTTACCACTCGTTTCTTTGGTTCAATGATGACACAAAGATCTCTCTACATGACGCTTAGTGATCCCGAAGCTGCGAAATCGACATACAGTCGACTCTCGACTTAACGATACGCGCGGGACCAAAAATTTCGATTTAACGATTCTAAAACGTGCCCCAAGGCTAGGGTTTGGCTTCACACTTTAGAATCACGTGGCTCCCAGGCTAGCCTGATTCTCCTACGGCTCACCTCAGCCTCAGCAGAATCAGGCTAGCCTGGGAGCCACGTGATTCTAAGGTGTGGAGCTAAAGGCTAGAAAAATGTAGGCGCCTGACTAATACCCAACCCAACGGCTCTCTTAAGGGCCACAAACTACCCAATGTAACGGCAATACATAAGTTTTTTTTAAATTGAAAACACTTAAAAAACTTTTTTCGTGATCCCCCTAGAAAAACTACATTTGAGAAAAGTTTAAGTGCTCCTCAACTGCCTTAATACCTAGTACTTTTTAAGCTCCATTATTGCGAATGCGAGGTTATCTTGGCTAACAAAAATGGGCACATTTTTGGCAAATTTCATTTTTTCGAGAGCAGCAATCACGTTTAAAGTCTTATGAAAAGAATGAGGTTTTAAATTTTTCTAGTGAATCTAGTGGGAAAATGCCGCTAGATTTTAAATATCTAAACGAAAAAACTGTAAACTCTTTTGTTTTTTGCGAGAAAACCATGCTTTTGTAGAGCGCAACACTATTTATGCCACATACCTGAGTGCTGAGGACATACCTGAGTGCTGAGGACATACCTGAGTGCTGAGGACATACCTGAGTGCTGAGGACATACCTGAGTGTGAGGAATCCTGAGTGCTGGGCATCCTGAGTGTGGGATCCTGAGTGCTGAGGACATACCTGAGTGCTGAGGACATACCTGAGTGCTGAGGACATGCGAAGGACCACAAGGTTGGCATTTTTGAGCTCTTGAAAATTTGGGTATCCTATAGCTAGGGCAATAAATAGAGTTTTGAAGGACCGGCTCTTCTATTAGGTTGTTAACAGTATATTTTTGTCACCTAAACCCTTTCTCTTTAGTGGCTGGCCAGGCGGAGATTGTGGACACAAAAGAAACAAGGATTCGTGCTTGGTGCGGAAAGGCTCGTATGGTTTGAAGTAGAAAGATAATGCAGCCGTAACTGAATTAGTGTCAAATTAATGAGCTTTTTGTTCGATGAAGACACGCCGACTCTATCATCTTTTTTTAAGTGAGCCAGGCCGACGCAATCTCGCGAAACTCTTCGAAGCAAACCTATTCTGAGCGCACCGAGCCCTCTAGTAAGGCATAAGGCCCTGCCCCAAAGGCTGTCAGTGTAGCTCATTGGTAGAGCGTTCGCCCGGTAAACGAGAGGTCGCGGGTTCGAATCCCGGTCGACGCTGAGACCCACGATTTTTTGTATTCCCAGCCCCAAACGATTCGAATTGGGTGTTGTTGGTGTTTTTAAGTTTTGTGTTACTTTGGAATTGTGCAAGATGTTAAAGTGGACTGTATTATAGAGCTGTTCATTTGTCGATCCGATTGTCAATCGGTGTACAATGGAAAAACGAGATTTACTACTTCAACGGTTGCTTTTTCCAGGATTTCTTGCTGCACGAAGGCTGAATTTTTCCAGGCTCTATCTCTTAAATCCTAAAAAAGCCGTTGAATTCGTTAAATCTCATTTTTCCGTTGTACACCCATTGACAATCGGATCGACAAATGAACAGCGCTACTATACGGTCTTACGGCTTGTCTTTGCCTTGTGCCTGTCTTACGGCTTGTCTTTTGCCTTTCTTTGGAAAGCATCGAGCATCGTGTTCATTCATCAACTTCATTGTTTCATTATCACTTGAAATTTGGTGCTTTTTTTGATTACCTCCAAAACTATAGCCTCTTCGTATCATCCAAATCTCACATCACTTTCCCCCAGAAGTTTTTTTTTAGCTTTAAACCAGACTTCTACTCTCTGCGAAACCTCAAATTTAGCTCAAATCCCACTTTGATCTAAATCTGTACCTAATAAAAGCTAAACCCGGATTTTGAGCTGTTTTCGGTGAAGGGTCTTCCCCTCTTTATCCCTAATCTCATGATCTTCTAAAAAAAAGCGAATCCGTTTTATATCTTTTCCAAGTATGACATTTTTGATCTAGAGCTATATTGGAAGCCAATCATACCTTTCATTACAAGCAATTCACTTTATTTCTTGATTCATTTCTGCAAAAGACGGTTTATTGTGGGGTTTCGGGTGTCAGAAACTATGGAGTTACATCAAAATACGACTTTAAAAGAAACATGCACGTGGTACAGAAAACCCAATCACAAAATATATGATTGAAAAAAGAAACATACTTTTGATAAGGTTAGGATTGGTATGTGAATGAAAATCGATAAATGAATGAGTTCAATGGGTGGGACGTAATGAGTACGTAAGACGTAATGAGACGTAAGACGTGCCTGTCTTACGGCTTGTCTTTTGCCTTTCTTTGGAAATCATCGAGCATCGAGCATCGTGTTCATTCATCAACTTCATTGTTCCACTTGAAATTTGGTCTTTGAGATTTGTCCTTTGAAATACCCTCCTTTTTTTTTTTTTTTTTGGTGTTGCAAAAAAGAATTCCGCTGCGCCAAATGGGCGATGGTTTAATTTAAAAACCCAGGTTGCTAATCTGGTAGATTAAATTGGTCTTTTTTTGAGTAAAAATGATAGACAGTAGAGCTATTCATTTGTCGGCCCGATTGTCAATAAGTGTACAACGGAAAAACGAGATTTCACTATTTCAACGGTTCTAGTAGATCTGTGAAACTCTTAATCAAAAAAACCCCTTTTTTGCATAGGCCAGGCCGACGCGATCTCGCAAAACTCTTCGAAGCAAACCGCTTCTGAGCGCACCGAGCCTTCTAGTAAGGCATAAGGCCCTACCCCAACGACTATCAGTTTGGCTCATTGGTAGAGCGTTCGCCCGGTAAACGAGAGGTGGCTGGTTCGAATCCCGGCCGACGCGCGCGATTTTTTGTATTCCCAGCCCCAAACGATTGAATTGGGTGTTGTTGTTTTTATGTTTTGTGTTACTTTGTGTTGCTTTTATGTAAGATGTTAAAGTGGGCTGTATTATCGAGTTGTTCTGTCGATCCGATTGTCAATAGGTGTACAATGGAAAAACGAGATTTACCACTTCAAAGGTTCTAGTAGATCTGTGAAATTCTTAATAAAAAAAAAAAAACCCTTTTTTGCATAACAAATATTTCATTTCCAAGTTAAATTCGAAAGTGTTGAGGTTTGAGGTTTGATGATTCAGAAGCTTTTTTTTAGTGTAATAATTTGTAAGATATTTCTGGATTGGTGAATCGTTTTGAAGGAGACGCTCTCGGAATCCGCTAAACGCAAATTTCGACGTCAAACGTCAAAACCGATTTCCAAACTTCCGAAATTCTAACCCAAAATGGCTCCTTGCGTAGTTGGATACTGTTCTGAGAATTTTCTGAGAATAGCTCGCATTGTTTACTCTAATTTGTACCAATTTTTGGGTACAAATTTCGAGAAAAACTCACTTCGTAAGGTTTGCGTCGAGTTTTCGGAAAACTGCCAAAACTTTCCGGGAATCTCGAGCTGAGCTGAAGTTGAGCTGAGTCGAAAATCCCCTCTCGGAACAACAACTCATTTCATAAATAGAGACCCAGTTTTTTTCTTCTTTTTTTAGAAAATCTCGAAAATCCCCGATATCCGGCTCATCCGACAACGTGTTATCCAAAAGTTTTTCACATTTTCCCTGAAAAATCCCATTTTTAAAGCTACTTATTATCTAATTTTGTAGAAAATAGATTTAAAATAGATTCGGTTATATTTTTTTTGGTATAACAACATAAGAAGCTTGGAGAAATGATAAAATTCGTAGTTTTTTTTTTGATGAACAAGCTACAGCTGACTAAAGTTGACAAAATCTTTCAAAGCTACCGTAAGAGTAAATGTTTTTATGAGGCCAAAGATTATGAAGTGCGAAGATGAGGCTGTGAAAGAAGTGCTTAATTGAAGTGACTAAAAAGGTTGAAGAGGAAAGGGTACTGTAGTCTTAGACTCTTCCTTAATCACCGTATTTAGTAGCTACAGTTTTAAAAGTCAAGATTTATCTTTTTTTTATCTTTACAGTAGATCTGTTCATTTGTCTCTCTGATTGCCAATAGGTATACAACGGAAAAAGCGAGATTTAGCCCCATTAACAGCTACTTTTTCATGATTTCTTACTCCATGAAAGTAGAACTCCATGAAAGCTTTGAAGCTCCAGTCTGTCTCTACCGTATCTGTCTCGAGTCTGTCTCTACCGTAATCTGTCTCCAGTCTGTCCCAGTCTGTCTCTACCGTAATCTGTCTCGAGTCTGTCTCTACCGTAATCTTGTCTGTCCAAACGATCCTCTGAAAATAAACATTTTAATCTAAAAACGCTGAAAAGCTGTTGAATTCGTTAAATCTCGCTTTTCCGTTGTACACCTATTGACAATTACATCGACAGCTTTACTTTACAGTAAATTATAAACAGCTTTACTTTCCAGTAACCTACAAACAGCTTTACTTTACAATACTTAAAGAAAACTTAAAAAAAGACAAAGGAAAAGAAATAAATCCAAGAGAAATTCAACAAATCTAACATCTAAAATAATCAAAAAAAAAGCGATTACACCATTCATTTCTTTATCTTTTTTTGTACAGTCATGGACAAAAGCCTTTTAACGTTGGTTTTTAGAAGTTTATTCTTTGTATATTTTGGTCCAAATCCGACCAATTTGCAAACGGTTAAAAGATTTAAAGAATTTGCAAAGATTTAAAGAGCTTATTATCTCTAATTTTAACATTACACATTAAAAGACTTGTCCATGACTGTAAAAACGCAAAATTTCATAATTATAAGAATTTTTTCTTGGAAAAACAATTTCAAAAGTCAGCATAATCCCCAACTCTTCCCATCAAACACTCCAAAGTCCAATTCTTTCAAACAAAAGGAAACAAATCTTATAGTTAGACGTTACAATTTGAATATTTTTGAATGAGAATTGAAAATCAAAAAAAAAAAGATCTTTTCACACAAATCTTTTCATCTTTTCCGCTTGATTTGCGAAAAGAAAAGAAAAGAAAAGATATTCAGTTATTCAGGTGACTTTTTGATTGTTCTATTTCTCTTTCAACCCACTTTAATCCCTAAGGGGAAACCCAAAACAAATATCTTACCTTTTCAATATTCCAATTTCAATTCTAGACTTTGGAAAGGATAAGATATTCCTCTTTTTCTTTTGCAAAGGATTAGCTGATATATAGATATTCAGTAGAGAAAAAACAGGTCAAAAGCGTTTTTTTTTTGCGAACGGATTAGAGCGGATGAATGAAAGAGGCGAGAGTTTTCGGAAAAGTTTTATCTTTCTCAAAAATTCGAATAGAGAGAGAATTCTCTTCTTGAGGGTGGTAGCCGAAAATAATGTTTTCTCTCTTCTTTTTTGATAATAGAATTACTGAATTTCGAAGAAAACAACGGGCTTTTGATTTGAAAGAAAAAGAAAAAGACCCCCGCTTTTTGAATGGAAATTAGATGAATGGATATAAAAGATCAACTATCACTTGGCTTTCTTGTGCCTAAGCCCTTTTGTGAGGAGGTGAATGAAGGGTACAATTTTTGGGATTGTAAAGCTTTTGCAGGAAAATCGGGTACAACAATGGGCTTTACTCATTAAACTTTGTCACAGTTAACTTTCGTAGAAAGAGTATAACTTTTGTGGCTTTAGAAAAGGCGCAGTTACAAAATTGTATAGTATTTCATAGTGAAATGATTGAAAGTATTCTTAAAAATTGAAAATTGAACGGTCTCTACCGTAATCTGTCTCGAGTCTGTCTCTACCGTAGCCTGTCTCCAGTCTGTCTCCAGTCTGTCTCTAAAGTAATCTGTCTCCAGTTTGTCTCGAGTCTGTCTCTACCGTAGTCTGTCTCTAGTCTGTCTCCAGTCTGTCTCTACCGTAGTCTGTCTCCAGTTTGTCTCGAGTCTGTCTCTACCGTAGTCTGTCTCTAGTCTGTCTCCAGTCTCTCTCTACCGTAATCTGTCTTCAGTCTGTCTCTACCGTATCTGTCTCGAGTCTGTCTCTACCGTAACCTTGTCTGTCCCAACGATCCTCTGAAAATAAACATTTGTCTGCATACTATTATTTAATCAATATACTAATATTTTAATCCAACTAGAAAATGATCGTATTTTGAATCGTCGCGACTTTCTTTTGCCCTTTTCAACCACTCTAGACACCAAAGTTCCCCTGTTCGAAAAACACTCGAAGAGGAAAAGGAATATTCAAATTGTAACGCCTAACTATAAGATTTGTTTGTTTTTGTTTGAAAGAATTGGACTTTGGAGTGTTTGATGGGAAGAGTTGGGGGATTATGCTGACTTTTGAAATTGTTTTCCCAAGAATTATTATAATTATGAAATTTTGCGTTTTTACAAAAAAAAAGATAAAGAAATTACCGTATTTCTTCGAATAGAAGACCGGGTAAAGAGTATCGTCGCGTACTCCTGCGTAGCAACCCTTTTTAAAATTTCTTTTCTGCATAAAAGCTTTCAATGAAGTGCTATAGGGCTGGAAAATGACTCAAAAATCTGTTAGCTCATGTGGTATGTCGGACCGTCCACCGTACACTTTGCCTTTCAGACGTTTCCGCGCCAAACGTCGGAAACTACCGTAACCCGACGCAATAAAAGGACCCCGCCACAAAGAATTTTATATGGCTGGAAATGGCTGGAAAAAGTCCAATTCTATTTGGCTGGAAAAGGACTAAACTTTGCAAAAGTATGAAAAATTCTGGGAAATCAACTGTGGCTGAGTAATCTTCATTTTTGAGTCTACATTTAAGCCACAAGAACGAATTCGTACGAAAAACGAAACAAAAAGTTTGTTGTGCAATCTGGTCGATTTGTTTGGGACAATTTTTGGGATTTGTCATCATCATTACGTAAATTCTTACTGTAATTTGGGTATTTAGGCAATCTTTTAAATTCGGACTTTTGCTAAAAAAGCCAGCACTAATTTGTTTACAACTTTTAAAGATTCTTGTAGCCATCAATGTAAATTATCGTTTCCAGTGATTCCGGGAATTCCGAATGTACCAAAATGTTGTACTAAAATGTTGTTTCAACATACTGTACCCCAAATTTTGATGATAAATCAAAAATTGTGAATTCTACGAAATGCTTACACAAGAAAATTCTCGGGGTTAAAGATTGAGTCAGCTCAGGTTGGGCAAATTGTCATCGTTTGTTCGTTTGTTCGATCGGGAAAACAATATCTTTGATAAATCTTCGTTTTTTTTCTCTCTCATCAACACATAGATACGCCCATTTTGCATTTATTTTACGATTACAAGAATCTCCAATGATTACGGGAAAAAGGAGGCGGTGAGAAATGAGAAATGTCTGTGACTCTCGTCTTCTCCAATATTTTTTTTACAGTGACGCTCTTTTCACCAATCAGAACTCCCACAGAGAAAGAGGTTCAGAGAAAATAAGATTTTCGAGAGATTTTCGAGAGATTTCTTTTTTTTTTCGGGTCGGATTAGCTGGAATAAAATGTTCCCCAGAAAAGCTCTGACTCTCGGATATATAAGAACGAGACTTTCGTGACCCCCATTTCTTTGGAGATGTTCTGGAGTGTTGAGCCGATTCAACCGTTTCCCCTTTCGAATCAGTTACCCTATTCGCAACCCTATTGCAATTCTGACGTTGATTTTTTTGACTCGTGGATGAGTGCACCGCCGTCTTGCGAATGGACGATGCAACAAAGTGTGCACGGATTCACACCGAGATCCACACCCGCATCCCTCGGCGCATCTCCACTAGAGTTCTCGAGGTGACCTTCTTTTTCAATTACTTTGATACTTGTGCACTTTCTAGAATTTTGTTCACTTACGAAAACTACTGTAATCTTGCCCTAGAAAGCTAGGGCTTACTAGCTAGCTCCAGTAAATCGAATAAGACAAATCTTCTATACTTGTTACTGCTGTTTGTACCTTTTTTTAAAAACTCAACTTGGGTTTTCGAGTTCTAACTCTAGAACTTGAAAATCTTATCTTCTTATCTAAAATCTTTTCCTGAATCTTGTCTTGAAACAAAATTTTTAACTCTTTTAAGCAATATGAAGAGTTACAAGTTTGTTGGCTTTATAGTAAAAAGAAGAAGTGAAGGAATGGACAAGAAAAAGTAGACGGGAGTTGAACAATTGACCTTTTCCTTTCAGCTTTAACCACTGAGCTATCTAGTCTCCTAAATTGCGAAGAGAAATGAAGGAAAGACAAGTGGAAGATGAAAAGAAGAAAGCTAACTTTGAAAGAGTTTTTGAACCTTTAAGAAACTTAAGAAACCCAGATTTGAACAAAGAAAGAAAGAAATTAAATAAAGAAATTAAAGAAAGAAATGACTTAAATTGTAAAGAAAAGCTTGTAAAGAAAAGCTTTTTAAAGAAATTGAAAACAATTTGAAGTCAAAATTTCAGAAACGTTCCCTCAACGTCGAGTTCATGTGGCGGCAGTGGGGGTGGACGACATCATTGCGCCGTTTGTGGAGATCCCGCCGATGGAATCCACTTTGGGGCACACTCTTGTGCCGCGTGTGGAGCTTTTTTCAGGTAAATCTTGTATACAAATTCTTCTAATAGATAAGCAAAAATTTTGCGAACTTTGCTAAGAATTTTGTCTCTCTTTTTGCAAATTTCAAAGCGCTTTTCTTATTTATTAACTAAAAAAACACAAGCTATTTAAGGTTTATAACTGATTTTGCGGTGTACTTTGTGATCAAAAACTGTAATCTGTCTCCAGTCTGTCTCCAGTCTGTCTCTACCATAACCTGTCTCCAGTCTGTCCTCCCTAACCGTCTCCAGCGTCCCCCTAACCGCTCCGCCCACCATACCCTCCGGCCCCTCCTGCTCCAGTCTGTCCACCGTGCCTGCTCCAGTCTGTCTCTACCATAACCTGTCTCCAGTCTGTCTCTACCGTAACCTATCTCCAGTCTGTCTCTACCATAACCTGTCCCAGTCGCTCCCCGTAACCTGCCCAGTCGTCCCGTAACCCCAGTCTGTCTCTCCCGTAACCTGTCTCCAGTCTGTCTCTACCGTAACCTGTCTCCAGTCTGTCTCCAGACTGTCTCTTCAAAGTGTTTTTCTTATTTATTAACTAAAAAACAACCTATTTAAGCTTTATAACTGATTTTGCGGTGTACTTTGTGATCAAGAAATCTTTCCTATTTTGCTCTTTATTTTTCAGAGATCACAAAAACAAAATGTCACTTATGAACGATGAGCTCATTTTTCATCAAATCAACTTCAACTTTTTCGCTTAAATTCACTTAAATTCATTGAAATTCATTGAAAAATTTCGTCATTCACGTCTCTTTTCAACAATTCATTCAAAATCCATTCCATATTGTCTATAGCTTTTTGTCTATTTCATCGCTTTCATTTTCTCGGAAAATTTCCTTTTTTTCGAGAATAAAAAACTTTCTTCATTTCTCCATTCAAATAAAATAGACTATCAATAAGAAAATTTGTGTGAAAGAAAGTCAAAAGTTCAGTAAACGAACTCTAATCCGTTTTCTTCTTCAACAAAAAACTCTCTTCATGTGATTAGGCAAAATAAGTATGTGAGGGTGGAGAAAGAAAGATTGATCTCATCAAGTTGTACCTGGAATTCGAATGGAATTCGATTCAACGTACCAAAAGAAACCACCTACCAAAAAAAAAAAGAGTCTTGATTTGAATCGAATTCCATTCGAATTCCAGGTACAACTTGATGAGATCAATCTTTCTTTCTTTCTCTTTCTTTTAAATCTTTCTTTCTTTTTAAAACTAGACCAAAAACTGAAGTACAAATGTTTGAGAAACCCCTAATTTTACAAGAATTTCTTTTTAGAAATTTAAAAAAAAATAAAACCACCCACATTTGAAAGATTTTATAGAAAATAGACGCTTTTTTTTCTAAAGAAACCTTTTAATTTTATTTTAATTTAAACTCTTCTTTTGCTAGTTTAACGTATAAAATATTAAGGTTTATATTGGAAAAGATTGCCATTCAAAATATTTTGAACGTTTCCCGTTTCTTTTTTTGTTAGCTATATCATTGTTTAACAATTTGACCTATTACCGTATTTCTTCGAATAGAAGACCGCGTAAAGAGTATGATCGCGTACTCCTGCGTAGCAGCCCTTTTTAAAATTTCTTTTCTGCATAAAAGCTTTCAATCAAGTGCTATAGAGCTGGAAAATGGCTCAAAAATACGACAAGGGCTAACAGATTTTTGAGCCAGCTCTATAGCACTTGATTGAAAGCTTTTATGCAGAAAAGAAATTTTAAAAAGGGCTGCTACGCAGGAGTACGCGATCATACTCTTTATTCGGTCTTCTATTCGAAGAAATACGGTATTTGATATCTTTCAAAGAATTCCGACAATTCAGACAATTCAAACAATTCAGACAATTCAGACAATTCTAACAATTCTAACAATTCTAACAATTCTAACAATTCAGACAATTCCTACTCCTAGAAAAGTTTCTAGATTCTTTTGCATCCCGAAAAACAACAAATTACTTGTTCTCTTTTCTTTTTTTTGACAAGTTCACCTGCAATTACCTAGGGAATTTCCCCCGCTTTCCACAAAAATCCCCTTTTTCTTTTCAATTTCATCGAAACTCTTGACTAATAGATTTTCGATGAATTCTCATTTTCCTCATCAATTTTTCAAAGAATCTTTCCCTAATATTTCCGTGTAAACTTTGTAATATCATCCCCTTTTCAATCTCTTAGAATTGATCATTGCTGAAATTGCTGAAATTGTTACCTCAAATAATTTTGTCGTCACTCTCAAAGATTCAGAAGAATGCAATAGAAGATTTCGATGAATAATTGACAGTTTTGAAATTTGAATTAAGAAATGATCTCATAGACTGTCAATTGACAGTCTATTAGATAGACTGTTAATTGACACTCATTTCTTAATTCAAATCAGTCTATTAGATAGACTCATAGACTGTCAATTGACAGTCTATTAGATCATTTCTTAATTCAAATTCAAATTATAAGCCTATTCAAATATAAATCCAAGGGTAAAATCAAAATTTCGCCTCTCTTTCCTTAACCTCTAAAGCTTATCTTTCAGAAGATCGGTGAGCGATCAGAAAGTTTACGCGTGCGATGGGAAACGATGTCTGGGAAATGGTGAGTTCAGTTAATCATTTTCTTCTTTCTACACACAAACGCTCCCTTTCTGGCACACTTGGCTCATTGATTTCCTTTCAGGTCGTACAACGAAAAAAGGCGGAAATTGTCGCTATTGTCGCTTTCAAAAGTGTATCAACGCTGGAATGCAACCGATTGGTAATTTGTTTTGTTTTCAAAAAAAAAAAACTCTACTTACTTTTATACAAAATAGATATCTTTATATAGAGATTTCATCAAAAAAACACTTACCGTAAATACTTTAGAACATTAGTTAGAACATTCTTGAGGTGTTACCTACCGTAAATACTGTAATAGTCCCCCACCCGCCCTTGTACAGTCGTGTAGTCGCAAAAGTTTTTTAGTATTTCATTTTTTTCAAAGCGCCCGTACTTTCAAAAAATGCGTCTTTGGTCAAGAGAAATGACTTCCTGTAAATGACTTGGGAAGGTGTTCTTTGCGCACGCGCGTAATCGCTCACGACCTGGCAAACCCATTCGTTATAAAGTGCTTTCTTTTTGGCTTAATTTTTGTGTTGTGTTTTTTGGGTGTTACCTACCGTAAATACTGTAATAGCCCCCCACCGCCCTCGTACAGTCGCGTAGTCGCAAACGTTTTTGGGGTATGAATGACAGAAAGTGATTGGAGGGGTTCTTGAAATGCGATCGTATACTTTTCATTTACAGGGCCTTACAACAATAGCATGTTGGGGATTTGTATATATATCCGTAAATACTGTAATAGTACCCCACCCCCCGTACAGTCGCGTAGTCGAAAAGTTTTTTAGTATTTCATTTTTTCAAAGCGCCCGTACTTTCAAAAAATGCGTCTTTGGTATCAAAAAATAGCTGAAATTCAGGGCTATTTTTTGATACCTAAGCGCGCATTGTAGCATAAACCAGTGTCAAGAAAAACGCGTTCAAAGCTAGACTACGCAACACTCTAACACGAGAACGATGCCTTTTCCGACTACAATCATCACTACACCAAAAAGGCCGAGAACCACCACCCCCGATTATCAAAAAAGAGTGTTCACATTGACCGAAGACAATCCAGCATTCGCCATTCATCTCATGCGATTGTCTGACTTGGGAGTGAGAGTGCGATTGTCTGACTTGGGAGTTTTTGATACCAAAGATAATGACGGTGCGGAGTGTTGCGTAGTCTAGCTTTGAACGAGTTTTTCTCGACACTGGTTTAAGCTACAATGCGCGCTTAGGTATCAAAAAATAGCTGAAATTCAGGGCTATTTTTTGATACCTAAGCGCGCATTGTAGCATAAACCAGTGTCGAGAAAAACTCGTCCAAAGCTAGACTACGCAACACTCCGCACCGTCATTATGGGGGTACTATTACAGTATTTACGGTATTTATTAATTTAAAACTTTTTAAAACATCAAAAACTTTTTAGAAGTGCACACTAGACGACAACGATCGAAAGAAAGCCGATCGTCAATCGACGATGATAATCTCAAGGTAGAAATGTTAATTAGAAAGTTATAAATGCATATTATGATATTATAAAAAGTTAATTAGAAGTAAATTAGAATAAATTTCAAATTTAGAGTATTTTCCTTGGGGAAAACTCGACACCGATTTTGGAGAGCCTTGTGCAATTGAGGAGAGATTGGGCGTCGAGGAGACACTCCTACTTTATGAAAAAGGTATGTTGGTTTGCAGAAAATAGATCTAAATATCTAAATATCTAAATAACTAAATAGCTAAATATTTGTCTCTTGTCTCTCTACAGTATGTCAAAGTGAAAGAATAAAAGCATTCTGATGACAAGTTTGAGTCTTCGAACTCGACTTGGAGTATTTCAAAAGTATGAATCTTTGAGTACTCTTATTAGGCTGGGTATTATGTGTTTCTATGTTATCTTCATTGATTCTTATGTTATTTTTGTTATTTTTAGAAACAGTGAATCGATCAAAACAAAAACGGTTTATTTTATTGAAAAGATCTTCTGAGGATGGTGGTTAAATGACATATGCCATAGGTTGTTCGATGCAGAATTCAACGCCCATTCCGAATCTGCTTTCCATTTATCTTTTAGAGTACTCTGTCAAAAGTTATAAGCGTGTAAAGTTTTGTATGGGATTTCAAATATCATCCGCCCATAAGCAAATTTCTTAGAGGCCTTAGGTGATGCCATACATTGTATTCTAGCGCACTGACGAGTGACAGTGCGCTAGAATATAATGTATGGCACAGGACAAGGACTCTCTGATTCAAGTCCGCCGTCCTGCTTTGTTTACTTTTTTTGAAAGAGTGCTTCAAAGCAGAAACGGAAAGCAGAGTCGGAATCGGCGTTGAATTCTGCGTCGAATAACCCGTCATTTCATTTGATTGACAGTTGACAGTTGACAAGTTGACAGTTGACAGTTGACAGTTGACAAGTTGACAAGTTGACATTCTCTTTTCAGTCAACATTGAGCCCATTCAAATAAGAAATGAGCCGTTTCAGGATCACCTCGATACAACGATCTTGGCTCATCTCGAGGAAATGAGCATCGAATGGAGAATCTTCACACAAATCATCACCACAAATCCGTTGATGAAAGATTTCGAGTTAGTACCATTGAAAATATTGATTGACAATATTGATCTTCAACCTTCAATCTTGAATCTAAATCCGAACTTCTAACTTCTCCACTTTTAGCTCAGACTCGACCATCGCTCAAACAGCTGACTCAGCTCCACGAAAACTCAGCCAAGTGAGTGAAACTTTTAATATAAGTTATGCAAACTAGATTATTTGAAAAGTCTCCAGGTGCACCCAAATCTTCGTGACCTTTTCCTAAGCGGATACCTCTTTGAGTTGGCGCTCTCGTCGGTGAAAAACGGAGGCGTTCAAATGGATCACACGATTACAACTGTTCGTATTTATCAATTAGATATCTTTTTTAAAAGATCTAATTCAATCTAATTCAATAAAAAATTCAAAATTTCAGAGTGGCCTCAAAATTGAGCTGATCGAGGAAGAGTTGACGCGTTTCTTCACCACTCCACAGATTAGAGATCCACTTTGTATGGCGAGGTTCGTTTTCAGTCATTTTTTTTTTCAATCTACAGGATGCGCCAAAAGTTCTGCCACCATCTTAATGTTGGCTAAAGCTTAAAAAATGAATTTTTAAACTAATAACGAGATTCAATGGCATAGATTTCTTTTGCAAAAAAATAAAATATGAAACCTATTTGTATTCTGAATTTTTAAAATTTAAATTTACCAAAAAATTGATATTAAAATGCAGTATTTTCTCTAATAGTAGTGCACTCCGGCGAGCCGAGTTGATCACTATTTTACGGTTTTCAAGCTTTTCATTTTATAGATTCGTTCTTTTATTTCGATTTTCAAAAAGCTACTTGGATTAGTACTGGTTATAGGACTTTATTTAACTGAATTCAATTAGCGTATTTTCTCTAATAGTAGTGCGCCCCGCCGAACCGAGTTGCTGACTATTTTACGGTTTCCAAGCTTTTGCAGAAGCTCAACACTGAAATCCCCCACTAGATCTCATCGTCAGCTACATTTTCCGACTCCACATCGATAGGTTCTGATAAGCGGTTCTCGAGATTTCGAGGAATTTAGGCGACGCTCAGGGTGCACTACTACTAGAGAGAATACGGTAATATTTTTCGATGCAAACCCTCTAGATAAATCATATTACACAGAAGTTTATTTGCTTCCTAGCTTATTTTAAAATGACGATAATCTCAAAAAATTTTTATACTTGAAATTCTGGCAAATCGTCCGCAATTAAATGCTCTATTTATAAATTTGTTACTAGTAAAGGTTTGAATTCTTCGAGGAACATTTTATTCGACGTTTTTTATACACTTAACTCCCTCTGGAGTAAGGGGGAAGGATGGGCTCTGCAATGCTGGGTAATGCTTGCTTGCAATGCTTCATACCTAGTTTCGAGTGCACCTTAAGGCTATAAATCGAGAGGTGTGGAACCGTCTCGTCCAGAGAGTAGGGAACTTAACTCTCTTTGGAGTAAAGGGGATCAGGGAGGTTGTGGTGTAGTGGTTAACACATTTGTCCGGTAAGCGGAGGGTTGTGGGTTCGGGTCCCGGTAGGGCTGATCTGGCCGAGTTCCAACTGATAAAGTTTGCTTTTTTGTTCCCGAAAATGAGGAATGGAGGAAGGAGGGAAGCGCCGAGGCGCCTGGAGATTGATCATGTAGCGCACAAGTTTTTAATCTGCCCTAGTTCCAACTATACTCTTTTATTCAATATTCATAAAATAAGCTAAAGAAATCGAAATTTGATTTGTATTTGCCTTAAAATTCTATAAAAATCTATAAACCCAATGAAAAAACTTTTGACGCACCTGGAACCCTGGATAGTAACTAATTAAAGATACTGTAAGCTGTAGAACCGATTATACAGTATCGTTACATTATGCACGAGGAAAAGATATTCAGGTGTTAGACTGAAGAAGCAGAAATGTCTAGAAAATCGAGGCTTCAATTTGAAAGAATATCTTTATTTAGATAATTTTAATAAGACAGATTTTCTTTTAAACTTTAACTCGGCTTTCATTGTTCTTTAGACTCAAAAATCTAAAAGAATCGATTCTGGTGCACTAAAACAGGAGTGTTCACCTGAATTGTGTTCACCTGAATTCGAGTGTGCCAGAAAGGGTGTGTTCACATAGTTTTCAACAATCTATCAGAAATCTATATTTCACATCTATCAGAAATTCACAGCGTATTCACAGCCATTCACTTCGATCCAATGAATGCTTTCTCTTCTAGATTGTGCCTCCCGTTTTTCGCTCATCTTGTCCGTGTTTGTGCCCGTTCGCTGCAGTCCTTGTCAATTGATGAGATTGAGACAGCCTTTCTCTACTATGCGGTCATTGCATCGTATCAAGGTAGGGAAAAAAGAAAGAAATAAAAAAACGACTCTAGTCGATTAAAAGAGAGCTTTTAAGTGAGTAACTAGATAACTTTATTTCAGCAGAATATTAATATTAACTTTTTCTAACCATCTAAACTCTATTTGAAGAGTCTTTCAAATAATAACAAATAGAATTTGATTGAAAAATCCACTTTGACGAGACAGTCTGGAGACAGACTGGAGAAAGGTTACGGTAGAGACAGACTGGAGACAGGTTACGGTAGAGACAGACTGGAGACAGGTTACGGTAGAGACAGACTGGAGACAGATTACTGTCGAGACAGACTGGAGACAGATTACTGTCGAGACAGACTGGAGACAGGTTACGGTAGAGACAGACTGGAGACAGGTTACGGTAGAGACAGACTGGAGACAGGTTACTGTCGAGACAGACTGGAGACAGGTTACGGGAGAGACAGACTGGAGACAGGTTACGGTAGAGACAGACTGGAGACAGATTACTGTCGAGACAGACTGGAGACAGGTTACGGTAGAGACAGACTGGAGACAGATTACTGTCGAGACAGACTGGAGACAGGTTACGGTAGAGACAGACTGGAGACAGATTACTGTCGAGACAGACTGGACAGACTCGAGATAACTTTATTTCAACAGAATATTAATATTAACCTTTTCTAACTATCTGAACTCTATCTGAAGAGTCTTTCAAATAATAACAAATAGAATTTGATTGAATTTGATTTGAAATCCTAAGAAAATCAAAAAAAGAAGCACCTTTAAGGATTTATAACCTTGCCAGGTTGTGGGTTTTTACGCGATCGCACAAAGAACATTTCCCCAGTGATTTGCAGAGATTCTTCTTTTGCTTTATAGATGGTCAAAAAAAGATTTTCAACTATAAATTTCTACCCAAGGGTTTTCGAGGTCGGCAAATCCATTAGAGCTACCGTAAATACTATAATAGTACCCCACCCCCATAATGACGGTGCGGAGTGTTGCGTAGTCTAGCTTTGGACGCGTTTTTTTCGACACTGGTTTATGTTACAATGCGCGCTTAGGTATCAAAAAATAACTGAAATTCAGGGCTATTTTTTGATACCAAAGACGCATTTTTTGAAAGTACGGGTGCTTTGCAAAAAATGAAATACAAAAAAAACTTTTGCGACTACCCGACTGTACGAGGGGGATGGGTGACTATTACAGTATTTACGGTAAGTTTCTACAATACGGTACGATTGACTCGCCTAATTTATATTGTCCCAGGAAGGAGGACGGCAAATCTTTTAGAGCTATGTATTTCTCATTAAATCTTCCCATTTTTTTAGCACCACAAAGTCAACTCTCTGGAAACACAATTCTATCAAAACTCTGCTCTGAACTGACCACACATTACGATTCAACTCCAGAAGAAATCGCACAGAAAATGGGAAATCTCTTGCTGACAGTGTCACCTTTCCGAGAAGCACTTCAATTTTTACATGAATATATCACTTTATTAGAGTTTGAGTCGTTATTTATTTGATTCTATCGAAAAAATCGAAGTTTTGATTAAAGAAATTAAAGAAATTGAAGAATAGATAGATATCTAAATCTTTTGATGGCTACCATTCTGAGGATTCAACTATGGAATGGTGTTTTTGTGCTTGTGTTGTGCTCTAAAATCGAAACATACCCTAGCTGGCGTACCTTTGAACTTAAGTGTTCAACCTACCGTAACCTTGTCTCTAGTTTTATTCAATGTATCTACTTTTTGATTTGATAAAGGATACAGAAAGATACAAAAGTGGATTGATTGTATAAAAACTAGACAAGATTACGGTAGTTGGAACACGTTTTAGAAAACGGCTGTTTCAGAGATTTGAGAGAAATCAACTCTACAAGTGCGCCGATACAGTAAGCGATACAGTAAGCTATAGTAACCTAATTGTGATTTGCTTGCTTATCGATACAAGCGGCAAGCTCATGTTTGACAGTTCAGATCTCGGCTTTTAGAATAGCTATCAACTTGTAAGTTGTTTCATTGGAAAGCCAAGAATATCAGCATTTGATTGCTATTTTTTACATAGAGACTTTTAATGAGGAAGCGACACAATTTTCAGATTGATAGCTGTTCTAGAAACTGAGATCTGAACGGTCAAACATGAGCATGCCGTTTGTATCAATAATATTGATAAGTCTAGTGAGAACGAACAAGTGGCCGTGTCTACAGTAGCTCCAGTTTGTCTACAGTAACCCCTAGACTGTCTACAGTAACCCCTCGACCGTCTACAGTAGCTCCAGGTTGTCTGCAGTAACCCCTAGATCGTCTACTGTAGCTCCAGACTGTCTACAGTAGCCCCTAGACCGTCTACTGTAGCTCCAGGTTGTCTACAGTAACCCCCAGACCGTCTACTGTAGCTCCAGATTGTCTACAGTAGCCCCTAGACCATCTACAGTAGCTCCAGATCGTCTACAGTAATCCCTAGAGCGTCTACAGTAAATACAGTAACCCCAAATGTGACTTGGATCCAAGTCTGACACCTGGCTAGATTCTAAAGAAAAGATCAAGCGAAGCTAATCTCAGCCAAATCACCAGATCGCCAGAAAGAGCGCGTTTACATTTTTGAGCACAAAAAGAGCAAGATTTCTCTTGATAAAGCACTGCACCAGATGACTGGCGTTTACGCTTCTTTTTAACACAACCCATTTGCATAACGATCGTTTTTTCTATGGCTCTATTTCTATGTTCATATCTAATTGTATCTAATTTTTGTATTTCTTTAGAGTACTTTAGAGTTCTTTTCGTTTTAAAATTTCCTGTACAAATCCCCAAATCTCTTTTTGATCTCCAATGTAAAAATCTCTCTTTTTTTGTTTTTTTTGTCATAATTTATCAATTTTTTATTAATTATTCTCAAATAAATATACAGATAAAAAGAAAAAAAAACAAGAAAAAGCGAGTAGAAATTTGTGAGAAAATTTCGGGAGATTTCTGAGCAAAAAAAAAAGCAAAAAAATTCATTTTTGAGATCATTTTTTATTTTGCAAAATGGAAATTTTGAAAAATGAAAATTGAAAATTCGAAAATTCGAAAATCCTAAAAGGGTTTGATCAAAAAGCACGGCAAGGACCCTGTAACATTGTAAGTGGAAAGATTAAAACACACACACACACACAAAACAAAACTTCTTCCGAAAGCCCAATCAACTCAAAAGTGAGGTAAAACGCGAAAATGAGATCAATTAGATTAATGAGATTAATGAGATTAATGAGATTAATGAGATCAATGAAATCAATGAAATCAATGGAATCAATGAGATCAATCAAATCAATGAGATCAATGAGATCAATGAGATTAATGAGATCAATGAAATCAATGGAATCAACGGAATCAATCAAATCAATCAAATCAATCCAATCAATCAAATCAATCAAATCAATCAAATCAATCAAATCAATCAAATCAATCAAATCAATCAAATCAATCAAATCAATCAAATCAATCAAATCAATGAAATCAATCAAATCAATGAAATCAATCAAATCAATGAGATCAATGGAATCAATGGAATCAACGGAATCAATCAAATCAATCAAATCAATCAAATCAATGAAATCAATCAAATCAATGAGATCAATGGAATCAATGGAATCAACGGAATCAATCAAATCAATCAAATCAATCAAATCAATCAAATCAATCAAATCAATGAGATCAATGGAATCAATGGAATCAACGGAATCAATCAAATCAATCAAATCAATCAAATCAATCAAATCAATCAAATCAATCAAATCAATCAAATCAATCAAATCAATCAAAACTGTACAAGGAGCCGTTTGCCATCGGTTTATTTGCAAAACCCTTTCATTAAAAATAAATAAATAAAATAAATTTTAAAAAATGAGTAAAAACCAAGAAATACAAATTTTTTGTGAGCACCCGGGATCGAACCATGACCCATTGGAATGATGGCCGGAAAATTAGGCACTGAGCCATGGAATGACCGCGAAATGGGCCATGAAATCTTATTGAGGTGGCATCCATGTCCCTCCGAGCAACTCAACGACGGTCGTGAATTCTTTGAGATGAAATAAATTGATGAATAATGGGGACAAAAGGAGAGACAATCCGCCCATCTTCACGCCCACCTGAATTAATTCATTAAATAGTGGAGAAAAAGTAGTTGATTGTATTAGTTTTTGGATAAAAGCTATTGTAGCCTCTTGATTTATGCCTTTCCCTCTTTTTTCCTTTCTCCTTCCCCTATATTCCCTCTTTTTTCTCTGGCAAGCAGATACCAGATAGCTCAGTGGTTAGGGCATCTGCTCGGAAAACAAAAACGTCGACCGAAGGTCGAGGGTTCAATCCCCTGGCCGGAAATCTTTCTTACTTTTTTACTTCTTACCTCCTTTCTTCTTATTTTTTTACTTCTTACTTCCTTACTTCTTACCTCCTTTCTTCTTACTTCCTTACTTTATTTTACCATTTCTTATTTCTAAATGGCATCTACTGATCATAAATTGTTGGAAAGGTTAAGAACTCAAAACTCATTATATTCGATTTTGAATACTATAAGTCTCACTAACAGTCAGTACACTACAGTACACCGAAGTAAAACAGTTATTAGCATTGAAAGCATTTAACGCTTTCAAGATATTCAGTCTTGGCTGTCAAGAGGATACAGTAGCAAATTATAACAAATGGGATCTAGGAAATTACACAACAAAGGCTATAAAATTCCAATCAAAATACTAATATAAAATACGAAAATTTTGTGTCCTATAATCTAGTATTTTAGCTTAAAAAGACACTCACCTCAGCTCCGCCCGTTTCATAATAATTGCCAATCTCTCGCGCCAATGTGGCGTACATTTGTCGTGGGGGCACATTTTGCGCAGGTGCTGAAAGAGGCTTTAGATTATTTGAAATTGAAATTGAATTGAAATTGAATTTCAAATCTCTGCTTTCAATTCCCCACCTGCATGCGCTAAACAGGCATAGAAAACATAGGCGATCTCCATCTCGTCCAAATGCGCCGCCTGAAGCGATCGAGAACACACGCGCACGAGGTGATCGTAGAATTCGATGGATAGCCTAGAAGAAGAGAGTTTAGGAATTCGAATAATTCTATATAGATATATATATGTCGCAGCCGCTCGTGATTTTCAGCCGCTAGTGATTGAACCACCATCGGCTAGCCGCTAGTGATTGAACCACCATCGGCTAGCCGCTAGTGATTCAATCAAGCCGTTTCCTGTGAGAAAACGAAGAATTAAGTGTACCAGAGTGTACCAGAGCCGCTAGTGATTGAATCACTAGCGGCTGCGACATATATATATATATATGTTGTGTCCGATTTAGATTGAACTTATCGCGGACGTCTGATTTAGATTACAGTCTATATCGGACGTCCGATTTAGATTCAATCTAATCTTGTATAGATTGAACAATAATATAAACATGCTTAATATATGTTCTTAAGCGTTTTCTGTAGTTTTCTGCATTTTTCCAAAGGCCTTTTATTGATTACAGTCTATATCGGACGTCCGATACAGATCGAACAATAATAAATGTGCAGATGGAGGACCTTTTTGACCAAGAATTTGGCGTGTTTTTACAAAAGCATGGCATCTCTCCGCTGCCATTTTTCTTGCCCACATGATAAAGCTGCGCTTCCGTCCGATTTAGATTGAATCTAAATCGGACGGAAATCTAAATCGGACACAACACATATATATATATATATATATATATATATCTTAGCCATATACAATACCTCGTCAAGCAGTCGGGGTCTCGATTGTGTGAATCATCGGCGAAAAATTGTCGCAGTGACTCCTCGGTGAGCTCAACGTTTGAACCATCCTGAAAGTGTGTTAGTTAATGGACTGAAAGCAAATTTAAGCAAATTTAAACAAATTTAAACAAATTTAACGCAAAAGCAATTTAACGACTTACATATAACGCACAACGATCCATTTGTACACCTCCATGTGTCGATGTGGAAAGAGCCATCTCAAAAGAGACATAAAGGAGGAAAAGCTCGCGGAGACGGCACTGAAAATTAAATTGTAATTGAATTGATTCACTGAATATCTTTAACATGTTTTCCGGCCCTACCGTCACCGTTTTCTAAACTGCATTTACTAGGGAACTGCTTTAAGCGTTGATTTGCGGCTAGATAGAGCTTTTGAAAAGTTCTATTTAACTTTTTACTGTTTATAGACCTTTATGTATCCTTTAAATACCTAAAAATTGGTTTTTAACAAAAAAAGAAAACGGAAAACTGTGAGGGGATTCGAACCAGGGACAAGCAGTACGCGAGCGCACTAACCCCTGCACCATTCAATCAACGAACGGGTCAAAAGTAAACCGGCGTCATATCGCAGCGGCGCCGTTCTTCCAGTTCCCTAGTTAACAAAGGGGTCAACTGTTTATTTGCTTTAAACAAGCCAATTTCCTCTAGCCAAGCCTTTTTTAACATTCAAGAGTTTAAAAATTCAAGCCTTTTAAAGATTTATAACAAAATTTAATTGAATATCTTTAAAGTAAGCTAATTTTTTTTTGTTAAAACGAACCGATCCGAGTTGAGCCCAGTGCTCAGGTGCTTCGCATTGTGGCTCGGGTTCGGCTTCTTCCTCCAATTTCGTATCATGCAACAATTGCATAAAAGGAGCCGCTGTGAGCAAATGACGAACAAATAATTGCCATTCGATCGACAAGTAACGACGGAAATTCGTAAATCCTGACTGCGGGCTGTTCTAGAATAAAAACTTACCGTAAATACTGTAATAGAACCCCACCCCGATAATGACGGTGCGGAGCGTTGTGTAGTCTAGCTTTGAACGCGTTTTTCTCGACACTGGTTTATGCTACAATGCGCGTTTAGGTATTAAAAAATAGCTGAAATTCAGGGCTATTTTTTGATACCTAAACGCGCATTGTAGCATAAACCAGTCTCGAGAAAAACTCGTTCAAAGCTAGACTATGCAACACTCCGCGCCGTCATTATGAAGGTGGGGTACTATTACCGTATTTACGGAATGTTTTTGGGGACTTTTAGACTAGAAAAGACTAGTTTTTTCGACTATTTGAAAGATTTGAAGGTTTAAATGCTCAAGAATCAATTTCATTTCCATTTTTCATTTATTTTCCACTCACTTGATTGTAGATTCGTGTCCTAGCCGAGGCGATTTCGCGACGCAACGCAACAATACTTTCCAAAACGCCCGAGGCGCCTTTCCGACGATTGACTGGCGTCTGAAGCTATTTCCAATAAACTAAGGCTTTAATAATAGTGTTAAATCTATTATATAATATAATTTAATAATATGTAATAATAATATTTACCGGTCTCGGCGATGCGCTCGACGTCGAGCTCGCCTCGCTTCGTCGGGCTCTTTTCGCTTGAACTTCTGAAAATAGATGAAATAAACTAGTTTAAATAATGAAGTATATGCAATGAAGTGCAAATTTATAGCTTTTTTTAAAAAATTGATTCACCTTGTGGCAACATTCCCACAGAGAGACACTTCTCGAAGCGACAGTACCGACAGATTCCACCTCGTTTTGCCGAATCTGATAAGATTTTTGGATTTATTTTGATTATTTTTAAGAAATATTCAAATGTATTTAGGGAAATTGTATTGTAAAATAATCAAAAAAGAAATTTAGAGGTAAATTTTTTGAATAAAATACTCACCAAAGCGAACATTGCACTTGCGATGGGCGCACGAGTAAACCTTTTGATCCGACACTGATCGTCTGCAAAGGAAAAGTAAGAGTGGAAATGAAAATCCCTTCAATATTAGAGAATCAAGAGAAAAGTGGCAAATTGCCTATTCAAATTCTGATTTAAATCTTTAAAATCTCAGCTTTAAGTATTTAAGATCTCAATTCCTCAAGAAGAAAAAGCTCAATTCCCCCAGCAATACCTGAAGAAAGCTCCACACGCAGCACATGCGACCGCTCCAAAATGAAATCCCTCAGCTGCATCCGCACAAACTGTACAAGAAAGGGCTTTGTCTTGTGATGATGATCCTTCACTTCCTCTAGTTTCATCGTTTGATGTGCTAAATTCAATGAGTTTAATTAGCTAAATTCAATTTGTTTCATTAGCTAAATTCAATTCAATTAGAAGCGTTAGAAGTTCAATTTGAAGTTCAATTAGAAGTTAAATTTAAAGTTTAATTAGAAGTTTAGTTTATAGTTTAATTTAAAGTTCAATTTAAAGTTCAATTTAAAGTTCAATTTGAAGTTCAATTTGAACTTCAATCAAATTTTCTTTCTTTTAGAGAACTTCTCTAAAACTAAGATTCATATCGAAAAATTGAACTAAAGATCATTGTTAATCGTCATTAAAAACCTTTTCTAATGAAAGATTAGCTTTTTTGATCAAAAACCTTCAGTATATCAACTAGTTTTGACTTAACTAGATGCAAAATTTATAGCAAAACTCGGAAACTTATTATTACTCTTTTTCTTCCAACCCTTTCTCTCAAATCAAACTCTAAACCCTTCCCAATAACCTCAATCTTCTCTCCTCACAAATTTTCGTTCAAAAAGTACACGAGGAAGAATAAATTCATAAAATCGAAAGAGTGAACCGTCTGATTCAATAAACACACTCATTTTTTTTCTCACCAAACTTGTCCCTTTTCAAAATAATTAACAATTTCCCATGAGAGATTTACAAAAGAAAAGAGAAAAGGAAAGGAGAAAAGAAAAGAGAAAAGAAATTGAAGCCATACATGAAATGTGATTGGAGTAAACCGGGAAGCTTTAACAAAAAGAAAGAAAGAAAAGTTGCGGAAGCGGGATGAAAGGCATTTCCTTTTTTGAAATTTATTCAAAATTTTGTTCTTTCAAGTTTCCGCTTTCGAAAATGAATATAATAATGGTAATTTAAGGAAAAAAGGGGGTTGAAAGGAAAAAAGGAACAGGAATTATCGTGCTAGATATGTACGTTTACAAACAGCGATGTACGTTTACAGCGATGTACGTTTACAGCGATGTACGTTTACAGCGATGTACGTTTACAGCGATGTACGTTTACAGCGATGTACGTTTACAGCGATGTACGTTTACAGCGATGTACGTTTACAGCGATGTACGTTTACAGCGATGTACGTTTACAGCGATGTACGTTTACAGCGATGTACGTTTACAAACAGCGAATTGATGAGGCTTAAAATGAAAGAATTTTGTTGAAAAAGGTTGTCAAATTATAAATTTGCTAAAAAAATTTCTGATTTTGATTTTTTGATTTCCCCAAAACAGATCTATGGCTTAGCATTATTTCTGAGAAATTTCAAAGGGAAAGTACAAAGTTTCAATGAAAAATTTGGAGATTTTCTTTAATGGGAAATAAAATAATCTCATGATTCCTCATGATTTTCACACAATTAATTTCCTGAGGATTTGAAATGGTCAAAGCTGGAGAAATGGAGAAAAACGATGATAAAAGCAGAGAAAAGACGGGATTTTCGCGGGTGGGAAAGCCGATTTCCCGGCTTTCTCGGCTTTCACGGCTTTCACGGCTTTAAAAAGAGGGCGCGAGCCAGGAGAATTATCCGCTCAAAGTACTCATAATCTACTCTATCCGATATGAAAATAAAAATGAAAAAAAAAAAACAGATTGTTGAATTGTAGACTCGGAAAATGAAATTTTTAAATAAAATTTCCTGGTTGAATAATGTTGGTTTTTAAGGGAAGCCCGGCTTATTCAGCCATCTTTTGATCACTTCCCCGACATGTCGTTTGGCGCAGTGGCTAGAGCGCTTCTCCCCTCGAGCCGAAGCCCTCAAAACCCGAAGGGTTCAAATCTCCTAGCTTGTTTTATTTCAAAGCCTTTTACATTAAAATTCGATTTCATCTATTTTCAATGCTCCAATTCTTTTCCTGAATTCGATTCTATTTTAGGTTCTTTTTTTTCTGAAAAAATTGCGTAATTGGGATCTTTTTGATCTCTCTGTTGAAAAAGCGAGAAAAATCCCGAAAATGATTCAAATGATTTGAAGGTATTGCTTCAAAAAGGTGAAAATAAATGAAAATAAATGAAAATAAATGAAAACGAAATGATCCCGAAAGGGAAAAGTTGAACTTTTTGGTGTGAAATCGTGAAAGCTTTTCAAATCTTTGAAAGATCTTTGAAAGAATGGAGGTGAGATGGGAGATGAGGTCAAGTTCTGCGTTTTGAAACTTCTCAATCTAGCTTGATTGATAGAAAGATCTCGAAATCTCTCAAATCATTTCAATTTCACAAGATCTCCCATTTCAATCTCTCAAATCATTTCAATTTCACAAGATCTCTCATTTCAATCTCTCAAATCATTTCAATTTCACAGTGGCTTGTTCGACTCTTTCAATTCAATATTCAAAAAAGCAAATTTTCAACAACAATTTCATTGTCTCATTCTTCGATAAAAAGTTAAGCCAAGTAGTTTTTAAGGCCTAAAAGGATGTCCTTTTCTGACGTATTTGTTTTCAAAACGATCTCTAAACCGTTAAAGTTGTCTTTTCAAGTCCTAAATGATACACCATGCTATCGTATCCACTTTACAATCTGCCCCTTTTTCCCCGTTCAAAAGTCAAGCCTAAAAGTCAGCCCTAAAAGCTGCTCCTTGCTACCTTTAGAGAACTGCTGCTGCTCTAGAAGCTGCCCTATTGTATCCATAAAAACTTACAAAGCGAAAGGCCACAAAGCGTATTGATACATTTGATACGGGGTGATCGTTGTTGTCTGATTGAGGGTGGAGTCCATTGGATTTATTGGTAGTGGAGTCAAATCTTGACACATTCCATCGACAAGTGACTCGAAGGGCATTGGCCAATCGCTTTCACAGCACAAATAAGCCAACGGATTACTGTAGCACACGGCGTCCCACATGGAAGTTTAGAGAGAAAATCTTGTTGATTTTCGAGCAATGGCTGAGACTGAACAGTGGAGCCGAGATTCGAGGAGAATTTTTAGTAGATAAATTGAGTGTTTATAGAAAGTGCGCTCTATAGATTATCTATAGAGCTATAGAATACGGTAGTCGAGTAGAAAGCTTTCGGAATAAAGTACTGTAGTACTGTAGCTCTATGAACAGTAATACAAGCAAAGAAATGGTAAAAGTAAGTGGCTTCAAAGTTAGAAGAGGTTAAAAGACTCTGAATCAGTGGTACTGAGAAGATCGGGAAGATAAAATGAAAGACGATCGGGCCTAGGGCCCAGCCCCCTTTTCTCTTTCACACCCCTCGCCACCTCTTGCTCTCTCGAAGTTAATCTCCCACCCTCGCTCTTCTTTCTCCCCTTTTCAGCCCTGGAGGACCCTCTACACTTCTGTACTCTGACTCGAGAATTCAAGAATTCAATAGACACACAGCGTAGGTTACCGGAAGTTTTCCCTGCCTTTTCTCTTTTCTGTAATTCTTGAACTTCCTTTTCTCTTTTCGATGAGTCGCACAAGGAAGAAACTGTTTTTTTTTCTAGATTTGTAAACTTCCGGGTCTCAAAACTGTTGTGATACTAATTTCGGAAAGATTTATTTTGTTTATTTTGGAATCTCGTGAAACAGGGAAGTTTTTGCAGTGTACCATTTTTTTGTCATCGGCTTTTCATGAAATTGGAGAGAAGTGAGTGATGAATGATAATTGAGAGACAGATCAACAATAGTTTACAATAGTAGTACAATAGTACAATAGTATAATAGTACAATAGTACAATGGTACAATGGTACAATAATAGAATTGGTCTCATTGTTTGTTCTATCAATTCGTATTGAAGAAACCTTGCATATCCTGAAACTTATTCAGGTGTATTTTGTGCTCAAAAGTGTCTATTCCAGCACTGAAGTTTCTGGCGATATTGTCTTAAGGCATTTTCAAAGACCGCTCGGGATAACTCGATGGTCTAGTGGTTAGTGCGAAGTTTTCCTAAACGAAGGATCAGGGTTCGATCCCTTTTGGAACATTTTCAATGCTCATAAGCAATTTTTACATCATTCGACTCGTCTTTCCAAGCTCTACAAGATGTGCATATCGGGATTCCTTGTCAAAGAGGTTCCTTGTCAATCATCAATGAGATTCTAGTTGATAAAACTGATTACTTCATTTGAAAGTACAAAAATCATTTGGGAATCTCGACGAAATGATTGTGAAATAAAAAGTTGGATTTGATTCTATTTTCCACTATTTTCCCCACTTTAAATCCGTTGTTTTATGGGATAAAGAAGAGTTGAGTGTACCAGGAAAGGGACGTTTACAGAGCGCACACTACAAAGAACAAATAAAGGGTAAAGAAAAGTTGAAAAGCTAAAAAAAAAAGCAACGATTTTTGGGCTCATTTCATTTGAAGAGATCTCTCTTATTTCTTTCTTATTGAGTGTACCAGGAAAGGGGTGTTTACAGTTTATTTCAAGGGGATTCAATTCTCATTTACTGCTTGTTTATTACAGAAGATTTTCGATAAATCATAAAGTTCCAAGAAATAGTGAAATTTTTTTAGATTTTCTAAAAGCTTTACAAAGTTTTCATTTGCTGACATTTGGTGACAATTCCAGGTCAATAATTCCAAAAAACGGGTGATAATCGGTGTTTATTGCTAAAAATCATTTCAATAAATTAAAAATTTAAAAGAAAAGAAGGAGAAACTGATGGAAAGCAAAAAAAGGATTCCGGTTACAACCGGGCGCGAACTTTGCTCGCCCGAAGCGAGGACAAGCGAGCGAAGAGCGAGCGCTTTCCCACTCAGCCATGAGGCGGACTTTAAAGATCACTGGCTCAGTGGCAAGCGCTCAGAGAACGCTTTGCCACTGAGCCAGTGATCCAGTGACCAATGATCCAGTGACCAGTGATCCAGTGACCAGTGGTCCAGTGACCAGTGGTCCAGTGACCAGTGGTCCAGTGACCAGTGGTCCAGTGACCAGTGGTCCAGTGACCAGTGGTCCAGTGACCAGTGATCTTTAAAGTCCCTCATTATCTTGATTTTTACGACAAAAATAGCCAGCTAGTTAGCTTATTAGCTTATTATAGCCTTTTTTTATTCAAACATAAGCAAATTCCTCTCTCTCTCTCTCCATTCTACCTCATTTCCGATTCAGTTTATAAAAAAAAGTGCCTGTAAATAGAATCGAAAAAAAGTTACTACGTAATTACATCAAGCTTCCATTTACTATTTTTGCTTTCTTTCTTGCCAAAAATAACTCCCTTTTGATGATCTCATCTTAAATTTAGACTAACGCACGTGTTTCCAAATCCAGAAACCCTAAAATGAAATATTTTTGACTTCACCAGGTTTCTTTTTACTAAATTACTGGAATTTAGGGAAAGGAACATGGTGATAAATGTAAGAGTCAATACTTTAGATATGTATAAAGATATGTACAAAGATATGTACAAATAATACAATGGATATTGAAAACTCTGGACTTTAAAAACTCGTTGACATCATTAGGTGTTCAATCGACCCTTTTAACATCAACCTTTTACAAAGCTCCTTTTAGATAAAGCTTGTAAAAGCTTTGATTGATTGAAATTGATTTTAACGTCACCGCCTCAACCTACAGACATGGATGACATTTCAAAGCCTAAGCCTAAGCCTGAGCCTGAGCCTGAGCCTAAGCCTAAGCCTGATCCTAAGCCTATATCTAAGCAATACAATACTTTTTAGCCTTTCTACCATTCGAATGATTTCGCAAAACTTATTTCCTCCTAGATTTCCCAACTTTCTTCAGCCTGATCCCAATGAACTGAATGCTTTCTTTTCAATTTTCTTTCAAATATAGCTTTCCTAATCCCAATGGACTGGGTGAATGGCTAGGAAAGTACAAAAGGAAACTCTCCCCACGCTTTCTAGATCTATTTTTGGGTAAACTTTCTCCAAATTTAGTCACTCAAAGTTAAATAAATGAATGGATTCCAAATTGGGACGTCAATTGACTAATCCTCTTCTCAATTTTCTTACTAATCTATCTCAGATTACTCGAATCGTTTCCAATATTTTTATTTTTCGGATTTACAGCTTTTGAAGCCTTCACAAGCCAGAAGACCCTTTCAAAAAGCTTTTTTTTTCAAAAAAGTGAAAATAACATACGCATTTCCGGTGATGGGGATTTTCAGGAGTCATTTTCTTGATCAATGTTGAGGGAATTGCTTAAGTGAGTTATTCTAGAATTAGATTACAATTAGAAGGTATGTGTTCGGGATAAGAAGATCTCTATCCCTTGGTTCAGGCGGCAGAAAGGCAGTATTTACTAAAGCACAGAAGGGTTTACATACAGAAAAGTTAAGGGGGAAATGTTTAGAAATGTCTATGTTTTGGATAGCTTATGGCTGGGGAAATCGTGGAAAAAGCAATTTAGGGAAAGCTTGGGGTACACTACTATTAGAGACGTTTTATTACAAAGCTGACAACTTGTGAGGGGTGATTATGCTCAGTGAAGTAGAGTGCTCACCTGAAGTGATCAGTCGATGAGTCTTTGAGATGAGTCTTTGTGGCTGTATAACCGACAAGTACCCGAGTATCGTTACCATTTATCTTCAAACAGTGCCCCACTCAATTGTGGTGTTGGAAAAAATAGGGCTTCGAAAGATAGCGCCATATGTGTCGTAGCCGATAGGTCAAATTTACAATTAGCCTACTCTACTGATGACTATTTTACGGTTTTAAAGGAGGAAAAGGATCATTCAGAGGGAACATTGAACGATAGATTTTGAAAGAGAAATAAACTTTATCGGAAGAAGTTCCGAACAGTATGATAAAGTAGTAGAAGATTATACAGAATCGGTTTTTCTGTATGAAACTTGTTTGATAAAGAAAATTTGTGTTTTTTAAACACTTTCCAGATGAAATTTGATTGTAACAGTGATCCTTTCTTTAGAGAAACTTTGAAAACAAAGCCATTTAAGCCAGGCTTTGTTAAAAGGCGTAAAAGGCTTAAAAGGCTTTGTTAAAAAGCGTAAAAGGCTTAAAAGGCTATAAGCGATAGCATAAACTTTGCTATAAGACTGAAAAATTTGAGGAAACAGAGAGCTTTTAGATCCGCGAGTAGCTTTTTGAGAAAAGCATAGGGAACGATGAAGTTATGGCTTTTCAAAGGCGAGTCAACGACCAAACTCCATCAATTCTATTCAGTTCAATCCTTTAGTTCATCTGGATAGAAGAATCCAAATCCAATTCTTTATATCCAAAGCATTCCAGTCACTCAAAAGTCACTGCTAGTCACTGCTAGTCACTGCTAGTCACTGCTAGTCACTGCTAGTCACTGCTAGTCACTCAAACTATTGTTCATTTAAATCTAGATCTTCTTAAACTTTCCGAATATCTTCAACCTGTCATAATATTTTCTTTTTCTCTTACAAAACTCCCGAACAAACTATTTAACAAAATTCATTTTCCTCTCTGCAAACAAGTACTTCTTTTTTATCTACTTATTAAACTTTCATCGGAAATTGTAAGTTCACAAATTAGCTTTTTTTTCGTTCTTTTTTTTCCCCCAAATTATCGAGTCAACGTGAGAATTAGAAATTGAAACTTTCTTAAGTAGAAAATAAAAATTTCAGAAAAAAATGGGATGTTTAAAGGGAAAGAGGAACTGCTAGAACAGAAAACAGAAAAGAAAAAAGAAAAAGAAAAGAAAAGGAAACAGAAAAGAAACACTTCCAATCAGAAAATGAAAAGGAAATAGGGGATTGGACGGAAATGAATCAAATCTTCATATATTCATTTGGGATTTAGAGAACGATTTGAGGAGATTGCTTCGAGGAAACTGAAACTTGGGGGTAGGATAGTTTCCGCAAATTGTTTTGCGCAACAGGGTTATTTGCGCAACTGGGTCGTTTGCGCATCTTTATGGTTTGACCAATCTTTGCTTGGTTTCATTTTGTAGATCTCAATAAGTGTAA